ACCAGATTACTGGTGAATTTGTTTATTATCACTTTGAGCTACTTATAATCACATTAGCGTGAGTAAAGACCAAACATTAAATCAGTTTATTCAATCTCCCTATGTGAACTGTACGAGGAAGTTCATTTTTAACTATTGTCTGAGGTATGTGAATACTCTCTCAATTCAGCAATGTCCAACAATAATCCACACGTTTTCTGACAGTGTGAATTGATGAGGAGAAAGCCTCATTGTTGAACGAGGTAGAGTCTTAATCCAGCCTTCATCTCTACCTAAAGAGTTGTTATGAGGAGCAGTCGCTAAACCAGGAGAGAGGAAAACGTGTCCAAGGCCAAAAAAAGTAAGCCAAGAGAGATGATGCTTGAGTTTTCTCCATCTTGTTGTTCTTCTCCTCCAATTGCCCGTCTTGTATCCTCATCCAATCATTGCATTTTCTTCCTCCTGCGCCCTCCAATCACCATGTGCCCTGCAGGCAGTAACACTTATACATATCTGCCGTAATTAGACAATCATTCCCACATGTGGATCAAACTCCTTCAACCACTCAACCCCTACCTCACCCTCCCATCCGCCCACTGTCTCCTTTTTCCTCCCTCTGTTTTTCTTATTTCCCCGTCTCACACTCTACTACCCTCCGTGTGCCCCTTTTTTCACTCTTTCTTGCCCCCCTTCTTTTTTCCCCTCTCTCTTTCTGATTGAATTACCATAAGTGCAGGTCTTGGCCAAAATATGCCAGCTTGTTCTGATTAAAACTGTCCTTGTTATACCAGAGACTTTCCAAATGGCTGTGAGCAGTTTGTGTTTGGGGGTTGGGATAGGAGGAGGAGGAGGAGAAGTAGAAGGAGGGGGCCAAAAAGCAGTTTGTGTTGAAAAGAAAAATGCTGCCAGACAACATCATATGGCGAAAGATAAAGAGTGGAAGCTCCAAAAAACAAGATGGAGACGGAGTGGAGGGAGATGGCGAGGCAGCGGTGGGGGAACAGAAAGGGAACTGGACAGTAATGGTAGTTGACAGAGTTGGGTTCACAACAGGTTCATGGTGACATCATGGTTGAATTTTAGGGAACATTTATATAGGAAAAACTATTGCTGTTCATTGGATGCACATGTACACCCCCAACCCTCTTTTTTCATTCCTTCCTTCTCTTTCTTTCATTCTCCGCTTGGCCACAAACCCTCACCATCACCAACTACACCAAATATGCAAATTAGTTCTGGCGCTTTAAAATTAATTTCTGCCCGCGGTGTTATGAACTTGTGCATCTTTGTGTACACATATGGTTTCCCAGATTTTGACTGCTTCAAACACACAAAAAACTCCCTCATCCCTCAGGTTGTCTGTTCAACTTCATAACCCTGAAACTGACAACTGCTTCCCAGAGCGTCATTTCTTTTTCTTCCTTTCTTTTGCTCTTTTTCTTTCCCTGATCCTCGTTTTCTTTTCCTCTTTTTCTGCCCGTAAGTCTCGCCAACCCTAAGCACTGGTACAATATGTTCTTTGTGTGCGTGTTTAGCTGTTTTCTGAGGGACAGTAAAGACATAAAGGAGCCTCGGGGACCCGAAACGTGTTTATGGTGTATGTGTGGGTGTGATTATATTTGTGTCAGCTCTTTCTCTCGCTTGAAGAAAATTAACAGCAGGGAGTTGTGGCATATTAAAGGCTCTTTGTGTCTTGTGCATATGTGCTTTTTTCTTTTCAGGGGGTGTCTGTGTTATTAGTTTGCGGGCATTCACAGGCTGTAATATGAGTGTAACTCTGCGTCTGTACGTTTGTATGTTTGTGTGTGCCCGAGTGAGCTTGTCATGCATGCCTGTCATCCTCTGCATGCCTCTTTGCGCACCGCAGAGCTTCACATGACATCAATCTGAGAGCAGTGGGATAGTGATCTCATTACCAACAGCCTGTTGCTGATTAAAACCTGCCGTCTGCACCCTCCTTTCTTTTCTTCTCCCTCCTCTTTTGCTTCCTTGTCCTTTGCTTGCCCCCCCACCCCCCTTCATGCCTCCTCCGCCCCTAAAAACTCCACAGTCGCACCATTCTGCGGTTTTCTCTGCTGCTCACTGCCAAAAAGGGCCCCATTTCGAACTCTGCAGAAAGTTATAAGCTCCCCTTTTTTTCCTCTTCAGTTTTGCTTCTTTCACTTCTTTGTTCTCTCTGCCTTTTCTACATCTTAGGTCTGTTTCATCAGAGGCCTCCACTCAAATCTAACCTACAGGCCTCACTGATCTTTCTGAGTCAACCTGCTTTGACACCCAATGACAAGGACACGTTGGCAGGAAAGTGAAATTGTCTATTAATGCGTCAGAGAATTTGCTTGTATCATAAGTGGATGTATGTGCTTATTAGCGCCTCGTAGATTTAGAGTCTGAAATACACAAGCGCCTCTTTCACACTCAGCCAGGCCTCATACTCTCCCCTCCTCTCAGAGCATTTCAGTGACACAGAAACACAAACAGAACTAACCTTTCACCTCCCATGCTCACTCTCTGAGAAGTGTGGCAGAAACACAGATGGCTAAAGAACCGGACCTGTGATTGGATAGTCCAGGTTGAGTAACTGTGAACAGAACTAGAATAAACTTGTTAAAGGGTCGGCAGAGCGTCAAAAACTGTGGTTACCACACAGAAGTGTATTCACCTTTTAACACGATATTCATACTTGAATGGTAAAAGTTTCCGTGAAGGCCAAAAAAATAAATCTGTTTTATATTTGAATATTAACTCCCATGCTTGCGAAACACAATCCAGATTTTTCTTTCAGTTTCTATCAAAAACACACATTATTATTACTACTCTATAAATCCCAGCTTCAGCATGCAGCTGAGATCTATTGTTTCCATGTTATGTTTAAAAGGAACACAAAATGGTGTCTTCCAACAACCCTGATGGCCATCATGATAAAAAAAAAAAAAAAAAAAAAACATGGCACTGTGCTGTAAAGTATGAAAGAGCATTAGGGCCACAAGAAGAGAAAAAAAACAATTACAGGAGGGAGATTGTTTTGAATTTCCAATTCGAGATTTAGGTCCAAATTTCGAGATTAAAGTCGATTTTAAAAAAGTCGAAATAAAATGCCGTATGGCTTAAATTTGTTGTAACCATCCATGTGCCAGAGCGCATTGGGTCCTCGGCTTCGGTAATGCATGTGCCTCAGACACCACGCTCGTCTTTGCTCTATGCCTTCAGGATCTATCAACTTGATCAGTTGTCTTACTGTATCTTGCAATACAATATGTCCTCGCTGTATCGCCGCAGGTGTAATCATCGATAACCTCCATGAAATTTCGTCTTTGTTTGCGTCGACTTTAATCATTTAATTTTGGCTTTAATCTCGAAATTTCAATTTAATCATGACATTTCAACTCTATTCACGTCGAATTTAATCTCGAAATTTCAACTTTAATCTCAATTTTTTTTCCTGTTCATGTCTTTTTTAGTAAAGAGATACATATTTAACCCAAAGCTGTAAGAACGCAGTTTATTTGACATTTGTATTTTGTCTGGCAGTAATAATTATTAACTTAGAATTAAGTGATTGAGGCAGAAATCAAATCCAAATTTGTAACATAGCTGCCTTCTCACCATAACTTTTCAGTTGGACTCATAGAGAAAGAAAGAAAAATCATACACAGGTTTTGTAGTGGGCTTCCACTCCACTGTGTCCGCTCAGTCAGACAGTAGCAGACAGTTTTATCTCTGACATGAAGCGGCAGGTAGCTCTTTCCCTCAGGGGCCGACTGGCCAGGTTTGATTCTATCACAGGTTGAATGTATCTCCGTTAAACGCTTCCTTACCAGAAAAACTATGGGGCTGATTTGCTTAGGAAAATCCTGTAGGAGGAGAAGAGTTCACTTGAACTGATTTAAAGGTGCGGAAACTGCAGAGAGAATGGCTCTTTGTACTTCCCAGGCTGGGAAACAGCTCATGGTCGTTTGCATTTTGGAGATGTAATGAGGTCATCTAACATATATACCAGGCTCTGTGTGGTTTTTCTTCTATTTAGTGGATTCATTATACACACTATACTGTAGAGTGCACTGTACACACACTTGGTGTTTCATAATCACAGCAGTTTATGCCAGTGTGAAAGAGTTTTTACTTTTATAGCTGTTTATATTAGGTTATTTTGAAAATTAGTCTTTCATCACAGTGTTTCTGTTGCTTATTTTGTTACATTATACCACTTTGGTTTCAAATTTGACTACACATCTAGGTCTGAATGCTGTAAAATGCATTTCCAGTTTCCAAGTAATCCCTCTATTATCCTGAGTCGTAGGGAAACCAATGTTGAGAGGGCGTATGTCTTTCCCATCAGGGACATGCAGTCACAATAAAGCACAGAGTGGCCCTTGATTGGCCCCAGGCTCCTGGACTCCCACATTGGCTGGCCCTCGTCCCAAAGTCAAGGCATTGTAAACATGGAGTGCAGGCCAAGAGCTGATATTGATATCCCCAAAGGTGTGCAGCCCCCCTGCAGCATGTGTGTTTGTGTATGTCTGTGAGTTAATGACTGTTTCATTAGTGTGGGTGTGTTTACATGCATTAATGCTCTGCTCTCCTGTGTGTGTCTGTGTGTGTGTATGTGTATGTGTGCGCACGTGTGTGTGTGTTAGTGTAAGCCTGTCTTTGGTCAGTTAATAGAGGAACAAATTTAGAAATCCAACAATCCAACAAAAGAGTGTTGACTGACAGCACAGTTTAGAAGGAGTGGAGGTAAAGAGACAAAGAAAGAGAGGGAGGGGAGAGAGGGAAGGGAGGGGGGCAGCAAGTTGAAACCTAAGCTTTCTGGACCCTGTTTTCCCTTCCTTCGGGCATTCTGTGGCTGGTAAAAAATGTGCTGTATATTTGAAGTGTTGGATCACGTGACAAAGGCAGGGTTTGTGAATCAAAGTACACAATGATTTCAGAAGGAGAGAGAGAGAGAGAGAGCGAGAGAGAGAGAGAGAGAAGGAAGAGAGCGAGAGAGAAAGAGGGTGTGTGTTAGAGAGAGAGAGAGACAGAGAGAGAAAGAGACGGGAAAAGAAGAGGGAGGCGGAATGCAACAGGCTGAGTTTTATCGACGTTGCGAGAGGGACTTCTGACTGACAAACACAACTACTGCACTCCTTTTCTCAGCCCCTCACTAACATCCAGAGTGTGTGCCGCTGTCGAAAGTCACCAGATTTGGTAAGTTTTCCTTTCAAGCCCATTTCCAAGATCTTCTTTTCTTCGTAACTTCCCTAGTGTTTTTGTGAGAAAAGAAGACAGACAGAGGACATGTCAGAGCATGAGTGTTTCTCTTGTCTCTCTCTTTCCCTCTGTGTGTGTGTGTGTGTAAGAGAGAGAGAGAGAGAAAGAGAGAGAGAGAGAGAGAGAGAGAGAGAGAGAGTGTGTGTGTGTGTGTGTGTGTGTGTGTGTGTGTGTGTGTGTGTGTGTGTGTGTGTGTGTGTGTGTGTGTGTGTGTTTGCGGGACAGCATGAGCAGGGATTGAGTTTCCTGAGGACAGCTTTAATTGAGAACAGAGATTTGGGAGAGGGAGAAAGAGCAACAAAAACAGCAAAGGAGGGAAATGAAAGCTGAGCGGCAGTTGCACGGGTTGCAAGGCCGCTCTACGAGGAGACACGAACAATTGTGGATGTGTGTTTGTGTGTGTTTCCTCACTGATTGATGCACATCTGGATTTTCATGACCTTGTAAATGTGATTAAAAGTTGCTGAAAGACTGTGATGACTCCAGAGGTCAGGGGGAAAGAAGGAATGAGGGTGTATCGAGGTACAATAACAGATCTTTACTCTTTCATATATACCACTGTTGGTCAGGCCAAGTGCTACAGGTGTGCTGGGTAACCATCTTGGGCCGTTTCAAAGCAGCAGACATAGTGACTGCTTTAGCCTGCAGGCTCTCAGCCAACAGACGGGCTGTCCGACTTGATGGATCACTCCATCAACATCACAAATGGCTGAGTGGGTCTGGTCTACCTGAGTATGCACACACTCGTTCACCCCCCTGAGGGTTATGTAAACAGGTTTCCATCCGCACAATTACATAAGCGGGATGGAAACACTGAAATAGGCTACTCCGGATATCACAAGAGAGTCTGCAGTGTGTCCGATCAGTGCTGCTCCGAGTTTTCATTGTGTTTGTATGTGTGAATAAACTTACTCAACCCCTCAAATTTTAACACAAGACCTTTTTTATGGACTGTGAATCAGCTCAGATAGCATCCCGAGTGCAACAGTTGCTGTATAAATACAGACGCAGTGCTTGATTGATGGTCCTGACAATTATCTGCTAAGTGCTGATTACCAGCTGATCTGGGGTGTCTGCGTCTGTCTGCCAACACCATGCTGCTGACCATACCACTCCAATGTAAGGGCCTGTTATTCTAGCAAAGGCTCGACAAATCTACTCCAGATTAATTTTCCTTAATGTCTTCAGGAATGTTCATCAGCATGTCTGCAGGAATAGGTGGCCAAGTCTTTAAACAGGGTATAAACAGCTAGGTGTAAACAATTCACAGCACAACACCAACGTAAAGGACAAACACTTCTTCATCTTTCTGTAGAGTGTAGACAACTTTGTGAACCCTGTCATCCTGACTCCAGCTCAGACCGTTTTTAGATCACTTTTAAATCTAACATTCATTGGGTGGATACATTTGGTTTTGGTGGAGTGCTTTTGTCTTTTGTCATTTGAAGCAGAGGTTTCTTGAGAAAGAGTTTGTATGTGCATGGGCTTGGGGTGTGTTGTACACAACCTCTTTAACTGCATTGCAATCTCATCTTTGTTCGCTACACTTTTCAAGAATGGCAGCCCCTCAGGCTGAGGAGGCCGGCTGGCTCCTCTCCTTCTTTCTCTCTGTCTCACTGACTTCTTTCTTCTTTATTTCCTGGATATGAAAAAAAAAAAATCGGACTTCTTAGCTGGAACGTGTCAGCTGAGTTTGATTTTGTGCCGACTTGTTGTCATGGTCACCACACAAAAATGGAAACTCGGAACTTCCAAAACAAAGAAACAAGCGTTTGCCACTTGTTTGTGAGTGGCAGAGACAAACTGTTTTGATGTTCTGCAGCGAACGATTTTGTCCACAGGGCTTTTTTGGTGAGAGTACTGTGGTTCAGCTCCACATGAGATTTGGGTGTCACTTACAACATTCATTGTTGCCCCTCCTGCAGCTCTCTGGGTTTGAATCGTATCTACGTGTCTTTAATTATGGCCATGAGCTGCTCTACAAGTCTCTTTAAACGCACTTCTTAGCCTCTCTGTGGTGGAACAACAAGACACAGATTTGGCGTTTACGTGTGCATGTGTGTATGTGCGAGTGTAGGACAGGTTGTGGGGTTTTGCTGTCTAAAGAAGCACTCATTACTTCAATACTAAATCAAAAGCTGCCTAACAAACGCTTCATTAAGCCTGACCAATAGGCCTTCAGTAATAGGGGTTGACCCCAGGTCCTGACCTGGAGACCCCCAGCCGCCTACAGGGGTGGCACCACATAAAGACAACATTGTGTGTTTTATGAGACATTACTATTATCAGTATTGTTACCATTAGCTCTGCTAACATAGAAATGAAAGTTTATTAGTCAGGTGACTGTTGTAAACATAGAAGCAGGTGAAAAGTGTCACTGTAGACTTTCAGATGAAAATAGGTGAAGATAAACTGATGGTTTCAGTCACTTTAGTTGCACTTGAATTTTACTTTTGTTCAATCATTTGTTGGTTTTTCTGGATTTTTCAATTTAACTTAAAGGACCACAGCTGCACTAAAGTAATATTGATTTTTATTTAATCCAGTGCACTAAGCTTTCATTGTAGTGCTAAATTATTGGGAAGGTTTATACTATTTGAAGCTCACCTGAAATGTAAAAAGTTTGTTTTTTTTTTTCCAATAAAGTTTACTTTCTTTGACAAAAAAAGAAAAAAAAATAATAACCTGATGGAATACCTTTTTAAAAACTAAATGTGGATGTTTGGCTTTTAATGGTAGAGATACTGTAAATAATGAATTATCTAAACTGTTGCGCTCATATCTTTCGTCAAATGACAGAACAGGGAATTCAGTTTTTATTGTACAGTGTACTTATAGGATTCAGAATAGTCAAAGGGAGGTTTCATATAAAGTAAGTAAGCATAACAAAAAAATTCAAACAAAATATGTTTAGCTTTAGTAACTTTTATTGACCTAAACAATCCAACCATTTTTTTCCTGTCTGGAATTGTAGTACTTTGTTGTTCTCTATTAGTCAATCTCCATTTCCCAGTGTTTTAATTCACAGTATAACCATTTCTTTATAAACTAGGTCTACGTTGAAAACCAAAGGTTGAATTCTGAGTCCCTGCTGGACTACGAGGTCTTACTGAGAGATTTATTTTTTTAAGGAGGTAGCTTAATCTCATGAATTTACTTTCCTTGGAAACTAATCAACTCATTTCAATTCTATTTTTTGAATTTCTGGGTATTAAGGACCGAACATTATCAGAATACATCTTGCTTTGGTGCATTCCTGGTCATTAAAGAACCAGTTAACCTCTTAGTCATAAAAGCTACTGTGAGGAATTTTTAACTGGTCATGGAACAAAGTGAAATAAATGATAATATCGCTTTATGACCAGCAAAAACCAAAAACAAACAAAACAAAAAACATTCATAACAAGACAATTACTCTATTGCAATTTTTCTTGAAGTAACAACTGCCACCTGTTTGTGTGAAATAAAGTGTTTTTTAAAGTCAAATGTAACATTTACAGTGAATATTATGTGGTTTTGTATAAACCAGACTGTTTCTTCTGCTGCTTGCTTGAAACCTACCCCCTCTGCACTGGTTTCAGACGTTCAAATTATAATTTAAAAAAGTCATCAGTCATGTTGCTGGTGGTCTTGTCTGCTTTTTGATATTAAAAAAAAGCATCAACATGAATCCATGTCTATTTTATAGACGTAAAAAAAAAACTCCTCACTGGAACTTTAAAGCATGTTGAAGAAACTGCCATTTATACATTTTCCACAGCAAAGATTCACAATAAGTGGTGTAATTGACTCAAAAAAAAAAAGAAACAGGATCACTTTCCATAAGTAATACAACCACCATGTTCACTTGACTAGGTTTTGATCACAAAGATATGAAAGTTCCCACTTAGCCCACATGAGGCACCAAAATCAACACACACCCAAAAGTTCCTCACAGGTGCTTTAAGTCTAGACTTGATGTGTAGCTTTATTCTGACAGCACAGATGAGGGAAGGGTACTGATCCTTCAAAGACAAAATCATGGCACTCTGTATTTACAAGACCAATATTGAGTGTTGTCACCCTGACCAAACAGATTACCAGCTTCTCTATTCTCACACTTCAAACATAGTCGTCTATTTTTACAGCCTCTATAAACTATTAAGAGGATCAGACGCTGTATACTGGCTGATTTTACTGAAGCGAAGGCCTGGCAATCATTCTAAAGCATTGTTCTGTAAAATAAAACTTAGAAAATAGAAATCAAATGTTTTTTTTTAAAGCCTAGTATATACATCTGTGTGTATATTTTCGACAGCCTAACGACATAATAACCAGCATAAATTGAAACTATGTGTTTGCCACAGTCTGAAACATTTTGTGGTTTGCTGATGGCTGTCAGACATTGAGGGTTTTCAGCCCAGCAATAATTTTATTCCTCAAAACACATTTTTACATGTCAGTTTGACATAAATTATAGTACAGTACAGTCATTTGTTGGAAAATCTAATTATGTTGTTTGTGTGTGATGGTGCATGTGTTTTTTCTCTCCTGTTAGGGTTTTTTTTTTTTTTTATGAGTCAATCTGTGCATTTTCCTCTTGGTGTGTTCAGATTCAGAACAGCTCATCTTTGGCTGCTTTCTCTGAGGATCGTCCAGATTTGATTGTGGGTTTTATGGTTTACTGCTAATTGTCCTGGCTGATGGCATATTTTTCTTCACATTTGGCTGTTTTTCGGGGAGTTTTTAGCCTGCTTTCCACTCAGGCTCTGCTTTTGAGTTCATGCTCTACACAGAACTTTGTGGTTTAAAACAAAGAAGTGATTCAACTTTGTCATCTCCGTTTTCTTCCCTCTATTACACACTCATGTCCCTTTAGATACATTCAGTAGCTGAAAAAACATCACAACCTTTTATTCATTTACTATTAACCAAAAAATTGATTTTTAAATTAAATAGACAACTGTAGATTAAAAAAAAAAAAAAAAAACACAACAGTTAATGAACCTGACCAACACACACACAAAAACGCCATTTTCCTTTAAGTAATTACTCAGTTTCCTGAAATAAATGCAAAAACTGTAAGTTTAGAAGCATAAAAAATGTATGAATAGTCAAGAAAATATAAAGCGCCACAATATCCTACACTCACTGACAGTAATGCACACAATTAAAAGGATCCATTTCTTATCTTTAAGTTTAGAAGATCAAATTCTGTTTATCATTAGAAAAAAACATTTTAAAACTCTTACTGGAGCTGAAACAAAAACAGGAAAAGATCATCATGTAATCCTTTAACACATCAGATAACAGGAGAAATCCACCTCATGATTCAACGAAACAAAAGAATCATTGTGTGATGTGCAGAGGAGCATTTGTACCCTCTGGTTTCTCTTAATTGACTCTGATTTAGTCAAATGGAAAATATCAACTCATTTTTGAGCTGTTTATTACGTCTAATAGCTTATTGTGTGCCTAATGGTTTCTGACTGAAATCCTTAAACAAAGCCAGATGTTGATGATAAATTTAAATTAAATGCATAGAGCTAAAAGTTCAAAGGTTTCATGGCATTTATTTATGAAGGAAGAACAACACTAGAAATATTTAAGATTGATAAAATTGTGTGTGTGTGTGTGGGTGGGTGGGGGGTATCTATTTATAATCAGTGTATACATCTCAAAAGTTATTGAATCTTTACTTTCAGATTCAGTGTAGAAAACAATGGCACACGAGAGAACCAGCAGCTCATGAGATGGCTCTTCTTCACATTAAAATATATGTGATGTAATATGGAAATATGTCGAGGGAGGACCAGGAGACTGAACCAGGGAATGCCAGTAAAAGTAGAGGAAAATAAACTCTGAAACTTGCAGGATTCAGAATGTTTTTCGGATTTGAGTCGTAATTGAAACCTTTTGTTATTCCAAAGCAATGAAAAGTCAAAACTGACATTCAGATGTGGTGGCCACCATGCAAGAGTTTTATTGCTGTCACTGTGAAATCCATCCAAACATTCATCTGAAGAGTGAAAGTCTGTCCAGTTTTAAATGCAACATTTTATGTGCTTGGCAGAATCCCATAACAAATCACTTTTAGTCACTCCCCATTGAATAAACACTACCTTTTCTCTGAAATCACAAGCATTCTTTCAATGACCCTGAAACTTCTAATTACCATACATTTCTCAGCCCTTTAAATAAGGTAATTATACAATAAAGCAGAAGACCGACTCAAACTCTCCGGTTATCCGTTTCCCTGAAAATGCTCCACCACATTATTGCCATACCAGCAGAACATTTTTTCATAATTTGCCGAAAAACAACCGAGTGTAACCAAAATTCTCATTTTGCCAAAGATTGATGGACTTCTCACAGAGTTGTGTGTGGTCGCACTGTCACGCAAGCTTTTTATTATGAACAAAAAAGACAAACATGGTGGGAAAAAAAAGGACGTAACAAAAAAGAAATGGATGACCAACAAGGATGAGACAAACATTTATGACTGGACGTTTTTAATGTGAACAGGGGACTACGTATATGGGTCAGGTTAACTGTTTAGATGTACCTACAAATTGAATCAGAATGGCTGTGTTGCATGCATATAAGAGACATTACTCCACTTTGCTACCCGAGAAACACAGACGTAAATGTGGTCACACATGCTCAGTTGCCTGTCAGCACCAAGAGCCATTGCTATCACTGATAACCTACCGCTCAGTTTAAACGCAACAAACACAGAAGTAAAGTTAAGCATATCTAGGTCTATAAAGGACAGGTAAGTGAAAATAAATGTATGTCTCTACTAAAGCAGGACACAAGACACTGGTGCTCCACAAATCTTTTTTTTTTTCACTGACTGAGGTGATAAAATTTTGTTTTTACATATTTAGTGTTGGACCCGATGAAAACTAATTGTAAATCTCACATCCAAGGTTTGTTTTAGCAGAGTAATCAGTCTCATAGCGTAAAATAATTTTTCAAATAGTCCTCCTCTGGCAAGACCACACTTGCCTGGCAGATAATACCCTACAGATGAACTGCAAAAAAAAAATTTGAATAAATAAAACAATCCCCCTCTAACCCAAGGTGTAAATAATATGTTACGCCCAAGGTCCGGACGATTCGCGTTGATCTGCAAAGTAACAGGCAGGCCAACCAAGCATAACTGGTAACCAACAGGAAAACTATGATGGGGTTTTAAACCATTTATAATCTAAAAAATTATGGTTCATGTGAGCAAAGGTACTGTTTCTGGAAGTTATTCTGGAGGATAGGGTTTAGCCAGCTGTCCCATATTGGCTGAGACTTCCCGAATCTCATGTGCTTCTGATAAAGAATATACAGAGCTTGTGGTGCACGAGTGTGGACAAGATTTATGGAAAAACAGATTAAAAGCTACAATAAACAATGTAAAGGAAAAAAAAGATAGGGGGGGTTAACTGGTCAGCGGCAAGTCTGGCAACTTTATGTAAGACTTCACTTGATCCCATCATTAATTTTCAGTCGGCTACTGAGATTTGCTTGACATAATACAGGGATGCACAATAAGCAATAAATAAACTTAGTGAATCTTGCTTCTCTTTAATCCAATGGTGAGGGAAAACTTTCTTTCATGGTCCTCTATAAATCAGCTGCCGGACAACATCCCCACTACCTCACATGACTCTGCTGAGGAGAACTGCAAGAAGTTTGTAGTCGAAACATGTGGAGGTAAAAAGAAAACACACAGGTCTAGTTACAAGAAATGTTCAACTTTTACCAGGCAGACACCTGGGGCTGAAGCAGACTCATGTTAAACAGCCGTCTGCTGTGATCTGATGGGTTTAGATTGAAAAGAGGGATGGATGGAGATACAGACACAACAACAACAACAGCAGCAGCAGCAGCTCATACAGACTCACAGTCACAATGCTGATAATAATGGGACCAGTGAGTTCACTATTTAGAAGTACAGTAATAGACTGATCTTAAAGGGATATTCTGGCGTACAATTGATTTAGGGTCAAACACACCGTAACACCGAGTTAGACACCCCCTCTAGAGATGAATGTTGCCGACCGCTTGCTTCTCTAGTTATACCAACTTTAGTAACGACCGCAGGATAGCAATACACAGCGGTCTGAGGAGCCATACACAAACCTCAACCAAAACGCCACTTTATAGCCACAAATAATGCTCAGAACAGCATCTAACTTAATCAACAGGACAGGGTCCCAGCCATAGTACTAGCCATCAAACATCTTTTTAGCCTTGCCTGATTTCTTTAACAAAGAGACTAAACACAACTCACGTACTCTCTTACGGCAGCCGCTTGTCCAGGCCAGTCCATTACAGACTGCAGCAGGGTGACGCAGCTCAAGGAAGAACATTTATGATCATTTCTTCATGGAAATGTAATCAGACGAGATGCTAAGGCAGAAGAACTACCACGTCAGCAGTGCAAAATGATTAATATGATGATTGATGGTGGTTAGAGTCAACTGCTCTGATTTTACACTTACAATAATGATGGTGATAATAGAGGTCGGAATAGTAGTAAGCCTATTAATGATCACAGTCGGAGTTGAATTAGGTAAAGAGATGTGGCACTTGGACCTGTATACATTACTCACCACGTTTTAGATTTTCTGGGAGACGGTAAGATTGAAGAGTGTCTAACATTCATGGTGTTTAATTGCCTTCTTGTGCTGATATCAGTATATTTTCACCCTGTCAAGCCGCACTCCACCTTGTCGTCGTTCCCCGCCACAGCCCCAAACAGTCGATTTTTCGTTGAAACTTTCAGGATTTTTGTCGACCAAGAATTTCTTTGGTTGATTACAGCCCTAATGAGGTATAATGAAACGCCATCAGAGTGACCACACTCAAGATTTTAAAATTTTGTTTTGAAAAGTTGAGACTCAACAAAAAAACAAAAACAGGCTGTTTGTCTGTATTTGTGTTTGTCCCTCTTCTGACTGGATGTTGGTTTTGTTATTTCCAGACCAGTGTGAAAGGAAATTCTTTCAGCCTTCGTCATTTTTTATGAATGCTAATAAGAACTGAGATCCTAATGAAAACAACCTGAGGTGATTTTTCATGCAATGATTACACACAAAGCACAAATGGTGGCAATATCATCTTTCACAAATGATTGTTGCCCACAAATTGAGAGTCCTTTGGGGCTGCTGCAAATTCATTCAGGGTTTGTATGCTGTTTACTTTTATGAGTGAAACATGCCAAACTATGAGATGAAGAAATGATTTAATGCAGCAAGCATGCTGAGGAGGTTGACTCCCGAAATGCTTGCCTGGACCCACTTTGGTTGGCATGAAAATTATTTGTACAAAATTAACCAGCTTTGTGTTGACTTACCCTCAGCTCTGACTTTGTCTCTGTGTATGTGTAGGTTCATAACTGTAACCCTCAAGTTGATATGGGTTGGAAAAACCATAAAGTTGAGTCCCATTTACACCCAGGATAACTAAAACCAGATGATGCTCCTAATAAGTGCTTTAACATGCTGCTCAAAAAAATTGTTTTTGTCGTATCATCTGTTTACAGCTAAACCATGTTTACAACTGTTGCAACAATGCGCTTAACACTATGACGTAGCTCCCAAGAGTGTCGTTTCATGAGAGTTAATTGAAAAATAGCTACGTTGACAGTATGCAGCGGCGTGTTGGAAGAGACAGCCACACGGAAAGCCCCGTCGTTTTTGCACCAAAGCTGTTTTTAATCCCCATAGTCTGGGAAAAGGGAGCATCGGTTGTGAGTGTGTGTGTGTTTATGTGTGTGTGTGGGTATATTCGTGTCAGCAGGACCGGGACCAGGTGACCCAGTCTGACCTGACTCAGCCAGGTCTCATAAAAGCAGCATTGAGGCCTGGAGTCCAGGAGGCCTGGAGACACAGCACTGCTTTTGTTGCCCTACCCAAGGTGTATTCCCCCTGGAGGGAGCAGGGGCAAGGGGGTGGGGGTGGAGGGTGAGGAGGGGGGTTACTCATTAGAGAGAAAGAAACCATTCCTTGGTCTGGGCGCACATTATTTCATAGTTTATTGGCTAAAGTAAAACAGTTTCTGTTTTTTTATGTGTGTTTTCTTCAACCACTTGGCCGTTTTTTTTTTTTTTTGCTCTCCTCCCATGCTGCTTTACAACGATTTGTTTCTTTCTCTTATTAATCCAGTTTCAAGTATGGCTCTAATTAATAGGACTCTGTTCACTTCTACACATGGCATGCCAGATGCTTAAAACTCCTTCATACGAGCTCCCCCTCCCTCTCTTTTCCTCTGTTACTCCCCTCTTTTTTCCATCTTTTTTCCTTTAGCTTTCAACACTTTATTTTTTCCTCTATCCCAATCCTTTTATACATCTGGCTTTCATACTTCTTATTTCACTCTTTGAATTTGATTGGTTAAAACTCGACTTAAACGGCTCCAAAGCTGCATCTGTGGTAGGATCCTCCGTCCTATATTTACTCCTTCATTCTTCAAGGTCAATTGCAGCTTTCAATGGGCCTTCAGCATGTGTGAACGCAGTGTGTTTTCCACTGATTGCTTGCCCATGAACATGATTAAAGTCACAGAACATCTGTGTATGTTCACTCCTGCAACCCTACATGTCTGTGCTTGTGTGTTTCTGTGTTCTGCTTTTTAGAGAGGCATGTGTATGCATATGTTTTGCAAAATGTGACCATTCCACACCATGAATGTAATCGCTTTTATAATCACTGCACACTTTGTCCAACATGTGTTTGACAGTCTTTGATCCTCAAACACAAAAGTTCTTTGTGAAAATAGTCGCTGGGACTCTCCCTGACTGGCCCTCTCAGTGAAGAAAAACCGCAGCAGAGCCAAGCAGCTACAGAAAAAAATGTCAATATGGGAAATATGACTTTAAAAACAACTGCACTGACTGTGAGGCTCTGTGAACGTGCGATATGTACAGTGATTGCATATGTGTGGGAAGACACAGGAGTTTTTAAACAAAATAAGGTTTATACTCTGATAATAGTAGCACAGAGGTCTTATTGTGTCTCCAACAGTTCATCCACTGAGATTTTACATTTAAGAGAACAGAAAAAAAAACTCTCATTATGATGCACTGAATAAACTCTAGCCTTCATGTTGACTCAACAACTCTTTGCTGTTTTAAGAAGGACCAGACATCGTTTTTTTTTCTCAGGAAGATAAGATTGATTCTCGTGCTGTCTGTTCTTATTAGGGATACTGGTGCTTGATTAAATCTGAACTATCGTAAATACTGTTTGTATTTTACAGAGATTTTAGGTTTTAATGGTTTCTTATACGCTCCTGGGTGAACTTAAATTTAAAGGAGAGGGTTTGTCGGGTTATTTTACACAAACTGGAAAGAAACTCTGCTATGAAAAAGTTATGTATGGTATAGCTTGAGCTATCAGGTAAGTTCAGTCATATCAAAAATATACCGTTCAACCACATTTTTTGTCAGAGGTGAAGGGTCATATAACTCTGAGGTTATTTATTCCTGTTAAAAGTTTTGGATTCATTTGTCCAAGTTTCAAGATGTCTGTCAAATACTGTGGAGTGGAATGGATATACACACTCCAAACCTGGTCCAGACCTTTTTACCAAAGATGTGGTTCCTATAAAAACTGTCCATGAAGAAGAACAGATTCCTGGGTCAATATTTATTTGTTTGTTTGTTTTACCAGAACACATTTCCTCTGCATTGTAGTGTACTGTATTATCTGGTTAATCAGGAATAGGATACTGTATCTCCATGTGACGGGTGTTTACTAAAGGTCTTTGGAGTTAATCTGTCAATTGTAGATAGTTTAATATTAGATTAATAAGCAGCTTTCCCTCTATTTTTACTAATTAATGTTTAATGAAGTTTAACAATTTAATGATAACATATGAGAGTTAATTCATACATAATTCTATTACTCCAGGCACAGTGCAGCCTAATATACATTGTTATGTAAACCAATAACGTGTTTTGATGGATTTTCAATCAATTCATGAAATCAGAAAATTCATTGGGTTATTGCTACAGATTGTTATGTCAGACGTAATATAAAATGAGATAACGTGTAATTATGAACTGAGAAGTTAGGCAAACATTTATTGTAGAAACTGTTCTATACAATATTTTTAAGTGTTTATGTTTATTAATTGATACCAGACAAATAGCCAATCAAAGTGAACAAACACATTAGTTTTATTCAACGGTGTTCACTCACACTGCAAAGTCTGCTCTACATTGATGAGGCTGCCTGCAGCGCCATCAGACATAAATTGTTTATTTTTCAAGTTGGCCTCTGGAAAGCAGGTATCGGCTCATACTGATTATTACAAACTTAAATCGACAGACCCATTTAACCCTAGAACACTATTGCCAGATGATTTTCACCCAACCAAACATGTTTACGTGATTTTCATTATGTTGCGTTAGTCTGAGTATCATGGGTCTCTGGGTAGCTTCAGCATTGCCTTTGACATCTTTGAAGGCGTATTTGTTTCCCTGATCCAAAACCTGTTAAAGTTTGTATATATATATATTTTAGGAATTTTTTGTTCATGAATGCCGAATTTCAGTTATTTTGTTGCATTTTTATATGGTCCCCTTATGGCACTTTTTTTCTCTCCCTTTGGACATTGTACAGTTGAAAATGGAAGAAAACTACTTCAATTCGTCATGTTTGTCCTATTTTGATATATTTTGATGAAAAGTACTTTTTCTTGGGTATATTATTTTGGGTAAAAATCACCCGGCGAAACTAGTGTTACTAATTTTAGCAATAGTGTTCTAGGGTTAATCAACCTGACTGATGAATCTTTCAGTCTGCAGTGTGAAGTAAAGTTCTTGCTTTCTGTCCTGTAATTGTCTGCTCCTGCCCAAAATTATACTTCTATTTGGGAAACAGTTTACTTTGCAGTAGCACTGTGACAAATATGTTTCTGTGTGTGTGTTAAAATGTTAGATGTAGCTGTAGTTCATTTGTCCAGTGTTAGTTTTGGTATTTAAACAGTGTTGGGCTGTGTCCCTGCATTTATCAGAGTAGTTTTTTGATGTATTCCTAATTCTATAATTCTCTCAGTCCGTTTCACCCTCCCTGGGTGCTTGATCCCCGTGTAGAAACAGGCCCAAAACAACAAGACATTCTTTGGCTGAGCTGTATTTACCACAGCTCCACCACACAGAGTGAAGCTCCACCCACTCATGAAATCACTGAAGGGGATGAGTTGGTCATACAGAGAGGAAGAGGAATTGTCCTTATTTGACATTTCCACAGTTGACAGATCTACACTGAGTCCTCAGAGACAGGGAAGGTGAGACTCTGCGGCGTATGTGTGCTCTTTCACACACTTCGAGTGGACAGGAATGTGTGGTGTACAGTGGGGGTACAGGGAATGAGTAGGCTGTGAGTGTGTGTAGGTCTGTAGCTGTAAAGGGTTAATTGTACCCATGTTGTGGCTGGCTGTTCTCAGGCAGGCTGGCAGAGGGAACAGAGAGCTCCCTTCATGATACAGTTCTGCTGATTGAAATCATATGGCACTGCCTGAAATCATTGCACTACTTTTAAGACAGACAAAGAGTGTCGCACACAATCTGCTTTTCGACTTTGCGCTCTTTCAACTCTTTTGTTCTTCCTCTTTCTCTAGTTTTATACATTTGCTTCTAATGTTTTCAAGGTTAAGTTTTGGTGGTATAAAAAGTCTGCTCGCTCCGTGGATAGAAATGACTGTCTAACCTCTTTCTTTTCTTCCCTTCTTTTTCAGAGTCTGGACCCAGTTAGGTCTCGGTCCCTCTTTTCCTCCCTCTCCTCCTCATCATCCATCTCACCTCCCTGCAGCCTGACATCAGTGGAGAAAGCAGCTGGGAAGGGCTGGATGGCACCAGTCCTTTCCAAACTCTCTGTAGGCCCCTGAAGAAGACAAAGAAGGAAGTGGAAACAAGCAGGCAGTCTGAAAAGTCACCTGAACTACCAGCAGTTCTTTTCAAGATGGCAGCCAACAGGGAGCATCAAGTGCGCCACATGACCAGCTTCCCTCGTACCATGTATCCATTCACCTTTAACTCCATGCGAAGCCACTCCCCCTTCGACCTGCTGGCCAGTAGCCACCTCTTCAGCCGGTTTGGGGCAGACCTTCCCAAAGAGATGGCTGCATTGTGTGAGTAATGTACAGCTTGAAGTTTTCCTTTACAAACCTGCCCCTTAAATTAGGGTGACCATACGTCCTTTACGTACGTCCTTTGAGGCGGGACTTTCCCCTACAATCCTACAAAAAATATTGTGTCTGGGGAAGTTTATAAAATCCTTCAATTGTCTGCAGTTTTGTATGGAAGTTTCAAGTTTGTGTCACGTGGACTTACTGAGTGAAAAGCGCGTAAAAGACACTCGATCTAACCCGATAAACTCTCAAAATTAACTTTGTGCGACTCCATGACTCCGCCCCCGCATAGTCATGTCCTCTTTTTGGGAAGTCAGAAGATGGTCATCCTACTTTAAATGACCTCTGAATCTCAATCAATCAGATTTAATTTATAAAGCACTATTCACACAATGATGCTGCAACGCAAAGTGCTGCACATAATAGCTGAAACATTGTTCTTTTAATCAGGGTACCTGCCGAGTCTTAAAAAGTCTTAAAATGTCTAAAATTCTGTTAAAATCGTATAAAATGTCTTAAATATGATTTTGAAAGGTCTTAAAAATGTATTTCCTTCACTTACAAAAAAAATAACATGCCATACAAATAAAGATCGATTTGAAGTAATGTAAAATCTTCTGGTTTTCCTTCATAGCTTTTGTACTTTAAAACCTGCAGAGACCCTGTTTGATGTATTTGGTATAAGTGTATTATTTTAACTCACTCTGTTGACTTTCATTGGCATTTACAAGGCAGAATGATTCTCATTTAACCTCTTAAGCCAAATTTGGCAAAATTAAACATCATAAAAATATCATAAAAATATCTAATATAACCATGTGTTTCAGCTTGTCCTTGGTTCACTCAGGAGGCAAGAAATTGTAATCCGAAACCCTTTCACATGACAGGATAGTGGGCCAGATTTCCTTTTTTTTCATGTCCTGATCTGTGCAAAACAGCAGGGGACTCTACAAAAAGCCTTCGGGGCCAATTTTAGATTTTAATCAGGCTTTGAATCATGCATCAAGTGGGAATACAACAAGAAAAACAGAGAAGAAAATTAGGGTAGGAGCGAAGAAGAGGGTACTTTTCCATGTGGTTAACCAGGCAGATGGCATGGAGGGCAGCCTGGAAAAAACAGCAAATATTACATTTCCTCTTGACTAACTTGTTGCTTTTCATCGGCTCGAAAACTTCTGAACAGCTAGAAGCAGAAATGTAAACACGTGGAGTTTGAGGAGGATGAGGGAGCATCTCACTTGAACTGAGTTCTACAGAAACAGTTTTGAGCCACAGGGGGCGCTGTTGCACTTCACAGTCATGGGGAAGTCTATGTGAGGAAGCTCATCCCTACAGAGAGACACTGAAACACTGAGACTGACAGCAAATGTCTGAAGTTCAATCTCCTTTTTATTTTGAAACTTATTTCTTAACAGGATAAACTGTGAATTTTCCCTTTTCACTTCTCCTCCTTGTTTTTAAAAGTGTAAAACTTACATAACTGGGTGTGGCTGTGGCTTAGAAGTAGAGTTGGTCGACTCTAGATTGGAAGGTTAAGGGTTCAAGTTAGGTCCTGCTGTGCACATGCCAAAGTGTCCTCAGGCAAGACACTTAACCCCAATCTTCATCTGGCGGTGTGGCTAGGACTAGTTTATACTGATGGGCGCTAAACATAGCAGCTTGAAAAATGTAATGTCAAAGTGCTCAGAAAACCGGAGAAAGAGCTAAATAAATACAGTTCTTTAAATATTCATAATTCATACTGTTTCACGCCAAACTCAGAGCTATTGACTGTTTATAAAAGGGAGTGAAACTTATGAGTAAACAGAAAAGAGGATGTAAAATGCCACCCGTAGTATTTTCTGGGGTAATAGTTAAAGTCTCTCCGGACACATTCAGCATCATTGCTTTGTTGTGCTTCTTCAGATGACACTCCTTTCTTTAAACCTCATTATTAAGCTAACATGAAGCTCTGATATTATACATTTTATTTGTTTAATCACCTGTAAAGTGCAGCTCTACGAGCAGAGATCATGCATGCAGCATTTGAATCAAGTTTATCGCCAAGTAGGTATATACATACAAGGAAATTGTCTTTGTGGTTTTGGTGCAAAAAATAGACAAGTAAACAGCGTCTGTCAATAAATTGAAATAGAATATGAAAGAAATGAAAAAAACAAAAACAAATACAATATGAAATAATAAGATGATAATGAGTGCCAAAATCTGACAGTATAAGACTCAGAGACAGAGTTGATAGTAAATATACAACATACTCTGTAACCATTACCTCTGTCTGATCCAAAATTAATTACTTTTAGTCCAGTGGCTTAGCGAAACGATTGTGCACTTGCTGATACAAGTGCTAAACTTTGAATAAGGCTTCCCTTGGACATACTAAAGCTTTTTAGCCTAGGAGGCCATCACAGATCTTGGAAGTATCCATATAGAACACAAAAGTTGTTTTTCTGTTAAAAAATAAATAAATTTTTGAGTCATAAGCAGAACATTGGTGATAAATTGTTTTTTTGTCCACTTAAGAGGGTGAAACTGATTTTAATTTGTTCACTAATTATTAAACCTCCAAAATGATGTGTAAAATAGAGTATCAAGACACCTGGTACATGTATTCCCTTAATAAAGTACTGCACAATATAGGCAGATTAAAAAAAAAGAAGTGTGTTATGTTATGTAAAGAGCTCTCACTCCATTTTTGTTTAAAATTTAAGCATCACATTGCTCTAATTCACTATAAGTCTCTTGACTGTTTTTATTCAAATAAATCCTTTTTTTCTGATTGTCTTGGGACTCTGCAGCTTTCTATACACAGAAACCTGATGGGTATCTGTCATCCTGTGAGTCTCACTCCAGCTGCAGAAATACCTGCTGAACACTCCTGTCAGTCACAGTGTGTGTCATTTGTTTGCACACAGTGATATGTTCAGTGAACAGTAGTTATCTATTTATCTCCAGTTGCTCTCCGGAGTCTCTCGTCCAACACGGAGTATAGTAGCGCTCAGTATGTCGTTACATCTCTGACATGTTGCCTGTGGGGCGCACCCTGCATAGAGACAGAGATAGAGAGATACGTGATGCTGCTGTGTGTGTCAGTGGAGACAGACGAGACAAAAACAGAGACACCTGTCAGGAACTTTCATAATCTCTACACCGCCGTGTCATTTATCTCTGACACTTCCACTTAATTTTATGATCAGCTGCTTTACCTGCTGACACCTACAAGACTGACAGGTCTTCTTACCGGGTAGAAAATAAAAGTGAGACAGCATTTACTGCTTCACTGGCCTAAAGTGACGCTTAAGGGTTCAAGCAACATAACTTAAACAAGTTTAGATGCCGACTGTCAGGCTGTATGTAGACTGAGAGCCATTCCTACAAGTTCATCAGGAACCTCTTCCTTTTTTGAGGAGGTAAGTAACCTCTAAGTGTCATTACAGATTGTTTAGGACATCATTGCTTAAATTAAAGAAGATTGTATGAAAAAAGCTCTTAGTATGGGTTTGAAAAGTCATAGTAGTGTAGAAGAACACCTTAGTAAAGTGCATATCACCTACAGTACATAACTTCCTACTTTTACATTAGTGATCTTATTTGCTCAATATAAGTCACTGTCTATCGTTTTCACTCAAAATCAAACTAAACTCTCCAGGTGGACTCTTCAACACAGTAAGCTAGAGAACAGCATCCGAAAATGACACTAAAGCTGTAAGCTGAATACTGTGGTTCATTCAAACAAGGTTGTTGTTATTAGTCAATTCAGACTTTCCCAGATATACAGCAGAGACCTTTTTGAATGTTCAGGATTCAGCTATCCTCTGTGTCTCACTGAAAAAATGAACTGAAACTGAAACTGAAAGTCCATCATAGCATCACACAATGAGGAGGAACAAAACCTGGGGGAAGTAATGACCAGTACAGGTGTCCATATGTGTTTTTTTTTTCTTTTTCTTTTTTTTGTTCTGTCATGATAGCAGCACAGCAAGTTGATCGCTACTGATCCATTCAAATTATTATTATTTTATTCACCCCACAGTGGGGAAATTTGAAGATGAGAGTTAAAAAAAAAAACAATCATTCTCAAAAGATTTTTTCCCCATCCTGAGCGCTATTATCTTTATTAAATAAGGGGATAAAATATGACGGAGCATTTGGGCCACATAAAGAAAAAAAAATTAAGACTTTGAGATTATAGTCATTAATTTTTTATGAATAAAGTCATAACTAATGAGAATAAAGTCATAATAATGTAATTACAAGAATAAAGTCATAAAGTATTTCAAGTAAGTAAAATCATTACTTACTTGCGAGAATAAAGTCATAATTTAAGTAATTACTTACGAGAATAGAGCCGAACTAAGATCATTACTCATATAGAAGAATAAAGTCGTAATAAAGTAATTACTTACATGAATAAAGTTGTGATATAATCACGATGATACTTATGATAATGTGGTGCTGATGTGCCAAAAGAATAAGTGTCTCCTTGTTTGAGAAACCTATATTGAAGTACATTTTCACGAAATGCTCCATGGCTCTTATTTCAACAACTGCCATCTTATACAACAGGTTTGAATAAAAGGACTTTATTCTGACTCTATTCTCATAAGTAATTACTTTATTACAACTTTATTCTCTTAAGTAATTACTTCAAATCAGTTCAAGTGGACTCAGTTATATTCCCTCCTGGAGCCCATTCTCGCAAGTAAATGACTTTAATCTCGAAGTCTTAATTTTTTGTTTCTTTATGTGGCTCTAATACTCTGTTGTAATAAAAACATAGACAGTTATATTATGAGAATAAGGAAAGCAAAGGTTTTTTAGTCCAGTGGGTCCACAAGTGACGCTTTATGTCAGTTGGGTCCTGGAACTTTAAGTTTAACCTCCAAGCTTTGTCCAGTATCTCAAGCACCCTCTTAAACATCATGTTTGAAGCTCATTTATCATCAGTAAGAGTTTCTGTAGTTATTTTACAAACACTGTAGACATGCCTTCTGTACACTGATAGTTTGTTGTGGAAGTTTGCCAACAAGAGTTTCCAGCTCTGATTATTTTCCAGGCAGAGCACTTATTGTGCAAATAACGAATCCGTTCTTGAGCCAGGAGAGGAGCCGCTGAATGTAACTACATATCTGTGATCACATGTGAGGGAAAAAAGATTCAAAATTACAGTTGAGGTTTAAGTAGGATTTGCAAATGAACTGAAACCAAGTTTCAGTCAGAATGAGATGAGGGCTGAACTCTGGACTCTGCTCTAATGCTCTGAAACGTAAAACATCCCCAGACTTGAAATTAGAGGATGTCGACATCAAAAGCTCCCTGCTGAGCGTTCAATCATACAGTATTCACTCCTTGTTCGAACAGCTCTCACTTCTTACAAGACCACACAAGAAACTCAATTTGGCTCAGCTTTTTTTTTATGCCCAGTGCTTCTTTGGATTAGTGTAAAAACATGATACCATCCTCAAGTTTTCTCTGGATGGGGTAAATTTGCCTCTCGAACTGTTTTGTAACAATGTAATCTGTCTCTTTCTGACAGTAGGATCAAAACTGTGGATCATGAGAATCATAACTTAGTTGTGAAAGGAAATTTGATTTGGGCGATTGTTAGGGAAAGACGTGTATTTTTCCACAATGAACACAATGTCCTTCAGTAATTTTCTGTTCTAGTCACATCTTGCTCTTTGTAATGTTTGGAGTGTGAGTGCGTGTGTGTGAGTGTGTTCCTGTGTGCGTGTGTGTGTGGTATCAGTAACTCGAACCTGAAAGCACAGAGCACTTCTTGTGTGTTGTTCTTTGTGTCTTTCATCGCTGGCACTCTGTTCAGCGCACGCACATTTACACACATAATTGTCCATGCATCTAAACACACACACACACACACACACACAGATTTCCACTGCCACTCTGTAGGCTGCACATTCCAACACCCATGAATATCACAAACCAGCAGTCTCACACTCCTTTGCTCTACATTTGTGACTATATTTGTGTGCTCGTTGATGACCGCTGTGAGACTTTGTGCAAATATCTGCAGCCGAGCTGGAGGAGCTGAAACACTCAGACAGAAAGAGAGGCCATTGTTCTGTGTGTGTGTGTGTGTGTGTGTGTGTGTGTAAATGTGTGTGTAAGACATGAAGAACCTGATTGTGAATTCTTTTAATATGACTCGCCTCTCTTTAAAAAATGTTTGCGTGAAAGGTAAAAGCTGCAGTTTTTCTAGCTTTAAAGAAAGTTTGTGCTGGTTAAAAGAGAAAGAAGTGAAAAAAAATCAATGTTTTCATTTATTCCTCCCATTAGCTGTGCTTCTGAGTTTCTCTTACCTCAACAGGGGACAGTGCTGTGATGCAGGGGAGGGGGCATAATTCTCCCAAGGTGTGGGGAGATCTCAGTATGCTGATACTGTGCAACTCTGCTCCCTGCAGTGCGTCATTGTGATAGGTGCGAGGGTGTGTTTGTGTGTGTGGCTTCTGGCTGTAATGAGGAGCGACAGGTAAAAAAAAAACTAACTAAAAACAAGATAAGGGAATCACGATAGCAATACCCATTAAATGAATAATAAAAGTGAAGAGAAAAACAGCAGGCAGGGACTGGGAGCACCTTATTGTCTTCAAAAAAGTAATAAACAGAGAGAAAAGGATTCAGGGGCTCAAGTCCAAAAAAAGTCCAAAACTGAAGAGAAACAAAGAAAACAGAGATTTTTTTGCCTCTCAAGTGCAGAATGAAACATACAAAGCCACAGGCAGGACTGTTTGGAAAGTATGTGTGTGTGTGTGTGTGTGTGTGTGTGTGTGTGTGTGTGTGTGTGTGTGTGTGTGTGTGTGTGTGTGTGTGTGTGTGTGTGTGTGTGTGTGTGTGTGTGTGTGTGTGTGTGAAGGGGGGGTGTTAAAGCCCCAGTGGGGGTTTCTTCAAGAGTTCATCCCTCTTTAACAAGGGAAGGAAAGGGAGGAGGGAGAGGCTGTCTCATATACAGACTATCCAGACTCAGGGCCAGTGTGGTTCACACTTCACTGTGACTGAAGTATCCAATGAGCTCCAGGAGGTAATATAACTGAGTCCACTTGAACTGATTTGAAGGAATTGAATTAGGTTTGCACACATGCCAGGGAGAGAAAAAGAGAGGAATAAAACCACCAACAATAGAGAGACGTGGAGATGGATAATCATTTAGAAAGGAATAAAAACTTATTTAGTCTGAAATAGATCAGACTTTAACCCTTTGACTCAACAGAACAGGGCATAATCACAGACTTTTAACTAAAATTAACACCAGCAGACTTGACTGACTGTGAAGCCAAAACATGTAGAGCTCCCTCTGCTGACCGATTGCAGAATAGCTGATAAACCTCACCTCCCTGTTTTACAGGTTAAGCATGGGCCGAATTATAACATTTCATTACACGTACGTTATTAGTTTTTACGCTGATTTATGTTAAAGTGTTATTTTTTGGGTGAAATTTAGTGTGAGTTAGTTTTTGATTTTTATAAGAGGATTGATTAACAATACTGTAGACAAATGCAGCATTCTGTGCAGGATTAGCAGGAGAGTAACAGTGAGAGAAAATGTGACAAGTGGTCACGATAAAAAATTTGAGGGATAAGAAAATCTGAATCCACTGTTTATATGGGTGCAAAATCAAATAATGGGATCATGACGTGCGTATACATGCACCAAGCTTTATTCAGATTAGAGGCATTTGGACATGTGCAGAGTTGTCTGATTTCGCTAAAACAACTGCAGAAGAAGAGTTGTATTTAAGCCTGTGCTGTCAACAAACCAACAAACGTGTTAGTGTCTCACTCCATACAATTCAGGATTTTACCTCCTCTTAAATGTTGTCACTAAATGGCGCCCTTGCATACTTGTGTTACTGTTCTGTCAAAGGTTGCACTGTGCGTGCAGATGTGACATCATTATGCTGTATGTACGCCTTGTTACGTTGGCGGAGGAGCAGACAAGGCACCTGCGGTTGTGTTTTATGCCAGAGTGTTAATAATGAAACATCCTGTACTGGCTAAAGAGTGAAGGTCGAGTCAGGTAATGGAGTCACGATTGGAATAATTGTTTACATGGACGCGTTTTGGAAAAACGATCGGTATAAACCACCCCTCTTGATCAGAATAGAATTTCTTTCTGATTGAGCTGAATTAGATCAGAATCTTCCGATACACATGTTTGCATTATGCTGTTTGTTAATTCTGATTGGGCATTTATTCTGATTATTTGTTCCCACGTAAATTCAGCTATTGAGTGTCTACTTCAAATCAACACTGTTCCACTGTGGGGATCTCTAGTGTCCTATCAGTACATTTAATGCTTGTTTTAAAAATGGGACATCAGTTCTGCTACTTAACTGGCCATGTCGCTTCTGCACATGCCTTGGCTGCACCAACACAGTTAGTCAGTTCGTATGAAGGCACTGTGCAGAAATTAGAGCATGCTGTCAGTTATATAGACAGTCCATTGTCATAGCTTCACTAAATATGATTTGTGACTGTGTAAGTGTGGTTTTCTGACCTTACTTTGCCAAGGGTTGGTACAAATGTACATTTTCTAAACTTGTCTCCATTAATACTCATTTGCTAGGCTTTGTAGATTCCTTATACCCTGCAACCTTTTTTTTTATAAAGCTTACTAAAACAAACTGGATGATTTGGCACTAATACATATAAATACAGACATTGCTCACCATTCAAGCACATAGATGCAAGAACACAGATATGTGCAAAATTTGAATTTTACACAGAACTAAGCATCATTCAATTTACAATACTGCTGAAAAGGAGAAAACCTAATGTATACTGATTTAAAATGCACACTTTATAAGGGAACACTCATTAATTAAAAGCTTTTCATTTGCAAAGCACAGCTTGATTTTCAACTTCTTTTTGCAATCATCTGGCAGAACGTGTGATATTAAACATTAGAAGTCCCTGTTTTCTCCTGCTCTAAATTTGCACCAGTTTAACTCCTATAAACACCAAAATAAAGCATTAAATATCAATCAAAGTGAAAAATAAAAATCCGTACTCTTTGGCTTTCAGTACAGAGGGAGCAGGATGAACCTGAGGTGTACTTGGACCAGATAAAACAGCATCACTTAACTAAGAAAGGTGAAAATTTTAATAGATGACTTGAGTTGGTTTGTCACTCGTGCATATACTCATACTCTCTGAGGCTTGATATCTAAAGTTCACATTTTGGAGTAGAGGCAATATTTTCACTCTAGAGAAACAGCAAAAAAGATGAAGCAGAATAAGTAGAGAAAAGGGGAAGAAAAAGTAAAGAGTGGGGGAGCTGATATGCGCAGTGTTTGTTTTCATTTTCAGATTATGAAATATGAAGACGCCAGTTGGAAAACTTTAGGGAGAAAAAAGGGGGAGGGAGGGAAAAGTTTGGTACATGACAAATCAGAAAGCAGGTACACTCCCCTTCAGGCAGCTAAGCCCCTCCCGTGTCTGCTTCCCAGACCCCGCCTCCTTTTCTGTGTGCTGAGAGAGCATGCAGATAGTTGGATAGTGTGTGGTGAAGTGTGAGAGGCCCAGAGAGCTGCAGAGAGGGGAGCTTAGATCAGTTACAGCAGGCAAGACAGAGCAGGAAGACACAGAAAGTGTTCTTTGGGCAGAAATAAGGAGAGAAAGAAGGAATTTTCTCTATTTAGTAGACAGAGGAGAGGCAGTCAGGGGGGCAGAGACAGGGGCAACAAGAGACAGACAGACAGGGAACACCTGGACCAAGCAGAGCATTAAGTTACCTTCAGTCTCAGGGAGCCTTTCCTCACATTTTACAGCCAAGCTCTTTTAGTTTGGCTACAGAACAAAAGTAGGACTAGCTGTGATTTTAGGGGAGCATGTTTGACTGCATGGAGGCCCTGGGTCTGGCCCCGCGGCCCCTCTTTGATGTGTCGGCACAAGGCTCCTGCATGCTCAGCAAGGCAACCCCTTACTTCTCCGGCCTGGACCCGTTCGCTTGGACCGGGACAGGCAGCATTCAGTGTGAGTACTCCATCCTGTCCATCAGACTGGAAAAGAGCAGCTGAGTGTGTGTGTGTGTGTGTGTGTGTGTGTGTGTGTGTGTGTGTGTGTGTGTGTGTGTGTGTGTTAGTGTGTGTGAGCTTATCAGAGTCCTGGTTTTGTTATCATAGAGCTCTCTCCACAGGAAGAGTCAGATTCCTTTCGATTCCCTCTACCCATTCTCACCCTGTGTTGTTTGTTTATGTGCTAGGCGTGCTTTGTGAGAGTGAGTGAGTGAGCTGGGGGAGTGCATATTTATACATCATCATGTTTGTTTTCTTTATGAATGACTTCACCTGATTGACAGCTCTTTTAAACAATTCTGGGGACCTGACCCCATCGATGTGTCCAGAACACAACAACAGCAGACGTCCAAACAGAAACAGCTCTGACAGATTGGAGGCAAATGGGCCCTGAAATCACATGGTTGTGATTCGGCCCATGTACCCAACACACAGGGGGAAAAGAAACAGAAGTAAACAAATGATGCTAAAAACGGGCTCATTATAATGTCAAAATATGAGTAATCCCATACCCTCTGTGGTTCGTTGGCATGCACTTTGTTGAAGTTTGCAAAACTTAAATCATTTCGAGTTATGTTCGTCTGCAGAGCAGATGACTGCAATGATGACAAGTCAACTTTGAAAAGATAAGGCATGAATCACTCACTGTTTTGTAACACCACAGGCCACACATTCTTTGGAAAAATCCTCAAAATACTGTGTAGACAAGGCTGAGATTGCATCAGGTATTCAGACACAGTCTTGAATAAAAGTCGCTGCCTCACAGGAGCAGTCACATTGACAAACACTGCAAAGATTACTCTGTAAAATACCTCCATTCTACCTGCTGCTGTAATAAGCACACCTTTTGTTATCGTCATGGAGACCACTTTCACACTCTTTGATTACACTTGACTTTGTGGCTTGGAAAATCAAATATTGACTTGATCTTTCTTTGGAAACTGACTTGCTGAGGTCTATTCATACGTGTCACCCAGCTGAGAACACAGCTCTTTTATTTTGAAAAATATATTTCCATCGTTTTGGACGACGTCCTCCTCTGAGCGACTTTGGGTCTATTCATCTTCAGTCATTATTAAGATACCAGGGCATCAGGCGCTGTCAGCTCCTCAGTGCTGCTAATGATGATGGATGAGCAGTCAGGATGACAAACACCACAGCAGGGCCTGTTCCAACTCGCTGAGGAGTCATGCCAGATGCCAGCCTGACAGACAAACGTCCACAAATGTTCATTAATCATCTCTTATTTGTAGTAAACTTAAGTTTAGTTGCTATTTTTGGCTGTGAAGGTGGCAGGTCCAGAGAAAGTGTGTACAGATACTGTTTAACACCCAGATAGAAGGAACTGATCAGTGGAGATTTTCAGGATTTGGCCCTTATTTCATGGTTTCAAGGTAATTCCTGAACAGTGATGAACTCATAGATGTTCCTCTAAAAGTGAAGCTACTTTCTTGAACTTATTTAGTCATCTGATTCAACTCTGGACCAACTAAAGCAGCAGTTCAGTACATTAAAGGATAGATTTTCTGACTCATTTAACTAGTTTCAAAACAAATAACCATGTAATCTTGCTGTAGCTTCCCTTTTTTGTTTCATATAAGCATTTCTTGACTTTTATCCAGTTGGTTGTACAAAACGAGACAAAGTTTGGCCTGAGAGAACTCAACCCTGGCATGGTTTTCTAATCTATTATTCCATGTAATAGTTTTAATAACTCATTGGTGGTTTGATCCAGTTTAACCAAGCAGGAAGACAAATCGTAACAGTTTCAGTTAGAGGTGTTACGATAATCCTGACTCAGCTGCAGCAAACAGTAAGTGTGTCCTTCTTAGTCATCAAACATTTCTGGTACGCTGTGTTCTTTGATCATTTGTGTATTTTCCGGGTAACTTTTGTCGTATTTTTTGGGTCATCTTGGACATTCTTATTTTTATTTTAACCAAATCTTACTCCCATACGCTCCAGCACAGACCATATCAGATCTCCTTGAAGTGAAGTCCAGTTTCTTTCTGGTTCTACTATCAGTGAACATGTTCTTTTGGCCACTGCTGCTATAAATTCCTGACCACATTTTGGCCACCGTCTCTTGACACCAGCTTTCTCTCCCGCTTGTTTGTGTGTGTGTGAAGGAGGAGGGGGGCAGCAGCATCTCTTCCTGTGGTATTATTTTATGTGAGGCAGTTCAGCACCTCTCTGCCTTCCTTTGTTTCAACGTCAGGAGGCATTAAAGGGAGTGAGGAGGGGGACACGCCAAAGTCTGTCCACTCGCTCTGTCACTGCTCCTTGTGCGGCTCGTGTGTGTCTGTGACATTTGTTTTTCTCCTCTTTTGAAGAGCCCTTCCCTACACTTGATCTTCTCCACCCGTAGCGAGTGAGTGTGTGTGCCTGTGTGTGTGTTTGGCTCGGCTTAAATGCCTTTTGTTGGCTAACCAAGAGCTTTTAATGATTCAATTACAATTACAAAGGCTCAATTAAAAGATAAGACCCTGTGGAGGGGCTCAGGCAGTCAAAGGAGACGAGGGCTGAAAGAGGAGTGGAGGAATGAAGCTGGATTTGGGATTAAACCCCCCCTTCTAACTCTTTGTGTGCTGCTGTTTAAGGCCTGTAGGGGAAATGCTCCTCTCTTTACTCAGTGATAATCTCCATTTACTCTGACACCCTCTCCTCTTTAAAGTGCTTTTCAAAGCTACTTAAACAATTGTCCCCCACCATCAGATCATCACACAAGAGGGGAGAGCTAAACAGGGATGCAGTCAAGATGCTGTCACCGGAAGCTAAGCGAGGATAAGTCACTTTTTCAAACACGGGGGGTGTCTGTTTTATTTCTTGGACTGAAAGGGGATTAGATCACTATTTTTGGCTGCTCCCACACCACTAACACAAGTCTCTAAATAAATAAATAGAATTTAGGAATCTGTGTCAGTGGGTCATGAAATCCTGGTCCAAACTCTCTCTCTCGATGGCTGTGGGCTGTCTCTTCCTAACACCATTCATGTCATCGCTTAAGGAAGGAAAACAAATGACCTTCACACTGGAGAAACTTTAAGGAGTAGAAGAACTTTGAATGCACGAATGAAAAATGAATGGACGAAGAAACACTGTGTGAAATTAAAACAGTAATATGATATAAACAAAGAACTTTCAACTGATATTAAAACATATTTCATACAGCTTTTAATAGTTGAAATTTATTTTCTGTTCAATTAGTCCTTCTAATTTTGATATTTATTATTTATGACTTTTGAAACCACAACCTTACACGTCTCGTGATTAAACATTAAACATAAACTCATTGAAAAGGTAATTTATATTTAAATACAGTTTGACTCAATAATGATACGTGTATAAAACAGATAAGGGTTATAGCAACACTCTGGTTATAACCTTAATCACTTTATCACTTTATCTTATCAAGAATACGCAAGTTAAGAAACAAAAGTGTTCCTACCAATGGGTTTAAAGTTTTCTGTGTGTGTGTGTGTGTGTGTGTGTGTGTGTGTGTGTGTGTGTGTGTGTGTGTGTGTGTGTGTGTGCGTGCGGAGGGAGGGGGTTGATCACCCTGATAGTGAGCCAGAGAAGTCTGAGTCCTAAAAGACAAAGCAAAGCAGATTTTTAGGACAGGCAGCGGTGTGGCCCAGAAGAAAAGACAGTTTCGGGTTTCAACCCTGAAAGTTAGAAAATGTGCAGCAAAGTTCTAAAAACACAAATACATTCTGTAAAAATACTTCTCTACATTTTTTTCTTTCAGTCTTTCCTTTTTACAATAATTATTTTGTTTTACCTTTCTGTGTACTCTCTTTTCTTTCTTTTAATACTTTATTTCTTTCCACTCGTTTGTTCTTTTTTATTTTATTTCTGTCTTGTTGCTCTTTTTTTAACCTTTCCTTCTCTCTTCCTTTTTCTTGTTGATTATTCCAAATTTACTGTGTATCATTCCCTCAAGGTCATTCGAACACAAATCACATCACTTCAGATGATTACTTTAGTTTTGTGAATCATTTAAATATTGTCATCAAACTCTTGTTGGAGATTTGACTGTAATCAGGTTCAAGTTAGAATATTAGACACCTAAAGCTCATCTGTTGGGTTTTGTGACTTTTGCACTGGATGCTTGTACTCAGTTGCATATGAATACACAGTACACAGAAAATACACAGTTTTCCTGAAACCCTTTGAACATCTGATGAAGTGAGTCATGTTCAGACTTGTCTTTGATTGAGCTGCGGCCTGTCAGGTTTCCTTTGGCACTATTTGAGTCACTGATAAATCTAAATTAAAAGTAGGTCTGGTCTACGAAGCTATGTGCTGAATGTCCGAAGTGCAGGGAAAGCACACTGTTTTAAAGATGTGTTTTGGCCATTAAAACATATTTTCAAAGTGGTACTTAACTGGACACAAAAGCATAATTGCATCAGAATAAATGTTTTATGTGCCTCTTTGCAGAAATAAAAGAAAAAGAGAAGAAGAAAAAGCTCTCCCAGGCTTTGGCATAAACTTCACCTTGAATTTTACATGATCAGCTGAACTGGGTTAACTTCTTTTAAAGAAATTGAGGTTTGTTTTGAGTTTTTGCAACTGCATGGTCAAAACTTTGCATAATTTTAGACCAGTCCAGGATTTCTATTTTTGTTAGCAAGCTTCGGTTCCCTCCTTTGTACACCCTGGTTTGTGTGTGTGTGTGTGTGTGTGTGTGTGTGTGTTTGTGTGTCTCCTTTTTAAGTGTTTGCCGCTGTTTTTATTGAGCCATCTCCTGGACAGTGGCCTGGTTTTCACAGCCTTTCCTTTACAAGGCGCTGCCAATGACAGGAAGGACTCCTCCTCCCGCTTGGGCAGGAAGGCAGGAGAGGACAGAGGGGGGAAGAGGGTTATTAGTGAGGGCTGAGCTGGGGAGGGAGGGAGGGAGGGGGGCGCTGGTATTGAACTTAGAACAGCTGATGAAAGGGATTGTGAGTCAGATCTCCCCCATCTCCTCCCTGCTGCCATGGTAATTACTCACTCAGCATATTTGAGGTTGTTGGTCCCCCCCCTGCACTGTTGATCTGCTCATGAATTACAATTTAGCACATGACAATACAGCGACATTTAAATGAGGACAAAAAGCATCTCATGTAACCAGAATTTGATTTACAAGTCACACAAACTTTGCTGTTTGAAATCAACCTTCCTAAAGTCTTAATGTAACAACTATTTTATAATGACTGTGTTTTCTGTCACACTGAAGCCCCTCACACACTGTGGTCTTGTGCAGCAGCTCACACACACACACACACACACACGCGCGCGCACACACACACACACACACACACACACACACACACACACACACACACATTCACATGTTCACGCACATTCCTCAGTGTACTGCTGAACACTTTGTGAGACAGGAGGTTATGTAAAAACTGGATCTGCACTCCAAATCCATCCTTTAAGGAACTGCTGGGAGAGAAATATAAGAGAACAAATCTACAAATCAGCCAGTTCTCAGTCAAAAACAGAAGTTCAGGAGTTTTTCAATAAGAAGTTATGTAGTTTAAACTTTAGATTTACTAACACTCCCAGATGACATGTAGGAATGTCCCCATTTGATTCAATTCACATGGGGAACAGTTTTAAAATAAAGCTTAATAAAATACAGATTCATGATCAGGAGTTTGTAAAGTATAAGATGTATTTCTCCAAATGGTCATCTCAGTGTATGGATAACTCAGAGCTGACATGTCCCTCAGGTAGTACTTAAGTTTTTTACTAAGCCCTGGATAGAGAACAAGAGACTTGTCACCTGTAACGCTGGCTGCCCTTATAGCAGAGCGAAGCTGCAAAAAACAAAAAGTAAGTTGACATTTTATATAACTGCAGAACTTTAAACTAGTGATGTGGAATAAAATGTATTAATATTTCACCACACTTGATTCTGTATTTACTAATTGAAATTTGCTAAAACAAATGGCTCTTGATGCAGCCAAGACTGAATCCTTCTGCCATTAAACAACCCTTATAATGAGACAAAGGGGGTAATGCTCTGTGGATTCTTCTGGCCAAAGTCTAGTTCAGTGAGATGTGTGATGGTGGCAACTTGAATCAGGCTTTAGGCTTTATGGGCCATATGCCACTCTGTGTTGACTGCTCAGCCACTTCAAGAGGAAAGAGAAAAAAGCACTTTTAGAATAAAGAAAAATATTCTTCTTTTTTGTTTACCTCTGTGTTCAGGATGTTAATGATGATTGATGCTAAAACTGTGAGGCACTATTCACCTACTGAGCAATAGATGGCTATTCAACATCTCGTTTTTTTTTAGACCTAATTTCAACCGTTTTGATTCTGTATATTTTTAGACGGAATTTCGACGTAACTGTGAGTTGAATAACTGATCTCCAAGTACTAAACCAAAATAATTATCATAGCCACTGAGCAATATGCAGTGTAGTTAAGATATAGCCCAGATTTAGATTTAGTCCAAACTTGGTCTAAATTTAGACATCTAAAAAACTTTCATTTTTTGACCTGTGGTAGCCTGATTTTAGACCAGTCGTCGAGGCTACATTTAGACTACTATTAGACCTCTTTAAGACCAAAAAATGTCATTCACAAACTAAAAAAGTGATCATGTAAGTTACAGAGAAAACTATTGGTATACAGATTAAACCATCAATAAAAAAGCATCTGCTAAATGACATTGTAAGTTGCTAATTTGATGTACTGTAGTTAACATCAGTACAGAGGTCTGAAATTGTGGTTCCTGAGCTCGAGGTCTGTCAGGCTTCAGAGCTGATAAGAAGGAGTCGGCTTTCAGAGGAGCTTCTGTTGTCTAAACAGAGATGTGTTGATCTGACAACAAACACTGAGTGAATGGGAGAGGAGGATGCTGGGAAAACACAGAAACATGAGTAAAGTAACATTTCGGTATACTGTTGTAGCTACAGTGAGCTGGGTTGAATTTTTTAAAAGCCCATAAAATCGTCACTCTGTCTTTTTCCGTCGGTTTGTTTTCACAGGTCAGGGTTTTCACATGAAGCTCTTGAGCCGATGTTTCCAGCTTTCAGATGAGCCTGATTCACCAAAGTCGTCTTGTCTCTTGTGCACCTAACATAGGTGTGCTGATTGATGTTGTGACACGCTGAGGGGTGACTCGTAGGTGAAATCTGAAAGAGGTTTTTTTGTTCAAGCCGAGTCTCCGAGGCTGAGCTCAGTTCAGGGTGATGACAGCTGCTGACAGTTTTTGGCTCCTCTCCTTCTTTCTCCACGCAAGGTAAAATCCCCTCCTCCCTCCTCCTCCTCCTCCTCCTCCTCCTCCCCCCTCCCTCTTCGATGTCTCATACTGCCTTCAAGGCCGGTGTCTCTCACCCTGTCTCTCCTGCTCATGTTCCCCTCCTCACCCATTCTCAGCACCCTCAGACAGTGTCAGTCACTACCTCTGTGCTGGCGCCAGATGCAGTGTCTCTGTTTCAATGGGAGCTATTTTTCCACTTTTACATTGTCAGTGTTACTATATAAACAGAAAACAGTCATCGGGTTACAGCTCCTTTAATTCACCTCCTTCCACCTTCTGCTTCTATCTGTGCTCTCATAACCCCAAACTGAAGGATGAACCTGCAGTTTTTCATTTACACACATTTATTTGTAAAACAATATTTTCTCCAACATTATGCGAATTAATTTAATCTTTGTTGTGTCAGAACAAAATAAATGATGTGTACAGCTTTAACTTGAGAAAGTTGCCAGAAATTATAAATCAATCCTGTCCTCTCCCTGAGTAAGAAAGTGTCTGAGTTGAGTTTTGTTGCAGACAAGGTTCCAACTGAGCAATAGACAACTATTAGACGGCATTTTTTTTTTTACACCTAATTTCAACCGTCTGGATTCTGTATATTTTTAGACGGAATTTAGATGTTGCACTTTAACCCATTATTTGATAACTATTTATTTCAAAAAGCAACTGTGAGTTGCATAACTAATCTCCAAGTACTTAACCAAAATAATAGTGTAGTATAGCTACAGCCCAGATTTAGATTTAGTCTAAACTTGGTCTAAATTTAGATGTCTAAAAAAACTTTCATTTTTAGACCTGTGGTGGCCTGATTTTAGACCAGTCGTCTAGTCTACATTAAGACGTCTATTAGACCTCTTTTAGATCAAAAAAAGCTCAGTGGGTTCAAAGCGCTTCTCAGAATTAAAACTAAACCAGTAACATTAAAAGCATAAAGGCAATATGACATTTAGCAAACATAAGCATTAAGAATAAAATAGCTGAAAATACAGGATCAAGAAATAATAAACACAAAAAGCAAAAATATTGAAATATCAGAGAATCGTTCAATGAATTGTTTAATTTTTAATGTTTACATGAAAAATCCCATAATCACACGTAAGTAATAACTCATTTATTTAAAAAGAATATTAAAAAAAATAGTCATACATTTACCAAGCAATTTGCTTTCCACAATTGATGCTAAAAGTTGAAAAATATATAATAATATGCCACAGTATGGAGTGTGGTGACCACATTGAATGAAAAAAAGGAAATATTTAGAAATGTTGAAAGATTTTAAATTTTATATATTTTTAATGAAGCCATTTTGGCTTGTGTGTAAAGTCATAGTAAAATCATATCTTAAGTTGCTCATACAGTCAACAGAGAGCAGCATTATACTGTTTTGATTCTACAGCTTTTTGCATAATATATCCAGAGTACTGAGACTTATAACAATTTTGTTGATTTTCTTACCAACTTATTCTAGTAAGAAAGTAATTCAGAAAATACATGTAAAGAAATCTAAATTGTGGACCATTGTTTATGTGTCTGTTAAAGTAAAAAAAGGTCCCTTTAACCAAAACAAGAACCAAATACTTGTTTCATCAAAAAACAGATAAATAAAAGGTTCAGGCACAAAGATGTAAATCACAGCAAGCTGATTACAGACAGTTGTTTTCTCTTAGTAAAAGATCAGAGTTTTGAATTACTTTTCACTGTACTTTAAATTACTGTGAATGCTGTAAAAGATAAAAATGTCATCAGCAAGGTTAAGTCCTCTCTGGGACTTTAAAACAACTGAAATGTTCAAGTTTATGTGCATGTGTCATCTTGATATTAACAGCAGTGAGATGTTATCTCAGTCTGCAGGTTTTAGATTTCAGATCTCACTTAGAGCTCCACTGATTCATTTCCAGTCCTCTGTTTAAGTTGCACATGTTTCACTGTGTCAAACCCAGCCGAGCCAGTTCAGGTCAATGTCATCTAAATCTCTGAATTCAAACAAGGACTTTTTTGTCTTTGATTTCTTTAAATGGGATTGTTGATAAGTGGATTTTTTGTTTTGGTAAGAGGTGTAAGGAGGACAGCGTTATGGAGTCAGTCAGGATATACTTTATGTCATATCTGAGCACATTTGAACTTTAAAGCGAGCTGCTGCTGCTGCTGCTCATGTAGTTAGTAATGGCCTTCTCCAGTCAAGGTCAAAGTTAAACGGTCAGGATTTTATTTCACCTCTTGGACACTGGGAAGTTTGTGTCCTCGCGCTCACCTCCCTTCCTCCTTTTCTTTCTCTTTTCATTTCTCCCTCTGTGTTTTTACTAGATGATTCCTTTGTGCCTTTGCCTCTCTGTTTTTGAAACCTTACCACTCTTGTTAATGACAAGCTGCGGGTTCAGGTTGGGGTTGCTGCAGTGGGGCAGAGTGTGTGTGGGGGGGCACATTTGGTTCAGTCCTGTGCTTTCCATTGAAGGTGACAGGAGGGGCTGTGACTTTGGGTTTTTGACCCCTGGATTCTTTATTTTTACTAGGAAGGGATCCAAGGATGAAGCTGTTGATGTGAATAGCTGCCCAAGGTGACTGGATCCCAATAAAGAGGCCATCAGCCCGGCCGGGGGGCCTCCTTCCCATCCCAGACACAACCTTTATAGGGCCGCTTATGAGCCTTGGCCACTATTAAACTCTGTCCAGCCTGCACTGAGGAATTTAGGGCCAGGAAACAAGGGAATGGGGGTGGGAGAGGGCCCAAGGAGGTGAAGTTGGGGTGACTGAAGGTGAAAGTTGAAAGGCATGTTCGAAGGAATTTGGTTGTTCTTTGGTCATCACCTTCAAATGTGCAGGAGGCGTTTGGCTCAGTTCCTCTTCCTTAACTTCAATCTAATACTCCAATCTCTAGTTTTTTAATTGTTCTTGTTCCTGCCTCTCTTTCACAGTGTTGGGACGTTTTTTTATTAGCAGCAGTTTGCACGTGGACAGCAAATGGTGTTACACAGTGTGCCATTTTCTTAGCAAGACAGTGAGAAGGCACAGAGGGAGACAGCCAAGTCTCATAAACATCCCGACTCTGTTTGTTCACATGGAGCTTGGGGTATATTGGCAGCTCTGGTTGGACAGGCTTTTCAAATAAAAATGTGAGCCTGCGCACGTGTGTGTGTGTGCACGAACACACACACAAACACGCAAAAATTCAAGATGTCAGTCAAAAAGTCAACAGAGGTATGCCTGCTCCCCCACAACTCGCCAGTAAAAGGAGAAGCCAATCAAATCTCAGCTGCCAATCAGCATTTTATCAGCGGGGCCATCTGGCCATCAGCTAATTGTGTCTCTTTTAAGTCCCTGTCAATCAGCAGAGCCCCCTCCTCCTCCCTTTTCTCTTAAAAATGTCTGCCTTTGAGCTTGCCTTCTGGCTCCGAGGGGTGGCCTGGATGGGGTTGGGGGGTTGTTTGTTGACCACTCTCTCCTAATCAGTGCTTGTATTTGCTTTCATCATGGTTTCAAAGACTTTAAGAACTTATGTAAACAAGATGCTGTGATATAATAAGTGACCCTAAATGTTCCTATTTTCTCTCCCTCTCTCTCTCTCCCTCTCTTACAGCGGTGGAAACACAGAGCACCAGCTCAGAAGAGATGGTGCCCAGCTCTCCCTCCCCTCCTCCCCCTCCTCGGGTCTACAAGCCGTGCTTTGTGTGCCAGGACAAGTCATCTGGTTATCACTACGGAGTGAGCTCCTGTGAGGGCTGCAAGGTAAAAGAAGCCGGAGACACATGAAGAGTTTACAGGATGTGTGAACAGCTGATGTCCACCTAAAGAAGAAGAGTGAGAACCGAACGTTTAACTGGACAGATGTCGGCAATGAATACTTGTAATGTTTGCTTTTGGCAAGCTGCCCCCTAGAGTCTTCTCATTGATGCTGCACCTCATTAATCTAACAAAACATGAGAAAAGTGAGTGGTCGCTGCATTCAGAGTGAACAGATCAGCTGATAACATTTTAAAATAATTGCGTTCTGATTGAGGAGTTTTGCTGAGGAATCTTTTCCTTTAATCATGATCTCAGTCTCTCAAATGATGGAAATTTGTTGTTTTTGTACTTGCTGACAAAATGAGACATTAGTCAGGTGCATTTATGGAAAGAAAATACACCTAACCCCCAAAAAAATTCTAACAAAATGTTTCTCACCTGTTTTTTATAGTATAAGATGTCCTTAATAACATACTAAAAGTTTACCATACTAAAAATTCAAATATTGCCATGCGACACTGCCCGTGGGGCACTAGTTGTACTTTTAATCACTTATCTATCATACAAATATGCGAATTAGAATATTACAAGGTCAAAACATGTATCAGGCACCAGTAAATCTGGTTGAGAATGAATACAAATGAGAAATGGTCATTTTAAGGACATGGGAAAAAAACACAAAGCAAAATTTTAATTTTTAGGGGTGGCGACAGTATTTTCTCAATTACAGAGTGATAAAAAGAGATATCCAAAGTCCCCTTCTCCCACCTTCTGACTCTAGTATGTCAACAAAATAAAACAGGAATTTTGAAAGGGGCTTTACCCATTGTTCAGTTTTCGGTTCTGGAAATGTACGCAAATTAGTGCATAATTAATAAGATATTGCCTCATTTACATATTCCAACATAACATTTGACAAAACTTCTAATACAAAAAATGTTTGTCTTAATGTAAGTTAAAAACTTAGGAAGTTTATATATCTGATATCTGTTAGTTAAAAATCTTTCCCTATTTACCTGGGGTGTCTCCCCTGGGCTTCCTACCCATCATGGAAGCCATCGTGAAAATGACACCTTTCTAGCTGTCAAACTTTGGTAAACTTTTAGTATGTTATTAAGGACATCTTATACTATAAAAAACAGCTGAGAAACCTTTTGTTAGAACTTTTGGGGTCAAGTCATATTTGCATCTGACTACATTATCAAAATCATATTAAGATTTATAACCGTACATTCAATAATCAAAGAAATTCACACGTTTAAAGGCTACAGTCAACAGACTACTAAGAGAACCTATTAAAGCTTCTATGAGGGATTTTCCTCATCTTAATTTTATCTTAATTTTGAGTACCTAAAACTGGTGCAAGGAGGTAAGTGTTAGCAAAGCAGCCAAATTTTTAAATATTCTTAATAAATGATTTCTTTGACATAAAAAATTAACTTTAATTTGCATTTATTAAGCCATTATTCCCTGGAAATAATTTTCTTACCTTTCATGCAAATTTTTACTGTAATAAAACGGTGTGCATTAATATCTTTTTATTTGTTTCAGGGTTTCTTTCGGCGCAGCATCCAAAAGAACATGGTGTACACCTGCCACCGAGAAAAAAACTGTCAGATCAACAAAGTGACTCGCAACCGCTGCCAGTACTGCCGGCTGCAGAAGTGCTTTGAGGTTGGCATGTCCAAAGAAGGTGAGAAAAAAGACTCAAGGAACTACTTTGTGTGGGGGCGGGAAACACACACATAACAAACAAAATACAAACAGAGGTGGTGTGAAGTCTAGCCTCTCTAAGTGTGTCATCTTGGGTGTTTTGTGTAGCGGTGCGTAATGACAGAAACAAGAAGAAGAAGGATGTGAAAGAGGAGGTGGTGCTGCCAGAGAACTACGAGCTGAGTGGAGAACTGGAGGAGCTGGTTAATAAAGTCAGCAAAGCTCACCAAGAGACCTTTCCATCTCTGTGCCAACTAGGAAAATACACTACAGTGAGTGTTTTAACTCCATCTCCAAACACTCCACCCAACATTAGCTCACTGTTTTGCCCGAAGAATGAACACAGTATTGACTCTATAAAGCCGCAAAGACAAAAATTGTCCTCCTCTCTCTCTCCCAGAACTCGAGTGCAGACCACAGAGTGCAGCTGGACTTGGGCCTGTGGGATAAGTTCAGTGAGCTGTCCACTAAGTGCATTATAAAGATTGTGGAGTTTGCAAAGCGGCTACCAGGCTTCACCACGCTCACCATCGCTGACCAGATCACCCTCCTTAAATCTGCATGTCTGGACATCCTGGTACCAACCAAATGCTCTATTACTCCTTTTTAACCCACCACCTGTTTCACCTCCCTAATGCTTTGCCTTTCTCCATTTGCCACGCTGGCTAACTTGAAGAGTTGTAACCCTGAGGATTCATTGTTGTAGGCTGAGTTTCATTGCTGTTTCGTTTTGTTTTAGATGCTGAGGATATGCACTCGCTACACCCCAGAGCAGGACACTATGACCTTCTCGGATGGCTTGACTCTAAACAGAACCCAGATGCATAATGCTGGCTTTGGCCCGCTCACAGACCTGGTGTTTGCCTTTGCTGGCCAGCTGCTGCCTCTTGAGATGGACGACACAGAGACGGGTCTTCTCAGTGCCATCTGCCTCATTTGCGGAGGTAGGACTGTATCCATAATAAGCTGCTATATGCAAACAGTTTTGAGTGTCTTTGTTTTTAGAATTTAACTATCAAATCAACTCCTGCTAGCATTCCTTCACCTCTGCTTCTGTCTTTGTTTCAGACCGTATGGACCTTGAAGAGCCGCAGAAGGTGGACAAGCTGCAGGAGCCGCTTCTAGAGGCTCTGAAGATCTACACCCGCCGCAGACGCCCCAACAAGCCTCACATGTTTCCACGCATGCTGATGAAAGTCACTGACCTCAGAGGAATCAGCACCAAAGGTCAGCTGCAGTTTTATATAACAGAACAACACATTCAAACTAATGCTTTTTGGTACCTTAACCCTCCTCCTGTGTAAGGGTCTGCACTGACCATTTGTTGTTTTTAAATTCTCTAAATAACCACATAAATTAGCTTTTTTGCATCAAGACTTTTTGACTTTGTCAGGAACCTCTATTTCAACAAAATAAAAAAAATGAATAAATTGACTAAATTATAAAATACTCTTATAAAAATTATGCCACTTTTCGTGTTAGGGTTGATGTTGACCCGGTGAGATTTATATCTCATTATTAGTTTTATTTAGTTTTTATTAGTTCCAAATTGGAAGATAGAGAAATGTTTTTAGTGTAATTTGCAGCTGATTTAAAACATGGGCCAAAACATACCGGTGAACATAGTGGGTGCGTAGTAAAAGCTAACACAGGAGGAGGTTAAAAATAAGGCCACTCTTTTGGGTACTCAGAAACTGCATGTAAAGCTCCCGTGAGGAGATTTTTTGCTGGTTATAAAACAGGCTGAAATTTATTCAACTACCTCCATATGACAAATAACAGCAAAAGCAAAATAGTACACTATTATCAGTGCCTGAAAACGCTTTAAACTGGGTAGGTGTCTGAGGAATTGTTCCACCTTGTCTCCACTTGCATTTCAATACTTAGATGAGCCAACCAGAAGCATATGACAGAGTGCTATCTTAACAATACAAAAGGAGAGAGTAGTGGTGTGATGTAAAGTGAGAGGATTATTTGACAAGGATATTGATTCACTGACAAACACTTCTCCTACAATCTCAAAAGTTTCATATCAGTGAACAAAAACATGCTGTCTGTTCTCACAGTAAATCTATCCCTGTTTGGGACCTGAATACGTTTATAAGTTGCACACAAACTGACCACTTTTGTTATCAATTCATGTTACAGCAAAACCTTTGTTCAATAAGGTTTTAAGAGTATAATCTAAACAGCTGGAACACCAAAAGCTGGCAAAATTAGCCTCAGTCCCATGGCTGCAGGTAGTTTCTATCCATCTGTGAAAATGCGCTTCTTTGTCTTGGACACTAGGAGGCATTATCCATAAATGTGTACATCAATCAATCAATCAACCAATCAATCACTCAATCAATCAAACTTTATTTTTAAAGCACTTTCCATACATAGAATGTAGCGCAAAGTGCTGTCCATTCAAGCAGGATATTAAAAAACAATGAAGTAAAATAAATAAGAATACAAATACCCAACCTGCCAACCCTCCCAACCCCCATTCAACACATACAGCACTCACACGCTCACACACACAGATGCACACTCAGAAGACCTGGTGAGGACTCTTCAGTTTGCCACAGATGACTGAGGAAACACTGGATCTTGGAAGATTAAAACAAAATTCAGCTAAAAGCCAGACTAAACAGGTAGGTCTTTAGTTTATTTTTAAAAATATGAACAGTAGGTGTCGCTCTCAGGTCTGCAGGTAGGCTGTTCCACAGATGGGGACCGTAATGTTGGAACAATGATTCACCATATGTTTTAGTTTTTACTTTGGGAACAATTAAAAGACCACCACCTGAAGATGTGAGGGCTCTACTAGGCTCATACGGTAAAAGCAGATCAGACAAATAGGAAGGACCAAGGACCAAGAGCTTTAAAAACTAATAAAAGAACCTTAAAATCTACTCTAAAAGACACATATAACCAATGCAGAGATTTTAAAAAATCTATGGACACCAATCTCACATATAAGTGGGAACAAAGTGTCAAACTGATGCAGAAACAGCTTTGTTCAACAATTTTCACAGCAAATTTCCCTGATAACAATGTTGAAGAAAAAAAAAAAAAACATTGACATGAACAGGACAAAATCAATATCTACAGCACTCACCAAAGTTGAGGAAAATCTGAAGTTCTTCACAGGAGCTTTAAAATCAAATCTGTCTGTTTTTTGTCTTTTTTGAGTAACAACAAAATTACTGTTAAAACACACTAGCTGGAGAATTTCATCACAACAAAAAAAGTTCAACTAGTGAGATACTAAAGATCCTAAATGTTTTTGTTTTTGTTTTTTTTAAGTCATCCCTACAGAACAGCTCTGTCAGCAATACCATGTCTGCATGTAAATATGGCGTTGTTTTCCTGAAACAGGATCTCTAATCCACCATAACATGACCATCCAGTTAACATGTTGCCGTGTGTGTCTGCAGGTGCAGAAAGAGCCATCACATTGAAGACCGAGATCCCCGGCCCCATGCCTCCACTCATCAGAGAGATGCTGGAAAACCCTGAGGCTTTTGAGGACAGCAGTGACTCAGGGGACAGCACTGCAGCTGCTCCCCCCGCCATTCAAGCCATCAAACAAGAGGATAAGGCAGCGTATGAGTCGCCTGTTGAGGAGGAAGAGGAGGAGGAAGAGGATGACTACTGGGACGAGGAGAAGGAGAGAGGGGCGGACAGTGACGGGGAGGCGTGGGGGGAGGCAGCGGCGGTAGGGCAGAAGAAAGGTGTGATTGGAAAACCACAGTGAGAGAGAGACTCAGTGATGCTGTTGCCTGGTAATGTCTCCTCTCAGTACATGATAGACCTTTTTTTTTCAACGGAAGTGTTGCATACAGCTCATGATTACAAAGTCTGTATGTCTGGACTGAAAGGAAAACATGTTGAGTTCAAAATGTGGGAGAAGAAAAAGCACTAACAGTCAGAGCAGCATGAAAAAATCACTGTGCCAAAATGAGACTGAATAAACGATGTTTCAAAGTGTTTTGTCCACACCAAGAGGAACATATGTGGTGGATAAAAGAAAATGCACTCCTCTGCTATCTAAAAGGGCTATGCTTTGTATAAAATTGATGGTAAAAATACATTGCAGCAACAGAGATCCAAGTGGCACCTTTTTGCCACAATTTTCTTCGCAGAATTCCTTTTATTACTTTTCAGAGATATGCTACTTATTTTTTATTATTGTGTGTTTTTTAAGCATGTACACATTTCTGTTCTTTCTTTGTTCTTGTTTGTGGGAGTCTGTGTTGCTTTTTTGTATATTCTTTATACAGACCTTACCTTTTTAATGGACATGCATTTTTTTTTAAGTTTGTTATTAATATTATGCATTTCTGCTTCAATGGGGGGAAAAGGAGAGCAGTGGTCAGATAAAGTTAGAGCTGCAATAGCACGGGAACACCAAGTCATGAGCAGGGCTCAGATTCACATTGCACATGGTATAAAGGTAAGAAGCTTCCTTTTATATCAGCACTTGTGAACCAAAAAACTCCAGCAATGAATTCAAAACAAGAACAGCATCAAAGTCTCATCAAATACAGAACAATAAAAAAGACTGAAGAATCTGCAGGGTAGATTTAATGTCATAACACAGTCTCAGGTTAATTGTCAGTATGGTAGTTTGTTGGTGTATATGCTCCAACATTATACCCCAAATCCTCAATCAAAAAAACAAAATCTTGATACACCAAGGATTATGAATATTTTCAACGTTTGTCCATGTTGTTCGTGCGCAACTGGGTACTGAAAAGCCATAATGTTTTCATTTAGAAAGCAAAGAATCATCCAAACATGAAAGCAGTTTACTTCACAGGAAACCTCAGGTGTGTTTGTGTGTGTCTGTGTGTGCATAATTATGTAACTGATAGCATTTAGCAGTAGACAGAGTGATGTTGTAAATTTTGTTTCGACTGCCAAATCTACGTTGAGCCTTCATGTAGAAGTCCAGTTAGTGTTCTCCAAAATGCACAGAAAACAGGTTTTTTAGCAGCTTCTCAGAATTTTTACCTTCACTCAATTTGAAATCAACGTGAGCTGACCGAGACTGAGTAATAACCGTCCTGAATAGCTGAAAAACAAACAATGGCCTGTCTCTTGAAGCACAGGATGATCAGATGGCTTCACGTGTGCCGTATCTCCTCAGCTCTGCAAAGATTGATTTTGTAAAATAAATACTGAAAAGTTCTTTTGTTAATGCGAATCTGACTGAACTCATCAACAATTTTAAGGGAAAAGATTCTCCATCAGAGTGAGACCCATCGATGGCATAAAACATTTCAGTAGCAAAGCTGCAAAACAAATTCTGAAAATGAACAAAAACGGACTGCATGTTTCTGATCATCCATGGACGGTACTGAGTCTATAAGCTGATTGTACCTTTAAGCAACAGCAGTAAAGACAAGTTACATTGGTCTTCAGCTCTTAAGAATACACAGACTGATTCACAGAATGAACACAGACACTAAAATGATGTTGACCTTCATTTGTGACATAAATAACCACATGATTTCAACAAAGTGTGTTTTCTCACACTGTTTCTACTCCTGTAACAAACATACAAAAACACACCCAATCACTACTTTGCACATTATCAGCCAACTCTATATACTTAGTAAGAATTAAGTAAAAGTTCCTAATAGCATAACCATGATATTCCATAAGAGATACTTTTCTTTTTTTTATTATCTGTTTCTTTTCTTTAATTTGAGCCGGTGCAATAGAAAAGCCATTAAAGAGGTCTCAGGCCTCAGATCTGTGTGGAGTACTAAAAAGACCAAAGACAGATATTAAGTCACATTTGGACAAAAACTAAACATTTAGTAATGAAAGTGAGCTCTTCTGTGTGAAATATATAAACTTTGTATTATGGGAGATGTCATTGATCTCACTTTTTGAAGCTGGAACCATCTTATATGTAATACACTTTGTTGTTGTTTTATGACTTTTTATATTTACCATGTTTGTAGTTTTCAAGTTGCTTCATGTTCAGGGATTCGGACACCTCATGAGTTTTATTTCAAATGTACCAATATAGCTCTGATACACACACACAGTTAAGCAAAGACTGGGCTGATGTGTTCTTGTTACAGTTTATTTGTTGCTTATTGTTTGCTGTTTGGTTATATGTCGTTGTCTCTCTTGTATTTTGATAAAGGCTTTCTGTCCTCAGATTCTCCCAGTCGTCTTTTCATTTGCAGTCAATCTTGTAGAGTCTGAGGCTACGAACATGGCCAGGCTGTTTGTTTAAAGACCCACTCCGATGAAAATCATGTTTTCCTTGTTGTCTACATATCCATATGGTATTTTTCTGATGCTACAGGACATATCATGAAAAAAGCAAGTGCAAAATTGCATTTTATGAGTATTTCTGCATTCAAACCTCTGTGAATCTCTGGCAGATCCAAAAGGCAGGCTCAGACCATAGACTGTAAATAGAGTGGACACCGTTTGCCTCCTTGCTGGGTGAAGCCACCCCAAGAACAGCACCCTCTGATGACGGGCTGCAGTATAGGTCATAAATCCCGCCTCCTCCAGGAATCTTAATGGAGCTGTGGACAAACTTTAGAAATTTATTACACAACGCACAATTTTTTTTCCCCTCCTGCTTGGGATGTTGACATGTAGTTATTGTAAGACTGGTTTGTGCTCAAGTCCTCTTTTTTTCTGTACAGCTCCGTTTTTAAAAGTTATTAGGGGGTTCATGTTTTCTATGATTGACACCTGGTACAGCCTATGGGCATATGAAGATTGCGTAGCTCTCCCGGGAGATACACTGTCTGAGCCGAGCGTCATCACAGCAACTCTCTGCGACTCTCCCACCGAGTACGATGCTACTGAGCAAGTGGTGGAGTGCATACAACGCTACTACCCAATGTTGGTTTCAGGAAGTGGAGAAAAAAACGCAGAATTACCGAGAGCTTTTTGGCTTCAAATCCGTATACTGGTGGAAGGCGGAACCAAGTTGTCCATAGTATATACAGTCTATGGCTCAGACACAGTGAGATTTCCTACATCACAATTGCAAGCTCCACCCCCGCAGCCCAGCTATGCAGGCCAGACTCAGAGAAGTAGAGACGAAGATTGCGACAAGCACGCATTTGCGGTAGTGGATTGCAATGTTCGTAAAAAAGCTAGTAATGATATTAGCTTTCATCATGTCCCCAAAGACATAAGTGTCCGAGAGCTGAATAGCTCCTATGCTACCTGCCACTTCTACAACAGCGGCAATGTTAGGCTGCAAGCTAACGTGAAGACAAGTGTGCAGAGCAGCGTTGTCTCCGCCCACGACTCAGAGGTGAATTGCTAATGATCTACTGGAGCTCTGCAGAAGAAACGCAAAATAGCTAAATACTTCATAATTACGATTTAAAGACTGAAAACACTTAAAAAAGTTAAAAAAAAAAAAAAAAACGATTGGAATGGGACTTTAACCTGCGTAACGTATTCTTTCACCATCATGTTATCTGTAAATTATACATTTTTCTGTATCGCTGTTACATCTTGTGTATTTTCAAAATACAGATTTCAGTCACCACAGTCATCATCATATTTTATTAAAGAGACTTATTTCTCCAGACAATACACCAAAGTACCATAAATTGACTCTGATGGTCTTCCAGCCTGACACTGTGCTCAACAAGCTGCAGCAGAACATTTCACACTTTTCTGTTACACACACACACACCCACGCTTTTGACTCAGTATCAGGATTCACACTCACATGCAGATTTTATGAGGCTAAAAGCCACCAAAAATAAGTTGCAACCCGGAATCTGAAAGTTTATCTGGGAAGTTGTCTAAGGTCATACTCTATAAGATAATCTTATCTAACAGCTAACAGTCAGAGTTTTGGACACTTCAGACTTGCATTTTGTGCTGTCTTTTCTTTAAATATACATATCATCAGGTTTTCACTATGATGTCATTTTTTTTTTTTTTGGCAGTTTTCCTACATAAACAGCTTAAAAAAACACAAAATGCCACCCCTTTTTTCCACGTCCTATGTGAAATGTCATCCTTCTCAGTGTCACCACATGGGGGCGTCAGACAGCTCACTGCAGAGAGAAAGAGAAATGTAAATGAATAAAATTAATTAAATCAAGTCCTTGCGTCTGTAGATTTACTGCTTGCTAAATTAATTCTATTTTTACTCCCTAAGCAATATAACACTTTTATTTTCACTCCACATTGTTGTGCAAAGTGCAAAGTGAGTGGAACCACAGCTGTAATAAACCCGTCTGCCACGGCCAAGAGTGTGAATGAAGTCATGTCGTAACATTTTGGGAGTGGCGGTCCCAGTCATGAAGACAAAAACAGGTTTTGTCCTGTGTGACCTTGTGGAAATACTGGAGAGTCACCTTAGGATGGGGTTGATGAGTTCTAGTTGGACCTGGGGCTTCCTGTCATCAGTGTGAGTGTCACAGTGCTGCTGAGTAAAGACAGAAGCTGATTATTGTTTTATTATGCCCACACACAAACACACAATCAGAGATTATCTCTGATAGGGAGATCCTGTCCTGCAGTTTCAGAGCTGGTGAGTGCGTCTCTCAGTTGTAATTGCAACTTAAAGGGATATTCCGGCATAAAATTAAGTTAGGGTCAAACACACCATAACACCGAGTTAGACACCCCCCTCAAGAGATGAATGTTGCCGACCGCTTGCTTCTCTAGTTACACCAACTTTAGTAATGACCGCACAATAGCAATACACAGTGGTCTATGGAACCACACACAAACGTTAACAAAAACGCCACTCTATAGCCACAAATAATGCTCAGAACAGCACCTAACTTCATCAACAGTACATATAGGGTCCCAGCCATAGTACTAGCCAACAAACATCTTTTTAATTTTCCTGGTTTGTTTAACAAAGAGACTAAACACAATTCAACCACTCTCTTCCAACAGCCGCTTATTTGTACCGAGATCTCAGGCGAGTCCCCGCAGCGGGGGGATGCAGCTCAAGGAAGAACATTTATGATCATTTCCTCATGGAAATGCAATCAGAACCTAGCCTGGCTGGGCCAACCAGCACTGCAGATCTACCACATATGCAGTGCAAAATGATTAATATGGTGATAATTACTTCAAGGAAATGATAAAGTAATGATAAAGGAAATTAGGCAAAAGATGTTTGCGGCTAGTGCTATGGCTGGAACTCTATATGTACTGTTGATGAAGTTAGGTGCTGTTCTGAGCATTATTTGTGGCTATAGAGTGGCTTTTTGGTTGAGCAAGTGGCTCCTGGGACTGCTATGTATTGCTAAATACATAGCAGTACATGTTGGTAGAACTAGAGAAGCAAGCGGTCAACAACATTCATCTCTCGAGGGGATGTCTTACTCTGTGTTATGGTATGTTTGACCTTAAATCAATTTTACATGGGAATATCCCTTTATAGGGATATTCCTAAATTAATTTTATGCCAGAATATCCCTTCAAGGATGCACAGAAGAAGAGTAACTTTGTTAGAAGTCGTGATATTTATTTGATTCATGTATAGACGTGTATTGACAGCAAAGTTCTGAGTATATGGAGAGCTGAATGAGGACAGACACATTAACATAAATATTCAACATAAAGTCCTGTTAGCCTTCACTAACTCTATATTCAATAGAAATATTCAATTAAATGTCATTTTTAACAAATAAGGAGGTTAATTTTGTAACTTGAAATGCTCAGTTTACATCAATTTCACCTGCAAGGTCACTGATCAGAATCTATCACTAGGAAGCCTTGTTGACTGAAATCCTCTTCGCCTTACAAATAAACCATCTTTAAATTAATAAAACCGTCTCTGAATCATTGTTTGTTATCATTTCATTTATATCTTAAGATAGTAGCTGAGTCAAATTTTAATCAGGAAAGGGTGAGCTGGACATGAAGCGGATCGTTACTTAAATATCTGAATGCTTCTGTTTGTTGTAAGGATTTTAAGGCTGTGATGTTCTGCCTCTCTGTTTCAGGAGTCAAACTTGACCTAGTTATAATAAACAAGCAGTCAGGCGCTCTATCCGGCAGTCAGCATCAATTCTTACAAAGCTGAGGTAAAACCTGCAAGTTGCCGTCATTCTCATAAACAACTTTAAGACTGAATAGGGTCACTGGTTAAATATTTGCTCTCTGCAGGAGGTGATTCATCCTGTTTAGTTTTGAATAGGTTGAAATACCTGAGTGTCAGAGGCTGTCATGTCCTCTTTGCTCTGGTTTTGTGTCTCAGAGAGGAGCTCAGCTCTGCTGGGTCGTTCCAGGTGAACTAAGAGAAAAACAGGTGAGCAGAATGATCTGGGGAAAGCTGGAGAAACTTCCTGGTCCACTTCAGAGGAAGAGTCAGGAGCCGTTTTAACCAGACTCTTTACTTCGAGACTTATCACACTGCAGTCTACTACCTATAACACTATTCACAAGAAGACTTCATTACTCACAGACGAAGGAAGGTGTTTCTACATCAGATTTATTTTTCGACACACTCTCCACCTTCTGCTCCAGCTGTCGGATGTGGTTTAACAGCTCCTGTGTGCGTCCAATTTAGAACCAAGAAGTTGAGGGGAAAAGGAAAACAGACAGATTATATGAAAAAAAAATTCTCTAAAGTTTAATTGCTTTCTTTGAAAACATTGTTTAAATGGCATGGCCTACTATTGTTTTTCTTTAGAATTAGCTGAAAGTTGTTTCTTACGTTTAATACTGATACTATGATCATTTTAACCATACTTAAGAAAACTGATTAATAATACTCAAAGTACCCTGGCACCTCCAACCTTTGTTATAAATGTGAGCTGCACAAAGGCACATTTATTCACTTGTTGTGGTCATGTGATCGCATCCAGACTGTCTGGGAGGGGGTTCACTCTATAATCCAGGAGGTCACTGGTAAACAGTTTCCATTGACTCCTTCTTTCTGTCTACTTAACCACGTCCCAGACAATTTCATGGACACAGACATACAGACTTTTATAAAGTATGTTTATAAAAGTGAAAAATAATAATAATGACAATATTAATATTAATAATAACAACAACAACAACAACAACAATAATAATAATAATAATAATAATAATAATAATAATAATAATGAAAATTTTAGATAATAATAACAATAATAATAATAATAATAATAATAATAATAATAATGAACAAAGTAGCAAAGACAAAGGTTCTGCAGGTTGTGCAGAAAGTCCAGTATCAAAACTGTGCAAATTACATTTAAGCTTCTGTAAAGAACTTAAAGTTTGTGTTGATACTGGTGCTCCTTGGAGACAGAGGTAGCTCTCATGTTTATGCTGTTTTTGTCTCATATAAGTCGTGTTTCATAACAGAGAAAACATCTCATCCTGCTTTCTTTTAAGGGTCAACTGCATCACTCATTGAGAAAACTTGCTGATGCAAAAGTACAAATAGCTGTTGAAAGATTTCAGTCAGCACCTTTAAAGAGGAAAGCATGAAAGATGGGTTGTGTTGTCAAACTTATTTGGGATACTACTGATAACAAGCTCACGTTATGAAGATATTTTCAGATTGTGAGAAAGTCTTGCCTGTTTTTCTAGCTGCTGCTCATCTCTCTCCCTCTGGGCTCTCTTCACGTTGGCTTTCAGCTCTAGCAACTCCTGTTTGGCATCAGTCAGCAGTGCCTGCAGGGGGCAGCACAGTATGGTCACACCATCTGAACTCCCACACATGTGACTTGGCTCATCGACTGTCACTAGAGTGTGGATAAATGTCTGCTCACTGTTCATGGAAGTCTTTCTATTTGCGAAGGTGTGTGAGTTATTAAAGAGCCACTCTGAACTCTGCCATCATTCTCCAGTTTCCAAAATGTAATCTGAGAGACCGATGATGCAGATCTGGGGCATGCAAGTGGTTATTTTTGATATCTGAATGTGTTTGTGTAGTGGACAGAAGTGTCGCAATGTTCTCAGGTTCACTTACTTGATTGCGGTCTCTCTCTCTTCCAAGTTCTACTTCTAGTTTCTCTCTCTCCATCCTCTCCTCCCGCAGCCACTCCTCCTTCCTCTGCACCTCACAGCTCAGTTCTTGTAGCTTTTTCTTATCAACCTTTATTGACACAAAAACAGTCAAGATAATATCAGGTTGACATGTAGGTCATGCAGCATCAATCTCTGCTGCATCCTCACCTCTGCTGCGTGTTTATTAGCTTCTCTTTCAAAGGCCCAGTTGGCACGCTCTTCCCTGAGGAGCAGGTTTTCCTCAGACAGCTGTAGGGTGAGTTGGGCCACCTGTAACCGGGCTTGGTGCAGCTCGGTGTTAATGTGGCCCTGACGGGTGCCCAGCTCCCTCAGCTCTCTGCGAAGGCTGTCAGCTACATGCTCTGCAGTGGCCAGATGCTCCTGCAGCCCTCTGATCTCTGCCACAGCAGCCTCATTTTCCACCTGCAAAGATCAGAAATATGATTTTATTCTTTTTAAGTTATGGTTTCTCTTAATCTCTTGTTGTAATATCTGTAACAATTTTCAGGGTCTGCTCTTTTGTACAAGTTATGAGCTTAGCCTCAGCAGAATGACATTAAAGGGATCTTCCAGCGTAAAATTAATTTTCTGCTCTATAGCCACAAATAATGCTCAGAACAGCACCTAACTTCATCAACAGTACATATAGGGTCCCAGCCATAGTACTAGCAATAAACATCTTTTTAACTTTGTCTAATTTCTTCAGCAAAGAGACCAAATATAACTCACCTACTATCTTCCAGCAGCCGCTTGTTTGTAGTGAGACCTTGGGCCAGTCCATTACAGACTACAGCGGGGGGACGCAGCTCAAGGAAGAACATTTATGATCATTTCTTCATGGAAATGCAATCAGACCGAGATGCAAAAGCAGAAAAACTTCCACGTCTGCCGTGCAAAATGATTAATATGATGATTGATTATTACTTCATAGAAATGATAAAGTAATGATCATAAATGTTCTTCCCTGAGCTGTGTCACCCCGCTGTTGTCGTAATGGACTGGCCTGAGGTCTCGTTACAAACAAGCAGCTGCTGGAAGAGGGAGGGTGAGTTGTGTTTAGTCTCTTTGTTAAAGAAATTAGGCAAAGCTAAAAAGATGTTTGGTGTCGAGTGCTGTGGCTGGGACCCTAGATGTACCGTTGATTTAGATGCTGTTCTGAGCATTATTTGAGGCTATAGAGTGGCGTTTTGGTTGAGGTTTGTTTATGGCTCCTCAGGCCGCTGTGTATTGCTATTGTGCGGTTGTTACTAAAGTTGGTATAACTAGAAAAGCAAGCAGTCGGCAACATTCATCTCTTGAGGGGGTGTCTTACTCGGTGTTACGGTGTGTTTGACCCTAAATTAATTTTACGCCAGAATATCCCTTTAAATCAGTGTTTTAGCTTTCTGCTAAAGTGCGACATCAGACAAAATCTGTCCGCTGCTGTATTACCTGAAGAGCTTTTCTCTTTTCCTCATCATATTTCATTTGACTGGACATTTTCTTCAGTCTCTCCTTCAGTCTGTGAGACAAAAAAAAAAAGATCATTTCAGGTTTCAGGATATATATAAACTAAAATGTTTGATGTCTGGAAAACTTTCCTCTCCAGTTCAGTGTTTTCCGCTTTCTCCTGGCTGGTCAGGACCTTCATATCCTCCTCCAGATCTCTGACTCGCTGTTCGCTCTCTGCTTTCTCAGCCATGAGTTTACTCAGCTCATAGGTCAAATTTTCCTGACTGTATCTCACATCCTTAGTATGATGAGAACAGAAGAAAATGATTACACATTATGAGTATTGTGGAGATGATTGGAGATCTGGTTTGGTGAACTGGGTCTACCTTGTGTTTTCCCTCCATCTTCTTCAGCGTGTCACTGTTATATCTTAAGTTGTCGCGGAGCTCAGTGATCTCTCCCTTCATCGCTTCTCTTTCCAGCTCCCACTCCATCTTTGCTATTTTGTTGTGTTCTCGTTCATTTTCCGCCTCCTCCTTGGCCTCCTGTAGAGCCTGTTGTATATCTGCCTGTCTTTTCAAGCATTCATCCAACTGACTCTGCCAACAGCACAGGGAGTGAAAGGGGTTCTTAGCACTTTGATGTAAAATGAATGAAGTTCAGTGTTCTTTTACAGTTAAAAATAGTAGCACAACCCGTGATTAAAAGGTGTTATCCTTTTCATTCCAACCTGAAGCAGTTGAGCCCTTGGGATAACCAGAAGCAACTCTTCCTCTCCATCCTCCTCTTCCTCTTCCCCTTTCTCCTCTTTCAGAGTTTCGAGCTCCTCCAATGGCTTTGGCGCACAGAAAGTGAAAGAGCGACTAAAGGCACATGCTTCTCCATCCTTATTCACATATACAAACTGGTACTCCTTTGGACTGGGGTGAGGTAAGTAGAAAGCTGTTACAACAAGACACCAAAAATACAAGATGTTAGTTATACCACTCATGACACCGTGTGTGTTCATACGTGAAACTAACATTTACGGTTGTTTGTTGATTGTGTGTTAATATTTTCTGGGAGGAAAGGCCCCTCATTTGTGGCTTCTTTTGTGTCCTAGAGTCTAGACATCAGAATCTCTTCTTTTAAGATAAACTTGCCTTTTATGAGGATTATTATTAGGACTGCCTCAGGCTTTACTGTTAATCCTGGTTATGCTGTTACTGGTTCAGATAAATGAGGAACTCAATACACTGAGCTTCTGTCATCCTTTTTTTTGTTCATCTTGTTAAATATGAACCTACTGTTTGTATTTTTAAAAGTAAACTCAAGACCTACCCTTTAGTTTGGCATTTAGTTAAATTTTGTTTTAATCTTTTAATCTGCATTATGTGATTTTACCCTTTTTTAGTTGTAGAGTAACAATTTTGTGTTTTATTACCACTTTTTTAATTTACTTTCTTTTATTTTTTGATTTTAAGACTGTTTCAGTTAATTAACTTTTAATGCTTTATCGCCTTTATTATATTTTATCATGGTTTTATTGTTTTAGTCCTAGATCCAGTGTTTCCTCAGTCATCTGTGGCAAGTTGAAGAGTCCTCACCCTGGTCTTTTGTGTATGCATCTGTGTGTGTGTGTGTGTGTGAGCGTGTGAGTGCTGTATGTGTTAAATGGGGGTTGGGTGGGTAGGTGGGGTTTGGTATTTGTATTTTTATTTGTTTTATTTAATTGTTTTAATATCTTGCTTGAATGGACAGCACTTTGTGCTACATTATATGTATGAAAAGTGCTTTAAAAATAAAGTTTAATTGATTTGATTGATTGATTGAAATGACTTAAAAGTGTTAGAGTTATTTATGGTCATACTTAAATGATCATTCCTGAGCTCATCATTAGATAAATTCAAGTCTATTACTCTTATTGATGCTAATAACTTCTTATTGCTGTTTCATTCTTACTGTCTGTCAATATCTCTCATTCTCTCTCTCTCCTACTTTTGTGACCTGTTTGAGAAATTTTACTGAATTCTTACAATGGAAAAGTGCGCAGCAGTTGACATTGGTCCCCTCTGCGTAGCTTTCAGGAACAAGAACCCATGTGTATGTATAATACTGCTTCACAGAAGACCAGCCCACCTGCATAGCGACAAAAATACTTCAGATTCACATCACTAACATGACTGTATCATTATCTAGATTTATTTAATCTAAAGTTACAGAATAGTAATGGAGTTTATCTGGAATATAATACCTCAAATATTCCTATCCAGTCACAGCTGCTCCACCGGTGCTCAGAGGTCAGACTGTAGTGACACTCCACTCTGGTTTGGGGGAAGTAAGACTGCCCCACATTTCGAAACACCGCCGTAGGCTGTTTATCCATGGTAATAAGAGGCTGTGCTGTTTAGGATGAAAACATACATGCTCCAGTTTCAGTCTGGAGGAGGCAGCTGATGTAAGGTGATAGCAGAGTCAGTCCAGGAATGCAGCCTGGTCATAATAACACCAGACGCCTATGGACCCACAATATGTTTATAAACAACAAACTCATGAACATACTGAGCAAAATTTTTACTTCATGTCATCTTCTACAAAACAGCAATACAGACATTTGTTTGCATAGCATTCTTCTCTGTGGATGTATCTTCAGTTTTTTAAAAATATTTTATTGCCATCATCATTATTTTTAATAAGATAAATCAAAATGTGATATAACCAGACTCTCAGTCACAGATAATCATTTTTTTTAGTTTCAAACTAACATTCAAGCAAAAAATAGATGAAAATCTGACAGTGAAGAGTATTGCAGTATTCATCATTATTGCATTTATGAATCTATAGTTAAAGATTAAATAGATTCCATGTTCAATTAATAGAGAAAAACAGATTCACTGTTTTCTAGTTTTAAAGTAAAAAGATCAGCATTTTGTTTTTAGCTTTTCATGAGTATTAATAACTTCCTAATAACAGCTGTAAACTGAAGTTTTTAATTCAAGTAAATGAGTTTCCTGCTTTTGTCTTACCTGATTATCCTGTGAGATGTTTTGCTGTTACCACATGAAGGACAGGCTGTGCATCTGTCTGTGGAAAGTGATGAGCAATCCTGTGTGAAGCAAGAGTTTCAAAGTCTTTCCTGAACCATGTGGGCCCCCTAAGTAAAGATTGTGATGCCAGGGGAATCATGGGAAAGGCAGTTCTTGAGCACACAGATTATTAAAAGGCAAGTGGTGCTGCAGACTTCAACTCCCAATACTGTTTTAAGGAACATGATCTGCTAAAATAAGAAAAAGACTTAACAAGCAGCCAAACACACTGGAAATATGGTGCAAACTCATTCTGCATGTGTGATCAAATCACAAAACTTGTCTTTATTTTTCAAGCTGCAATAAAAATACTCATGAATAGATCCAAGTTCGCGAGTTTCTTCTGGTGTTTCTGTAAAACTCATGGTCAGTTCTTACTGAAGTCATTTAGAGTCAGTCTGTCAATGAAATAATCTGCATTTTTACTTCAACTCCCAAACTGCTGCAGAGGTGTTCTGTGAACACTTGATGGCGGTATAGTTTGTACAAACTATTAATACATGTTTTTTGAGTGTGTTGCAGACTGACACTGAAAAAGAAATCCAAAATTAAAATTAAAGGAGAAATTTAACCAGATGTTAGTGCGGGTCTGTCAGGTTCTGGATTATGTTAGAGGATGCTCTGATGCTATTTAAAAGATGTGCTTTTCAAACAGTTTCAACAAAGTGATAATGAGTGATGGGGATTTTCTGCAAGCAAACAAACAAACAAAAACTGTCGGGATGCTGTGTAAAATGTGGATGAAAACAGACTTGATGGTTGCAAATGATTTAAATATATGTTTTTGAAAGTTATCTAAAGACAACATATATATTGAGACTGAAAAATGTCATTATATTACAAAAATGTGCTTATTTTAAGTTTAATGCAATACTATTCAAAAACACAGAGAGAAACAACGAAGTCATAAAAAACTGTAGAGTGGTGCATAAAAACCATAGACTGTATATAGAATGGACGCCGTCTGCCTCCTCACTGGGTGAAGCCACTCCGAGAACAGCACCCTCTGATGGTGGGCTGCAGTAAAGGTCATAAATCCCGCCAGCAAAGCTTATGGAGCTGTGGACAAACTTTAGAAATTTATTACACAGAACATAAATTTTTCTCCCCCCGCTTGTGATGTTGACATGTAGTTACAGTAAGACTGGTTTGTGCTCAAGTCCTCTTTTTTTCTGTGAAGCTCCGTTTTTAAAAGTTATTAGGGGGTTCATGTTTTCTATGATTGACACCTGATACAGCCTATGGGCGTTCAGGGATTGTGTAGCTCTCCCAGGGGATACGCTGTTTGAGCCGAGCGTCATCACAGCGACTTTCGACGACTGCGCAGCCAAATGCGCACATCGATACTGCGCAGCGCTGGTTTCCGGAAATGAAGAAAAATCCCGGAAATACTGAGAGCTTTTTGGCTTCAAATCCGTACACAGGCTGTAGGCGGAACCAAGTTGTCCATAGTATATACAGTCTATGATAAAAAACACATCACAACTAACACTTTACCTGCAGCAAAGGGTCGCAGCCGGGAATCGAACTGGCAACTGTTGTGATGAGGACTTCAGCCTTATTTTTATTAAAACTAATAATCCGAATTAAATGACAAATTGATGAGAAACAACTATGAAACTTATAAGATAAGAAGAACTTTATTGATCCCTGAAAAGAAATTCAATACAATGATAAAACTGTAGATAAATCACTGCATAAAAAGATAAAACACGTAAAAACAAAACAATCAAGACATTGACAATGTAGAAAAATACAAAAATATTCTTGTGTGCAGTAGGACAAACAAAGGTTATATCAGCAAAAGCATTCCAAGTAATGCCAAATCATCCACATTTTCTAACATCTTTTCACTCAAAATGACTTAAGTCTTAAGAAGCTGAATGAATTCTAACTAGAGTTCAACACTTTAACAAAGCACCTTCACAAACACCTTTAGCCTACATTTTTGCATATTTCAATATATGCTTTCTTTGTTTCTTGAACTCCTTTTCTTTGATTAGTGTGTAAAATTTATAAATGACTTTACCTGGACTGTAGCTGTTTGCAGCCCTCTACCTCACCCCACACCTCTCAATATGAAAAGGAAGACAGTAGCAGACACGGCTGTATACCAGATTCTCTTTGGAGTGCTTTGTGCATCACAAAGTGGCCTGTGAGGTTGATGTTAGCTTATATTCTTTAGTAGTAGATTTAACTGTTCCAATAAGCCTCTTACTCATTCTCCTTGTGATTTTTCATCATATTGTTGCTCATGCTTAGCAGTGAAATGACTCCAAGTTCTGTCAGTCTGGTTCTGGCTTCTCCTTCCCAGCCTTTATTGGCCTTTGGGTTTCTGGGTGATGGATGCATGATGCTTTCTACTCGCACACTGACACCTGCAGCAGTCAAGGCTCGCCGGGCTCTCTGCTCAGCCACCCTTCCAACTCCAATCACCATGGAAACACCCAGCGCCTCCACTACCTTGCACAGTGTAATGTCACACAGGGCCAGGAGCTTCTCCCGCTCACCCACAGGCAGTTCAGGAGGTGTTAGGTTTTTCCCGCTGGCACTCATAAAAATGAGTGGGCATAAGTTGTGCACAAAGCAGTGTTTGAAGAACTTTTCTGGTTCTCCACAAAGTTTCTTGAAAAAGCCCCAGAAACGAGCACCACTCACTTCACTCTGAGTGCAAGCGAGTCCTCTGATCTGCCGCTTTGGATGCTCATTAGGAGGATGACCCACTTCCCCGGTGATCTTCAGCCAATCAACAACAGACCTGACTTCACCAAAGGGAACCTGTGGATAGAAAGGTTTTTACAACTTTAAGTGTGGACACTCAAACAAAAATAAGACAGAACAGTATCGAGCAGGAACTTTTGACATATTGTGATGTTGCATGTTGAGGGTGTTGTTGAATGGCTGTGTGGAGTATGTGTAGGGGAGAGTGGGGTAAGATGAGCCATTTTATTTCCAATCACTGCATCTAGGCAATCATAGTTTTGTCTCTAACTAGTGTATCTAGTTAGAGACAAAACATTTCACAGCTTCAGCTCCTAAAAAAATTCAGCTGCACGCATGCTGACGAAGACCAGGAAGAGAGCCCACATCACACTAATTTTAAAAATCTCTGCATTGGCTACATGTGTCTTTTAGAGTAATAATAACTACTATTATGACTTTATTAGTCCTCTAAGCTAAAATGGTGGACTTTTATGCTAGGGTTTTTGATCTCATGTTGTAGCTCATAGATACCACAATTGATGTATAAAACAAATTTAAAATGATCTTTTTTTTGGTCTGAACCATAGATTGTATATAGAATGGACGCCGTCTGCCTCCTTGCTGGGTGATGCCACTCCAAGAACAGTACCCTCTGTTGACGGGCTGCAGTATATGTCATAAATCCCGCCTCTGCCAGCAAAGCTTATGGAGCTGCGGACAAACTTTAGAAATTTATTACACAGAATATACATCTTTCTCCCCCCTGCTTGTGATGTTGACATGTAGTTACAGTAAGACTGGTTTGTGCTCAAGTCCTCTTTTTTCTGTGAAGCTCTGTTTTTAAAAGTTATTAGGGGGTTCATGTTTTCTATGATTGACACCTGATACAGCCTATGGGCGTTCAGGGATCGTGTAGCTCTCTCGGGGGATACGCTGTTTGAGCCGAGCGTCATCACAGCGACTTTCGACGACTGCGCGGCCGAATACGCGCATCGCTACTGCGCAATGTTGGTTTCAGGAAATGAAGAAAAATCCCAGAAATACAGAGCGCTTTTCAGCTTGGAATCCTTATACAGGCAGGAGGCGGAACCAAGTTGTCCATAGTATATACAGTCCATGGTCTGAACACAATTCTAATAAAATTTATGACAGACTAAATTCACTTTCAATAGTGAAAAATGTAGAAATAAATGTCTAAGCCCTTCACCCATGTGCTTCTAACCTTCACAGACTCCATGAATTGATGCCCATCTCCTAAATATTTGGTCATGTGATCAATTTCTTTTACCATTTCCAAACAGGGGGTGGCTCAACTTACCCTTTGGCTCAACTTACCCCACCCTCCCCTGAGATATCAAATGTCATATCAAATCTAGTAAAATTAATAGTAAAATTAATAAGTCTCATAATCAAAACCTAAGAAACGCATGTGATCTAAAATATCAGTGTATTCATCACCACAGGTAGAGCCAAGTTTATAAGTTACCATTGCGGTTTGTTTTTGTTTTGGTCCACTTCCGCTTACACGAGACCAAGGCTGCAGATCACATGGTTTGTTTGTCACCACAATATCAATGGCTATCAGCAGTTTTATACATGCAAAATGAAACATGGATTGTGTAAGAATGGTGTGCTCACCCCTGTCTGTGCCATCCCGAAAGGACCTGGATTCATGCCCAGGAACAGGATCGATTGTCCGCTCTGACAATACCTCTCCACATAGCAGCGGTGAGTTTCCCAGGCGTACTCCAGAGGGTTGTAGATATAGCGGACGGGTTCTGTGAAGGACAGCCGGCTAAGAAGGACATTCAGCTCCAGTTCAGCCTGCAGAAACCTGGAGGAAGGGGTCAGACTGAGTCCTGCTTCTCCTCCCTGTTTAAAGCCCTGCAGCTGCTCAGACTTCAGCCCATCATCTTTATCTACGAGCTCCCCCGTTTCACAACACACTGTTGTACCGTCACCTAACATGCTGTACGTGAAACAACAACTTTAAAGAAAAAGAAAGCCCCTCCGTCTGATAAATTTCAACTATCAACTGCTTCATTGAGGAAAAAACAATAACGCTAATAAACAACCAGTGTGATCTCTTCTTCTGCTCATTTTAGTGACTCTTTTTTGATTTGGTTTAAACTGCTGCTCCCCCTAGAGGCTCACTAGTGCTACTACAGCGAAGTACGACACTAATCCGAGACACCAATGAACCGCCTAAATTCAGCCTTTGATGGTTGATATCACTGATATCGAATTTATGCTCAAACGGCTTTCCATATACTAGTACTAGTAGTATACTAGTACTACTAAGTAGTATACTAGTACTAGTACCATATAGTACTACTGCTACTAGTAGCACTAGTAGAAGTGCCATTTGAACATAAATTATTTCAAAGGTCCACCAGGGGGCGCACTTAAGAAAATAATCAGCATTGTTTTAAGAAAAAAAAACTTTTTTAGATGTTTGTGATTGTTTTTACACATTTTTCTTTTAATATACTGAAATGATATTCTCAATGAATAATTTATTAAATACAGAGATATAATCATTGATAAATGTAGGATAGGATTAACTCAGAGATGTAATGTAGAAACTAAAAAAGACTGATAAGCTTATTACTATGACTAAAGCTGATTGATCCCGTCTCTTTATTGTAAATCAAGAAAATTATACTAACAAAACTGAACACTCTTTGGACTATGATTGATAAACAAAATGGTGTTTAAACCTGTGGGAAATCATTCCTTTCATGGTTGAAATGACCTTTGCTGCTTCATAAATGTGGCACAACATATCTATTATCAAAATTTTTGCCTTAAAATAAGTCAATAAAAACAGTCAAACATATCTCTAGATCTAAAAAAGAGACAAACTATCCATTAATTAAAAAGCAGTTCTAAAACAATTCTGATAATATTCTGAAGTGCACCCCCTGGTGGCCTTCCAAAATAATTTATGTTCAAATGGCACCCAAATAACACTTCTACTTGTAGAAATGCAATCTATGGAAGTGTATTAGGGCCACTTGAAGATTTTTTTCCCTTAATTTTCGAGAAAAAAGTCGAAAATTTCGAGAAAAAATTGAGATTTTTCTTCCTTAACTTTTGAGGAAAAAAGTCGAAAATTTCGAGAAAAAAAAGTCGAAAATTTTGAGAAAAAACTCAGAACTCTATAGACAAGGCGGAAGTGCCGCTAGTGATGGCGAGATGAAGCCTCCTGAAGCATTGATAGGCTGTATTGACTGAGTGAGATTGTGTTGGATTGTTCCACTTCAGTGGGGCAACATAAACTGTGATTCATAAAATAGCTCTATTTATAGTAAGTACTAAAAAAAAAATCTACTCATGCCATCCTGTCGATTTTTAGTAATCAGTGTTTCGGTGTCGAACTATTTCCTTTCGTCGGCGTAGTGATACTTGCACACGCGCAATCGAATATGCAAAGGGGTGAAGCGATTTTTGTCATGTGGACCAATAGGAGCCAAGTCTCGTTGCCATAGTATCAGAAATACACAAACATGGCGACGAGCGCATCTAGCAGCGAGACAAGCGAAGAGGAAGAAAAGAATAGGAAAAAAAGAAAACAGCCTTCAAAAGTGCATCAAAAAGGAACGAAACGATGCTATATGCATCTATCATCTTTCCAGAGTGAAGACGTTCTCGACTTTACAAGGACACGTTGGGAAACTTACAGAACTAGTATTAGAAAGTGGCTTTCTCTACAGGGTGAGATAAAGGACCTTGCAGAAACTTATAAAACATTGCGTTGATATCGACTTTGACAATGTTCCTGATGACGCTGGGTTTCACATGACATGCTACCAGCGATTAATCAGCAAAAGGCGTTTGAGAAACAAGAACGTGATGCAGCCGCGGGTCAGTCAAACCCTTAAGGCAGCATCGCCGATGCATTCACGTCCACCGCATCTGAAACTGTGCGAAAGAAACGTCGCTCGAGGTCATAGGCAGTATTGGAACAAAGGAAAAAGTGCCTAGAAAGTGAATTTCTTTCCACTATGCTGGTGCTACTTGTTCAATGCATTTTTGCATAGACAATGCCATTCTGTACTTTAGGTTAAAATATCTACTCAGACAACTGTCCGACTTTTGTCACCAGCCAGAAATGTACATATATGTGAGTAACTCAAAAAACAATTATATGGTCTACTAGTAGACCATTTTGCTTTACTAGTAAGGTCTACTCGCACACTAGTGCGCCAAAATCCTTTACTAGTAAAACATTTTTTTGTTTACTAGTAGTACTAGTAGACCTAATGCAAATGAAGGAGGGATTATAACCAAATCCAGCACCTTGATTGATTGTAATATTTTTGAAGGCCAATGGGAAGCCTGAATTTGCTTTTCCCCTCCCCCTTATTGGCATATAAGGCTTACTAGTACTACTAGTAGACTTTTTTGGTCTACTAGTAGTACTAGTGACACTTTTTGCTTCACTAGTAAGGTCTACTTGCGCACTAGTAGACCAAAATGGAGTACATGTAAGCTTAAATTGAGTACTAGTAGGGCTAAACTTTGGTTGATATCACTGATATCGAATTTATGCTTGAACTCGTGTTTGTTCAGGGGTGGGTGGAGTGTCCGTGTGGGGGGGTTCAGAGTCTACCCGAACAGTGTCTTCCGAAGCAGTGGGCTGTGTCTTTAACCCCTTTCTCCCCAACCCTGGGTCTCCATAGATATATACAAAGACTAGATAGCTTACCTACGCTGTGAGCCAATGGGGACTGACGTCGTCACACGGCAGCCATCTTACCTAGGGGCTGCTGGCCCACTGATAACATTAATGTCTATGGTGTGCATGTACTGTTTCAATGACCATATCCTGCTCAAATTTCAACTGATTTTCAAACGGATTGGTTTGTTATAAACGCCAGAGATGTAGTTATGTTTCTGCATATTTATGGATAATTATAACCATGGACTTTCATATCAAATTAAAAAAGGAGATAGTAGAGCAATACCTGCCATAGCTGCACACAAACACACACAGTGAAATTAAATTGTCAGTGTTTTTTATATTAAACATTTAATAGTTAGATATTTTATAGTTCTACTTAATACATATATTAAATATAAAGGGGTAAGTTGACCCACATGATATTTTAAACTTAAACTTAAAACTTTAACAAATAATGTATTTACTGATGAAAAATGATTTTATAAGACATTTCCCATTTTTCAAATAGTCTTAATTATTTTCTTTGGGTTATTAAACAATATAAAACCAATTAAAGTTTGTTTTTCAGAACCTTTTAATATTTGCAATTATTAATATAATATTGAAAACGTCTCTTGAATGAGTGTATTTATCAAAAATGAAAGATCATTCTGCTAATTTGAGTAGCAAAGACCTAATAAAAATTATATAAATTGTGATTCATATTGGTTCAATTTATCCCAAGGCTTTTGGTTCATCTTGCCCCATGGCCATCGTTTTGATAAAACCTTTGATGCTTCAAGAATGATATTTTGCTAAATGATTCACATAGTTCTATACATTGAATATCACTAACATGCATGATGTATAAGTTTAGACCTGGGTCCATTTGCTTTAACAAAAAAATAATTATACCACAAATGTAAAAAATTCCACGGCCTGTTGGAAATGATTTTTGTGTTCTTATTTTAGGGTCACATAACAACTCGTGTATAGTTTTAAAGATCAAGGGGATGGTTCATTCATCTTACCCGTTCTGCTACATATATTTTAATATAAAAATCAAAATAAACACATTCAGTAACATGACATGAAGGTTCTTTTATGAAACAGATGTGAACAATTACAAAACAATTCAACATTCACTCCAAACCAACAGTCACACTAAACCATGCAACATTCACTCCAAATCAATAGTCACTCACACGGTCACAACAAAACCAACATATATACAAGTGCACGGACAGTTTGAGCTACTGCCCCTTGAAAAGTACTGTTTTGGTGAGCTTCTGTCTCACATTGTCTTTCTGTACGCTAAGCATAGTGATTTTAGCAATGTGGTGCAGCCTTAGTTTGAAAAACAGAGACACAACTAGCGCTAAATTATGATATTGTTGGGGTAATTCATGTAGCCTATGCTTGAATGCCATTATGTAAATTTAATTAACAAGTCAATAACAGTAACAATTTAAAAAATGTAAAAAAGAAATATTCAATGATTACTATGTAAAAAAATGAAAGAAACATTTCTAAAAAGTCAGGGTGAAAATAACTTGTATTGTACAAGTACAAATTTAACTAAGTTCGTAACAATTATCCTAAATATGTCCCTCAAGTCATTTCTTATGAGTGAAAGGTGATTCTACGGGCTCTTGTTTGAACAGAACGTTCATTTGAGCATCCATGTGCTGCACAAAAGTCTGGCATCTTGGACTGTAGGGGGTATTTCTGTAAACACAAAGCCAGGCATTTACTGTATCACAACGAATCTAAATTAAGGATATATTTTACTAATGAAACACCTTGGAAATCATATTATGTATGTTCAAAGCAATGTAGATGCCGATGCCAATTGCGATGTCAGAGGGCCTCTATTCTCTAGGATCTTATGACTACTCACACTGTTATAGGGCATATCTAAAGAGACCCGAGAGAGAAGGGTGATATGAATTGGGTGGGGGGGACAGGGACGGCAATCAGAGGGCCCTTGGGCTTTGGGGGATGGCAGTCAGAGGGCCCCTGGGCTATGGGGGACAGCAGTCGCAGGGCCCCTGGGCTGGCCTTGCTGTAGTGCCTCTCGTGAATACTCCTACAGGAGCCCTAACGTTTACCAACTAGGGGTTCAAGGAAGTAGGGGGGAATGCTTTCAGAGGGCCCTATGATTATGAAAGCCCCTGCTAAGGGTCGTGACTTCTGGCTATGTGGGGGCCCTAGGGAGAGCCCTAATGGGAGAGCATACTGTTAAGAGAGCCCTCTGATCACAAATGTTCTTAAAGGGCCTCTGATTTACCAAGGGTTTTGAATGAAAGTCCTTTCAGTGAGCCCTAAGGCCCAGGATATGCTAGCTGTGTGACTTAATTTACGTGTGCAACCGCACATACTTGCAGCAGAACGATGAGAGCACTACGCATGATACTGGTAGTGTTGCCAAAAACGAATCACCAAAAGTCGCTATTGGTTCTCTGAAAAGTCACTAGATTACGTCATGACGTTACTATGATGTCATAACATCAGACACGACTCACTGAGCTCAAGAAAATGTGTCTACATGGCTATGTTGACAATCCCAAAGGGTACAGTTTTGAGATCGGGGCTAATGTGCAGTGCTGCTTAACCATGAAATAGGCTTCTGGTGGCGGTGCAGAGCTGAAGTTACATGGAAAAACAATGATTTTGACACTTGAGAGATGTGTTTTTTTAAAGTCGCCAGATTCACCTAGAAAGCTGCTAAGTCGCTAGATGAGGTTTTATTTGCTAGAGATGGCCAAAGGTCGCTAAATCTAGCGACAAAGTCGCTAAATTGGCACCATTGGATACTTGCGGTTTCATGTAGGGGGCAGATAGCCAACCGGGCTCTCATTAATATTTTCCACCATTGTTTGACTCTACCACAAGCTAAACATGGAAGTTCGGAAGATCGCCCCTCGCGGTTGTGTCAATATTGCAACATGCGCACATGTCTGCATACCTTGTGTTCAGGTGTGCTATTAGGCGTAACATGGACATAAAATACGCATGGCAACGCATTCAGGCATGAAATGTGCACACGGTAAGCATATCCTGGGCCTAACACTGGCCCCAGTAGACAGCTAGTAGAAGCTGGACCTATTTTCTATGAGAAGTGATTTCGCTCCCGCACAGTATTGTGTGTACACAATATGACATGGTCCTTGGAGTGCATCAAAACTGTCATTGCGACACGTCCAAAAGTTCAGAAATCTCCAACTCCATGCAAATTTATCGTGCGTCGCGACCATATCGTGAAGTGAGTGTCCAATAGCCGAGCTAGACTCAGGGGTGGGCTGTACAGTGGTCCAGTCACAATACACAGCAGATTCACGTGTCATTATAACCTATAGTTACTTCAAAGAGAGCAGTAGACTGGCAGATATTCACCTTCAGAACACTGAGTTTTGCCCCACTTCACTTTGCAGATTTCGCTTCCTTATGTCCCCACCGTAAAGGGGTGTACTTTACACACCAATGCCAACAAAGTGAAGTCCAAGTGAAAATCCAATATCAATACAACACTCCCACATTACACTTGGCATTGCTTTTATCGAAACTCCTCACATGGCAGAAATTTTGATAGTTTAAGTGAAAAAAATATTGTTAAATCGATTTATCGAAACTCCTAACAACATTCTTACATTAAAACCTTTCCTAGACTATCAGATTTAGCATCCAACACCCTATTAAAAAGCTCATTGACATTTACATTGTATTGTATTGTATTGTAATAATAGTGTACCTTAACTAGACTTAAAGCCATTGTAAGGACTACTGTATTTTCAGTGAACAAATCTGAAAGTCTAAGTGGAACTAGAAAAATTGCATTTCCTTGCAGAAAATGCGTGGAAATGCTGAGTGCTGAAAGAGCAATGCTAAGATGCTAATAAAACATGGAGAAAGATATTAATGTAAAAGCTGTTGAAGGGGTGAAAAAGAAATATAAGTTGAATCATTGTGAAAATGGTTGAAGGACAAACAGTATGAATATGCTCCATAAATTGAAATTTTATTCATGCTGAAAGAGGCCAGAAAAATGACTGAAATTGCACAAAGTTTGAACGAAGAAGTAAATTACCTTAAAAGGCAGGAAGGTGAGAAGTGGCATAAGTTTAAGTTGTTGTTCTAGTGGTAGTATGATAAGTAGTCATAGTAGTGATATTAGTAGTCATGTAGTGATATTAGTAGTCATGTAAGCAGTAGAAACAGTTTGAGAATAGGAGTCAAAGTAGTAGAGCTAGTGGTAGAAGTAGTAGTCGCAGTAGAGAAAGTAGAAATAGTAGCAATAGTAGTTGAAGTAGAAGTCAAAGTACTAGTTTAATGAATATTAGCAGTAGTTGTAGTAGAAGTGGGATTTTGTTTAAGGGGTGAGTAATGCATGAATACTAAAACTATTTTAAACGGAAATTTTTGATAATTAAAAATCCTCAAGTATTATAAAGTTTTTAAGTACCAGAAAGGTTTGAATAAGTTTTACTTTGTTCAAACAATTGAGGAATGCATTATTATGCATTATATATTATATATTATTACACAATTGAGGGAGGCATTTAACAATATCTCCAAAGACTCACAGGAGAAACGTGAAACTAGAAGCGAGGCCTCTGCACTCTGTGGCAAGCTGGACACCCTAGAGATAGCTTTCATGGCACACTTTTGGGATACAATACTGCCACGAGCCTGCAGTTGCAGAAACATGACATTGACATACACACGGCTACACAGCTTCTCATTTCACTTCGTGACTTTGTGGCAGCTTAACTGTTACCGACTCAGTCTCCCAAGACTACAGACATGACCTCCAGCGCACAAAGAAGAGCAAATGTATGGCTGATGAAAGTGCAGAGCCAGGTGTTGAATTTAGTGGAAGTTTCGGATTGAAACGTTCAATGTTCTATTTGAAAAACTTGTGTCCTGTCTTAACCATCGGTTAACTGCATACACACACTTGACCAATCTTTTTCATGTTCTTTTCATGTCTGATAATCTGTCCAACAGTGAGCTCACTTTAAGGGCAGAATCTCTTGGTGCAGCATATCCCACTGATCTGACCTGACCCACTGATCAGCTTGGCAGATGAACTTGTTCAGTACAAATCATTCATTTCAGAAGAACAAAAATGCTTTCCAAAATGTTTACATAGCACTCAGACTGTTTTTGACCCTGCCAATAACAAACTGTGAAGGGGAACCCTCATTCTCTAGACTGGCTCGAATAAAAAATGAGCTCAGGATGAAAATGTGCCAAAATGGGTTGAATTCACTATCCCTTCTTGCAATAGAATCAGAGTTTGTTTGACAGCCCAACTTTGATTAGTTAGTGGACGACTTTGCAAGAAGGAAGAGCAGAAAGAAACTTTTATAGAATCCTTAGGTACAGTAGGTTGGTGCGGGGGTGGGGGGTGGGGGTGGGGTTCGGAGTGTTGGGGGGGGGGGGGGGGGGGGGAGTTTGGACCCCTCTCGGACCCCTCGGACCCCCATAATCCGGCCCTGCCCCCACCTGTATTCAACCGACACCTGCAATGTCTGTCATGGTAGCAATAACTCGTATGCTATATAACGTGTAGTCAGACGGAGCCGATAAACTCCGCATGTTTATTCAACAACAACAACAACAGAGGACATCCCGTCACTTGTAATAACAGTTCCCCACCTAGTGGTAGCTTAGGGAAACACAGGGCAACATCACAACAGCTCTCACAACACATCCTCCCTTCTGAGTAGGCTGCATACAATAGGCCATAACATAATAGAACACCTCAGAAGTTCACCAGTTGTGTTGCAGATTATCCTTAGCCCATTCTTTTGTTAGTCACTCCAAGTAACTTCAAAATAAATCAAAATATTCCAAACTGTTTAACAACACCATTGTATCACACTCACTTATCTTTCCTTTCTTTCCCTAACTATGAAGGTGGGGTGGACTACCCATTCCTTCATCTGAGTGAGGGGATTATTCTGCACCGAGCTGGTCACTCAGAGTTACGAGAGTACCTTCTATCTGATTCAAAGTCCATAAGGTACCTCGGAGGGTTTCTCTCTCTGGTAGGGTAACGCCTCTCCATCGCTTGGACCCTCGGCGGTGTAGTGTTGGGCCTCACCGTAACCTGGTCTCTTGGATCGTGGACCGGTGCGATGTCCGCTGGTGAAGCAGGGGTCTGTGGGGTTTTAGGTCCAGCTCCAGCCCCAGGCAAGGTGACGAGATGACTTCAGTTGCGCTGCAGATTCCCTCTGGAGCGTGTCAATGATGTAGGAGCGTGTTGTGTCAGCTCCAGCTGTCACTGTCCCCTTCTCCTTCATATCGATGACCCAAACGCGGTCACCAGGGTTCAGGCTGGCCATGTTGCGGGCTCTGTGTCTGTCATTGAACCATTTCTGCTGTTTCTCTCTCTCCCTCTGTTCTTTCTTTCTCAGGGCTTTGACATTTGGCCATTTTGGGTTCAGACAAGATGGGAGAACTGGAACTGTGGTACGTAGCTTTCTCCCCATCAGCAAGCGGAGTGGCCCGATATGTCATGAGGGCCATGTATGGGTCAGCGCATTTTTTCAGGAGGTCCTTCACAGTTCTTACTGCTTTTTCAGCCTCCCCATTGCATTGCGGATATCTGGGGCTGGAGGTAGTGTGAACAAAACCCCACTCTGAGGCGAACTCTCGGAAGAGGTCTGCACTGAATGTCTGCCATTGTCACTCCATACCTCCCGAGCAATGCCATGACATGATGTTTTCTTTATTTTTTTTTTTTCTTCAGTTTTTTTTTTTTCCTTTTTTTTTGCCTGGCACCTCTGTCTGGATGAGCTACTCTTAGTCTGGTCCCTCCCCCAGGACCTGTTTGCCTTGGGTAACCTTTCAGAGGCATAAAGCCCTGACAACATAGCTCCTGGGATCATTGGGACACACAAACCCCTCCACCACGGTAAGGTGGTAGCTCAAGGAGGGGAAAAAACCCTCACATGGGAGGGAAAAACCCAAAAAGGGGTTTTTTTTCTGTGCAAAACACCCGGTTTAGGGTGTTTTTTTTTTCAGAAATACTTTTCTTTTTTTTTTTGTTTCCTATAGTTCTTTTTTATTTTTCTGCCTGTTTTAAGTTTTTTTTTATGAAATACTATTATGTTTCTTTTTTTTTTTTTAGTTTTTTATTTTTTTTTAATTTCCTGCCTATTTTAAGGGTTTTTTATGTTTAAGTTTTCTTTTTCTGTTTTTCAGTTTTCTGCCTGCTTTAAGGGTGTTTTAAATTTTAAATGTAATTAAAAAATTTTAAAAATATTTGTTGATTTGTGTTTTTGTTTTTTATTTGTTTGTGTTTTTTTTTTTTAGAAAAAACTTAGTTAGTTTTTAGTTAGTTTTTTTTCCAGTTTTCTGCCTCTTTGAAGGGTTTTTTCTTTAGTTTTTTTTTTCAGTTTTCTGCCATTTTTAAGGGTGTATATATATACTTCAATATCCACATTGACAACACCAACCTGCCCCTCACTAGAGACTTCTCATCATGCCTGGACAGTTTTAGACTCCATCAAGACTCCAAGTTATTTTTTAGAAATACTATTCTTTTTCTTCTTTTTTAGTTTTCTTTAGTTTTTTTCTGCCTGTTTTAATTTTTTTAATTATTTTTTATATATATATTTAAAGTGTTTTTTTCAGATATACTTTTCTTTCGTTTTTTTAATTTTGTTTATACTATCCTTTCTCTTTTTTTTAGTTTTCTTTAGTTTTTTCTGCCTGTTTAAAGTTTATTTTAGTTTTTTTTGTTATATATATATTTTTTTAAAGTGTTTTTTTCAGATAAACTTTTCTTTCTGTTTCCTTTAATTTTGTTAATACTATTATTTCTCTTTTTTTAGTTTTCTTTATTTTTTTTCTGCCTGTTTTAAGTTTTTTTTGTTTGTTTTTTTGTTATATATATATATATATATATATATATATATATATATATATATATATATATATATATATATATATTTAGGGTGTTTTTTTCAGATATACTATTCTTTCTGTTTTTTTTGTTTTTCTTTATACTATTCTTTCTCCTTTTTTAGTTTTCTTTAGTTTTTTCTGCCTGTTCTAAGTATTTTTTGTCTTTTTTTATTTTTTTGAACTTTTTTTTAGAAATACTAATCTTCTTTTTATTATTTTTCTTTATATTTTTTCTGCCTGTTTTAAGTTTTTTTTTGTTATTTATATATATTAAGGGTGTTCTTTTCTGAAATACTTTTCCTTCTGTTTTTTTTATTTTGTTTATACTATCCTTTCTCTTTTTTAGTTTTCTTTAGTTTTTTCTGCCTGTTTTAAGTTTTTTTTTAGTTTTTTCTATATATTTAGGGTGTTTTTTTCTGAAATACTATTCCTTCTGTTTCTTTTTTATTTTGTTTTTACTATCATTTCTCTTTTTTAGTTTTCTTTAGTTTTTTTTTCTGCCTGTTTTAAGTTTTTTTTAGTTTTTTGTTATTTATATATATTTAGGGTGTTCTTTTCTGAAATACTTTTCTTTCTGTTTTTTTAATTTTGTTTATACTATCCTTTCTCTTTTTTTAGTTTTCTTTAGTTTTTTGTCTGCCTGTTTTAAGTTTTTTTATTAGTTTTTTTAGTTCTTTTTATTTATAATTAGGGTGTTTTTTTTAGTTTTTTTGAAGTTTTTTTGAAGTTTTTTTAGAAATACTAATCTTCTTGTTTTTATTAGTTTTCTTTAGTTTTATTCTGCCTGTTTTAAGTTTTTTTTTTTTTCTATATATTTGGGGTGTTTTTTCTGATATACTTTTCTTTCTGTTTTTTTAATTTTGTTTATACTATCCTTTCTCTTTTTTTAGTTTTCTTTAGTTTTTTGTCTGCCTGTTTTAAGTTTTTTGTATTAGTTTTTTGAGTTCTTTTTGTTTTTTATAATTAGGGTGTTTTTTTTTCAGAAATACTTTTCCTTCTGTTTTTTTTATTTTGTTTACACTATCCTTTCTCCTCTTTTTAGTTTACTTTAGTTTTTTCTGCCTGTTTTAAGTTTTTTTTTTAGTTTTTTAAAGTTTTTTTTAGAAATACTATTCTTTTTCTTCTTTTTTTTAGTTTTCTTTAGTTTTATTCTGCCTGTTTTTAGGGGGTTTTTTCAGGTTATTTTCAGTTTTTTTGTTATTTATATATATATAGGTTGTTCTTTTCTGAAATACTTTTCCTTCTGTTTTTTTTATTTTGTTTATACTATCCTTTCTATCCTTCTATCCTTTTTCCTATCCTTTCTTTTGTTTTTTTTAGTTCTTTTTGTTATATATATTTAGGGTGTTTTTTTTCAGAAATACTTTTCCTTCTGTTTTTTAAATTTTGTATACACTATCCTTTCTCCTTTTTTTAGTTTACTTTAGTTTTTTTCTGCCTGTTTTAAGTTTTTTTTTTAGTTTTTTTAGTTTTTTAAAGTTTTTTTTAGAAAATACTATTCTTTTTCTTCTTTTTTAGTTTTCTTTAGTTTTATTCTGCCTGTTTTTAAGGTTTTTTTTAGTTTTTTTTTCTTTTTTTATTATTTATATATATATAGGTTGTTCTTTTCTGAAATACTTTTCCTTCTGTTTTTTTATTTTGTTTATACTATCCTTTCTCTTTTTTTAGTTTTCTTTAGTTTTTTTCTCCCTGTTTTAATTTTTTATTAGAAAAACTATTCTTTTTCTTATCTTGAAGACTTAAAAACAGGCAACTGGACTGTGTAGAGTTGAGAGTTGTTATTTATAAATATTAAGGGTTTTCCTTTCTGAAATACTTTTCCTTCTGTTTTTTTATTTTGTTTACACTATCCTTTCTCTTTTTTAGTTTTCTTCAGTTTTTTCTGCCTGTTTTAATTTTTTTTGTTTTTTCTATATATTTAGGGTGTTTTTTCTGATATACTTTTCTTTCTGTTTTTTTAATTTTGTTTATACTATCCTTTCTCTTTTTTTAGTTTTCTTTAGTTTTTTGTCTGCCTGTTTTAAGTTTTTTTTATTAGTTTTTTTAGTTCTTTTTGTTATATATATTTAGGGTGTTTTTTTTCAGAAATACTTTTCCTTCTGTTTTTTTATTTTGTTTACACTATCCTTTCTCCTTTTTTAGTTTTCTTTAGTTTTTTTCTGCCTGTTTTAAGTTTTTTTTTTAGTTTTTTAAAGTTTTTTTTAGAAATACTATTCTTTTTTTCTTTTTTTAGTTTTCTTTAGTTTTATTCTGCCTGTTTTTAAGGGTTTTTTTCAGGTTTTTTTCAGTTTTTTTGTTATTTATATATATATATAGGTTGTTCTTTTCTGAAATACTTTTCCTTCTGTTTTTTTTATTTTGTTTATACTATCCTTTCTATCCTTCTATCCTTTTTCCTATCCTTTCTTTTGTTTTTTTTAGTTCTTTTTGTTATATATATTTAGGGTGTTTTTTTTCAGAAATACTTTTCCTTCTGTTTTTTAAATTTTGTATACACTATCCTTTCTCCTTTTTTTAGTTTACTTTAGTTTTTTTCTGCCTGTTTAAATTTTTTTTTTTAGTTTTTTTAGTTTTTTAAAGTTTTTTTTAGAAAATACTATTCTTTTTCTTCTTTTTTAGTTTTCTTTAGTTTTATTCTGCCTGTTTTTAAGGTTTTTTTTAGTTTTTTTTTCTTTTTTTATTATTTATATATATATAGGTTGTTCTTTTCTGAAATACTTTTCCTTCTTTTTTTTTATTTTGTTTATAATATCCTTTCTCTTTTTTTAGTTTTCTTTAGTTTTTTTCTCCCTGTTTTAATTTTTTATTAGAAAAACTATTCTTTTTCTTATCTTGAAGACTTAAAAACAGGCAACTGGACTGTGTAGAGTTGAGAGTTGTTATTTATAAATATTAAGGGTTTTCCTTTCTGAAATACTTTTCCTTCTGTTTTTTTATTTTGTTTATACTATCCTTTCTCTTTTTTAGTTTTCTTCAGTTTTTTTCTGCCTGTTTTAATTTTTTTTGTTTTTTCTATATATTTAGGGTGTTTTTTCTGATATACTTTTCTTTCTGTTTTTTTAATTTTGTTTATACTATCCTTTCTCTTTTTTTAGTTTTCTTTAGTTTTTTGTCTGCCTGTTTTAAGTTTTTTTTATTAGTTTTTTTAGTTCTTTTTGTTATATATATTTAGGGTGTTTTTTTTCAGAAATAGTTTTCCTTCTGTTTTTTTATTTTGTTTACACTATCCTTTCTCCTCTTTTTAGTTCACTTTAGTTTTTTTCTGCCTGTTTTAAGTTTTTTTTTTAGTTTTTTAAAGTTTTTTTTAGAAATACTATTCTTTTTCTTTTTTTTTTAGTTTTCTTTAGTTTTATTCTGCCTGTTTTTAAGGGGTTTTTTCAGGTTTTTTTCAGTTTTTTTGAAGTTTTTTTGAAGTTTTTTTAGAAATACTAATCTTCTTCTTGTTTTTATTAGTTTTCTTTAGTTTTATTCTGCCTGTTTTAAGTTTTTTTTTTTTCTATATATTTGGGGTGTTTTTTCTGATATACTTTTCTTTCTGTTTTTTTAATTTTGTTTATACTATCCTTTCTCTTTTTTTAGTTTTCTTTAGTTTTTTGTCTGCCTGTTTTAAGTTTTTTGTATTAGTTTTTTGAGTTCTTTTTGTTTTTTATAATTAGGGTGTTTTTTTCAGAAATACTTTTCCTTCTGTTTTTTTTATTTTGTTTACACTATCCTTTCTCCTCTTTTTAGTTTACTTTAGTTTTTTTCTGCCTGTTTTAAGTTTTTTTTTTAGTTTTTTAAAGTTTTTTAGAAATACTATTCTTTTTCTTCTTTTTTTAGTTTTCTTTAGTTTTATTCTGCCTGTTTTTAAGGGGTTTTTTCAGGTTTTTTTCAGTTTTTTTGTTATTTATATATATATAGGTTGTTCTTTTCTGAAATACTTTTCCTTCTGTTTTTTTATTTTGTTTATACTATCCTTTCTATCCTTCTATCCTTTATCCTATCCTTTCTTTTGTTTTTTTTAATTCTATTTGTTATATATATTTAGGGTGTTTTTTTTCAGAAATACTTTTCCTTCTGTTTTTTAAATTTTGTATACACTATCCTTTCTCCTTTTTTTAGTTTACTTTAGTTTTTTTCTGCCTGTTTTAAGTCTTTTTTTAGTTTTTTTAGTTTTTTAAAGTTTTTTTAGAAAATACTATTCTTTTCTTCTTTTTTAGTTTTCTTTAGTTTTATCCTGCCTGTTTTTAAGTTTTTTTTTAGTTTTTTTTTTCTTTTTTTATTATTTATATATATATAGGTTGTTCTTTTCTGAAATACTTTTCCTTCTGTTTTTTTATTTTGTTTATACTATCCTTTCTCTTTTTTAGTTTTCTTCAGTTTTTTTCTGCCTGTTTTAATTTTTTTTGTTTTTTCTATATATTTAGGGTGTTTTTTCTGATATACTTTTCTTTCTGTTTTTTTAATTTTGTTTATACTATCCTTTCTCTTTTTTTAGTTTTCTTTAGTTTTTTGTCTGCCTGTTTTAAGTTTTTTTTAAGGTTTTTTTCAGTTTTTTGTTATTTATATATATATATAGGTTGTTCTTTTCTGAAATACTTTTCCTTCTTTTTTTTATTTTGTTTATACTATCCTTTCTCCTTTTTAGTTTTCTTTAGTTTTTGTCTGCCTGTTTTAAGTTTTTTTTTTAGTTTTTTGAAGTTTTTTTTAGAAATACTAATCTTTTTATTAGTTTTCTTTAGTTTTTTTCTGCCTGTTTTAATTGTTTTGTTTTTTGTTTCCTTTAGTTTTTTTTTCTTCAGTTTTTTTTACCTATTTTTTTGCCTGGCACCTCTTTCTTGATGAGCTACTCTTAGTCTGGTCCCTCCCCCAGGACCTGCTGCCTTGGGTAACCTTTCAGAGGCATAAAGCCCTGACAACATAGCTCCTGGGATCATTGGGACACACAAACCCCTCCACCACGGTAAGGTGGTAGCTCAAGGAGGGGAAAAAACCCTCACATGGGAGGGAAAAACCGCAAGGGTTTTTTTTTCTGTGCAAAACACCCGGTTTAGGGTGGGTTTTTGTTCTTTTTTTTCAGAAATACTTTTCATTTCTTTAGTTTCCTATAGTTCTTTTTTATTTTTCTGCCTGTTTTAAGTTTTTTTTTCAGAAATACTGTGATGTTTCTTTTTTTTTTAGTTTTTTTTTATGAATACTATTCTTTTTCTCAGTTTTCTTTAGTTTTTTTTGTCATTTATAAATATTAAGGGTTTTCCTTTCTGAAATACTTTTCCTTCTGTTTTTTTATTTTGTTTATACTATCCTTTCTCTTTTTTAGTTTTCTTTAGTATTTTCTACCTGTTTTAAGTTTTTTTTTTGTTTTTTTTGTTTTTTCTATATATTTAGGGTGTTTTTTTCTGAAATACTTTTCCTTCTGTTTTTTTTATTTTGTTTATACTATCCTTTCTCTTTTTTAGTTTTCTTTAGTTTTTTTCTGCCTGTTTTAAGTTTTTTTTGTTTTTTCTATATATTTAGGGTGTTTTATCAGAAATACTTTTCCTTCTGTTTTTTTTATTTTGTTTATACTATCCTTTCTCTTTTTTAGTTTTCTTTAGTTTTTTTCTGCCTGTTTTAAGTTTTTTTTAGTTTTTTTAGTTTTTTAGTTTTTTCTATATATTTAGGGTGTTTTTTCTGAAATACTTTTCCTTCTGTTTTTTTTATTTTTTTTATACTATCCTTTCTCTTTCTTTAATTTTCTTTAGTTTTTTGTCTGCCTGTTTTAAGTGTTTTTTTTTATTTTTTAAAGTTTTTTTTTAGAAATACTATTCTTTTTCTTCTTTTTTTAGTTTTCTTTAGTTTTATTCTGCCTGTTTTTAAGGGTTTTTTTAGGTTTTTTTCAGTTTTTTGTTATTTATATATATAAACAACCTGTTTTAAGGTTGTTTTTTAGTTTTTTTCTTGTTGTTATTTATATATATTAAGGGTGTTCTTTTCTGAAATACTTTTCCTTCTTTTTTTTCATTTTGTTTATAATATCCTTTCTCTTTTTTAGTTTTCTTTAGTTTTTTTCTGCCTGTTTTAAGTTTTTTTTTTTTTTTTTTTTCTATATATTTAGGGTGTTTTTTTTCTCAAATACTATTCTTTTTCTCCTTTTTTTAGTTTTCTTTAGTTTTATTCTGCCTGTTTTTAAGGTTTTTTTTTAGTTTTTTTTCAGTTTTTTGTTATTTATATACACTCACTGGCCACTTTATTAGGTACACCTGTCCAACTGCTCGTTAACACTTAATTTCTAATCAGCCAATCACATGGCGGCAACTTAGTGCATTTAGGCATGTAGACATGGTCAAGACAATCTCCTGCAGTTCAAACCGAGCATCAGTATGGGGAAGAAAGGTGATTTGAGTGACTTTGAACGTGGCATGGTTGTTAGTGCCAGAAGGGCTGGTCTGAGTATTTCAGAAACTGCTGATCTACTGGGATTTTCACGCACAACCATCTCTAGGGTTTACAGAGAATGGTCCGAAAAAGAAAAAATATCCAGTGAGCGGCAGTTCTGTGGGCGGAAATGCCTTGTTGATGCCAGAGGTCAGAGGAGAATGGCCAGACTGGTTTGAGCTGATAGAAAGGCAACAGTGACTCAAATAACCACCCGTTACAACCAAGGTAGGCAGAAGAGCATCTCTGAACGCACAGTACATCGAACTTTGAGGCAGATGGGCTACAGCAGCAGAAGACCACGCCAGGTGCCACTCCTTTCAGCTAAGAACAGGAAACTGAGGCTACAATTTGCACAAGCTCATCGAAATTGGACAATGAAGATTGGAAAAACGTTGCCTGGTCTGATGAGTCTCGATTTCTGCTGCGACATTCGGATGGTAGGGTCAGAATTTGGCGTCAACAACATGAAAGCATGGATCCATCCTGCCTTGTATCAACAGTTCTGGCTGGTGGTGGTGGTGTCATGGTGTGGGGAATATTTTCTTGGCACTCTTTGGGCCCCTTGGTACCAATTGAGCATCGTTGCAACGCCACAGCCTACCTGAGTATTGTTGCTGACCATGTCCATCCCTTTATGACCACAATGTACCCAACTTCTGATGGCTACTTTCAGCAGGATAATGCGCCATGTCATAAAGCTGGAATCATCTCAGACTGGTTTCTTGAACATGACAATGAGTTCACTGTACTCAAATGGCCTCCACAGTCACCAGATCTCAATCCAATAGAGCATCTTTGGGATGTGGTGGAGCGGGAGATTCGCATCATGGATGTGCAGCCGACAAATCTGCGGCAACTGTGTGATGCCATCATGTCAATATGGACCAAGCTCTCTGAGGAATGCTTCCAGCACCTTGTTGAATCTATGCCACGAAGAATTGAGGCAGTTCTGAAGGCAAAAGGGGGTCCAACCCGTTACTAGCATGGTGTACCTAATAAAGTGGCCGGTGAGTGTATATATATAGGTTGTTCTTTTCTGAAATACTTTTCCTTGTGTTTTTTTATTTTGTTTATACTATCCTTTCTATCCTTCTATCCTTTATCCTATCCTTTCTTATAGTTTTTTTAGTTCTTTTTGTTATATATATTTAGGGTGTTTTTTTTCAGAAATACTTTTCCTTCTGTTTTTTTATTTTGTTTACACTATCCTTTCTCTTCTTTTTAGTTTACTTTAGTTTTTTTCTGCCTGTTTTAAGTTTTTTTTTTAGTTTTTTAAAGTTTTTTTTAGAAATACTATTCTTTTTCTTCTTTTTTTAGTTTTCTTTAGTTTTATTCTGCCTGTTTTTAAGGGGTTTTTTCAGGTTTTTTTCAGTTTTTTTGAAGTTTTTTTAGAAATACTAATCTTCTTGTTTTTATTAGTTTTCTTTAGTTTTATTCTGCCTGTTTTAAGTTTTTTTTTTTTTCTATATATTTGGGGTGTTTTTTCTGATATACCTTTCTTTCTGTTTTTTTAATTTTGTTTATACTATCCTTTCTCTTTTTTTAATTTTCTTTAGTTTTTTGTCTGCCTGTTTTAAGTTTTTTGTATTAGTTTTTTGAGTTCTTTTTGTTTTTTATAATTAGGGTGTTTTTTTCAGAAATACTTTTCCTTCTGTTTTTTTTTATTTTGTTTACACTATCCTTTCTCCTCTTTTTAGTTTACTTTAGTTTTTTTCTGCCTGTTTTAAGTTTTTTTTTTAGTTTTTTAAAGTTTTTTTAGAAATACTATTCTTTTTCTTCTTTTTTTAGTTTTCTTTAGTTTTATTCTGCCTGTTTTTAAGGGTTTTTTTCAGGTTTTTTTCAGTTTTTTTGTTATTTATATATATATAGGTTGTTCTTTTCTGAAATACTTTTCCTTCTGTTTTTTTATTTTGTTTATACTATCCTTTCTATCCTTCTATCCTTTATCCTATCCTTTCTTTTGTTTTTTTTAATTCTATTTGTTATATATATTTAGGGTGTTTTTTTTCAGAAATACTTTTCCTTCTGTTTTTTAAATTTTGTATACACTATCCTTTCTCCTTTTTTTAGTTTACTTTAGTTTTTTTCTGCCTGTTTTAAGTTTTTTTTAGTTTTTTTAGTTTTTTAAAGTTTTTTTAGAAAATACTATTCTTTTTCTTCTTTTTTAGTTTTCTTTAGTTTTATCCTGCCTGTTTTTAAGTTTTTTTTTTAGTTTTTTTTTTCTTTTTTTATTATTTATATATATATAGGTTGTTCTTTTCTGAAATACTTTTCCTTCTGTTTTTTTATTTTGTTTATACTATCCTTTCTCTTTTTTAGTTTTCTTCAGTTTTTTTCTGCCTGTTTTAATTTTTTTTTGTTTTTTCTATATATTTAGGGTGTTTTTTCTGATATACTTTTCTTTCTGTTTTTTTAATTTTGTTTATACTATCCTTTCTCTTTTTTTAGTTTTCTTTAGTTTTTTGTCTGCCTGTTTTAAGTTTTTTTTATTAGTTTTTTTAGTTCTTTTTGTTATATATATTTAGGGTGTTTTTTTTTCGGAAATAGTTTTCCTTCTGTTTTTTTATTTTGTTTACACTATCCTTTCTCCTCTTTTTAGTTCACTTTAGTTTTTTTCTGCCTGTTTTAAGTTTTTTTTTTAGTTTTTTTTAGTTTTTTAAAGTTTTTTTTAGAAATACTATTCTTTTTTTTCTTTTTTTAGTTTTCTTTAGTTTTATTCTGCCTGTTTTTAAGGTTTTTTTTAAGGTTTTTTTCAGTTTTTTGTTATTTATATATATATATAGGTTGTTTTTTTCTGAAATACTTTTCCTTCTTTTTTTTATTTTGTTTATACTATCCTTTCTCCTTTTTAGTTTTCTTTAGTTTTTGTCTGCCTGTTATAAGTTTTTTTTTAGTTTTTTGAAGTTTTTTTTAGAAATACTAATCTTCTTTTTATTAGTTTTCTTTAGTTTTTTTCTGCCTGTTTTAATTGTTTTGTTTTTTGTTTCCTTTAGTTTTTTTTTCTTCAGTTTTTTTTCCTATTTTTTTGCCTGGCACCTCTTTCTTGATGAGCTACTCTTAGTCTGGTCCCTCCCCCAGGACCTGCTGCCTTGGGTAACCTTTCAGAGGCATAAAGCCCTGACAACATAGCTCCTGGGATCATTGGGACACACAAACCCCTCCACCACGGTAAGGTGGTAGCTCAAGGAGGGGAAAAAACCCTCACATGGGAGGGAAAAACCGCAAGGGTTTTTTTTTCTGTGCAAAACACCCGGTTTAGGGTGGGTTTTTGTTCTTTTTTTTCGGAAATACTTTTCATTTCTTTAGTTTCCTATAGTTCTTTTTTATTTTTCTGCCTGTTTTAAGTTTTTTTTCAGAAATACTGTGATGTTTCTTTTTTTTTTTTAGTTTTTTTTTTTACGAATACTATTCTTTTTCTCAGTTTTCTTTAGTTTTTTTTGTCATTTATAAATATTAAGGGTTTTCCTTTCTGAAATACTTTTCCTTCTGTTTTTTTATTTTGTTTATACTATCCTTTCTCTTTTTTAGTTTTCTTTAGTATTTTCTACCTGTTTTAAGTTTTTTTTTTTTTTTTTTTTTTTTCTATATATTTAGGGTGTTTTTTTCTGAAATACTTTTCCTTCTGTTTTGTTTTATTTTGTTTATACAATCCTTTCTCTTTTTTAGTTTTCTTTAGTTTTTTTCTGCCTGTTTTAAGTTTTTTTTTTAGTTTTTTTTTGTTTTTTTTCTATATATTTAGGGTGTTTTTTCTGATATACTTTTCTTTCTGTTTTTTTTAATATTGTTTATACTATCATTTCTCTTTATTTAGTTTTCTTTAGTTTTTTGTCTGCCTGTTTTAAGATGTTTTTATTAGTTTTTTTAGTTCTTTTTGTTATATATATTTAGGGTGTTTTTTTTCAGAAATAGTTTTCCTTCTGTTTTTTTTTATTTTGTTTACACTGTCCTTTCTCTTTTTTTTTAATTTTCTTTAGTTTTTTGTCTGCCTGTTTTTAGTTTTTTTTTTTAGTTTTTTTTTTAGTTCTTTTTGTAATATATTTAGGGTGTTTTATCAGAAATACTTTTCCTTCTGTTTTTTTATTTTGTTTATAATATCCTTTCTCCTTTTTTAGTTTACTTTAGTTTTTTCTGCCTGTTTTAAGTTTTTTTTTTAGATTTTTTTTAGTTTTTTAAAGTTTGTTTTAGAAATACTATTCTTTTTCTTCTTTTTTTAGGTTTCTTTAGTTTTTTTCTGCCTGTTTTAAGGTTGTTTTTTAGTTTTTTTTTCTTGTTGTTATTTATATATATATAGGTTGTTCTTTTCTGAAATACTTTTCCTTCTGTTTTTTTTATTTTGTTTATACTATCCTTTCTCTTTTTTAGTTTTCTTTAGTTTTTTTCTGCCTGTTTTAAGTTTTTTTTGTTTTTTCTATATATTTAGGGTGTTTTTTTTCTCAAATACTTTTCCTTCTGTTTTTTTTATTTTGTTTACACTATCCTTTCTCTTTTTTTAATTTTCTTTAGTTTTTTGTCTGCCTGTTTTTAGTTTTTTTTTTTTTAGTTTTTTTTAGTTCTTTTTGTAATATATTTAGGGTGTTTTATCAGAAATACTTTTCCTTCTGTTTTTTTTATTTTGTTTATACTATCCTTTCTCTTTTTTAGTTTTCTTTAGTTTTTTTCTGCCTGTTTTAAGTTTTTTTTAGTTTTTTTAGTTTTTTAGTTTTTTCTATATATTTAGGGTGTTTTTTTCTGAAATACTTTTCCTTCTGTTTTTTTTATTTTGTTTATACTATCCTTTCTCTTTCTTTAATTTTCTTTAGTTTTTTGTCTGCCTGTTTTAAGTGTTTTTTTTTAGTTTTTTAAAGTTTTTTTTTAGAAATACTATTCTTTTTCTTCTTTTTTTAGTTTTCTTTAGTTTTATTCTGCCTGTTTTTAAGGGTTTTTTTAGGTTTTTTTCAGTTTTTTGTTATTTATATATATAAACAACCTGTTTTAAGGTTGTTTTTTAGTTTTTTTCTTGTTGTTATTTATATATATTAAGGGTGTTCTTTTCTGAAATACTTTTCCTTCTTTTTTTTCATTTTGTTTATAATATCCTTTCTCTTTTTTAGTTTTCTTTAGTTTTTTTCTCCCTGTTTTAAGTTTTTTTTTTTTTTTTTTTTTTTCTATATATTTAGGGTGTTTTTTTTCTCAAATACTATTCTTTTTCTCCTTTTTTTTAGTTTTCTTTAGTTTTATTCTGCCTGTTTTTAAGGTTTTTTTTTAGTTTTTTTTCAGTTTTTTGTTATTTATATACACTCACTGGCCACTTTATTAGGTACACCTGTCCAACTGCTCGTTAACACTTAATTTCTAATCAGCCAATCACATGGCGGCAACTTAGTGCATTTAGGCATGTAGACATGGTCAAGACAATCTCCTGCAGTTCAAACCGAGCATCAGTATGGGGAAGAAAGGTGATTTGAGTGACTTTGAACGTGGCATGGTTGTTAGTGCCAGAAGGGCTGGTCTGAGTATTTCAGAAACTGCTGATCTACTGGGATTTTCACGCACAACCATCTCTAGGGTTTACAGAGAATGGTCCGAAAAAGAAAAAATATCCAGTGAGCGGCAGTTCTGTGGGCGGAAATGCCTTGTTGATGCCAGAGGTCAGAGGAGAATGGCCAGACTGGTTTGAGCTGATAGAAAGGCAACAGTGACTCAAATAACCACCCGTTACAACCAAGGTAGGCAGAAGAGCATCTCTGAACGCACAGTACATCGAACTTTGAGGCAGATGGGCTACAGCAGCAGAAGACCACGCCAGGTGCCACTCCTTTCAGCTAAGAACAGGAAACTGAGGCTACAATTTGCACAAGCTCATCGAAATTGGACAATGAAGATTGGAAAAACGTTGCCTGGTCTGATGAGTCTCGATTTCTGCTACGACATTCGGATGGTAGGGTCAGAATTTGGCGTCAACAACATGAAAGCATGGATCCATCCTGCCTTGTATCAACAGTTCTGGCTGGTGGTGGTGGTGTCATGGTGTGGGGAATATTTTCTTGGCACTCTTTGGGCCCCTTGGTACCAATTGAGCATCGTTGCAACGCCACAGCCTACCTGAGTATTGTTGCTGACCATGTCCATCCCTTTATGACCACAATGTACCCAACTTCTGATGGCTACTTTCAGCAGGATAATGCGCCATGTCATAAAGCTGGAATCATCTCAGACTGGTTTCTTGAACATGACAATGAGTTCACTGTACTCAAATGGCCTCCACAGTCACCAGATCTCAATCCAATAGAGCATCTTTGGGATGTGGTGGAGCGGGAGATTCGCATCATGGATGTGCAGCCGACAAATCTGCGGCAACTGTGTGATGCCATCATGTCAATATGGACCAAGCTCTCTGAGGAATGCTTCCAGCACCTTGTTGAATCTATGCCACGAAGAATTGAGGCAGTTCTGAAGGCAAAAGGGGGTCCAACCCGTTACTAGCATGGTGTACCTAATAAAGTGGCCGGTGAGTGTATATATATAGGTTGTTCTTTTCTGAAATACTTTTCCTTGTGTTTTTTTATTTTGTTTATACTATCCTTTCTATCCTTCTATCCTTTATCCTATCCTTTCTTTTAGTTTTTTTAGTTCTTTTTGTTATATATATTTAGGGTGTTTTTTTTCAGAAATACTTTTCCTTCTGTTTTTTTAATTTTGTTTACACTATCCTTTCTCCTTTTTTTGGTTAACTTTAGTTTTTTTCTGCCTGTTTTAAGGTTGTTTTTTAGTTTTTTTTAGTTTTTTAAAGTTTTTTTTTTAGAAATACTATCCTTTTCTTCTTTTTTAATTTTCTTTAGTTTTATTCTTCCTGTTTTTAAGTTTTTTTTAGTTTTTTTTTAGTTTTTTGTTATTTATATATATAGGTTGTTCTTTTCTGAAATACTTTTCCTTCTGTTTTTTTTATTTTGTTTATACTATCCTTTCTCTTTTTTTTAGTTTTCTTTAGTTTTTTTTCTGCCTGTTTTAATTTTTTATTAGAAAAACTATTCTTTTTCTTCTTTTTTAGTTTTCTTTAGTTTTTTTCTGCATGTTTAAAGTTGTTTTTTAGTTTTTTTTTGTTATTTATAAATATTAAGGGTTTTCCTTTCTAAAATACTTTTCCTTCTGTTTTTTTATTTTGTTTATACCATCCTTTCTCTTTTTTAGTTTTCTTTAGTTTTTTTCTGCCTGTTTTAAGTTTTTTTTTAGTTTTTTTAGTTTTTTAGTTTTTTCTATATATTTAGGGTGTTTTTTCTGAAATACTTTTCCTTCTGTTTTTTTTATTTTGTTTATACTATCCTTTCTCTTTCTTTAATTTTCTTTAGTTTTTTGTCTGCCTGTTTTAAGTGGTTTTTTTTAGGTTTTTTTAGTTACTTTTGTAATATATTTAGGGTGTTTTATCAGAAATACTTCTGTTTTTTTTATTTTGTTTATAATATCCTTTCTCCTTTTTTAGTTTACTTTAGTTTTTTCTGCCTGTTTTAATTTTATTTTTTAGTTTTTTTTTGTTCTTTTTGTAATATATTTAGGGTGTTTTTTCAGAAATACTGTTCCTTCTGTTTTTTTTAGTTTTTGTCTGCCTGTTCTAAGTTTTTTTTTAGTTTTTTTTAGTTTTTTTTAGAAATAATAATCTTCTTTTTATTAGTTTTCTTTAGTTTTTTTCTGCCTGTTTTAATTTTTCTGTTTTTTGTTTTCTTTAGTTTTTTTTCTTCAGTTTTTTTTTCCTATTTTTTTGCCTGGCACCTCTGTCTGGATGAGCTACTCTTAGTCTGGTCCCTCCCCCAGGACCTGTTTGCCTTGGGTAACCTTTCAGAGGCATAAAGCCCTGACAACATAGCTCCTGGGATCATTGGGACACACAAACCCCTCCACCACGGTAAGGTGGTAGCTCAAGGAGGGGAAAAAACCCTCACATGGGAGGGAAAAACCGCAAGGGTTTTTTTTTCTGTCCAAAACAACCGGTTTAGGGTGGGTTTTTGTTCTTTTTTTTCAGAAATACTTTTATTTTCTTTAGTTTCCTATAGTTCTTTTTTATTTTTCTGCCTGTTTTAAGTTTTTTTTTTCAGAAATACTGTGATTTTACTTTTTTTTTTTACTTTTTTTTTTTTTACAAATACTATTCTTTTTCTTTGTTTTCTTTAGTTTTTTTCTGCATGTTTAAAGTTTTTTTTTGTTTTTTTTGTTATTTATAAATATAAAGGGTTTTCCTTTCTAAAATACTTTTCCTTCTGTTTTTTTTATTTTGTTTATACTATCCTTTCTCTTTTTTAGTTTTCTTTAGTTTTTTTCTACCTGTTTTAAGTTTTTTTTGTTTGTCTTTTTTGTTTTTTCTATATATTTAGGGTCTTTTTTTCTGAAATACTTTTCCCTCTGTTTTTTTATTTTGTTTATACTATCCTTTCTATTTTTTAGTTTTCTTTAGTTTTTTTCTGCCTGTTTTAAGTTTTTTTTTTTTTTTTTTTATATATATTTGGGGTATTTTTTCTGATATACTTTTCTTTCTGTTTTTTCAATTTTGTTTATACTATCCTTTCTCTTTTTTTAGTTTTCTCTAGTTTTTTTCTGCCTGTTTTAAGTTTTTTTATTAGTTTTTTTAGTTTTTTTCTGTTATATATAATTAGGGTGGTTTTTTTTCAGAAATTCTTTTCCTTCTGTTTTTTTATTTTGTTTACACTATCCTTTCTCCTCTTTTTAGTTTACTTTAGTTTTTTCTGCCTGTTTTAAGTTTTTTTTTAGTTTTTAAAAGTTTTTTTTAGAAATACTATTCTTTTTCTTCTTTTTTTAGTTTTCTTTAGTTTTATTCTGCCTGTTTTTAAGGGTTTTTTTAGTTTTTTTTCAGTTTTTTTGTTATTTATATATATATATAGGTTGTTCTTTTCTGAAATACTTTTCCTTCTGTTTTTTTTTTATTTTGTTTATACCATCCTTTCTATCCTTTATTTCTTTAGTTTTTTTCTGCCTGTTTTAAGTTTTTTTTTTTTTTTTTTTTTTTTTTTTCTATATATTTGGGGTGTTTTTTCTGATATACTTTTCTTTCTGTTTTTTCAATTTTGTTTATACTATCCTTTCTCTTTTTTTAGTTTTCTCTAGTTTTTTTTCTGCCTGTTTTAAGTTTTTTTATTAGTTTTTTTAGTTTTTTTCTGTTATATATAATTAGGGTGTTTTTTTTTTCAGAAATTCTTTTCCTTCTGTTTTTTATTTTGTTTACACTATCCTTTCTCCTCTTTTTAGTTTACTTTAGTTTTTTCTGCCTGTTTTAAGTTTTTTTTTAGTTTTTAAAAGTTTTTTTTAGAAATACTATTCTTTTTCTTCTTTTTTTAGTTTTCTTTAGTTTTATTCTGCCTGTTTTTAAGGGTTTTTTTTAGTTTTTTTTTCAGTTTTTTTGTTATTTATATATATATATAGGTTGTTCTTTTCTGAAATACTTTTCCTTCTGTTTTTTTTTTTTATTTTGTTTATACCATCCTTTCTATCCTTTATCCTATCCTTTCTTTTAGTTTTTTTAGTTCTTTTTGTTATATATATTTAGGGTGTTTTTTTTCAGAAATATTTTTCCTTCTGTTTTTTTAATTTTGTTTACACTATCCTTTCTCCTTTTTTTAGTTTACTTTAGTTTTTTCTGCCTGTTTTAAGTTTTTTTTTATTTTTTTAACGTTTTTTTAGAAATACTATTCTTTTTCTTCTTTTTTAGTTTACTTTAGTTTTATTCTGCCTGTTTGTAAGTGTTTTTTTAAGTTTTTTTTGTTTTTTTGTTATTTATATATATATATGTTGTTCTTTTCTGAAATACTTTTCCTTCTGTTTTTTATTTTGTTTATACTAGCCTTTCTCTTTTTTTTAGTTTTCTTTAGTTTTTTTTCTGCCTGTTTTAATTTTTTTTTTTTTTTTTTTGTTTTTTCTATATATTTAGGGTGCTTTTTTCTGATATACTTTTCTTTCTGTTTTTTTTTATTTTGTTTTAACTATCCTTTCTCTTTTGTAGTTTTCTTCATTTTTTTCTTCATGTTTTAATTTTTTTTTTAGTTTTTTCTATATATTTAGGGTGTTTTTTTCTGAAATACTTTTCCTTCTGTTTTTTTTATTTTGTTTATACTATCCTTTCTCTTTTTTTAATTTTCTTTAGTTTTTTGTCTGCCTGTTTTAAGTTTTTCTTTTAGTTTTTTTAGTTATTTTTGTAATATATTAAGGGTGTTTTATCAGAAATACTTTTCCTTCTTTTTTTTATTTTGTTTATAATATCCTTTCTCCTTTTTTAGTTTACTTTAGATTTTTCTGCCTGTTTTAAGTTTTTTTAAAGTTTTTTTTAGTTCTTTTTGTAATATATTTAGGGTGTTTTTTCAGAAATACTGTTCCTTCTGTTTTTTTTAGTTTTTGTCTGCCTGTTCTAAGTTTTTTTTTAGTTTTTTGAAGTTTTTTTTAGAAATAATAATCTTCTTTTTATTATTTTTCTTTAGTTTTTTTCTGCCTGTTTTAATTTTTCTGTTTTTTGTTTTCTTTAGTTTTTTTTCTTCAGTTTTTTTTTCCTATTTTTTTGCCTGGCACCTCTGTCTGGATGAGCTACTCTTAGTCTGGTCCCTCCCCCAGGACCTGTTTGCCTTGGGTAACCTTTCAGAGGCATAAAGCCCTGACAACATAGCTCCTGGGATCATTGGGACACACAAACCCCTCCACCACGGTAAGGTGGTAGCTCAAGGAGGGGAAAAAACCCTCACATGGGAGGGAAAAACCCGAGGGTTTTTTTTTCTGTCCAAAACAACCGGTTTAGGGTGGGTTTTTGTTCTTTTTTTTCAGAAATACTTTTCATTTCTTTAGTTTCCTATAGTTCTTTTTTATTTTTCTGCCTGTTTTAAGTTTTTTTTTTCAGAAATACTGTGATTTTACTTTTTTTTTTACTTTTTTTTTTTTACAAATACTATTCTTTTTCTTTGTTTTCTTTAGTTTTTTTCTGCATGTTTAAAGTTTTTTTTTGTTTTTTTTGTTATTTATAAATATAAAGGGTTTTCCTTTCTAAAATACTTTTCCTTCTGTTTTTTTTATTTTGTTTATACTATCCTTTCTCTTTTTTAGTTTTCTTTAGTTTTTTTCTACCTGTTTTAAGTTTTTTTTGTTTGTCTTTTTTGTTTTTTCTATATATTTAGGGTCTTTTTTTCTGAAATACTTTTCCCTCTGTTTTTTTATTTTGTTTATACTATCCTGTCTATTTTTTAGTTTTCTTTAGTTTTTTTCTGCCTGTTTTAAGTTTTTTTTTTTTTTTTTTTCTATATATTTGGGGTATTTTTTCTGATATACTTTTCTTTCTGTTTTTTCAATTTTGTTTATACTATCCTTTCTCTTTTTTTAGTTTTCTCTAGTTTTTTTCTGCCTGTTTTAAGTTTTTTTATTAGTTTTTTTAGTTTTTTTCTGTTATATATAATTAGGGTGGTTTTTTTTCAGAAATTCTTTTCCTTCTGTTTTTTTATTTTGTTTACACTATCCTTTCTCCTCTTTTTAGTTTACTTTAGTTTTTTTCTGCCTGTTTTAAGTTTTTTTTTTAGTTTTTAAAAGTTTTTTTTAGAAATACTATTCTTTTTTTTCTTTTTTTAGTTTTCTTTAGTTTTATTCTGCCTGTTGTTAAGGTTTTTTTTTAGGTTTTTTTCAGTTTTTTTGTTATTTATATATATATATAGGTTGTTCTTTTCTGAAATACTTTTCCTTCTGTTTTTTTTTTATTTTGTTTATACCATCCTTTCTATCCTTTATTTCTTTAGTTTTTTTCTGCCTGTTTTAAGTTTTTGTTTTTTTGTTTTTTTGTTTTTTCTATATATTTCGGGTGTTTTTTCTGATATACTTTTCTTTCTGTTTTTTCAATTTTGTTTATACTATCCTTTCTCTTTTTTTAGTTTTCTCTAGTTTTTTTTCTGCCTGTTTTAAGTTTTTTTATTAGTTTTTTTAGTTTTTTTCTGTTATATATAATTAGGGTGTTTTTTTTTCAGAAATTCTTTTCCTTCTGTTTTTTTATTTTGTTTACACTATCCTTTCTCCTCTTTTTAGTTTACTTTAGTTTTTTCTGCCTGTTTTAAGTTTTTTTTTAGTTTTTTAAAGTTTTTTTTAGAAATACTATTCTTTTTCTTCTTTTTTTAGTTTTCTTTAGTTTTATTCTGCCTGTTTTTAAGGGTTTTTTTTAGTTTTTTTTTCAGTTTTTTTGTTATTTATATATATATATAGGTTTTTCTTTTCTGAAATACTTTTCCTTCTGTTTTTTTTTTTTATTTTGTTTATACCATCCTTTCTATCCTTTATCCTATCCTTTCTTTTAGTTTTTTTAGTTCTTTTTGTTATATATATTTAGGGTGTTTTTTTTCAGAAATACTTTTCCTTCTGTTTTTTTAATTTTGTTTACACTATCCTTTCTCCTTTTTTTAGTTTACTTTAGTTTTTTCTGCCTGTTTTAAGTTTTTTTTATTTTTTTAACGTTTTTTTAGAAATACTATTCTTTTTCTTCTTTTTTAGTTTTCTTTAGTTTTATTCTGCCTGTTTTTAAGTTTTTTTTAAGTTTTTTTTTGTTATTTATATATATATATATATAGGTTGTTCTTTTCTGAAATACTTTTCCTTCTGTTTTTTATTTTGTTTATACTATCCTTTCTCTTTTTTTTAGTTTTCTTTAGTTTTTTTTCTGCCTGTTTTAATTTTTTTTTGTTTTTTTTTTGTTTTTTCTATATATTTAGGGTGTTTTTTTCTGATATACTTTTCTTTCTGTTTTTTTTTATTTTGTTTTAACTATCCTTTCTCTTTTGTAGTTTTCTTCATTTTTTTCTTCATGTTTTAATTTTTTTTTTAGTTTTTTCTATATATTTAGGGTGTTTTTTTCTGAAATACTTTTCCTTCTGTTTTTTTTATTTTGTTTATACTTTCCTTTCTCTTTTTTTAATTTTCTTTAGTTTTTTGTCTGCCTGTTTTAAGTTTTTCTTTTAGTTTTTTTAGTTATTTTTGTAATATATTAAGGGTGTTTTATCAGAAATACTTTTCCTTCTTTTTTTTATTTTGTTTATAATATCCTTTCTCCTTTTTTAGTTTACTTTAGATTTTTCTGCCTGTTTTAAGTTTTTTAAAAGTTTTTTTTAGTTCTTTTTGTAATATATTTAGGGTGTTTTTTCAGAAATACTTTTCCTTCTGTTTTTTAATTTTGTTTATACTATTTTTAGTTTTCTTTAGTTTTTTTCTGCCTGTTTAAAGTTTTTTTTTTGTTTTTTTTTAGTTTTTTTTTATTTATAAATATATTTAGGGTGTTTTTTTCAGATATACTTTTCCTTCTGTTTTTTTATTTTGTTTATACCATCCTTTCTATTTTTTAGTTTTCTTTAGTTTTTTTCTGCCTGTTTTAAGTTTTGTTTTGTTTTTTTAGTTTTTTTTTGTTTTTTCTATATATTTAGGGTGTTTTTTCTGAAATACTTTTCCTTCTGTTTTTTTTTATTTTGTTTACACTATCCTTTCTCCTTTTTTAGTTTACTTTAGTTTTTTTCTGCCTGTTAAGTTTTTTTTTAGATTTTTTTTAGTTTTTTAAAGTTTTTTTTAGAAATACTATTCTTTTTCTTCTTTTTTTAGTTTTCTTTAGTTTTTTTCTGCCTGTTTTAAGTTTTTTTTAGTTTTTTGTTATTTATATATATTAAGGGTGTTCTTTTCTGAAATACTTTTCCTTATGTTTTTTATTTTGTTTATACTATCCTTTCTCTTTTTTTAGTTTTCTTTAGTTTTTTTTCTGCCTGTTTTAATTTTTTTTTGTTTTTTTTTTCTTTTTTTCTATATATTTAGGGTGTTTTTTTCTGATATACTTTTCTTTCTGTTTTTTTTTATTTTGTTTTAACTATCCTTTCTCTTTTGTAGTTTTCTTCATTTTTTTCTTCATGTTTTAATTTTTTTTTTTAGTTTTTTCTATATATTTAGGGTGTTTTTTTCTGAAATACTTTTCCTTCTGTTTTTTTATTTTGTTTATACTATCCTTTCTCTTTTTTTAATTTTCTTTAGTGTTTTGTCTGCCTGTTTTAAGTTTTTCTTTTAGTTTTTTAGTTCTTTTTGTAATATATTAAGGGTGTTTTATCAGAAATACTTTTCCTTCTTTTTTTTTATTTTGTTTATAATATCCTTTCTCCTTTTTTTGTTTACTTTAGATTTTTCTGCCTGTTTTAAGTTTTTTTTAAAGTTTTTTTTAGTTCTTTTTGTAATATATTTAGGGTGTTTTTTCAGAAATACTTTTCCTTCTGTTTTTTAATTTTGTTTATACTATTTTTAGTTTTCTTTAGTTTTTTTCTGCCTGTTTAAAGTTTTTTTTTTAGTTTTTTTTTAGTTTTTTTTATTTATAAATATATTTAGGGTGTGTTTTTCCGATATACTTTTCCTTCTGTTTTTTTATTTTGTTTATACCATCCTTTCTATTTTTTAGTTTTCTTTAGTTTTTTTCTGCCTGTTTTAAGTTTTGTTTTGTTTTTTTAGTTTTTTTTGTTTTTTCTATATATTTAGGGTCTTTTTTTCTGAAATACTTTTCCCTCTGTTTTTTTATTTTGTTTATACTATCCTTTCTATTTTTTAGTTTTCTTTAGTTTTTTTCTGCCTGTTTTAAGTTTTTTTTTTTTTTTTTTCTATATATTTGGGGTATTTTTTCTGATATACTTTTCTTTCTGTTTTTTCAATTTTGTTTATACTATCCTTTCTCTTTTTTTAGTTTTCTCTAGTTTTTTTCTGCCTGTTTTAAGTTTTTTTATTAGTTTTTTTTTAGTTTTTTTTATTTATAAATATATTTAGGGTGTGTTTTTCAGATATACTTTTCCTTCTGTTTTTTTATTTTGTTTATACCATCCTTTCAATTTTTTAGTTTTCTTTAGTTTTTTTCTGCCTGTTTTAAGTTTTGTTTTGTTTTTTTAGTTTTTTTTGTTTTTTCTATATATTTAGGGTGTTTTTTCTGAAATACTTTTCCTTCTGTTTTTTTTATTTTGTTTACACTATCCTTTCTCCTTTTTTAGTTTACTTTAGTTTTTTTCTGCCTGTTAAGTTTTTTTTTAGATTTTTTTTTAGTTTTTTAAAGTTTTTTTAGAAATACTATTCTTTTTCTTCTTTTTTTAGTTTTCTTTAGTTTTTGTCTGCCTGTTTTAAGTTTTTTTTAGTTTTTTGTTATTTATATATATTAAGGGTGTTCTTTTCTGAAATACTTTTCCTTCTGTTTTTTTTATTTTGTTTATACTATCCTTTCTCTTTTTTAGTTTTCTTTAGTTTTTGTCTGCCTGTTCTAAGTTTTTTTTTCAGTTTTTTGAAGTTTTTTTGGAAATACTAATCTTCTTTTTATTAGTTTTCTTTAGTTTTTTTCTGCCTGTTTTAATTTTTCTATTTTTTGTTTTCTTTAGTTTTTTTTTTCTTCAGTTTTTTTCCCTATTTTTTTCCCTGGCACCTCTGTCTGGATGAGCTACTCTTAGTCTGGTCCCTACCCCAGGACCTGCTGCCTTGGGTAACCTTTCAGAGGCATAAAGCCCTGACAACATAGCTCCTGGGATCATTGGGACACACAAACCCCTCCACCACGGTAAGGTGGTAGCTCAAGGAGGGGAAAAAACCCTCACATGGGAGGGAAAAACCGCAAGGGTTTTTTTTTCTGTCCAAAACACCCGGTTTAGGGTGGGTTTTTGTTCCTTTTTTTCAGAAATACTTTTCTTTTCTTTAGTTTCCTATAGTTCTTTTTTATTTTTCTGCCTGTTTTAAGTTTTTTTTTTCAGAAATACTGTGATTTTACTTTTTTTTTTTTTTTTTACAAATACTATTCTTTTTCTTTGTTTTCTTTAGTTTTTTTCTGCATGTTTAAAGTTTTTTTTTAGTTTTTTTGTTATTTATAAATATAAAGGGTTTCCCTTTCTAAAATACTTTTCCTTCTGTTTTTTTTATTTTGTTTATACTATCCTTTCTCTTTTTTAGTTTTCTTTAGTTTTTTTCTACCTGTTTTAATTTTTTTTTGTTTTTGTTTTTTCTATATATTTAGGGTCTTTTTTTCTGAAATACTTTTCCCTCTGTTTTTTTATTTTGTTTATACTATCCTTTCTCTTTTTTAGTTTTCTTTAGTTTTTTTCTGCCTGTTTTAAGTTTTTTTGTTGTTTTTTTTTGTTTTTTCTATATATTTGGGGTGTTTTTTCTGATATACTTTTCTTTCTGTTTTTTCAATTTTGTTTATACTATCCTTTCTCTTTTTTTAGTTTTCTCTAGTTTTTTTTCTGCCTGTTTTAAGTTTTTTTATTAGTTTTTTTAGTTTTTTTCTGTTATATATAATTAGGGTGTTTTTTTTCAGAAATTCTTTTCCTTCTGTTTTTTTATTTTGTTTACACTATCCTTTCTCCTCTTTTTAGTTTTCTTTAGTTTTATTCTGCCTGTTTGTAAGTGTTTTTTTAAGTTTTTTTTTGTTTTTTTGTTATTTATATATATATATAGGTTGTTCTTTTCTGAAATACTTTTCCTACTGTTTTTTATTTTGTTTATACTATCCTTTCTCTTTTTTTTAGTTTTCTTTAGTTTTTTTTCTGCCTGTTTTAATTTTTTTTTGTTTTTTTTGTTTTTTCTATATATTTAGGGTGTTTTTTCTGAAATACTTTTCCTTCTGTTTTTTTAATTATGTTTACACTATCCTTTCTCCTTTTTTAGTTTACTTTAGTTTTTTTCTGCCTTTTGTAAGTTTTTTTTAGATTTTTTTTAGTTTTTTAAAGTTTTTTTTAGAAATACTATTCTTTTTCTTCTTTTTTTAGTTTTCTTTAGTTTTTTTCTGCCTGTTTTAAGGTTGTTTTTTAGGTTTTTTTTTCTTGTTGTTATTTATATATATTAAGGGTGTTCTTTTCTGAAATACTTTTCCTTCTGTTTTTTTTATTTTGTTCATACTATCCTTTCTCTTTTTTAGTTTTCTTTAGTTTTTGTCTGACAGTTCTAAGTTTTTTTTTTTAGTTTTTTGAAGTTTTTTTGGAAATACTAATCTTCTTTTTATTAGTTTTCTTTAGTTTTTTTCTGCCTGTTTTAATTTTTCTATTTTTTGTTTTCTTTAGTTTTTTTTTTCTTCAGTTTTTTTCCCTATTTTTTTCCCTGGCACCTCTGTCTGGATGAGCTACTCTTAGTCTGGTCCCTCCCCCAGGACCTGCTGCCTTGGGTAACCTTTCAGAGGCATAAAGCCCTGACAACATAGCTCCTGGGATCATTGGGACACACAAACCCCTCCACCACGGTAAGGTGGTAGCTCAAGGAGGGGAAAAAACCCTCACATGGGAGGGAAAAACCGCAAGGGTTTTTTTTTCTGTCCAAAACACCCAGTTTAGGGTGGGTTTTTGTTCCTTTTTTTCAGAAATACTTTTCTTTTCTTTAGTTTCCTATAGTTCTTTTTTATTTTTCTGCCTGTTTTAAGTTTTTTTTTTTCAGAAATACTGTGATGTTTCTTTTTTTTGTTTTGTTTTTTTTACAAATACTATTCTTTTTCTTAGTTTTCTTTAGTTTTTTTTCTGCCTGTTTTAAGTTGTGTTTTGTTTTGTTTTTCTTGTTATCTATATATATTAAGGGTTTTCCTTTCTGAAATACTTTTCTTTTTCTTTTTCTTAGTTTTCTTTAGTTTTTTAAAGTTCCTGCCTGTTTTAGGTTTTTTTTTTTACTTTTTCAAGATTTTTTTAGAAATACTATTAATTTTCTTTCTTTTTAGTTTTCTTTTTTTTCAGTTTTTTTCCTTTTTTAAGGGTTTTTATTTAAGTTTTCTTTAGATTTTTTTTTCAGATTTCTTCCTGCTTTAAGGTTTTTTTTTTCTTTTTTAACTTTTTTTTTACCTTTTTTTTTCCAGATATATGACTAAAAGTTTTGTTTAGTTTTTTTTTTCGGTTTTCTGCCTGCTTTAGGTTTCCTTTTTTAGTTTTTTCACAGTCCTGAAAGTTTTTTATTTATTTATTTGTGCAGTGTGACAATACAAGACATACAACAAACAATGGCATTTGTGGTTTTGTGTGTGTGTGTGTGTGTGTGTGTGTGTGTGTGTGTGTGTGTGTGTGTGTGTGTGTGTGTGTGTATTATATATGTGAATAATAGTGAAAAAATAAATAAATAAATAAATATTACAATTGTAAGACAAGCAAAAGAAAATTATAATACACGAACAATATCAATAATAATAATAATAATAATAATAATAATAATAATAATAATAATAATAAGAAGAAGAAGAAGAAGAAGAAGAAGAAGAAATTTGTGGACCACCTCGGGTCCCTTCCCACTCGCGCGAGACCTGCCTGCATCCCCCCAGGCCCCCAGACCCCCCCCCCAACTCCCGCATGCCCCGGACTGAATGCGGCACAACACCTTGCACTATGTCTATATATGTATTTAGTCTTTGTTATTTACTTAATATACTTTATAATTATTTATTTATTTATTTCTATTTTTTTTATTATTATTATTATTATTATTATTATTATTATTATTATTATTATTATTAGTCCTGAAAGTTTGACTCACAGTCCTGCGGAGTGTCTCCATCTCTCTGTCCCTCAAGTAGAAGGTCCTGTTAATCCTGGGTCAGTTTGTTGGTCACTGCATTGTCTTTGACTGTTTGTAGTCTCAGAGTTTCAAACGCAACCCTGGACAGCTGCTCTCCTTCCAAGTACTAACACGAAATGTGAGCTGTGATGATGTCATAATGATGTCATCACGGAATTGCTCCTTTGATGTCATATTCTCCTGTTGTTAGTTTACATTTGAATTTTTCACATTTAAATATAAACAAAAGCACACCCTATAACAATCATGTATTTTTCAAACCTGCTGCACATTGATTTGAGCTGTTTTTGTAATAGATGCTTCATGAATTGATATGTGTTGATGAGTTAAATAAGAAAACTTAGTATTACACACCAGCTGTTAAACTGAACTTTACAGACACCATCTTGCCTGTCTACTTTTGTCCATTGTTGACCCAAAATTAAAAAATAGTTCTCTTTAAGTTTGGGTCAATTTTGGTGCCCCCATTTTGACAAAGCAGTTTTCAATTATCGTGTCCACTACATGCCTCAACACATTTCATCCTGTTGACTTTTGACAGTGAAATGTAGTACTTATTGGGATTTTTTTTTTTGTGGAAATGGTAAAATGCAGGGCTTGCCCCCCAACCCCGCACCAATTTTAGACAATAAAAACAAGGGTCTAAAACTTACAAATATTGTCACTGATGGTTCTGTCTAATTCTGTGTATCAATTAAAGACATTAATATGAGATTGAGTGTATTTCAAAAATGTCACAAAAATCCTAACCATAATCCTAACCCTAACCCTCACAGGCGCTTTAAAGAAAATAAAAACACTAAACCCACAAACCAAAAGCATCACCAAGGATCTTCCTTGGCTGTTGAAGAAAATAACGTATCTGACCCCGAAACTCTTTCAAAGTTATCCACCGCCATCAGTGCGTTTAATTAAATAAATTACTTTAACCCAGATTAACGCTGGTTAATTCATTTAAATGAGTTTGGTTTAGTGCAGTGGTCCCCAAACTACAGCCCGCGGGCCGGATACGGCCCTTCTCCACATTTGGCCTGGCCCCCTGAACAATACCAGAGACGCATTATGATTTTTTTCAGTCTGACTACGCGATCAAGACTAATACATGCATAGAACGTGACATTCTATTCCACCCTTTTGCAGTTTGTGCCCCTATCTGAAACCCCCCGCCCAGAAAAAAAATCCTAGACTGGCCTCTGTCAAATAGGTCAGAATAATGGTGAAAAGGTTAGGTAAGAGAAAAATTGATTCACAATGCAGGGTATTTAACCTGCAGCGGACAAATGATTTTTTTGTTTTTGTTCAATGCAAAGAAAAGGCTGTTTGTCTCATCTGTCAAGAAGCGGTGGCAGTATTTAAAGAATGCTATCTGCGCCGACACTATGAATCCCGTCACAAAGACAAGTATAATAGCTTGCAAGGCCAAATGCGAGCAGAAGAACTCTCAAAGCTAAAAGTGGACCGTTAGCTCAGTAGAATACATTTGTACGCCAAGCTCAGCTGGACCAGTCATCTGTTCAGGCTAGCTTTCGGATTGCTCAACTGATAGCAAGCAGTGGTAAACCTTTCACTGATGGAGAGTTTGTTAAGAAATGTTTTAATGCTGTTATGGAGGAGGTGTGTCCCAAGAAGAAAGATGTCTTTAATGCCATGAGACTTTTTTTTCTGTGAAGATCCCAGAAAGGGTTATTAATTGGTTATGTGTGGCTTTCTGGAAAACAATAAATGTTTACGTTTAGGCACCCCTGTGATCGTCATACTTTTTCTGTTACAAACTGACCTCGGCCCCCCATCAGAGAAGGGAAAAACTATGTGGCCCTCAGAGGCAGGGCCGTATTATGGATCGGGCCAGTGGGGCCGGCGGGGGGTGATGCCGATGCCAATTGCGATGTCAGAGGGCCTCTATTCTCTAGGATCTTATGACTACTCACACTGTTATAGGGCATTTCTGAAGAGAACCGAGAGAAAAGGGTGATATGAATTGGGCGGGGGGGGGACAGGGACGGCAATCAGAGGGCCCCTGGGCCACGGGGGACGGCAGTCAGAGGGCCCCTGGGCTATGGGGGACGGCAGTCAGAGGGCCCCTGGGCTGGCCTTGCTGTAGTGCCTCTCGTGAATACTCCTAAGGGAGCCCTAATATTTACCAACTAGGGGTTCAAGGAAGTAGGGGGGAATGCTTTCAGAGGGCCCTATGATTATGAAAGCCCCTGCTAAAGGTTGTGACTTCTGGCTATGTGGGGGCCCTAGGGAGAGCCCTGATGGGAGAGCATACTGTTAAGAGAGCCCTCTGATTACAAATGTTCTTAAAGGGCCTCTGATTTACCAAGGGTTTTGAATGAAAGTCCTTTCAGTGAGCCCTAAGGCCCAGGATATGCTAGCTGTGTGACTTAATTTACGTGTGCAACCACACATACTTGCAGCAGAACGATGAGAGCACTACGCACGATACTGGTAGTGTTGCCAAAAACAAATCACTAAAAGTCGCTATTGGTTCTCTGAAAAGTCACTAGATTACGTCATGACGTTACTATGATGTCATAACATCAGACACGACTCACTGAGCTCAAGAAAATGTGTCTACATGGCTATGTTGACAATCCCAAAGGGTACAGTTTCGAGATCGGGGCTAATGTGCAGTGCTGCTTAACCATGAAATAGGTTTCTGGTGGCGGTGCAGAACTGAAGTTACATGGAAAAACAATGATTTTGACACTTGAGAGATGTGTTTTTTTAAAGTCACCAGATTCACCTAGAAAGCTGCTAAGTCGCTAGATGAGGTTTTAGTTGCCAGAGACGGCCAAAGGTCGCTAAATCTAGCGACAAAGTCGCTAAATTGGCACCATTGGATACTGGCGGTTTCATGTAGGGGGCAGATAGCCAACCAGGCTCTCATTAATATTTTCCACCATTGTTTGACTCTACCACAAGCTAAACATGGAAGTTCGGAAGATCGCCCCTCGCGGTTGTGTCAATATTGCAACATGCGCGCATGTCTGCATACCTTGTGTTCAGGTGTGCTATTACGCGTAACATGGACATAAAATACGCATGGCAACGCATTCAGGCATGAAATGTGCACACGGTAAGCATATCCTGGGCCTAACACTGGCCCCAGTAGACAGCTAGTAGAAGCTGAACCTATTTTCTATGAGAAGTGATTTCGCTCCCGCACAGTATTGTGTGTACACAATATGACATGGTCCTTGGAGTGCATCAAAACTGTCATTGCGACACGTCCAAAAGTTCAAAAATCTCCAACTCCATGCAAATTTATTGTGCGTCGCGACCATATCGTGAAGTGAGTGTCCAATAGCCGAGCTAGACTCAGGGGTGGGCTGTACAGTGGTCCAGTCACAATACACAGCAGATTCACGTGTCATTATAACCTATAGTTACTTTGAGGAGAGTAGTAGACTGGCAGATGTTCACCTTCAGAACACTGAGTTTTGCCCCACTTCACTTTGCAGATTTCGCTTCCTTATGTCCCCACCGTAAAGGGGTGTACTTTACACACCAATGCCAACAAAGTGAAGTCCAAGTGAAAATCCAATATCAATACAACACTCCCACATTACACTTGGCATTGCTTTTATCGAAACTCCTCACACGGCAGAAATCCAATATTGTTAAATCCGTTTATCGAAACTCCTAACAACATTCTTACATTAAAACCTTTCCTAGACTATCAGATTTAGCATCCAACACCCTATTAAAAAGCTCACTGACATTTACATTGTATTGTATTGTATTGTATTGTATTGTATTGTAATAATAGTGTACCTTAACTAGACTTGAAGCCATTGTAAGGGCTACTGTGTTTTCAGTGAACAAATCTGGAAGTCTAAGTGGAACTAGAAAAATTGCATTTCCTTGCAGAAAATGCATGGAAATGCTGAGTGCTGAATGCTGAAAAAGCAATGCTAAGATGCTAATAAAACATGGAGAAAGATATTAAAATAACCACTGAAATGTACAACATAAATACGTGTGTCTTGTGACAAAAAGAGTATGAAACACAGTGTAAGTCCAAAATCAAATCCTAAATTTGCGAATCTTTAGATTTTTGCTGGCACTGTCACAGATTTAACTCTGAACTGTCCCAGATTATAATCTGCTGGGAGGTCTCTGTCATGTTTCAAATGTTACACTCTGCATATTAAATGCAAAAGAGGTAAAAGATTGTGTTAGAGACACATTGGTAAACTACTGTTTAATATCACACCCCTATAAATTTGAGTTTGCATTTTACAGTCATCATAAGTTAAACGTGTTTCTTACCTCCTGTTGAAGCTTGAGCACGCAATTCTCGGAGCTTCTCCTTTTACAGGAATGGGTTGACTCTTCTGTGCAGATTTAAAGAAGAAATAAGAAAGCATTGGTTAGTATAAAAGAAACTGTCAAATAAGTTTCAGACTGACGGCTTTAAATAGCCCCGAAGACATAAAAAATCCTTATAGAGATTTCTCAATAACATGAGCTTTTCTGCTCTTAAGCACGAAGAGTCTTTGACATGGTGGGCAGGACTTTCATGTGATGTCAATGCATCACTTTTAAGATAACCATCCGAACGTCTAGACTTTTAACTCGCTGTTGTGGCCACATTTTTTGGAGTACAGACATGAAAAACAGATCATTGTGTTCATGAAGGGGGGAGGATTTGTACGATGTTCTTATTTTCATTCTGGGGTTTAAGGAAATCGTGCGATGTGAAGAAGTCCAGAGGCAGCTTCTCATTCAAACAGTCGGTCAGTTAATGCCTTTGATCTCACAGCTGTTTAGGATGTAATCATTAACGAGACACACACACACACACACACACACACACACACACACAGTCTGACAATGTGTGTGCGTGTGTGTCTGTGTCTAAAAGACCTGCATGTACACACAGTTAATATGTGTCTGCATCACCACCTATCTCCACCCACAAACTTTGAGCTACAGAAACCATTCTGGGCTTCAAAAATTCAGCTCATTGAGGACATTATGGGGTGTACTCAGGATTTTTTTTATTAAACTTTTCCCCACTTTAAAATTATTCTCATTATTCATGCATTATTAAATTCGTCAGACAAATCCAAACTCATTCAAACTGATTCAAACCTTTCTGATACTTCAAACCTGTTTAACACTCTAGGACTTCTAATTATTTAAAATTTTTCCCACTTCAAAATCATTCTCATTATTTATGTATGTTTTAATTCTTCAAACAAAATCCCAGTTCTACCACTACAATTACTACTTATATCACTTTAACTTGTATCTTCACTTCTACCTTCTACTTCTACCACTGCTCTTGCTTCTCTTAATATTTTTTTACTTCTACCACGAGCTCTACTGCTTTGACTTCTACTTCTTCTATTCTAAAACTACTTCTACTGCTTACATGACTACTAATATCACTAGTACAACTACCTATTATCATACTTCTTCTAGTACTTCAACTTAAACCTATGCCGCTTCTTACTTTTCTGTGTTTTAAGGTCATTTTCTTCCTTATACAATTTTTTTTGCAATTTCAGACAGTTTTTCTAGCCTTATTTAGCATGAATGCAATTTTAATTTATGAAGCACATTCATACCATTTGTACTTCAGCAATTTTCACTTTCATCTAACTTCTACTTTTCTTTCTCCAGCTCTTCAACCAAGTTTACATTTAAACCTTCCTCCATTTTTTTTTAGCAGTTTAGCATTGCTTTTTCAGCTTCCAGCACTCAGCATTTCCACGCATTTTCTGCAAGGAAATGCAATTTTTTCTAATTTTGATAATGCCTGTCACATTGAAGTCATAAACACTGTAAATATCTATGCACACATTTAATTCTTGTCGATGCATCGCTTAACCATCACGAAAGTCTCGACAGTAACACAAGTTTGTATGATAATATTGTCATGAAATCTTACCGTCTCCATGTCGTAGATGTTGTCCTTTCTGTTCAGGTGTTGGTTAGAGGTGTTTGTCCGAGTCCTTAGTCGTCTGGTGAGGTTTTATTTACGATGAAGCCGTCAAAAGTTGTAAATTCGTGAGCCGCTTAAGTTTTTCGTGCTGTTCTCTTCAGATTTGATCTTCAGAAATGACCGCTCTCTTTGGCTTGTAATGATTTAAAGTTTTTACATCGTTACAGGTTACCATGGAGATTTAAAATGCTGTTTACTTTAGAAAAACCCTTACACTGGTAGGTTATATCTAAGAGTTTAATATTATCTTTAATTTACTTTAATATCAATAGAATATAAATATCTCTTGAGGTACAGTGGAGGTTATTTTTCGTCAACTAGTTTAAGAGTTTAAAAGCATTTTGATTTAAAAACCTCCCTTATTTCGGTACAAAACGACAACGTTTTGAAAACTATAGCAGGGCTCTCAAGTTTTGAACTAAGCTTAGAGTGAGATTTCCTGCGGGGGGGGGGGGGGGGGGGGAATTGAAGATAATTATTAGTATAATTATCTCTTACAACGGAGTATAAGGGGCACAAATTTTGAAAAAAAAAACGTTTTTAAATCTAAGAGAATAAAGTTATTATTTGGGAGAATAAAGTCATTAATATATAAGTATTAAGTCGTAAAGTTACCTGTTGTGAAGGAGAGTTGTTAAAATCAGCACTGTGGAGCATTTAGATGAATTTTACTTTAGTATAGGTTTCACAAACATGGAGATACTTAATCCTTTGGTACATGAGCATTACACTGTCATGAGTATCAGAACTTATATTTGAGATATACGAGAAATGCTGCTTTTGTGGAGGGGAAAATGGCTGGAAATGGCTGTACAGAGGCTAAATCCTTCAATACAGCTGTTAATAGCAATAGCATAGGGCTTTAGTTTATCATATGAGTTTATCTGCCATGAGGTGTTGAGGTCTCTGCATGTGTAGGTTACTGACTTACTGTAATCATCTGGTCTATCTCGTCCTTATAAAAACCTGCTCTATTACGGCGAGTGTCTGTCTTCTTCTGTAGTCAAACCGCAAGATATCAAAATCTACCCGGATACAGCAATGCTGCTTTTTTATTGGCTGTTCAGTAGATATACTTTATTTGATTGGCTTGCGCGTGGCACGCAGCTTCTGAACTCTCGGAGGAACTCAGTTGATTCCTACCTGTTCCACTGTTTAAGAGTTGCAACTTGGTGGACATCACCATGTTCATTTAAATGCGTGAGAAATACAATGTGTGGCGTGTGAGCATGTGAACGGGTGGGAATGCGTGTGTCACACGCTGGATGCGTGAGACTTGAGAGCCCTGTATCTCAAATATAAGTTCTGATACTCATGACAGTGTAATGCTCATGTACCAAAGGATTAAGTATCTCCATGTTTGTGAAACCCATACTAAAGTACAATTCATCTAAATGCTCCACAGTGCTGATTTTAACAACTCTCCTTCACAACAGGTAACTTTACGACTTCATACTGATATTAATGACTTTATTCTCCCAAATAATAACTTTATTCTTTAAGATTTAAAAGGTTTTTTTTCTAATTGTGCCCCTTATACTCCGTTGTATTTAAGAGATAATTATACTAATAATTATCTTCGATCACCCCAATCATTTTGCACTGATAGATGTAGATAGTTGTAGTTCTTCTGCCTTTGCGTATCGGTCTGATTGCATTTCCATGACGAAATTATCATAAATGTTTTTCTTTGAGCTGCTTTCCCCCGCTGCTGGAGAAGAGTGGGTGAGTTGTGTTTAGTCTCTTTGCTAAAGAAATGTTTGGTGGCTAACTACGGCTGGGACCCTATTTGTATTGTTGATGAAGTTAGGGGCTTTTCTGAGCATTATTTGTTGGTATAGATTCAGAGGAGAAAATTGTCCGATGGTGTTTATGATTATATATTTGTTCTTCAGATAAGAGCCCTCTGTGTGCTTCCTAAGTCAGGATTAAACGCAAACATTTGTGTAAGAGTGCTGCCATCTGAAGGCCAAAGATTGTAAGTAACAACTGTGCGGAAAAATAAAAAGATGCAGCTCAGGGAATCACCATATCACATGAAAATCATTGTGACTGAGTTAATTTGTATATGTTGTGGGTGGAATATAAATCTAAATCATGTTTCGTACAAGTTAGCCCTGTTTTGATCAACACAACAGTCTGTCATTCAGAGTACTGCATGAGAGAAAAGTGCGCACCAATGAAAATATCATCCTTCAAATATTGTTCAGTGAGACCTTTATACACGTGTCTGATCTTTACAGGAAATCACATTTCCTGAAATTAAATATTCAAGGACAAACTACTCCTGGTACGTGAATAATGACTCAGTTTCAGATAAAGACAATTATATTTCATGAATCAATAACCAGCATGAACAGCAGCATCTTTACAGCGTCTTTGGGAGAAACTGGTGCGTATGAAATAGACCCACTTCTGTAAACTTCCTTTGGTGTTAGTTAATCATTGAATGGACTGTTTCACAAAGGAGTTTTCCACTTATAGCTCTTAAATGTAAGATTTGATTGTGTAAGCAAGGATTTCACTGGTGCCCTGAGTCACCTGATGATAAGAGTCGTGTTGAAACAAGTGAGTTAAAGTGTGACAGAGATTTCTCTAGTAATTATGCTCACTGCTGTCAGTGGAGGGTTGAGTTTCCTTCTGGCAACCTACAGATTTTCCAGGAAACCTTATCCTGAGTTGCTATCTGCAGCAGGTGTTAAAGGGAACTGCCGTGTCTTAGAGATAAGGCTTTTTTAAGGCATGGTCAAGTCTTAAGTTTTTAGAGAGCGAAAACCTGCTGGCAGAAAGCAAAGATTTTAGATTAACATTATGAAAAGACAGATAGAAGATGAGTCTTGACTGAAGTCCACTAGTATTTGCTCTAACTGTAGTTTTAAAGTAAGCTGTATCCTCTCTTTGTTGAATTTAAAAGAGTACAACATAAAACATGATAGGTAATTATGAAACAGTGCAGGGAGAGGCAAAAAAGCCACAATGGGCTTATTTGAAGGCTCCACCTTATAATAGCCTAATATTAATATTAAAATCAGTGTTAATAAAAGTTACAGGGTATTTGCTGCAACAAGATGAAGATGTTAGGACTGATTATTTCCTGCAACCATCTTCCTTACAATCTTTATTTACAAAGTCAAGCATTTCTGCCAGACTGGACCACTGTAATGCACTTTAGTCAGGCTTCAGTAAGCACAACATCTAAAGACTGAAATAGATTTTAAAAAATGCTACTGCTAGACCTCTAACACTTAGTATAGAAGTGACCATAACAGCAGTCCTGTCAATACATGGCTTCAGTCTTTACCTGTGATTTGCTGACTCCTTATGAACCTGACCTCAGCCTGAGGTCCTCTGGCAGGGCCCTCCTCATGGTTCCTAAATCTAGACAGGTCACAAGAGGTGACTAAGTGTTTGCTGTGTGTCAGACAGACAAACTCAGTGTTATGATTTAATTCTCTTTACAAACTCATTTCTATTGTTTGATCCTTGATTATTTGTTAAATGTGTCTGTAGCCTTCGATCATGACTAGAGTATTGGATCCCACTCATTTGTTTATCTGTTATTTGTTATTTGTTTGAATTATAATGAAATGTATTTGTTGCCAATGAACTGCTTTTAAAAGAAAAAATCTCTTTCATAACTATTTTGTATTGTTAAGCGTTTTGTAACTTGCTTCAGAATTTTGTAAACTCCTATATTAATAAGATTATTATTTATGCTGTCCAAAAAGACCACACTCTTCCTCATATCTACAAAGTACCAACATCAGCATAGGATAAGATTAAGTCTTGTTTTTTAAGATCAAACCCACTCTTATACCACGCTGATCCATCTTGAGTGAAACACTTTACAGCATTTATCAAGTTACAATTGAGAGGAAGAACCTCCTAACAGGCAGAAACCTCGAGCAGAACCAGAAACATGTTAGACAGTCATCTGCTGAGACTGAGCTGGGTTTAGAGATGAGAGAGAGGTAGATGGAGAAAGAGAGAGATGGGCAGGAGAAGGAGGAAAGGTACTCAATGTGCGAGTATCCCCAGCAGTCTGAACCTATAGCAGTATAACTGAGATCTTGACCAGCTGAACCAGCTTGAACGATGAGCTTTATCAAAGAGGAATGTTTCAAATCGACTCTTAAAGTTAGAGAGGGTTTCTGACCCCCACACCCGGACTGGTAGATTATTCCCAAGGAGAGAGAGGGTCCTGATAACTGAAAGACCTAACATTCAGACCACTTTCACATGAGCAGACCTGCATGTTGGGAACTAGGAGCTCTTAAAGACCTTACCATGAAAGTGCCTTAAAGTGCCTGACCATGAAAACTTTGTTGGTCAGAGGAAGAATTTTAAATTCTGTCCCTGGGATGTTCAAAGAAACACAAAACGCCAACACAATAACATTTAAAAAACCCAGAAAGGAACAAAAATGAAGTTTGACACCTGAAAACATTTCATCTCTGTTACACCAAACAACAATAGGGGGCAGAAATGACCCAAGAGAAATAAAGAAACAAGATTATAAAGAGATGCCAAAAATGTAAAAGGACATACAAACAACCACGAAGAGATGCAAAGTGATCAGACTGGAAGAGGACCCACTATGCTATTAAGCTGAGTCTCTCAGTCTCCTCTTAAAGTGAGTTTGTCAGATATTACAAAGGGAGGAGAAAAAGTAGGTTACAGTTTTCAACCCCTTGGCTGTAGAGAAGGAAATGCAGATCTCTCCTCCTGTTTTTGCTGCTGGGATAAAACCCAGCACTGAGTCTCTATCCCTGATTGATTGTTCTGAATGAAATGGTTATCATCAATATAAAACTCATCAAAGCCCAAGTTGTCATGGCAGCCTGTGCAGGTGACAGTGTTTTCAAATGCGAGCTGGGAAGCCCAACAAAAGCTTCACACCAGCCCAGACACTATTGATGGAGACCGCCGCTTTTGGAGGCTGAATAGTCCCACAGAAACACAGAGACACCCAGAGGAAATGATGCTTTTATTTTTCCACAGCTCTCTGATGTAGAGGACATGAATAGACTGTCCACTTCAACAGGAGCATTTTGATCCACAGTACCTATATGTGAGAAGCACCTCGTCTCCTCTTTATTTACAAGGACTAGAAACCGTTTGAGTGTTTGATATGAAATAAATTCAGCAAAATAAATGAAATAACTCATTCAAAAGCCCATCTTTGGAATCTCAATAGTCTTGCAAAAACTTGGCAGAGTTAATTTGGCTAAACTGGTGAAAGCTAGATTTAAAGATAAGGCAGAAGGGTAGGGTAAAATGGATAATAATCATGAAGTGAAAGAAGGCTTGGCTTATCCATCCATCCATTTTCTACCGCTTTTCCCGTTGGGGGTTGCGGGGGGTTGGAACCTATCCCAGCATCTTGGGGCAAAGGCAGAGGACACCCTGGACAAGTCACCAGTTCATTGCAGGGCTGACATACAGAGACAAACAACCATCCACACTCACACCTGTGAGAGGAAACCAGAGTAAACCCATGCAGACACAGGGAGAACACGCAAACTCCACACAGAAACAACCCAACTCGGATTTGAACCCAGGACCTTCTTGCTGTGAGGCAACGGTGCTAACCACTACACCACTGTGCCGCCCTAGTTTGCCTCATTCCCTTTAAATTTTTATATTTCTCCTACAAAAATAAGAATATCAAGGTTTGTTGAGGTTGATAGACTTGGTAAAATTGAATCTGAAACCACAGTTTATTAATAACTCGATCTCATCTCCCTTGTGATATTCAAGAAAACCTTGAAATGATTATTTATTTCATAGCACTTCATTACCATTAAAGATGTGGACCTTTTGAATTAAATTGATCTTTTATTAAAGGATATCCCTGCCGACTTAACTTTGTAGATAAAGCTACTTTTTCCCTTTAACATCTACAGTGTTCCCAATTTAAGACTTCCGAAGAAAGTTATGTAAAACAAATATTATTTTATGTCAAAAGTGATCATTTTGAGACACAATAATTATATACTGAATACTTCTGCTTGGTGAGCTGAAGTTTTGTGAATGTTGATCTTTTAAAGAGGCCAGATGCATCTGTTTGACTGAAGATATGCAAGTTTTGTAATATCAAAAGTTTTTAGGAAGATAAATAAACTTCACTTGAAGAACCAATATTATCAAAGAGCTTCTTACAAAATAATTTAGACATTTGTCTGCAAAGCTAGAAATTTTGAAAAATACCTTCAAATTTGATATTGAAGTCATGAATGAATGTAAAGGAGCATCCAAGACTGAAAGGGACATTCCGGCGTCAATTTCACTTGGTCAAACACACCGTAACATGGAGTTAGACTCCCCTCAAGAGATGAATGTTGTCGCTTGATTGTGGGGGAGCCCTGACAAGACAATCACTGAGTGCAGTGGATCATTTCCATTAAGCAATAATCATCATAAAAATCATTTTGCACTGCAGACCAGTAGTTCTTCGCAGTAGTCTCGGTCTGATTGCATTTCCATGAAGTAATAATCATAAATGTTTTTCCTTGAGCTGTGAAACTCCGCTGCACTCAGTGATCGACTCATCAGGGCTCCCCCACAAACACGCAGCTGCTGGAGGAGAGCAGGTGAGTTGTGTTTGGTACTCTTTGCTAAAGAAACCAGACAAAGCTAAAAAGATGTTTGATGGCTTGTACGATGGCTGGGACTCTATATGTAGGCCCAATCCCAAACCGACCCCTACACACTCGGCCTTCACTACCGAGTATCGCTCCAAATGAAGTTACACTCGCAGCTGTGTAGTGCACCTTAATTGAAATGGGAGGGTATAAACAATACGGGCGGGTATGGGATGCCCTCCTCACTCCACGGGAAAACAGAAAGATTCATCGCCATAGCAACACACTGACACGTCCTGTGCAAGGCAGCGTTTCGTTTCTTAGTAAACGGACATCATGTACAGTTCTGAGCCGCACCGGCTGCCCTGTTTCTTCATCCTCCCATTAAAATCATAAATCCAGCAACCATCACAGTGACAGGAGCTAAATTATACTTGTGATTGTTAGTGATTCCACACATCTTTGAACACCTTTACTATTTGACATGTACCTGATCAATCAAAACAAATGTCAGCACAGAGTACCATTTCGGAGTTTCATTTGATCTTTCCAAACCACGTCTTTTGTGATTTTTTTTTTTTTGTCAGTAAGACAGAGGTGGACACATACGGAACTTATATTTGTATGTTGTTTCCTCCTCCTCCATTTTTGCCGGAGCACTACCTGCAAATTCTGCCGTGAGTGTGCATCGGTGCAGACTCGCTATTTGAGGGCTGAACAGTCCACTTGCCCTCCTCACTGTGTGGTTTGGGACGGCCTTCAATATGGCGGAGCCGCCGCAGGGACGCGCAAATGGATTGGAGTGTATAGGGTGAGTGCTTAGGGGGTGGTTTGGAATTGGGCCGTACTGTTGATGAAGGTAGGTGCTGTTCTGAGCATTATTTGTGGCTATAGAGTGGCTTTTTGGTTGAGGTTTGCACATGGAGATGTAGACTGCTGTGTTTTGCTATCGTGCGGTCGTTACTAAAATTGGTATAACTACAGAAGCAAGCAGTTGTCAACATTCATTTCTTGAAAGGGTGTCTAACTCGGTGTTACGGTGTATTTGATGATAACTTAAATTTATGCCTGAACATCCCTTTAATTGTGTAGCAAACAAACCTTTTTTTTTTTAAATAAGCATGTTGTTGAAGAGAAATAGAGTAAGAACATCATGGAAGAAAACTCGTGTTGTTTGTTAAGGGTCAATCTCAAACTAATTTCTTTAAGTGAAAACATGAAAACTATGAAGCTGAACTCATATTTTATTAAATCTTGATAGAAGTCATCTACAGTGGTTTGACAGCAACAGACAAGTCATTTATACAGATGAACAATGTCGCGCACTGGCAGCAGCAGCCAGAATACTGTCCTCTAAAAGACTGAGTATATCTTTACATACACACATATAATGTAGAGGAAAACAGCGAGATTAAACAAACAAGCATTAAATTATCTTATGAAAATGTTCTTTAAACATTCAATTCAACTTCGGTCGTTTTCTGACTCAATTCTACCCAACAGTGTAATAATGCAGCACATGGAGTTCTGAAAGGTGTCAACTGATCTGCACAAGATTGTTCTGCAGACTTCTACAGATGAACATTGTCGTCGAGATAAATAAGAGTTCTCTTGGAGGCAGCAAAACCCTTCACACAGCAAAGACAAATATTGACAAGCAGTATGCGCTTCAATTTCATCTGAAAGACCTGCTCAGAGGAATGTATTACAGGATAAGGCCTGACATAGAAGAGGTTTAGAAATTTAAACACACACAAAAAACCCCATTAAATAAGAAGTTTCTAGAAAAAGCCAGGGTTAAGAACCGCTGGTCTTTTCAACCCTGGTTGTGTGCCAATCTAAATCGGTTTTGCAAAACTCATTTTCAGGCTGTATGCTCTTTGTAATCTGGGAGTAAATAAGAAGTGTATGAAGAGGGGGATTTGGACAAAGGGTGGAAGGTACCACTAGGTGCTTCTACAGAAGGACATCGATCCTTGCCCACCTTAGTATTTCAGGTTACGAGCCAGGACGTCAAAAACAGCCCAAACACACGCTCAGTGTGTATTGGAGCTCCTCTGAGAAGAACAGACTAATGGAGCCCGGAGGAAATATCAGCAGAGTAACCCCGCTGTTCAGCAGGCTGCTCTCAAATCTACACTACCTCAGCCAGAACCACAGACTCTGACCCTTGTCCTCTCAGCTCACAACAAGCCTAAATAAGTGCTCTCATTGAATCAGATGCTTGGTTTGGTGTTCGGTTTTATCCTGAGAAATGACGATCATGTAAACTGAGCGGCTGGAGGTGAGGCTGAGCCTAAAGGCTGACTGAGAGGAGATGGTTGGCGAGTTTAAAATGAGAGCAGCCCGCTAAACGAGCAGGGTTTAACCTCAGCAGCCGGCCTGGGCGATGTCTCCACCAGAGCTCTTGGTCACCTCCAAAGTGGTGAAGATCTAAAAGGAAAAAAGGAGGAACACATCAGGCGGCTTTCCTTCACAGTGCAGATTTTAGAAGCTCATTCTTAGATGCATTGAAAAAACAAAGTTTGGTGTTTAAAACTATAGTTTTCTTAACTGGCATAACATGGTTGAATTAACAAGAGTACTGCATTACAGAAAACAATGATATGAATAAATAGAAAACTATTTATACAACATGTAAATGCAAGTTATTAAAAACATCAAACACGGGGCAATTGGGCTGCTTAAAGTGCAGCAATTATCAGTTCTTCATTTGCATGTACCCATGAAGTGCTGAGATCTCTAATTAAACTGATTTAATTTAATTCTTGTACCACAGCAGACAGAGTAAAACAGCCATTCATTTAGAAGACCTAACTCTGAAAAAGACTGTTCGTCATAACTGATCCACCGCAAAATATCCTCATTTTAAACTTGAGGCTGCTACCAGACTCTGCCAAAAATATAAAATCACAATTTTTTTCCTCTGAAAATTAGATATTCCATTTTTCATTCAAGGACAACTTCACCAAACTTCACTCTAATAAGTTTTTCTATCATCTCTCAAAACAAAAACACTAAAAACAATGTAGTGTGTATTCCAAGCCAGTAAGTGGCGCTGTAACCCTGCTGAGGAAATGCACAAAAGACAGAAGAAGAGCACAGAGCAAGTTTTTTGTGGCTGGACACGAGCAGGCACTGTAAAAGAGTTACGCTGTGTGTCACATAATTGTTTCGAGAGATGCAGATAGGCATCCACGCGGAGATGAAATTGTAGTTTACGGATGTATGTACTCTCTGACCCATTTTCAAAAAGTACTGTTTACAGTCACCCGAAACACCATTTCTGTGTGGATGAACCACTGATATGTCATAAAACTTTTGAGTTTACTCCTGAATTCATTTCCGTGCGGACAGGTTGATACCGCCCACAGACAGACTTTGCAGCGGGGAGTGGTTTGCTCTTCATCCGAAACTGTGAAACCGTACAAATTCCACACGACTGACTTGCTCTTGCTCTATTTAGCCACCAAATTATCTCCTTCTTTCGCAAAAGCTATGTTTGTTTACAGCGGTGTGTTTGGGAACTGGGGAGTGCTCCCGCAGGAAGAGGGAGCCTACGGTGGCCTGGAGGCGCGAGACATGATAGAGAGGAAAATCGATTGGACGATTTTAATTTTTTTAACATCATCATAATCATATTATGATTTAAAATTGTGAAATTTAATTAATTGTGCAGACCTCAGAGTAACCATACAGACCTAGTCTCTGTGCTCAGAGGTGTGTGAATGAAGGTGAAAAACAAATGGGTTCTTTGAATATCAGCCTCTGTCATCAGTGTGTAAATGTGGTGTGAATGAGGCTTGTATAAGTCCATTACTGGTGAGTGAAGGACGGCTGTAGCAACACTTGGTTATTAAAAAAAAAAAAAAACTGATCTGGTCCCATTTTTGATTATTTCAATGCACATTAGAGAGGGACTCTGCTATGTTTAGGATTAGCTGAAGTCTGCATTGATTAATTTGACATACTCAAAATATGAGAGCACAAACCTGTTTGGAAACTATTAGTGATGTTATGTTAATGTGCAACATGAGAAGTCTGGTTATTCATGCCTCTGTGTACATAATCATGAGAGTCAGTGCCAAGAATGCTGATGATCTGGATGCCACTGGTCTTTGAAACACATTTTATAGGATCTGAAGTGCAGATTAAAGTCAAAGTCTACTCACAGGTCGAGTTCATCAGTGTGATCACATGCATAAAGTATTCAAGATAATGGAAAGAGCCAGGGTACTGACGCACAAAGACACAATGAGTGACATAAAATGCAGCATCTCTGGCAAACATAGCTGGGACGATATCATCAATCTGCAGAATCCTTAAATCTGCTAAGTTTGCAGACCTGAGGCCTGTACTACGAAGCTGGATTAACACATCCAGGATAACTCTGCGACAACTCGCTCAACTTCACCGGATCGCCGCGATCCCGATCAGCTGTACTACGAAGCAGGATATCAACTCGATAACTGAATCCAGTTCAGATCTGTGCGCGCACACGTAAAGGGGGTCGGGTCAGTGCCACCGGACCAATCTCCACAATGGAGAAGGCTGCACGTCATTTTTCACAGCTGAAGAACAGAGCTTTATTTAAACAGTGAGACAGACACAGCCGCTGAAAGCCGGAGGGACTGCCGGCAAAAAAAATCACCGTTTGTGTAAATTACATTTGTGCGTTCATAAATTTATGGCCCCCTAATATGTTGTCATGCAGCGTGTGTGATCACCACCATCACTGACCTCATTATTTAAGATACAACAGCAGTGGGGAAAAGAGTACGTGGGAGCAAATAAAAATAAATCTAAAAACATCCTTTAAAGTAGTTTGTAGGTTTATTGGAAGATTTTATTTGTACATATTTCAACGCGTAAACAGCGATTTCCTCACACTGCCTTTTTTTTTCTTCATCATCTGATGGTCACGTCATCTGCAGACACATTTAGGGTTAAGAGGAGTTTTCTAATCTGCTTCAATAAATTCTGAATGACGACTGAAATGCCTCATGAAATTGGAACCTGGAGCTTGGCAAATATTAGTGCATTGCTTAGACTTCATGCTACCTGAATATTGAGAGAGAACGTCATCGGGTAAATCAAAGGGGTTTGAACGATCATGAATATAACGCTCTCGGCGGAGCGCTCCTCTCACTATCCGTGCAACGATGTCCCCGGGATCAGGCAAAAGTGGGAAAGCCATTTTCCAAGAGATCCGATTGGTCATCGGGCGGTTTTTTATACCTGCTGAGATCTTATCCTGAAACATAACCTGCTCCGGAGCAGGTTTGGCGTTCCGCGTAAGTTACCGGGGCAACGGACCCGGATAAAAAGAGATCCACCTTCGTAGTACAGAAAACCCAGAAGTTATCCAGAAGTTATCTCGCTAAGACCAAATCCAGCTTCGTAGTACAGGCCTCTGATCCTTGCTGTTGAAGCTCATCTGCTCTGCTACACCTCACTGAGATTTACTCTTGGCTAAATATTTTCACATCAAGAAGTCTTTGAAATTGTTCAACTTTCTGGTAATGAAATGTGCAGATCACTAAAGTTAAAACAAACTCAGTGGTTCAATTTCAGGATGTTTTACCTCAGCACAGGTCGGGTGGATGCCGATGGTGCCGTCAAGCTGCTCCTTAGTGGCACCGCATTTCATAGCTGCACCAAAGCCCTGCGTCACCTCACCAGCATTTGGACCTAGATAGTGGAACCCGATGACTCGGTTCTATAGTGAGACATACAGTCATGTGATTATTTCTGTGACTACTGGCATCGAGGTTAAAGTTGCTGGTTGGAGATTCAGAACTAATAAAGTTGTGCAAAAAGCAAAAAATATCTTACGTCGTCCAGTTTATTGCAGATGAGTTTGGAGTAGCATCTGTTGTTGTCTCTGCCGGGCACAGTGAACTCCAGAGGCCAGAAGAGACTGTGGAACACCTGAACGAAGTGAGCAGAAACACCAGACCTCATGAGTGCACTGTGACAGCAGCAGCAGCAGCAGAGCTTCAGTCTTATCTACACTACAGTAAGAAGTCTAACATGTTGTCCAGTTCCTAGAGTTACAGACACACCAAAATCAGAAACTAGCATGTTTTTATTCTACACCCTTGACATGTGAAAGACAAAGCTAAACTCTGCAATCCAGCTAAATCAGGAATAGACTCAGCGTCGACTCTCCCATTAAATTGTTCCACACAAACTTTTTTCCAGCTCGCAGACTGTCGCCAAAACATTTCTCCAGCAGGCTACAACTTGAAGGGATCCACAGGCAAAACAAATGTGTCTAGACTTGTGTAATTTATCAAGAGGTTACCTGTCCTCAGAAGGTCTGAGGCTCTTACATTAAACAGTGACAATGTCTGTGTGTTTTGTTTGGTTGGCAGTCAAAAGTTAGTAACAATCATACCACAAACGTGTTTTCTGTATCTAACCTAGACACAGAATTACGTCGGTCTACATGGTACTTTTTTTTGAAAGAATACAAAAAGGTCAGAAAGGAAATTCTTTGTTTGTGTTCATTTGATTCTCAATCAAGACTCTGATAAGAAATACTTTACATTGTGGGCTTAAAGCTGCCTCGTAATGCAAAACAACAGAGTTTTAAACATGCAATTCAAACAGCGATTAATTGCAATTAACTATGAAGATTCTGCGATTAATCGCAATTAAAAAAATATCAATAATAATCGTTTGGCAGCCCTAGTTTCAAACAAAGTGTACTCTTGTTACTCATCTTCACTGATCTCTACAGCTTCAGTCCTGGCCTGTTCTGAGGGTCACACAGTCTGATTGAGCAGGTAGCTCATCAGTTATCAAAATGAGTGTGTAAATGTGTGTGTTAGTTACCTCAATGTTTTCCTGTCCATAGAGCTCAGTGGCCTTCTCCTCTGACAAACCACAGGCACCGTACTCCAGAGGGGTGAAGACAGTGGTGGGGACATTGATGTAGTCACACTGTGGAAACAAAGAGCACATGGGTCTTCTGAAATTGGGAGCCTGCTGTTCTGACATGTCCCACAATGTAGATGCTCTCATTTATTATGCAGTTTTCCTTAACTTCTTAAGTGTAAAACTTATTTCATTCAAATATAAAAAGTCTGGTACCTCCTGCATGAGAGTCAAATCTCATATTCAATTAAGATTTCAAGTGCCATTAGAAACAGAGGCCGTCTGGTCAATGTAGGGGGTGCAGCCATAAACAGAGAGGAGTATCTAAGTTGGCCTCCTCTGGAGGACTCCTCTTATTTCAAAGCTTATTGTTCTGTGTAAACAAACACCAACCCTTTTATATTTTAGTCTACTGACAGAGAGTCTTATTAGTTACTTTAATATTCATATTTGCTGTCAGCAAAGAGTTTTCTTCATCTTGAGGAGTCTTCCAAGTTAGTTTTTACTCCACTGGTCCTAAACAATCCAAAAGTGTGGACCATACAAAATTCAGTGCATCAGATTATCTTAGTGTTGTATTTAACTCATAAACCCAGCTTCTTCAAAAGTCACTCTTGCTCATCTACTCAGCCACAGTGGTTCATTTTTCACACGCATTTTCAACCCCCATTTAGAGTCCTCCCTTAATGACCTCTGCCTAGAAACATTAGATCCAGCTGCCTCAGTCAAAACTCATTTAAGGTTCTCCTCAATATTTTTCCCATGACTTAATGACTCAATCCACTCCAGAAAGGGAGAGTTGCAGAAAGCAGAGCAGAAGTGGACCGGCACTAGACTCAACACTCATATATGAAGACCTCATAAAAACGTACTACACTGCAGTTGACTAAACACCAGAAAATTACTTTTCAAGTCACTTGAAATACCAAAAACTTCGTTCAAAACCCCAAACTGGTTTGTTGGTTCCCCTCCGACAACGTTATTCATCACCTGAAACTATTTACATTATATTAGACAGAACTTTACTGATCTTTTTGGGAGGGTTCATTCAGGGAAATAAAACATTTACTGACACAATTAAAAAAAAATCAGACCCCAGACCATCAACATCCGTCTTCCTAACCCACCTGTGCCTGAGTACGTATGTCTAAGACCATTTAATCATTCATCCTTTTGTTCCTTCACTTTTGATAACACCACCTGAGCACAACAATCTGCTCTAAAGCATCAATTCTTGGACCTGCCCCTGGATGTGGTCTGTACCAGACTCCTGAAGGAGACCATGTCTGCAACCTGTCCCTGTCATTCTATCCACTTGGACTGTGCCAGAAGTTAGGGAATTACTCCAAGTTTCTTCCAACAATTTAGGAGGCTACTTCAACAGATTTAACATTTCAATCTGACGTTTGTCAACAATGACACAGCTCTTCCTCTGTGAAAAGCTAGAAGAGATTTTATTGAAATTTTAAGTGTCATTCAAGATGCATAATTAAGTCATATTCATTTACTCTCTGAAGTTGATTTTGGTTGCCATTTATTGTCAAAGATTTGATCACTATATACAGTTTCTTCTGTTATATTTTGGGGCATTTTTGAGATTTTAGGACAGCTGGAGAGAAAAATATTGGTTAGGGTTGTGACAGCTTTAACATAACCATCATCAACCATCTAAATTAGGTAGGACATGAGAAAAATGAAGGACAAAATGGCTCAAAATGGTTTTCCTCTTTTTGCAGTCACTCTGAAGGGAAATTGTGCCCAGCCCTCCCAGCTTTCCCCCCTTCATTAAAAAAAAAAAAAAAAAAACTATAGCATGTGAAAAGAAAATGTTCTGTAGACATTTAGATGTACCTTGAGTTTGGAGCCCGCATAGAGTCGCCGTGCCAACAGCTTGCCGGCCTGGATGGCTACAGGTGTCAGCTCCCACTTGCCTTCCAGGATATCTCCAATGGCGTAGATGTGGGGCACACTGGTCTGCTCTTCGTCGTTGACTGGAATCTTTCCATTCCTAGAGTGATACAGAAGTAGAGGAGAACAAACCCAAACACATTTTAACTTTGTGACGTTTTTTGTGAAGCAAATTTTGACTTATGAGAGCAAAACTATGTGAAGGCAGTCGGAAGGAACAATACAATTTGTGTTAAATGTTCATATTTGTTGTGGGCTCTAAATATCTGGAGCTAAAAACGTAAACTTTGTACAACAGCACTCTAGTGGCCGTCTAACAATCACACGGCAGAAAATATGTTCTTAACCGCATAGCAGCAGAGCCGACAAACCTGCAAAGGCCCCTGAACCCAGTGTCCTTTTGTGTTGGCCTCATATGAATACTACTTAGGTCATATGACTGGGGCATATGACTCACTGAGCACTCCTCTAAACCTCATGCTGTCTTAATCCCTAACCCTAAATTCATAGGCTGAACTTTTCAGTCATTCATAAAATAGGAGACACACAGCATGCTGAGAGTAAAGGCGGCATTTCTGTTGTTCGAACAAGCAGTAGGCTGCTGAAACCTACATCTTAGACTGGTTTGAAGTCCAGCTTTCAAAGAGGGAAGTATAATGATGATGACAGACATCAACCCAAAGTGAATCTAACCTCTAGAGATGAGACAGAGCAATACAACAACATGAGAAATTCTCATATTTAGTTCATTGATGTTAGCCCATTAAAAGCTACTGTTACGCTCTAGAGTGGGTCTCTCTTTTTGCTAATAAGATTCTCTTCCACTCTACCTACTAAATCCCCCATTACAGTCTCACACAGCCCCTTCAGAGAGCCATGGGAGAGCAATACTGCTGAATCACCATGACTGTGCCATGACTCTTAAAGGTACAGTGTGCTGCATGGGTTTCTATGGACACTGTGCAAACGGCGAAAACAAAAAACAAATATATACACAGAGACAGCTGACATACTTAGGGTTGACTTTGACCCCCGCCTTATCCAGACCAATCTTGTCAGTGCACGCGTCTCGGCCCACTGCTATCAACACCTGAGGAACAAAGAAATGGCTTGTTCAGTTCAGAGGAAGTGCTTGAGTAATTCCTGGAGGAATGTGGTAAGAGTTTCAATTACAAAAGAGAGGAAATAGGAACTGCAACATGTCATTTTTTGGTTTGAGTCTCCTTTTAGATTGGGTCACAGAGTTTGACATCAACCAGGTTTGAAAAATAAACATCAAAACTCTACATCAGTCTTCTTGCTTTTAAAGACCGGGAATAAAATATTGTGTTGGTTGTAGCCTCTGACCTTTTATTAAAGAATCTGAAAGCTCTAGTTCAATTCATAAGTAAAGTTTGGTAATTACACCATAACATCACACAGATATCTGACCAGGTAAGCTGCAGTTCACCCAGCAGTCTGCATTTCTATGTGCTTCCACTGTTAAAACTTGAAAAAGGTACAAAGATAACCAATCGGTGTCATCCTGCTTTTTTTGGCATTCTTCTGTTGGGTACCATCATGTTCTTAGTCAGTAAAAGTATAAAACTTAACAAATTAGGACTCTGTTTCATGTACGGTGTTATTTGGATGTAGAAAATGTTGAAAATCAGGTGATTCATTTGCCTGTTAACACGAGCTGAGCAATGACACTACATGCAGATAGATGCAAATAGACAGGAAGGTCATAAAACAAGAAATACTTCCTGATCCTGAGCTTATTATGACAATCAAGGCTGTTGTTTTATCTCTCTCAACAGAAGTTCAACACCTGCCTGAATACAGATCCATTCAGGAGACTTTATTTACCCAATAACTCAAAATAAATAAATAAATAAATAATAATAATAATAATAATAATAATAATAATAATAATAATAATAATAATAATTATAATAATAATAATAAAATAATGAACTGTTCTGTGAAACAAGGACTGCCCTTCCACAGAGAAGAACTTAGTTGGCCATTTCTTACAAAAGCTTTTACAAAGTGATCACGTTTGTTGATGCCATTTCATCATTATTTTTAAATCATTCGGGTTTTTTTTTCCTATTCCAAAAGTCTTTCCTTGGAACTAGTGTCTCCTTCAATGGCGCTGTTTTTTTATTACATGTCACTTTCCTCAAACACTGCATTGTTACTGGCCTCTCCTTAAAGTATATAAGGTGTCTCCTTCCTCCCAAAGTGAGTTTAATCAATCCAACACCAGCTTGAGCCTGTTAAGTCTGTGTAAAACAAAGTAATTCAACAAATGCTACCAAACAACTATTAGTTTTGACCAACTTAAAAGGGCTCCCAAACTAAGTAGGTGGAGTTGTAAACTTGGTTCAAAAGACTATGTTGATATCAGCAGCTTGTTAGTTTGGGCTGCAAAGAGTTTAATGTCAAGTGAGCACTGTCCCTTAATTTCAAATGTATTAGTACAGGATCACTAACCTGCCGAGCAGACCAACAAAAGAGGTGTGTTGCATTAAGGCTTCAAAATGTGAGAGGTTTGGTTATTGTGTGACCAAAAAAAATCAAGAGCTGGAGCTTAAGTTTGGTGAGCTGAGATTTAGCACTTGTTAGCTAGTTAAAGGCGCATTCATGACTTGTTCCTGAATCAGCTATCTCCAGAGAGGCGCGCCAAAACGTGCTGAGAGATGAGCAGCAGCAGACTTTTATAAACTAATATTCCAAACCAAAAGAGAAGCAACAAGAAGCTATGTTAAAAAAAAAACACCCAAACCTAAAAGTTCAGTTTAAATATTAACAAATAATCATTAGTTCACACTAACCCTTTTTAAATCATCAGAAAATAATGGTTTAACATATTTTTTAACATTGTTATTCTTACCGAAGTGTTTCATCTGAACGTGTCAAACAGCTTCTACTGTAGTCTGACACCGGAACTAGGGGTGGGAATCACTTGTGGCCCCACGATACATTAATATCACGATACTTGGGACACGATACAATATTATTGCGGTTTTTAACATTTTGCAATACAGTGAGTATTGCAATACAATATTTTTCGATTTATACAATTTTTTCAACTGTTAAGATAATTTAGCATTTGGCTTTCCTTCATGTTTTTCTTATTTATGCTGTACTTAATTTTCATGTAGCACATCTTGCAAACCTCATATATATTTTTTGCAGTAACTTTTATCTGCTCTATGATGTCACCTCTGCCAACTTCACTGGACAAACAGCTGATTTTATTTTCCCATTAACATAGATTTGACTTCATATTAACAAGACGATACGATATATCACCAGACAAAATATCGCAATACTATGCTGTATCGATTTTTTCTCCCACCCCTAACCAGAACCATTAGGAAAGATTAGGAGATAGATGATCACATACAGTGTTGTACTCTCCCTCGATGATCTCGTCTGTTTCTGTGGACTTGGCTGTCACCTTCAGCCTGCCAGGAGTGCCTGCTTCCAGCTCCTCGATCTGACACAAACAGATGCACCAAAGTCAGGGCAAATGAACAGTTGTGCTTCTTTTAAAAGTCAGGATGATGGAGCAAACTTTGGATTAAGGAGGAAGTGGTGTTATTTTGCCACATAGTAAACAGAGTCAGCTGACAAACAATTGTCTTTGTGGGACAGACAGGTTGTGGGTTTAAGCTGTATCTAAAAACAGACTTTTGTTGCCATCAGTGGTAAACAGTTGTTAAACTATATGAATACAGAAAGCAGATAAAAACATTGTTAATGTTTCCTCATGTGTGGTCTCAACTCTGATCAATTATTTCCATGTCTAGAGCAGTTTAAGTAGCAAACAATTCTGTTAGTTTAAAAAAGGCATGCGTAATCTTAGTTAGTTTAAACTTTATTTTAATGGAAAGAATTTCACTGAGGAGTTGGACTCTCACTCACTTTTGTGGGGACGTATTTGCGGAGGAACTTGACACCATGCTCCTCCATGTGCTCTCCGGCACGGTTGGCCATGTCCTGATCAAAGCCCCTCAGTAGGATAGATCGGACCATGACGGTGACATCGAGACCGAGACCAGCCAAGAAACCGCCGCACTCCAAAGCCACGTATGATGCCCCGATCACCAGGGTTTTTCCCGGGCAGTAGGACAGTGAGAAGAGGTCATCGCTGGTGAACAAGCGCAGACAGACAGAAGGGATCAAACAAAGTGAGGGAAAAACATGCTGCAGCTACAACTCCTTCGGCAGTAGCTCAGGAGGTAGAGCGGTCATCCAATAACTGAAAGGTTGGCGGTTTGAGCCCCGTCCTGTCCCTAGTCTGTCCGTTGTGTCCTTGGGCAAGACACTTGACCCACCTTGCTCCCAGGGTGTGTCCTCCACTGGTGTATGAATGTGAGTGTTGTGTGGTTGTGGTTGGTGAGGCCGTAGGCACAAACTGGCAGCCACGTTTCTGTCAGTCTGCCCCAGGGCAGCTGTGACTAATAAGGTAGTTTACCACCACCAAGGTGTGACTGTGTGAGTGAATGAATGATGTATCCAATGTTAAGCTCTTTGAGGATCTCTGATAAAGCGCTATGTGAAATCTGTTGCATTATTATTGTTATTATTCATGTCCAGTGATCGCCCTCCTAGTTTAAACCAATGAAACTGATTTCAGGTGCAAGATTTTAGTACAATTAAATATCAGCTGGGCTTTGTGGTACCAAGTGCACAGCACAAGGCTATTTGTAGTAGGGCTGGGCGATATGGCCTCAAATCAATACCGTGATATATTGAGTAGTTCACCTTGATAACAATAAATGGACAATAACTACTCCACAAGCTGCTCAGCCCCTCCCACATTAACTTTGTCTACTTCAGCCACCGCTCCAGCACCTACAACTTTCGAACTGTCCTCCACCTCCTCACCTGTCTTTCTGTCTTTGTTACGGACTGTGTGTGGTGGAGTCATGTCTCTGACGTAGGACAGCATCTTAAAAAGGGACATGAGAGCATAGCCTACCTACACACGTCCAAAACCAACTTTGATTTATTTTTATTGACTTGGGCAAAATAACATTGGTTACTCTCATAAATTTTATTATCAGTAAATATTTGGTTGATTGCCCAGCCCTAATTTGCAGGTTGCCAAAGCAGTAGCATTTGGCAAATGCGACTAAAGTTACCTAACATTTAGGACATCTGTTAGATTGATAAATGAACCTGGGCTACCTGCAGGAAATAAAAGCTCCACATTCCTAAAGGGTGTGTCTGTAATTTTAGATAAAACACAGTAGACTGACGGTTGGTTTCAGCAGATGCCAAAAATTGAGCTCTGAATGGGGCTTCTAGCCACAAAGCTTGTCACAAGAACAGATAATACGTGCTACACCAAGCTCTCACCTGGTGATGCAGTACTCCTTGTCTCCAGGGATGCCCAGGTAGCGTGGCCTCTCTCCTGTAGCTAAGACAAATTTAGCTGCTGTGTAAATGGTCTCCTTTCCTCGTTTGTTTGTGGCCTGACAGAGAATACCGAGAAAAGCTCGGAGTTACTTCAGAAGCAGTTTCCACAAAGAACACAGAGCTACAATGTGTAATTTTGACTGCCTCGTAACCATGAGCAAGAAAGCCAACAAGAATGCTGAAAGGCAGCCAAAAACTGAGGCCAACTGTTGAGCAGGTGTTGTGCAAGAAAAATAAAGCTAAATAATAGGTTACCAAAACAGGTGAGACAACAATTCAGAGCAGGCTAATCAAGATTAGGGATATGTTTTAGTATGTAACAATAAAGAGTTGCATAAGCCAAACCAGCAACCCCAGGTCAACCTCTACACATGCAAACTGTGGGTCCTGACTGAATGAACTTAAGTCTGTGTTCACCTTGATTTTGTGTGGTTCAACAAACTCTGCATAGGCATTGACATAGTTGACATCCTTGTCTCTGAGCGCCACCCTGTAGCCCCAGTTCAACGAGCCGATGTAGTTGTTCACCGCTGTTTTCATCGTCTCCCAGTTATGTTTGACTGAAAACAGACAGAGACTTGCCGTCAGTTCAGAAAAATTAAACAACGACTGCTGCTGCTGGCCTCTGATTTACCGTGGCAACCTCTTGAGATGTCCCCCCTTCGCGACCTCCTGGGTCGGTGCTCTGAGCTCTCACCTGTCTCTTCAAACTCCCAGCCAAACTTGCGTGCGTCCTGCATGGCCGTGCCCAGCAAAGCTGTCTGGTGCATCAGCTTCTTAGGAATGCAGCCCACATTCACACAAGTTCCACCGAGACCTAATGGCCACAGGAAGCACAAAAGGTTATTTGCAAAACAATACTAGATAGAAATACAGACACAGGGCATATACACAGAGCTTAGTGTCCAAAAGTAGAAGTATCTTACCCCAGGAGGTTCCCTTTGGTGTGGGCACCACAAAGTCCAGTACCATGACTTTCTTCCCCAACATAGCAGCTTCCTATCAACAAAGAGGCTAATGTTACAGCACCACTAGATTTCCTTTTAGTTTCACTCTGATTCATTAAAAATACACAATATTGCACAATACAGTAGCTGCTTCCAGAAAGCTTCAGTGGTTGTAAATATGTTGCACTTGATTGTCTCACCTTTGAGCAGGCGAGGCCTCCAGATCCTCCTCCAATGACGATCATGTCATAGTCATAGGCCTCATTGTCTCCACTCAGCAGCTGCTGCAGGCTGCCGTCTTTATGTGCCTGACAGACAGATTGACATGATGCTGTGTCAGTGCAGCACTAAAGCAAGTCTGTCATGTCATTATCATACACGTCTGCTGTAGCCTGATCACACTTTGAATTAACAGGCCTGACCTGCTGCATCCTAACAAGTCAGTGTGCCACTGTCTCTGGCATATGTTGATTGGATTACGAACCCACCTATTCTGCCCCAATCTTATTCTGCGTTCTCAAAATACAAGGTATACTGGAATCAAATGTCACCAATGATGACAGCCAAGTTAACAGCGTAAAATCAAACACTCAAGATCTTAGTCAAAGTCATTTGTCATAATTAGGTTCACTGATCAACTTTAATAACAAACAAACAAACAAACAAACAAAAAAAAAGAGAGGGATAACACAGCGTAACACTGTGCAGCCGCTTGTTTGTGGGGGAGCCCTGACGAGTCGAGCACTGAGTGCAGCTGAAAATGTATGATTATTACTTAAAGTAAATGCAAACAACTGAGTCGCTGAGGCAGAAGAACTATCATGTCTGCAGTGCACATACAAGATACACAAGAACTCTGATTGCATTTCCATGAAGTAATAATCAGAAATGTTCTTCCTTGAACTGCGAAACTCCGCTGCACTCGGTGATTGACTCATCAGGGCTCACCTACAAAAAAGCGGCTGCTGGAGGAGAGTGGGTGAGTTGTGTTTGGTCTCTTTGCTAAAGAAATCAGACAAAGCTAAAAAGATGTTTGGTGGCTAGTGCTATGGCTGGGACCCTGTATGTACTGTTGATGAAGTTAGGTGCTGTTCTGAGCATTATTTGGGGCTATAGAGTGGTTTTTTTGGTTGAGGTTTGCAATAGGGATGTTCACGGTTATTCGGATATTTGTGTAAACGGGGCTGTCCTCACTATCCGTTTAGTAAATAATATTCGTTTATTCTATTTAAAACAAACAAAAAAAAGAAAAGGGAAAAAAAAAAGCAAAAAGCAAAAAAAAGCTTTTTTCCCCCCTCCAAATTATGTTTTTACCGTCATGTCTTAATAAAAGTGTGCATTAAACAAGCTAAAATGTGTGGATCAATTGTGTGCGACTCTTTCTGCCTGGCTCACTGCTCTGGGCTCGCAGTGCTGGCCTGCAACATGCATGGCATCGTGGGTTAACTTCCTCAGAGTGAATCAGCACATGCGATAAGCCAGAATAATGTTGGTGAGAAAAAAGAGCAAAGTTTGGGAGTATTTTGATTTAGATAAAGTGTGCTTATTGCCATCGCTCCATTGCACCTCTACCGCTGATGGGGATTCTGTCCTTCTTTACAACTAAAGAAGCTGTGGACCAAGCTATAAGCCAAGCTTATTTGAAGACAAACAAGAGTGATGCTACCATTCACACCAAGACAAAATTAGAGTCGACGCCATCAAGCCTATCATCTTTCTGCAACAGGACACCTCAGGGCACTTAATCAGTCTCCATCTCCCATGTTTCTGGTATCTGCTCTCAAGGAACTTGAATACTTCGCTGATTCTAGCTCTGGGCACGCCTTCATGTTTTTAGTTACACACATTTCCTTCCTGTTACATGCTGCACTGAGGGTGGATTGTGCATTTATCAGGACAAGTTTTATGCAAAAAACATTTGTGGGTTGTGTTTGCAAATGCCGCTTGAGTCACACAGGCATGTCTGTACACAGTTTAAGCAATCATGAACTGAGGGGGGAACAAGAACACGAGAGACCAAAATACCTTCAGTACTGTCAAGCACTTTTGTGCCTTACCTGCAATGTTTTGTCGCAGCCACCAAGGTGTGTCTTGTTGATAAAGACATTGGGAACAGTTTTCTGCCCAGTCATCTCCAGCAGCATTTCCTGGTAGTTGGGTCCATCATCTGGATAGAGATGCAAGTGTTTAAGCACAAATAAACACGGCCACTGAAACCAATTATTGTAGTTTCATTGTGCAAGAGCTAATCACAATCGCTCTCATGGTTATGAAATCAGTTTTGATCCCATTTTAGAAGGCTCTTGCTAACTAATGGATCCATGATGGCAGCTATTTGCAACTTCCTGTGAAGTGAAGAAAACTGTTTCTTTTTTTTCCAGATACATTTTAAGGACTAGCTGAGTAGACTAGCAATAATATCCACTGTCAAATGTAGGAAGAGAGTGGATCAACTCTACCTTCAACACTCACATCCTTACATTTGTTTTATATTTACACTCTTCTTATTTATCCAGTTTGAATATTTTCCTTAAGCAACTCTTTACTGTGTTTCTGATTTTTAAAAATTGCATGTCAAAAATATTTAATAAATCATTGCTAGACAAAACCTTTTCATCCAGAGTTAAACATTTCATTTATAAAGCCCCAATGCCTCTTTCTCTTCAACACAATAGCTTGTAAATGCATGTGTAAGACAAAAGTCCAATGACTAATTGTTCCTCAAGGTTCTTCAAATATATACATTTTTATTTTGTTCACGTTTTTTTCAAATACATGTAATCTAAGTTGAACAGCCATGCAGAATTTCCCTAGCTGAAGTGTTGTGGGGAGTCCAGTCTAATTGTTCAACAACTATCATATTGGTCACTCTCTTTTTAATCATCACAGTCTCTAAACAACTTAAGCAAACAGCAAAGATTGAGGCGGAAATGACTGAGCGAGACCGAGCAGAGGCGTCTGAGGGTTTACTGATATATGGCACAAGGCCAACTTATCAGCAGGGAGTGACTCAGCAGGTTTGGTGCTGCTGCGAAAAAAGGACAACAGCACTGCCTGGGAAAAGACATCACCTTTACAATATTGTAAAAGAAAACTGAGGCATGAGTAGGCAGGAAACTGTGAATTTATATTCATCTTATACCAACATAATAACACAATAAACTCAACACAATAATATCTATGACTGGTATGTGTCAGTCACTATCACACATCTTATAAAACATGTTCCTTATCTACTTTTTTCCTCGTCACTGTCTGTGTAACCCTTACCCTCCACACATAGTCCGCATCAATGAAGTATCTATCTATCTATAGTGTATTTACGTGAAGGCGAATAAATCCATCAAATTTATTACAAGATGTAACTACTAGTGGTTGATCTAATGCCAAAATCACATTGTGGTTTTTAATTTTTTTTTGTTTTATTTTTGGATTTGACAGAATTTAACAATTACATGACACTAACAAATGACAAAGTTGCTGAAAATAAATAATGACCTGTTCAGCCATCCTATAACATTCAAAATTCATGCTAAGTACTAAGATTAAAATTTTCAATAGTCATGTATAATCAAATTTCCCGTTTGGGATAAATCAAGTTCTTCTTATCTTATAAATCCATTGTTTCATAGGCATTAAAATCACATTTATCATATTTGTCTGAGCCAATTGCATTTTCAAAAAAAGATGTTTAGTGGGTTTTTGATGCTGATTACTATTAAATTGACTCATTTTAATAATTGGTCTATCTCTAGTTATTCATTATTTGTCTGTTATGAGACACTCATACAGTGAATTGTAGTGCTTGGTTATGTACAGAGTAGTGTTATGTACACTACCTGTGCAGAGCGCAAACTGTTGTGTATCCCATTGAGATATTATAAATAGAAATGACTGTGCTGACTTTTCCATCACTTTTTATTTTGTAATGATAGTGCTTCTATTTTATTGCACGTGTTCAACCTGAGAGTGATCTTTTGAGGAGATGTATATTGAACCTGCCACTGCACTTGGCAACAAATCAGAGATAATCATAATAATGAGTGAGAAAAAACCCCCATCTTACCTATTAGATCCAACTCCACCACATTACACTCGACTTGCAGCTCTTTGAACAAGTTCTTTACCTGCAGGGAAAAAAAGAAAATACATGTTCTCAGTTACATGATATATAATCACAATAAACTTAACACAACACAGCCTTAAAACCCTACAAAAGGTTAAAAAATCCTCACTGAAACCGCGTTACTCATAAAACATTCATATACTTTTCATTCATTGGTAACCCTTCACTGACTTCCTACAAGTACATCATTTTATCCTGTTTATGGAAAACCAAAGAAACATTATAAGCTGAAAATCAACGTTGTGCGTACCTCAGAGTGTGTGCGTGTGTGTGTGTGTGAGAGAGAGAGAGTGTGTCTTCAGACGAGAGGTCACGTTAGGTGTAAGTTTAGCTATGAACTACAAGTTACATAACTTAACCAACTTTTCAGACTGTGACCACACTGACAGAAAACAGCTTTCACATGTTATTTATTTATTTTATATACAAAAGTGTGTGTATTTCTAATGTAAATCAAACGTACAGTTTAGCTCTTTGGTTAATTTTAAAATTAAGTCTCCAGTACAGAATATTCAAGGGCTGCACTGAGCCTGAAAAGAAACGCCAGCAATTAGACGAAGCCCGTGTACTTCGCGGGAGACAATGGAAGTTTCCGATCCTCGTTTAAAGATGTCACTTTAAAAAATGTCTTACCTTCACACAAAACGGACAGAAGCTTTTGCTGAAAATCAAGACTTGATTGGAGTCGATAAGCTGCTGTATCCGAGTTTTGAGTTCATTTTTCCCGGTGTCATTTTCGATGGGAGGCATATTCAAGCTATTTCCGTCTGCCTGCACAGGGCAAGCTCTGATAGACGGCCAACGACGAAACGAGATCTAATAAATCAAAGAGCACACTCTCTGTCTCTCTCTTCCGTGAGGCAGTCACTGTCGTTAAATCCCCGGGTACCTTTGCCAAAGAGAGAAACCTGTTCAGCGAACGGGCTGTGGTTCTCGGTATGGTCCTTCCTCGTCTGCTGTCAGTAGCCTCTCCACCAACCGCGCCAAACGTCTTTGGCTATTTCTTGTCTCTCTACTCTGAGTGCGCTCGATATGGTTCACCTTGTTCGACCTCGCATCCCGTTGCGTTTCACTGTAAACAGAATAAACCCCGCCCGACTGGTCAATGCCGTGCATTAAAACAAACGTACCACGTTAAAACGTCACAGGCAGCCAAGAGCTATGTATTGCGGGAGAGCATTGAGACTTCAGCACCGAACTAAACCCGGCAAAACTCTCAAAAAAAGCCTTTTGGGTTTTGTGTATTCGCCTATTTTGGTAGGATACACTAATTGGTTTGTTAGGGGCGCTGGGTTTGAGTAGTAGGACCAATTGGAGAGTACTGGCGTTCACGTGAATCATTCAACCGCCGTAGAATTACGAAGTGGACACATTTATGTATAAGGTTTAAGAGGCCACGTTGCTACACTTACATGTAAACGGAGCTGGAAAGCACAACGTCAGAGTACCTACGTGATAAATAGAAGCCTCATAAAAAAGGCCTACCCTAACACCTTATACGGAGATAGATATAAACTTTAAGGCTCTCGTTAGGTATCAGACTGTATCATTTCAATAAACTCGGAAAATAAAGACCATTATCTTAGTGACTAGGGAATCTATATCAAACCTATACTGCCTGTGGCCTTCTTACAAATTTTTCAGTGAAACGAGTCAGACGATTAGTCTCTATTGACATCACATAACTAGTTTATTTACGAGTATTGGCGATACTATATCTGATCGTTTTGTTGCATGAGCAGATTGCGCCCCCTTCTGTTCATTATATAAATTTAAACCGTATTGACTTTAATATCATTCATTATATCGAGGTGGAAGTATAGTGATAAAAATTTTAATACAATAAATAGAATACAGTGAAATAGAAGACAAAATAACATACCTTAAAGTGGTATGCTTGAGTATAGTGCCATTCAATTCAATTTCAATTCAACTTTATTTATATAGCATTTTTCATACAAAAAAACGCAATTCAAAGTGCCTCACAGAGGCTAAAAACAGCAATGACAAAAACCCAACCCTTCCACCCACATACACACAAAGACACCCACCCACCCTCACACACACACACACACACACACACACAGTGTGAGAATTTAAGATATAAGTTAAAGAGACATGGCCTGACACTAAGACATTACATGAGGAAAGAGCTACCTTTAGGAAACACTGGAGATAAAAATAGAGATAAAAATGGTGAAAAGAGTAAAACCTGATGGACTAAAATAAGAAAATAATATTAAATGAACAAATAAGTAAAAGGGGTAAAAGAAGTAAAAACCTGTGACGGGAAATTAAGAAAAAGACTAAGAACAGCGATAATAAATAGAATGACATAAAATAAACATTAAGAACTTTGATTAAAATGAACATTTGCAATAAGAGAAATCTAAAATGGCAATTAGTAAAAAGCCTGGTTAAAAAAGTGAGTCTTATGACTACCATTTATCATGACAACATATAATATATTTTAACTACATTAATAATGTAGTACAGCTTTATGAATGTATCAATTAATATGAAATCCTAACATAAACATGAAACATGGTCAGCAGTCAGACCGTGTGGAATGGAAGGAAGGTACAAGAAACTAATACCAACAGTGCCCTTTTTTTTTTGACAGATATTCATTCTCACTTATAAATGTTACAACTGTTTAAAAAGTTTAAGATGACTAACTCAATGTATTCTGATTTTTTTTTAAATTTACTGTGGTAAAAATAACTTTAGGAAACACAGGCATGTAGACCATTTGTAGCATTATCACAGTGTCCTCCAGGTGGTGTTCTCAGTGATACACAGTTTTTTTGTGACTCACTTGGTTTCATCTCTTTATTTGGGTGCAGCTGGTTGTAACAGGCAGAGGTAAGCTTACACCTCTGCCAGTTGCAGTGAAGACAACGAAGACCAAAACCCAACAATCCCACTGTCCCACAGCCCACCCAAGGTTAAGAGAGAAGACAACAAGAAAAACATGCTCATCGACAATATGATATAATATAATATAATGTAAATACCATAACTATGATGAACTTTTATAATATGCTTTGTTGTAATATGCCATAATATAATACAACACAATATAATACAGTATGTATAATACACAATATTGAATTCAAAATTATATAATACAATGTTTTGTATCATAACAGAAAATATAACACAGTTAAGTACTATCCTATACCCAAATCTATTAGGCAGATAAATTGTTCTCTAGCGCCATCTGCAGGGTGAAGCAGTAAATGACAGTGACAGGTGCACTTATAAGACTGGTGTGACGTAGCCATTTGAATTCATAATAAATGTCTTACGATTTATATTTGATAATTTTAAAATATAACATTCATGTACTCCTTGGTAAGGGCGCCACCCACCTTTGATAGTGGGGAAACAAAAGAAAAACAAAAGTTCATTTCAGAACTCAAACATTAAGTCAATCTTAAATCAATGTGAAATCAATCTCATATCTCAAACCAGAATTCTCATTTCATTGAAAAATCAATGATCTGTTTATAACAGGATATATAATGTTACAACCTGAATGTGATAAACCTTGATAAGATAAGCGGGGATAAATCATGATAGATGAATGAAGGATTCTAAGTTAGGCTCTGACTATTGAAGTTAATGATAGTGAGTTAATACGCTCTAACATGTTAACCTACATTAAATGTGGGGAAGAGGTAAATTTGGATGAATTTTGAATTACTTCAATTAGTGATTGTTTGAATCATGAAAGCATGAGACAGCGTCAGCCCTGTTTGGAGCTCTGGAGGTTTGCATACCTAAGTGACTGTAATACCATCATCCCTATGTCATATACAGTACATATTGCCTACCAGAAATGAGATTAGTAAACTAGGTGGTGACATTTTGCTCTTACTAGTGAACTAGTGAAGTAAAAATGTACCTTTTGTTTAAAGTTTTGGCCTGATGACCCTAGGCCTAAACACTAGTGAATACAGTCATGACTTACGTAAGTAGTAAACAAGTAGATGCAAATGAGTTCACTAGTGACACTAGTTGTTATTTTTTAACCTACGAATTAACTAATAGGACTCAAAAACGTTCACTAGACAACTAGTAAGAGCCAAAATATCATCTTGTTGCACTAATAAGGGCAGGTTTGACCTTACCAGTTTACTTGTAAGGCTTTAAGTGTTTGCTTGTTGACAAACAAGAGCCAAAATGTCCACTTGTTACAAAGGCTGGAATGTATTTGTGGCATTAGATAACTAGGGGGAGACATTGTACCACACGTGTGCAAGGTACAAAGCAGTTAACATCTGCTCCCAGCTAGTTGGCTGTCATACTATATGCATACGTCACATTTTGTAATTTCACTAGTGCATCTACAGTAAATGCACATTCTTGTCTAATAGGACAGAGTCAAATAAGTACCTGGCAAACTGAGTAAAAATTTATTTTACAAGTTAACAAACAGCAAAGAAAAGAATCTAAATAGTGCTTCGAGTGGAAATTTGGTCCACATAATAGTTAGAATGCAGAGTGCAACATACAATCTGCTGGCAGCACTAGTATCACTAATAGTCTGCATTCAAATGAGGCAAGCGGGACAAAAGCTGTGATTGGTTCATTTCCAATCTGTGAAGTTGAGAGTCTCAAAAGGCCAGCTAAAATGGTAACTTGAGTTTAAGTAGCACTCACTTGAAGTGGTGTGCTTCATTATTTTGTGCTTTTATGAAGTGATGATTTCTTGATTGCACTTTTGCAGATTTATTTAACACATACGATACAGGAAAATCAAAGTGGATAACATTATATCTTATGTCAAATTGTGTCAGGGAAGATGGATGGATACATAGATGGATAAATATGTTAAAAAAAAAGGAAGACATAAAGTTTTTTTAGGATTATGATTAATGGCAGATTAAACATATTGTTAAAAATCAACAATGTATCATTACAACTTTGCACTTTGCCTTATAAATAGTGTTGAAATCCAGTTGATGTTAAAGGTAAGGGCGTGTTAATGCCTTTTATCATTTATAATTGCCGTATGTCGAGCCAATTTTATTTCATAATGTAAAGTTGAGCCAAAGGGTAAGTTGAGCCACCCCCCTGTTGCTTGAAAATGGTAAAAGAAATTGATCATGTGACCAAATATTTAGGAGATTGGCTACAACATGAGGTCAAAAACCTAACATAAAAATCCACCATTTTAGCTTAGAGAACTAATAAAGTCATGTTAGTAGTTCTGGGGTAAGTTGAGCCAGTGGCTCAACTGACAAAGTAAAGGAGTCTGATGAGAGGATCAGAGTTTCAGTTCAGCTTGTTGAAATGTTTGACTTTTTCTTTTCAAAAATACAGCTGTGAATGTTCTGAATCACTTAAAGACATTCTCATGTTAAAATGGCTTTTTTACAAAACAGCTTTTTAGCAGTTATATGCAATAATAATCAAAAGAATTATTGTACCTGCTGAATAGCGTATAATAGATAAAAATACACATGAATATGAAGAAGTGACTGTTATTTAGGGAGAGAGAAGGTGAGGGAGGGCTGACAGCTCAACTTGCCCCGCTCCTATAGTCAACTTACCCCATACACAGGGTAAGTTGACCATAGGAGACCACTTTTTTGGCATGCTATATTATCAAGGCAGTTATGTTTACACTCATTCTGTTGGTTTGCAGGGATGCACAACATCTTGAAGTATATACCCACTGAGCATTTTTGGTCTAAAAGAGGTCTAGTAGATGTCTAAATGTAGCCTAGACGATTGGTCTAAAATCAGGCCACCACAGGTCTAAAAATGAAAGTTTTTTAGACATCTAAATTTAGACCAAGTCTAAATCTTAGCTATATCTATACTATACTGTATATTGCTAAACAGTCATCACAATTATTTTGGTTAAGTACTCGGAGATCAGTCATACAACTCACAGTTGCTTTTTGAAATAAATAGTTTATCAAATAATGGGTTAAAGTGCAACGTCTGAATTCCATCTAAAAATATACAGAATCTAGACGGTTGAAATTAGGTCTAAAAAAAGACTGGACGTCTAATAGCCGTCTACTGCTCAGTGGGTACGGATACACTAGTTGGAGACAAAACTATGATTGCCTTGATGTAGTGTAGTAAATATGAAAAACGGCTCATCTTACCCCACTCTCCCCTATCATTTTTCTCGTCAGGTTTAAATGAAAAGTTTCCTGAACTACACCTGAAGGCAGCATCACCGCCTCTGATTCGCAGCTGTCACGTTTACGTCACGATGCTGAATCAGGTACGTATCATCCGAGAAACGCAATCAGTCTCCACATAATTTCCAGGTGAGTGTTATTGTGCAATCTCCATTTTTTACCTGTGAGCAGCAGAGGGTTGTTTTGCAACAGCGTTACACGATGACACGCCAGTGGTTTTGGACACGCAGCAATAATCCTCAATAATTCCTCAAACAAGTTTGTACACGAGCAGATGAGCTGTGGGAGATGAAGTAAAGGACCTCACCCCCAGCTGAGTTCAACAGTCTCGGAGTGTGTCTGGGTCCGTGAGGCTGTCTTTCTGTGAGTGTACCACTGGGTCTTGATTCTCGTCTTGTTGCTCCACCTCCACCTCCGTAGTGAATTTAAGTCGCAGTTCAGCCGCGGAGAAGCGTTTTCTGAAGAGGAAGCACACGGCCAGGCCCAGGATTGAACTGCTCAAGAGAAACGGACTGAAAATTCACCATGGCAGAGAATAAGATGGCCCCAAACCTCCAGGCTGGGGCAGGATTCCTCGCTAAACGGGTCCAGAAATCTTTAAATCGAGCTCAGGAAAAGGTAAGCCGGGTTAATTAATTCTCTAAAACTACGATGACACGTTGTTGCTGTAGTTACACTAAAACCACTTTAACGTGCTCTTTAAACCAGGAAAAACACATCTTTTAGCCAAAATTCATACTCTGTGTGAGGCTGTAGGAGTCATCAGACCTCTCCACAGAAACAGGCCGTTGAAGAAAGAGCTTCTCTGGAAAGTGAAGACATACAGGCTCCATGATGGATACAGCTCAAGTAAAATATTTCCCGCAAGACTCCCACACTGACCTCAGCAACATTATTCCCAATCTGGGGTCTATTATTTAGCTCTGTAACCAAGTGTTAGCTGACACACCAATGAGTCTCCTGGTCAGGGGATGAAAGTATGTCATGCATTTTTTTCTGGACTGTAAGCAAAGCATGTGATTGTGACCATGCAGGTAGAGAAAAGGCTCTTTATTTTCACTATGTTAGTGTAGAAGGCCACAAACATCACGCTCCAGCCTTATACTCTGTAAGTATGTACTTTGACGAAGAGCTGGCCTGTTTCTGTTCTGAAGAAAAGCATTAAAAGTGGCCATTTCCTACCCTGAGCATCATAGTGTTGTTCAGTGCTACACAGCTGTGTGAACATGAAAGCTGTCACTTCCTGACCTTGCACTTCCTCTCGCTTGTTGGGTCTTTCTCACCGTGTTTGTGGTTGACATGTTTCATTGTACTGCTCCACCTAAAAACTTCAGCTACACACATTTGATAAGCCACAGTAGGCCTATTTTTGTTATCCAGAGATTTGTTGTATCATGTAAACTGAAGGACAGACATGATAATGAGGGTGTTTGTTGCAGAATTAGAGTTTAAGGTCATTCAGACTCTCTCATAGCTGCAAGCAGTGGACTGAGACGGACAGAGTAATAGTTAACCTGGTGTGTACAACTCATGGTAGACATGCTGCACATGCAACAGATGGGGAATGTTAGTAGTTTTAAGCAGCTAAATCAATCAGAATAAATTATACCAATAAAACCCTGCACAGCTATAAATGTGACAACCAATGTGATAGTGAACATTTCTGGTCTTCCAGTGTAGATGGCAGATATCTTGATGATTGATTGTGGATGTCCTAGCCTCGACCTCCATCTTTGTGGTCTGAAAGTAACCTCAGAGCCAACAATGTAGTTGAAGTTGAGGGACAATATCTAAGGTCAGGCTCTACTTATCTGCACTCAGATGCAGATATGAGTTAATAATAGAGGTCAACTTAAAGCCTGATTGTGGACTTCAGGATTGTCTTTCACTGTGAGCTGAAAAAATATGAACTGCAGAACAGGCTGTTCAGTACATGAGTCAAGTAGACAAAGGTAAGGTCTTCTGTATCCAAGTGTTGTTTATGTGTTTGTCATGTGTTCACAGGTTTTTGAATTGTGATAGAAGCAACAATATGTGTCTATATTCACACTTCAGCTGTGAACAGGATACATGATGAACAGATAGCCGAAATGAGTGGATATATTAATCTTATGAATTTAGGAAGAGTCGTCACCCTTTTTATTGTAGCACCCTACAGTAAGATGTATGATTCATAATTGACAGGCTTATAAGGAGCTATATGGATCTAGTCTGATGCAGTACCCACATGTACTTGTATGATGCAATACGGATATTGACAGCTTGGCTGATAGTTGGACAGTTGTGTAGGTAGTAGTAATGTAGCCACGTCTTGTCACCATGCCCCCGAGACTTCTTTTAATTTCCAGCCTATGGTCTTCAGACTACAGTACCTTCAAATTCATCACTTCATAGGCAAAGTCATCAGAATTTATTTGGCCTTAAAGACACATTTTGCCTTTTTGTTGTCCTTGTTTTTTCAAATGTTATACGGTGTGCACTTTCAGACTTTGATCTGTCAAATGAAGAGGATGTCCCCACAACTACAGAATAAAAGGTTTACTTCTGTCTTTGTATGTTGAATCTTACTCTGTTGTCCTCTCTCAGGTCCTTCAAAAGCTTGGCAAAACCATGGAGACCAAGGATGAGCAGTTTGAGCTTTGCTGCCAGAGCCTCAACAAGCAACAGGTAAACAACACAAAACCTTGTAACTCGGGAAAGAGCCTTCTCATCCTAGTCTCTTCCTATCCAACAAAAGCCATGTTGACTTTTTTTGACCTGAAAATGCTGGTAAAATGAAACAACTTTGTCCACAGAACTTATCTCAAATCCATGGTTAAACTGAGCACAATTTAATCTCCCAGAAAGACTGTGTTTTGTTTTTGCTGCTGAGATGCCAACCCACAAGGTCAGATAATCAGCGTGGCATTAACAACAGGAAATACTCAAAGCAAGCTGCTTCTCTTTATAATTTCTTTATCTTCTTTGCATGAACCCTGTTTGCTGTGTCTTTTATTGATATCTTTACACAAAAATTACCTTGATACTAAAAGAAATATTCGCGTTACACACAAACTCACAAATGTCTTGGCTAAGTTTTTGGTACTTGAAAGGTCTAAAGCAGGCAACTTCTGAAACGGGAAACGATACAACCTTGCTTTTCAAACCTTACACACATACACAGTCCAGCTTGGTCTGGTACGTCAACTCCGAACTTCAGCCGTTACAAAATAAGTTATAACTGTTATACCTTTAGCCTAATTTCTGCTTGTGTTTTCACATTCATTTTCATCTTGTTACCGACCTGTGGCCGCAGTTACTGCTGTTGGGGAAAAAAGTAACATGAGTTAGCAAAGGCATTGCTCAAGCTCGTTCAGTGTTAAACACAAGGGCAGCACATTTTGGAGGGAAACCACGGAGGAACAACAGGAAACCATTCTACATCCTGACAAGACACGGCACTTTCACTTCACCACAAACATCACCAACACAAATGTTGTGATTGTAAAATGTTTTCAGAGTTGACATTATGGTCATGGGATCAGTTTAAGTGACTTATTGCAGCTTAAAAGTCGATGAGTAAAGTCACCCTGCTGCATGATTTGATCATTCTTGGTTGCTGGGGAAATGATGAGGCACAGATCTGACATAGAGATACTCTCACTGGGTGTCACTGAATTAGACTTTTTTTGACTGCAATCTTCCTTTTTTTTCTGCACACAGGTCGATGGAAACAGAGTGTTTAAAGATGTCAAAGCTTACTATTCAGCTGTAAAAGGTAAGTGTTAAAGCACACACAACATATACAGAGATAAGTCTCCATAGAGGAGGTTCCTCTCGAGTTAGTGAAAATAGGGAAGTAGTTTTTTTTCTATTCTTGGATTCTGCACTGACTTTTGCAATTCCGTCTGTGTTGCCAAGTTGTACAACCACAAGCACCCCCCTGCCCCCATAGTTTAAACAGCAGATGCAGCATTGTGTATGTGACTCATATGCAATAACCAGTTATGATTTTAGCGTGTCAGCTTTTGCTCCTGCATTGTAAGCGCCGTTCAGGAAACCAGTGTTGTTCTGACCTTCTCAGGCTGGGCGTAGCAACAATGCTGCAAACCTTAAAAAAACACCACAACAATGCACTGTGCTGCTGATGCTAAATGATAATATGGTCCTTTTTGGGTCATGTTGGAAACCGTTTTTCTGTCTCCCTACAATTTTCTACTCCCTTTTACAGCAGTGCATGAGGCATCCAAACGGCTCTCCCAGACACTGCGAGACATCTATGAGCCCGACTGGAACGGAGTGGAGGGTCTTGCTGTCATCACAGAAGTATGTTCTTCATGAGTTTATGGGATTCCTTGCATTTGAACAGTTATCTGTGATCTAAGTCCATAGAGGCATACTTTGATTTGAGTTACAACAGGTCGGGCTTGTTTGCTTGGAGTTTATTTCAACTTGAACATTTAAAAAGCTGGATCCAATTCAAGCTTATCAAAAGTCCTTTCAGGTTCATGCCAGCAGACTGAGACTTTTGATCTCTTCCATCTCAGTGTGTGTGTTTAATCTACAGCTGGTCAATGCTTTGTATTGGATCAGCAGCTAGTTTCTCACATCATAATGCAAGTAACAAACACCTGAGTGCTGCAGTCATACAGCCACATCAATCTAGCATAAAGCTGAAACACCAGTGCTCACACTGAGCCAGACTACTTATTTCTACATTAGCTTCCATGCTAAGTCTCTGCATCTTGCTTAATAATACAAACTCAAGCTACGTCTTACTCCTGAGGGCGTTGAGAAAACACCCAAACACACATTAATGAGGTGGAGGTTATTGGTTGCTTCAGTTTACAGGTGTTAGCTTATATGCGATTTAAGTTGCATCACAGCTAACACCATGTAATGTGAGCGAGGCAATGTTTTACATTGTGCAACAGGGCTGAGTGGTCAACTGGTTAAAGCTGTCTAGCTTACTTCAAGGTGAAACCAAACCACGTCACTTGATTCATAACTGGATCCATGTGTCCTTGACAGAGTGAAGATTTGCTGTGGAACGACTTTGAAGAGAAAATAAGCGACCAGATTGTCCGCACCATGGAGAATTATACAAGCCAGTTCCCTGAGGTCAAGGTAACCTGATGTTTTATAACCTCCTGCATTAGTTCCTGCAAAATTTGTTCTTGTACTAGAATGTCATCTAGGCCTCTCAATTAACACTATGTGTGAAACTAGGGTTGGGCGATATGGCCTCAAATCGATATCATGATATATTGAGCAGTTCATCTCGATAACGATAAATGGATGATAACTACTCCAGAAGCTGCTCAGCCCCTCCCACATTAACTTTGTCTACTTCAGCCACCGCTACAACTCTTGAACCTTTCTCCATCTCCTCACCTGTCTTTTTCTCTTTGTTATGGACTGGATGGGGTGGAGTCACGTCGCCGACATAGGACAGCGTCTCAAAGGGACATGAGACCATAACCGACTACATACACCCAAAACCAACTTTTATTTATTATTTTTTTTAATATATTGACACGAGAAAAATGACATTGGTTATTGTCGTAAATTTCGGTATCAGTAAATTTTTGGTTTATCGCCCAGCTCTATGTGAAACAGAGATGTTCAGTCTCCTACAGGAAGAAGAAGAGAAGTGTTATCATAATCACTTTGTGTTTCAGGAACGAGTAGCTAAGCGTGGTCGCAAGCTAGTGGACTACGATTCAGCAAGACATCACCTGGAAGCACTTCAGAGCGCCAAGAAAAAGGATGAAGCAAAAATAACAAAGGTAGTTTTAAGTCTTTGGTCACTCACATCATGGATTTGATGATTGATCTCAGCTGATTTTACCAACTTCTTACAAATTGACTTAAACAGGCAGAGGAAGAGTTCAATAAAGCCCAGACTGTGTTTGAAGAAATCAACAGTGAACTGAGGGAGGAGCTGCCTGTTCTTTATCAGAGGTACGCTTAACTGTGTATCAGCGCAAATTTAAGCCACTGTGAGAAGTTTTAACTGGTAATAAAATAGACTGATACTAAGACTGGGGCCTGTTTGTGACCTGCAAAAGCAAACCAGACAATCATCAACAAGAGTTAATATTTTTTAAGCTGAAGACTAAACTCTTTGTTGACAACATTAACAGCTAAGTTCCAGAGCAAGCGATACCTTCTCTTCATACCGCTGCGTCTTTTTTTTTAATTGGTGTTAAAAAAATTGTGTATTCTTGATCAAAAGCATTCACAGATTGGCTCCAAGAATTGACATATTTTTTTGAGATGGACGTGTTGATGAACAGAAAGACCAACTAAGAGCTGTTTTTGTGTTTTAGCCGCATAGGTTGCTACGTGACTGTGTTCCAAAACGTCTCAAACCTGAGGGATGTCTTCTACAAGGAAATGAGTGTGGTAAGATACAACATGGCTCCTTTTTATTTCCTTTTAAGGACTCAAGTTGTGTAAAGACTCCAACATGAAGTCTTTGTTGGTTGTGTGTTGATGTTGTTATATAATGTGTTGCAGCTAAACCGTGAGCTGTACGATGTGATGAAGAAACTGGAGACTCAGCACTCGGGGAAAGCTTTCATCATCAAGGGTCTGAACAGGTGAGGCAACATGTTGCACACGATACTATCTATGATTTAGAGTTAGTAATGTGAGCTCTTGTCTGGACTTGTGAGTGAATAACCACAGGACCTCAGTGCTCCCATTGATGTTGAATATGCTGAAGTTGTAATAAAGCGGCTTTGTATGAAATGTCCAAAAGTGACAAATTCCCTTTTTCCTTCCAAAAGCACAACAAGCAAATCAAAGAAGAGAAAGTCCCTGGTTATCTCCAACCCAATCCCCTGCAACACAGCTTTCCCAGCGGACCACGTTTCCATTCATGCTTCCACTGAAAATGGAAAAAATGCCGCACACTCTCCCCCTGCCCAGAGACCTGAGAGCATTTCTGAGGACACCAGCCAAGCAGAAGAAAGTAGTGTATCATCCAAAGATGTCCACTCTTCAGACTCTGATCTCAGCTCCAGTGGTGCCAACACGCCAAAAAGGCAGTCGGTGTGTGACTCTGAGAGCAGCGACAGAAGCACAAAGAGCCAGAGCCCTAAAGAGGAAGAAGAGGCAGCAGCAGAGGCAGGGGCAGACCTTACTACGGACCAGTCAGATGACTCTGGGGTCGGAGTGTCCAAGTCCGAGGCTGCGAGTCAAGAGGCATGCAATCCCTCCGATTCTCCAGACAGCGAAGCTCCACACAGTCCAGAGCAGGAGAGTGTGAGTGATCCACCATCAGAGGCCAAGCCACGGCCCGGGCCCGTTCCTGCCCCACGTCGCTCTTTCCGCTCCACAGAGAGACCCCATATTTCACCTGCTGCGGAGGAGACGGAGGACACGGAGGACACATCAGTTCATGAGGAGAAAGTGAGCTCAGGAGAAGACTGCAGCTCCGACAATCCTCCAGGCTTCCTTTACAAGGTACGCATCTGTGATCCAGAGGTTTAGGATCATCTCAGTGTATGTTTGACACCAATACTGTCGGAGCCACCACAGGCTAAACTAAGCAAATCAGCCTGTTTGTCTCTTTAACATCAATGTAAAGTGATAATACAAGCTCCTCTCTGCTTTAAACATTGAAATTAGATTCTGACAATTCACCAAACCTGGAAAATGATATTAGCAGCTTTTAAAGTAAACAGTAATGTGTATTTGTTGTGGTCACAAGTACAAGAGATGCATTGATGTGACCTTTTGTTTATCACCAGGGGGTGGCGTTAGAGAGCCATGAAGCATCTGAGGACGGTCTGCTCCAGTTCAAACAGGGAGACGTCATCCTGGTCCTAGAGGTTGATCAACAGGTTGGTGTGTTTGTTAGGGCCCGAGCGTAGCTGCTAAGCAGCTGCGAGAGCCCTCTTGTTCCTGCATGTTTCCTTCTTTCGTTATTAGGGCCCGAGCGTAGCTGCTAAGCAGCTGCGAGAGCCCTCTTGTTCCTGATGGATTCTTCTTTCGTTAGGGCCCGAGCGTAGCTGCTAAGCAGCTGCGAGAGCCCTCTTGTTCCTGATGGATTCTTCTTTCGTTATTTTTCCTCCGCTTTAAACTGGAAAATGGCCCACTTCCCACTGGCGAAAACTCAGGAAATTTGGCAGGACGACCGGGCCTGGTGAAAAATTCGACATTCTGAAGTCGCCCAAACAAAAAAATGAAAAATGGCTCCATAGCGCCCCCTATGGTGAAAACTCACCTGACGCCTGTACGCTTTGTCAAAATGACACAAAATTTGACACACATGTGTATCTCAATAAGATCTACAAAAAAGTCAGTGCGGCCGTATCTGTCAAATGTACGGTTAAAGGGCTATTTCGCATTTTTTGCCGATCCGCACACATTGGAATTTCGCTAACTCCTCCGAAGGCTTTCGTTCCACCGGCAACAAATTTGCTCAGGACAATCTACACCCCATGGCCATTAAAAGTTGTACAAATCATGACGCTGCACCCCAAGGTTTACATTCTAGGGGGCGCCAAAGATAACCCAAAAATCCACAGTCTTAAAAGTCTTATAACTTTTTATTTTTGTCCTCACTGGCCTCCAAGTTTTCTAGGATGATGCAATGTCCAGCCATCAACACATTTGTAAAGGAATTTTTACTCCCCAAAAGAGCGCCCCCCCATGGCAGGAGAAAAAAGTCCATTTTTTCTTGTCCCCTAAGGTGAAAATACACATTGTTGAGTGTCATGCCTGAACGCTTTGTCATATTGACACAAAATTTGACACACACGTGTATCTCAATAAGATCTACAAAAAAGTCAAAGAGCGCGTATCTGTATAATGTACGGTTAAAGGGCTATTTCTCATTTTTTGCCGATCCGCACACATTGGAATTTCGCTAACTCCTCCGAAGGCTTTCGTTCCACCGGCACCAAATTTGCTCAGGCCAATCTACACCCCATGGCCATTAAAAGTTGTACAAATCATGACGCTGCACCCCACGGTTTAGGTTCTAGGGGGCGCCAAAGATAACCCAAAAATCCACATTCTTAAAAGTCTTATAACTTTTTATTTTTGTCCTCACTGGCCTCCAAGTTTTCTAGGATGATGCAATGTCCAGCCATCAACACATTTGTGAAGGAATTTTTACTCCCCAAAAGAGCGCCCCCCCATGGCAGGAGAAAAAAGTCCATTTTTTCTTGTCCCATAAGGTGAAAATACACATTGTTGAGTGTCACGCCTGTACGCTTTGTCAAAATGACACAAAATTTGACAATCACGTGTATCTCAATAAGATCTACAAAAAAGTCTAAGAGCGCGTATCTGTATAATGTACGGTTAAAGGGCTATTTCTCATTTTTTGCCGATCCGCACACATTGGAATTTCGCTAACTCCTCCGAAGGCTTTCGTTCCACCGGCACCAAATTTGCTCAGGCCAATCTACACCCCATGGCCATTAAAAGTTGTACAAATCATGACGCTGCACCCCACGGTTTAGGTTCTAGGGGGCGCCAAAGATAACCCAAAAATCCACATTCTTAAAAGTCTTATAACTTTTTATTTTTGTCCTCACTGGCCTCCAAGTTTTCTAGGATGATGCAATGTCCAGCCATCAACACATTTGTAAAGGAATTTTTACTCCCCAAAAGAGCGCCCCCCCATGGCAGGAGAAAAAAGTCCATTTTTTCTTGTCCCCTAAGGTGAAAATACACATTGTTGAGTGTCATGCCTGAACGCTTTGTCATATTGACACAAAATTTGACACACACGTGTATCTCAATAAGATCTACAAAAAAGTCAAAGAGCGCGTATCTGTATAATGTACGGTTAAAGGGCTATTTCTCATTTTTTGCCGATCCGCACACATTGGAATTTTGCTAACTCCTCCTAAGGCTTTCGTTCTACTGACACCAAATTTGCTCAGGCCAATCTACACCCCATGGCCATTCAAAGTTGTACAAATCATGACGCTGCACCCCAAGGTTTACATTCTAGGGGGCGCCAAAGATAACCCAAAAATCCACAGTCTTAAAAGTCTTATAACTTTTTATTTTTGTCCTCACTGGCCTCCAAGTTTTCTAGGATGATGCAATGTCCAGCCATCAACACATTTGTAAAGGAATTTTTACTCCCCAAAAGAGCGCCCCCCCATGGCAGGAGAAAAAAGTCCATTTTTTCTTGTCCCCTAAGGTGAAAATACACATTGTTGAGTGTCATGCCTGAACGCTTTGTCATATTGACACAAAATTTGACACACACGTGTATCTCAATAAGATCTACAAAAAAGTCAAAGAGCGCGTATCTGTATAATGTACGGTTAAAGGGCTATTTCTCATTTTTTGCCGATCCGCACACATTGGAATTTCGCTAACTCCTCCGAAGGCTTTCGTTCCACCGGCACCAAATTTGCTCAGGCCAATCTACACCCCATGGCCATTAAAAGTTATTCAAATCATGACGCTGCACCCCACGGTTTACGTTCTAGGGGGCGCCAAAGATAACCCAAAAATCCACATTCTTAAAAGTCTTATAACTTTTTATTTTTGTCCTCACTGGCCTCCAAGTTTTCTAGGATGATGCAATGTCCAGCCATCAACACATTTGTGAAGGAATTTTTACTCCCCAAAAGAGCGCCCCCCCATGGCAGGAGAAAAAAGTCCATTTTTTCTTGTCCCATAAGGTGAAAATACACATTGTTGAGTGTCACGCCTGTACGCTTTGTCAAAATGACACAAAATTTGACAATCACGTGTATCTCAATAAGATCTACAAAAAAGTCTAAGAGCGCGTATCTGTATAATGTACGGTTAAAGGGCTATTTCTCATTTTTTGCCGATCCGCACACATTGGAATTTCGCTAACTCCTCCGAAGGCTTTCGTTCCACCGGCACCAAATTTTCTCAGGCCAATCTACACCCCATGGCCATTAAAAGTTGTACAAATCATGACGCTGCACCCCACGGTTTAGGTTCTAGGGGGCGCCAAAGATAACCCAAAAATCCACATTCTTAAAAGTCTTATAACTTTTTATTTTTGTCCTCACTGGCCTCCAAGTTTTCTAGGATGATGCAATGTCCAGCCATCAACACATTTGTAAAGGAATTTTTACTCCCCAAAAGAGCGCCCCCCCATGGCAGGAGAAAAAAGTCCATTTTTTCTTGTCCCCTAAGGTGAAAATACACATTGTTGAGTGTCATGCCTGAACGCTTTGTCATATTGACACAAAATTTGACACACACGTGTATCTCAATAAGATCTACAAAAAAGTCAAAGAGCGCGTATCTGTATAATGTACGGTTAAAGGGCTATTTCTCATTTTTTGCCGATCCGCACACATTGGAATTTCGCTAACTCCTCCTAAGGCTTTCGTTCTACTGACACCAAATTTGCTCAGGCCAATCTACACCCCATGGCCATTCAAAGTTGTACAAATCATGACGCTGCACCCCACGGTTTAGGTTCTAGGGGGCGCCAAAGATGACCCAAATATCCACATTTTTAAAAGTCCTATAACTTTTTATTTTTGTCCTCACTGGCCTCCAAGTTTTCTAGGATGATGCAATGTGCAGCCATCAACACATCTGTGAAGGAATTTTTTCTCCCCAAAAGTGCGCCCCCCCCATGGCAGGAGAAAAAGTCAAGTTTTTCCAGCCCATCGCTTAATGGCTCAAACGCATTGCTCTCCCGCTAAAACCAAAAGGAGGAGCAACTTGCCATTTGGATATGTCCTAGCTGTGTTTGTGCCCTCACTCATGGTCCAGAGTTTTTTCAAATAGGACATGTAGTTTGTCTGCAGCGAGCGTTTTGGTAGAAACTGTGCCTCCCATTCATTATAATGGGAAATGACCAAAGACAGGTGCGCACACCATCTTTGGACCTTGACTTTGACGTCACAGTTTGAGATACAAATGTTATTTGACCTCTGACCTTTGGTGGACACCCTAACCTTTCAACCCGCGAAAACGGCGTTTCAATAGCTCTTACGGCTTTCCTACAAATACACTTTGTTCAGCTACTCCTACTGTCCTTTAAGCTCTGCTTCTCAGATCATCAAAGAGTGTGCACGTGTGTAATGAGCGCATATTGAATGTTAATTATGTTAAATATGTTAATTATTAGAAGAAAAAACAACAACAGTCCTTTTGGACAAAATTTCTTTTTATTACAGAATTAGAATAATGGAAGCATAGTCCAAGGAAACCATTCAAGTGATGTCATACCTCATAATTTATTGAGATGTTGGCTAGTCTGGGCATTTCTTCATTCATCAGGTTTCCTGTATGCATACTAACAGAGCACATCAGTAGCAGTGAGTGATAAGTATGAGTGTGTCATTGTGTAAGAAAGAAAGTGGTTTACTTACACATCCATAGAAAATAGGTGGTTGAGCACAGCACGCAAACAAAGCTTTGCCACAACGGTTGAACTTCCCAAGTAGCTGATACCAAGGTCACACAATCATGGTGAGCAAAGGTCAAACCAGGCCAGGCACTCACGAGGCTGGCTGTGGCAAGTGTAAGTGAAAGCAACACGCAATGGCAGGAAGAACAGCAAACACCGATGAAGGAAAAGGGTCTTTGCAGTGATGGGCGTCACCAGAGAGGGCGATGGCCAGAGGGCACGAATGGGACGGGGAGGCGGTCGCGCTGGGGGCGGCGCGACGCGGCTCGGGCCCGCCAGTGCCCCAACGGGGCCCTAGTTATTTTTCCTCCGCTTTAAACTGGAAAATGGCCCACTTCCCACTGGCGAAAACTCAGGAAATTTGGCAGGACGACCGGGCCTGGTGAAAAATTTGATATTCTGAAGTCGCCCAAACAAAAAAATGAAAAATGGCTCCATAGCGCCCCCTATGGTGAAAACTCACCTGACGCCTGTACGCTTTGTCAAAATGACACAAAATTTGACACACATGTGTATCTCAATAAGATCTACAAAAAAGTCAGTGCGGGCGTATCTGTCAAATGTACGGTTAAAGGGCTATTTCGCATTTTTTGCCGATCCGCACACATTGGAATTTCGCTAACTCCTCCGAAGGCTTTCGTTCCACCGGCACCAAATTTGCTCAGGCCAATCTACACCCCATGGCCATTAAAAGTTGTACAAATCATGATGCTGCACCCCACGGTTTACGTTCTAGGGGGCGCCAAAAATAACCCAAAAATCCACATTCTTAAAAGTCTTATAACTTTTTATTTTTGTCCTCACTGGCCTCCAAGTTTTCTAGGATGATGCAATGTCCAGCCATCAACACATTTGTGAAGGAATTTTTACTCGCCAAAAGAGTGCCCCCCCATGGCAGGAGAAAAAAGTCCATTTTTTCTAGTCCCCTAAGGCGAAAATACACATTGTTGAATGTCACGCCTGTACGCTTTGTCATATTGACACAAAAATTGACACACACATGTATCTCAATAAGATCTACAAAAAAGTCAGTGCGGGCGTATCTGTCAAATGTACGGTTAAAGGGTTATTTCGCATTTTTTGCCGATCCGCACACATTGAAATTTCGCTAACTCCTCCAAAGGCTTTCGTTCCACCGGCACCACATTTGCTCAGGCCAATCTACACCCCATGGCCATCGAAAGTTGTACAAATCATGACGCTGCACCCCACGGTTTAGGTTCTAGGGGGCGCCAAAGATAACCAAAAAATCCACATTCTTAAAAGTCTTATAACTTTTTATTTTTTTCCTCACTGGCCTCCAAGCTCTCTAGGATGATGCAATGTCCAGCCATCAACATATTTGTGAAGGAATTTTTACTCCCCAAAAGAGCGCCCCCACATGGCAGGAGAAAAAAGTCCATTTTTTCTTGTCCCCTAAGGTGAAAATACACATTGTTGACTGTCACGCCTGTACGCTTTGTCATATTGACACAAAAATTGACACACACATGTATCTCAATAAGATCTACGAAAAAGTCAATGGGCACGTATCTGTAAAATGTACGGTTAAAGGGCTATTTTGCATTTTTTGCTGATTCGCACACATTGGTATGTGGCTAACTCGTCCTACAGCTTTCGTCCCACTGACACCAAATTTGCTCAGGCCAATCTACACCCCATGGCCATTCAAAGTTGTAAAAATCATGACGCTGCACCCCACGGTTTACGTTCTAGGGGGCGCCAAAGATGACCCAAATATCCATATTCTTAAAAGTGTTATAACTTTTTATTTTTGTCCTCACTGGCCTCCAAGTTTTCTAGGATGATGCAATGTCCAGCCATCAACACATTTGTAAAGGAATTTTTACTCCCGAAAAAGAGCGCCCCCCCATGGCAGGAGAAAAGAGTCCATTTTTTCTTGTCCCCTAAGGTGAAAAAACACATTGTTGACTGTCACGCCTATACGCTTTGTCAAAATCACACAAAATTTGACACACACGTGTATCTCAATAAGATCTACGAAAAAGTCGATGGGCACATATCTGTAAAATGTACGGTTAAAGGGCTATTTCGCATTTTTTGCCGATTCGCACACATTGGAATGTGGCTAACTCCTCCTAAGGCTTTCGTCCCACCGACACCAAATTTGCTCAAGCCGATCTACATCCCATGGCCATTCAAAGTTGTAGAAATCATGACGCTGCTCCCCACGGTTTACGTTCTAGGGGGCGCCAAAGATGACCCAAATATCCACATTCTTAAAAGAATCCACATCGCCCCCCCCCCCCGCCCCCAAGGCAGGAGAAAAAGTCAAGTTAACCCTGCCCATCGGTCAATGGCTCAATCGCATCGCTCTCCCAGCAACACCGTAAGGAGGAGCAACTTGCCATTTGGATATATCCTAGCTGTGTTTGTGCCCTCACTCATGGTCCAGACTTTTTTCAAATAGGACATGTAGTTTGTCTGCAGCGACTGTTTTGGTAGAAACTGCGCCTCCCATTCATTATAATGGGAAATGACCACAGACAAGTGCGCACACCATCTTTGGACCTTGAGTGTGACGCGATTGGGAGGGGGAGGCGGTCGAGCTGGGGGCGGCGCGACGCGGCTCGGGCCCGACCCTAGTTATTTTTCCTCCGCTTTAAACTGGAAAATGGCCCACTTCCCACTGGCGAAAACTCAGGAAATTTGGCAGGACGACCGGGCCTGGTGAAAAATTCGATAATCTGAAGTCGCCCAAACAATAAAATGCAAAATGGCTCCATAGCGCCCCCTAAGGTGAAAATTCACATGACGGCTGTACGCTTTGTCATATTGACAGAAAAATTGACACACACGTGTATCTCAATAAGATCTACAAAAAAGTCAGTGCGGGCGTATCTGTCAAATGTACGGTTAATGGGTTATTTTTCATTTTTTGCAGATCTGCACACATTGGAATTTCGCTAACTCCTCCGAAGGCTTTCGTTCGACCGGCACCACATTTGCGCAGGCCAATCTACACCCCATGGCCATTAAAAGTTGTACAAATCATGACGCTGCACCCCACGGTTTACGTTCTAGGGGGCGCCAAAGATAACCCAAAAATCCACATTCTTAAAAGTCTTATAACTTTTTACTTTTGTCCTCACTGGCCTCCAAGTTTTCTAGGATGATGCAATGTCCAGCCATCAACACATTTGTGAAGGAATTTTTACTCCCCAAAAGAGCGCCCCCCAATGGCAGGAGAAAAAGCTCCATTTTTTCTTGTCTCCAAAGGTCAAAATACACATTGTCGAGTGTCACGTTTGTATGCTTTGTCATATTGACACAAAATTTGACAATCACATGTATCTCAATAAGATCTACGAAAAAGTCAAAGGGCATGTATCTGTCAAATGTACAGTTAAAGGGCTATTTTGCATTTTTTGCTGATCCGCACACATTGGAATTTCACTAACTCCTCCGAAGGCTATCTTTCCACCGGCACCAAATTTGCTCAGGCCAATCTACACCCCATGGCCATTAAAAGTTGTACAAATCATCTTGCTGCACCCCACGGTTTGGGTTCTAGGGGGCACCAAATATAACCCAAAAATCCACATTCTTAAAAGTCTTATAACTTTTTATTTTTTTCCATACTGGCCTCCAAGTTTTTTAGGATGATGCAATGTCCAGCCATCAACACATTTGTGAAGAAATTTTTACTCCCCAAAAGAGCGCCCCCCCATGGCAGGAGAAAAAAGTCAATTTTTTCTTATCCCGAAAGGTGAAAATACACGTTGTTGAGTGTCACGCCTTTACGCTTTGTCATATTGACAAAAAAATTGACAATCATGTGTATCTCAATTAGATCTACGAAAAAGTCAAAGAGCGCGTATCTGTATAATGTACGGTTAAAGGGCTATTTTGCATTTTTTGCCGATTCGCACACATTGGAATGTGGCTATCTCCTCCTAAGGCTTTCGTCCCACCGATACCAAATTTGCTCAGGGCAATCTACACCTCATGCCCATTCAAAGTTGTAAAAATCATGACGCTGCACCCCACGGTTTACGTTCTAGGGGGCGCCAAAGATGACCCAAAAATCCACATTCTTAAAAGTCATTTTGGCCACTGCAGGAGTACAGAGTACTGCAGTTCTAGGGGGCGCCAAAGATGACCCAAAAATCCACATTCTTAAAAGTCTTTTTGGCCACTGCAGGAGTACAGAGTACTGCAGGATACACACACATATACACACACGCCAACATACACACACACACACACACACACAGACACACACACACACACTCAGAGTCTGGTTTTTAGCACCTTCAAAAACATGCTGTTTACATATTTGACAAGAATGCAGAGGCTTCCTTTTGCCCCTGAAAAAAATCAAATTTCAAACACAACTTGACTGTTCATTTCTCCAAAAGACAACCATGAAGCTCCATTTCAAACCTGAAGCAGATAGTTGGTGCATGTGTACAGTAACCTGAGGGGAGTGAGGTGACTATTTCTGAGGAGAACATGAGCAGTGAAGATTCACCTTGGAGCAAGAACAGGGACGTGCACATGATTATACAGGGGCAGGGGCTCAAGTTTTTTCCAGTCATTTATACAATATGGAAATTAATGTGAAATTAAACCACAAATATGTGTGATGAACTGTTTTTAAAACTTAAACTTCAAATAAAAATTGTAAACTTCAAAACATATGCAAATTTTTAACAAAGAACATAGTAATTTACCTCTATTTACATCAAAATGCAGGCAATGGCCCAGGCGTTCTTTGTAAAATTATTTACAAAACACTGTATAGTCTCACAAATGTCACTTTTTATTTATGCCACTACAAAAAAACATGATGTAAATGATGCATGATGTAAAACATGATGTAAAAAACTTGTGTAGATCCTCCTCTATGTCAGTCCATGTGTAATTTTTCCATAATTCTTTGTTTTTTGCAGCATTTTTGTTAGTGTAACTGCAGATTGTGCTGACAGTGTCTATGGCACAAAAAAAAAAAAAATTTAAAATGCCTCAACATGAACCCCTGGTGGTCTCTGAGGGTGAAACCTGCTAACTGCTGCAGCTCAGTCAGCTTCAGTCTCCCATGCAGAGCTCTGAGTGCATGTGTGGCTCTGCACCCTTAGCAGCGTTGCTAACTCCTCAGTAAGGAAAGCCTGCTTCATGTCAGAGTCTCTAAACTCCAGAAGAAGTCGATAAAAGTCCCTTTCTTTCTAAAAAAAAGTCGTTAGGGGGTCTGAAAAGTCATTGAATCTAACAACAAAGTCGCTAGGTTTGCAACTACGTGTCCCAGACTGCATCCCTGCTGAGAGTCCCTCCCTCCCTTCTCATGTTGCAGGAAGAACGTAAGCGCCCGCCCCTTGTCAATCAGTCACCATATAATTTTGGATTGGTTGTTGTGGTGAAGTTTTCCACCAATAGGAGAGATGTTGTGGTGTGTTTTTTTTTTTCTTTTGGCAAGCCTTTTCCGCCTGTAAGACCTGTCACTAATGTCTGCATGCTATGTTTTCCTGTCTCATACAGCGCGATCGAGCGCCGAACGTGATCAAAACAAGCAGAAAAAAAGTATCGCGGACATAATTTATCATAACTCTGGTTTTATTTGGCCTATCAACACAATTTAAAAACTGGCTCGGGCCCGCCAGTGCCCCAACGGGGTCCTAGTTTTTTTTATAACTCTAAGCTCTTTAGCTTCTTTTAGATTTCTCTTCTCTTTTCTTCCTCAGTTTCTTGTTAATGTTTTTTTTTTTTTTGTCTGGAGGAGTATTTTCATTTTATGCCTTTTATGTACATCCTGCTGGAGGTGTACTCTCAATCATGTGCCCATGTTCCTGATAAGTAAGACATCCAGCTGCACGGACCATTAATTTTTTCAGCTGCACGTATTTCACATTTAGGTTTGAACACTTCAGATCAAATTTAACCTGAAATATCTCAACTTTAGGGCTCTGACTCAGAAGAATCCTGAGGCAAAGACTGTTGCCTGTCTCTCAAACCTACCTTATGTAGGTGTCATGCTGGGGGAAATGAACAAAATCTCAGTTTTATTATGAAGTAAGGTAGTGAACAAAAGCAAATTTTGGTCAGTGACTCAATTTAAAGTTGGGTTAGCAGAGAAATTTATTTTAAAAAATTGAGATTTTTTGTTTAACCTCTTAACAATCTTTTGAAAAGTAAGAACATCGTAGGCAGTCTGGGGGACTTGAAAAGATTACAGCTGTAAATATTTGTCAAACAAAAGTGTCCAGTTCCATTTATTTTGCTGGATTGTCGAGTTTTAACTACATTGAGTAGATAGAGCTGATTTTTGCAGCAATTTTTTAAATACACGCATAAGACTGGTTTAATGCAAATTGACCTAATGAGATGATAGTTTTGTCTCAATTAACAAATCAGTATCAAACTGCTGTTAGTACTTTTTGCATGTTTAAAGTGTTGTTTAGGTATTAGTTGATTGCTTTACTTTTTTTTATTTGATGAGAACTTCGGGCGATTCATGTTGATTTTTTTAAGTTTTAAACAATTCATCTTTAAAGAATATCGCTGTCCACAAAATGGACTTTATTTGCTTTTTTATAATTATTTATGATGCCTTAAACTGCAGGTGGAGGTAGGTGTTGGTCAGATTGATTACTTATATGCTTCTGAAAAAGTCTTGTGTTATATTTTTCTGTAGAATCATGCAGAATGTACTTTTTTTTTGTTTGAAAACAAGACTCAAAGCACCTCTGAGGATCTTTCTCTCAGTGTTAACTTTGGCGCCCTCTGTAGGGAAAGTGACGACCCTTATATCACTGCTGCTTTTAGATAAATAGATAGACAGATAGATAGATAGATGGACAGATAGACTTTATTGATCCCAAACTGGGAAATTCACATGTTACAGCAGCAAAAAAAAACAAAATTAAATTAAATATAAGAAGAAGTAAGTACAATACAGACTAAAAATACTAAGTATATACAATAAATACAGACTAAATATACTAAACATCCTAAGAGAAAAAAGTGAGATATGAACAATGTGGGCTGTTGAAATGAGTAATAAATATGAAATGAGTTATAAATATGAAATGTGAAATATAACAGATGGGATGGTAAATAAACAGACAAATTAAGGTGCTCGGTAATGTGATGTCATAGGAGTTTTAAAAATGGACTATACAGCAGACAGGTGTGAGTCCCTGTCTGACAGATGTGAGTTATTGAACAGTGCAATAGCTTGTGGCAGGAAAGATTTCCTGTATCTGTCCCTTCGACAGCGGAGCTGCAACAGTCTGTTGGAGAGGGAGCTCCGCTGTCTGTCCAGAGTGAGGTGGAGAGGGTGGTCAGGGTTATCCTTGATGGATAACAGTTTGGTCAGTGTCCTCCTCTCCACCACAGCCTCCACAGTGTCCTGTTTGCAGCCAATCACGGAGCCAGCCTTCCTGATCAGTTTGTTGAGTCTGTTGGTGTCACTGGCTCCGATGCTGCTCCCCCAACAAACCACGGCAAAGAAAAGTACGCTGGCCACCACAGACTGGTAGAACATCTCCAACATCTTGCTGCACATGTTGAAGGATCTCAGCTTCCCCAGGAAGTAGAGTCTGCTCATCCCCTTCTTGTAGACAGCGTCGGTGTTGGATTTCTAGTCCAGTCTGTTGTTGATATTGACGCCCAGGTACTTGCAGACCTCCACCTCCTCCACATCTTCTCCCATGATGCACAGTGGCTGTGAAGCCATCCTCTTCTTCCTGAAGTCGATGACCATCTCTCTGGTCTTGGTGACATTCAGCCTCAGGTGAATCTCAGGTGAAACTCCACAAAGTTATCCACCACTGCTCTGTACTCCCCATCCCTTCCCTCGCTTATACACCCAAAAACAGCCGAGTCATCAGAAAATTTCTGTAGGTGGCATGACTCGGAGTTGTACTGAAAGTCAGTGGTGTACAAGGTGAAAAGGAAAGAGGACAGCACAGTCCCCTGTGGAGCTCCTGCATCACTGACCACCACGTCAGACAGAACACTGCCCAGACGGACAAACTGTGGCCTGTCCGTCAGATAGTCAGTGATCCAGGAGACAAGGCTGTGGTGCTGTGTGCATCACTGGTGTTTGCATACAGCAGATCCAGGGTTTTATTTTCTCTTTTTTTTGTATCTCTTCCTCATGTCTAATGCAGTGGTCTTATTGCAATGATATTGAGATTGAGAGATTGAGATTTGATTTATTGGTCCCCTTGGGGAAATTCATCTTCACTGACTGTACGTTATAGGAAAGACAACGACATTGCACATTACAAACATTAAGGACAGACATAAATAGTGTGGGACAGTGACAACAGCAAGAGGTGACAGGCTGGTCAGATAGGTCAGCGGCATTGCTGTTAAGGGCGGCGATAGCTGCAGGAATCAGGCTTTTCCCAAGACGGGCCCTCCTGAATTTTAGTGTCCTGTCCCTGCGCCCAGAGGGTAGTGGAATGATGTGTCGGTGTAATCGGTGAGTGATGTCTTGAACTAGTGTGTTTGCCAGTCGAGTGATGGACCTGTTATTTAATTCTGTAAGGTTGGGTGTGGGGAGGCCAGTGATTTTAGCAGCTATATTTGTGAGGCGTGACAGTTTGGCCCGGTTGGTGACAGATAGCATGGTGTAAAAACATGTGGAGCAGTACAGAAGGATGGGTTGTTTAATGCTTTTGTAGAGTAACAACAGAAGATGAGGTGCAACATATAGTCCTTTTTAAGTTTGCGGATGGCTGACAGTCTTTGTTGGCTCCTTTTTTGAATGTCCGTGGTGTGCTGATCAAAGGTGAGTTTATTGTCCAGAGTTATTCCAAGATATTTAAAAGTGTCGACTGTCTCAACTGTTTGTGCGTTTATGATGATGGGATCCTGGGGTGAGGGGGGGCTGAACCATAATTCTTTAGTTTTATTGACGTTGATCTCCAGGTAACTGTCTGTGCATAGCCTGGTGAAGTGGGTGAGTGTGTTTATTCATCCCTCCTAATGCACAATTGCCTCAAGAAGAGTAACTAAAGCCTTTAAACATGAGACAGGAGATATTACTTTGTCCACAGGGGGTGCCAAAATCAACACAATCTGAACATTCCTCACAGGAGCTTTAATTCGTGTTCAATTTCACCTCTTATTACCTGGCAGCAGGATCCCTCCTTTCTCAGCGTAGCCCTGACCGTCAGTAATAGTTGTTATCTGCAGTTGTCAGTGACTATTGGGAAAACATTTTTGGCAGGAATTATCGGTGCTATTCAGAAAACTCCTGAAGGTAAAATAAAATGATCTGTGTAAACTGCACCCATATTTTTTCTTAGCCCCTGAGAAAACAGGAAATCACACCAAGAGTAAACTTGCAGTCACTCCAAAAGTATCTGATCAGAGGGCGGATTTGTTCCCTGAACATCTTACATGTGTTTACTGTCTGTTTCTCTCAGCAGGATGGCCTGGTGAAGGGGATAAAGGAGGAGAACTGGAACCAGCACAAGGATCTAGAGAGTCACTCTGGGATCTTCTTGGAAAAACTCATCCAGCCCGCTCAGACGGACTGAGGCAGCAGTCTTGACTCAGCCTGTAATACTCTTCTTTTTTTTTTAGTTTTACCCAGAACTTGGTGACTCATGCACACTTACACCCACTCACTGAGGGAGGGAACCCATATGTTTTAGGTGCAGAGTCTGTACAAACAGACATGGGACTGACAAACACATGGTTACTCACATGCTACCATGTTGCAGCTTGTGGAGCAAAAGTGACTTTAAAAACATGATGTAGGAGATGTTCAGACGGGTAAATATAACAGTATTTTTTCACCACCCTCTTTTAAAGATATCAAAGACTTACTTTAACACTGTGAAAAAAATCTTTTATAATGATTCTGTAATCTTTGTATATTTTCCAAATAAAGTTAGAAATAAACAAGAAGCTGAAGTAATTCTTGGAATTCTATTCTGCAAGTTTTAAGATTAAATATTTGACATTTACACTTCAAGAGCGTCAGATAATATGTTTTACATTTGATTTGTATCTTGTAAATAAAGTAAATTGTTGTTACAAACCCCAAGATAAACAGCTTGAGCTTGTGAGAGGACGTCGTGATTCACCAGAAAGGAATGTGAAAATATTGTCAAGACCTGGAACTGAGACACAAGGGCTGATTGACTGTGAAGAGTTCATGGCAGAAAGTCTATCTGAGAGCCACTTCTCTTGGATTTGCAGCTCGACTGTGTATTGCAGTGTTGCAGTTTGTACTGATCAGCAGATGTTACAAACACTGACATGGCAATAGCTAGGACATGGGAAAAGACAAGATACAGGTATCCACAAATACAGTATTACAGGTTTTATTCCTTTGTTCAAAGTTTTCTTTGATTAGCTGACTGGGTTTTTGTTTTCTAAGCTTGGCGTGGTTACAGCTCAAAAAGCCATTTATTGTTGTCTGCACTCTCATAACTGAAACCTGGTTTAGTCAAAACAACTCTGACTCCAGTGTGAATCTACCTGACTTCACTCCCATAAGGTCAGACAGAGATGCTAAAGCTAGTGGCAAGAAAAAAGAGCGGGTCTGGCTTTATTTGTTAACCAGAAATGGTGTAACTCTTCACATCCAACTGTCTAGGAGAAGTTGTGTTGCCCAGATATTGATCTGTTGGCAGTTGCTCTTTGAGTAAGCTGTCATTTCGGTTCCTGCATCAGGGGTGTTGGTCCAAGGCGGTGTGAAGAGTTGTTTCATTTTGTATCACCTCAGATGACCTCTCTGAACAAAACCAGTAGGGTTTTTCCAGGACAAAGACAGCATTTCCCATGAGCAGCATCATCCAAGATTGTGAGGGTGAGTCTCTTGTAGGTGTATATTTGTTGTGAGAGCAAATAAATGGAATTCGGAAATTTTTAACATCCGGATTCTCTTCTTCAAGACAATCTTTTGTAGGATGCGGAGTGATGATGGAATGTTTTAATTGATAGATAATTAAGATTATATTCCTAAATAAGTACTAAGAGGAAGGGGAAAGTGTGTGTTTTAGAATTTTTTATTGACAGGGAGAACTATCCAAATTATCCACCAAGTTTGGTAATGATTTTGGTTTATGTATATGACAAAGCCTCTGAGATCTTTTGAATTCCCCAGAAAAAGGTTCAGGTTCCCAGTTTGAGAATCAACATTTGATATCCTTAGAAGTGGAATCAGTCACATTTCTGCATAATGGGAAAAAGTCCTTGATGCAAAGCTGGAAAAGTTGTTGTGAAATAAAGTTTGGAATGTATGTGCGTGCGTGCGTGTGATGTCTGTCTGTCTGTCACAAATTTTATTCATTTATTTCATGGGACATTGCACTTTAATAAACATATGTAAAAGTGCCAGATTGTAGCCAGAGGCATATTTCCATCTGTGGTCTCTGGCAGGTTGATTGTAAACATATAAATGTATATGAAGCATGTACATTAGATAAAACTGAATTAAAAGTACACATATTTGGACAACAAGCAGAGAGCAGACACCATGTATTACATCATTTTACAAATACTCACATGTAACAATACAGAAGGCGGCTGTAAAACTCCAGACAAACCAGAACCCGGTGTTTGAGGTGTAGAGAGCCAGAGTGTTAATGTGCTTAAGTGCCGGTGTTTTGCATGTGATGGCGAAAATTGCAGCATTGCTCCAGGCTCGTTAATTTAAAGTACTAGTGTAATTGCACAACATTTACACAAATATGTTTGTGCATTTACCAATTCACAGTGATAGCATGGGGATGACTGCTGCATGGTTCTGTCACGGTCAGTATCACTGAAGTAAACCTTATTCTGCACCATTCCTCTTTCATGAAGTCATCCCAGGAACACAGGGACTGTAATACTGGCCTGACTTGGATTAGATGCTCTTATGAGATCATGAGATAAAGTAGTTTTTTGTAATGAAATAACAACCGGATTTTAGTAGCTTTTCAATTTTTGTGGTCTTGGAGATTTTTATTTTTTTTTTACAAAGGAAGCAGAGAAGACGTTTCCCTTTTGCCACCCATTGTGAAGGTATTGACACATCTGTATGAATCTATTTTAATTAAACTAAAGGCCTTCTCTTTGGTTCCTGGTTACTATAACCATTTTGGGCTGCATGTTCCTCTTTCTTTGAATGAAAAACAATATTGTTTTATGGACAAAAGATCTTATAAAGCATTTCCTAACTTTGGGAAACAATCTTTGATTTTGTTCAGAGGCTGAGGGATTAACAGGGTAACCCACATTACTGAGCGATGTCACTGCAGATGTATATATGTATTTCCTCAACTATTTTTCAGGCACCCTGAGGGAGTACCCTCTAAAAGGTCATGTCAAACACAGGTCTCCCCTTCTGATGGAAATCCCACAGCCAGCAAGATCCTGTTATTTATATAGTTGTCCGTCACTAAGAGGGTAATATTGAAGGGTGACAACCACAGTGGAAGACTCTGGGCTTTGCTCCAGTGGAAACATAATGCTTTGGTGCTTGTCTTATTCTCAATGCTGGGCCTTTCTCAGAGTGAGAACATCTTGGAGGTGTGTTTCTTCACTGCCAGCCTCGTGGTGCTCTGCTTGTTTTCTATATTGAGTTTTTCCTCCTTTGCTCCTTCAGGGAATAGGTGTGAAGTTTCAGGTCCATTAACAAGCAGCGTTCAGAAGCTGAGTGATGGGTAAACTTTGATAAAGTTTTGAGAGATTAGTAAAGTTTCAACCATCGCTCAACCACTCTCCATACTCTAATGACATTCCCAGAGAGTTTTCAAATCTGTCTGCTTCAGACCAACTGCTGTGAATGTAGAAATATCTCAAAGAAATGACAAGTTTCCCTCCATCAAACATCTGCATTAAGATAAACACAGTATATTTCCAGGGACATATGCAGAACCAGGGGTGAAAAACAAAGGTGGAGAGGAACTCATTAATCTCTATTTCTTCCTGTAATGATATTTCTTTTCCTCTTCTCTAGTACTCAGGAAGATGAAAGGTCAGGGAAAGGTCAGAGGTCATCCTTAGCAACACAAAACATCCGATCTGGGTTTGACTCTACAAGAGACTGATCACAAAAATCCAACCCCCCTTAAGTTCTGCCAGCTGAACATGCATTATAGTCTGAAAACGGTGTCGGATGGGAGTGAGTATGAAAGGTTTGATTACATACAGCTGTTGTGAAAAATGACACCTTAGAAACAGAGGCTTGGTGTTGTTTTTCTGCATGTTTGAGTCAATGGTATTAATCATTTGAAGTTGTTGACGAACAGTTCACAACTCTTAACTGACCTATATACAAAAGAGCAAAAATGCCCCTGATTTGGACTTTTACCTGTAAAGAGAGTTTGCTGAGCTCTGTTTATAAACCTTAGTCAAAGAATAACAGCACAAATGAACCAAACCACGGGACCCTACTGAAAAATTTTATGCTACAAATCACTGCAAAACAAACTTCCTCAGAAAGAGTGAAACTCACCGGAGTTCAGAGTTGTGTTTTTTTTTTTTTTCATGTTTGAGGGCTATGCAACACTGAAAACACTTTTAGAAGTCTTACAATGCAAATAATAATAATAATAATGATGATGATGCCCATTTGACTTTCTTCTTAAAACTTTGATTGGACCACTTTTACTGAAAGTACAGAGAGAAGCAGTACAAAGTGGAAGTCTCTAAGGGTACATACCTGCAGGAGTTTTTCCTCTCTATGTTGAGCCGCCTGAATACATGCAGAGGTACTATTTCCCTGCTTGCTTTTAATGGCTCTTATTCAATGGTTCCAACTGAATTTGAATGCTTTATCTTTATCCTCTGCTTCATTTATGTTCAAAGTCACAACATTTCTTTGATGTTACAGGTTTTTACGTTTTCAGCGTCAGAATACTGGATTAAGGGGAGATTTGGTTAACCTTCAGTAACCTGAACCCAAGATAGGTCATAATTGGGAGTTCCATGAGAAGTTGCTTGTTTTATTGACCATGAGATGCACATTGGAATATCTAAGCAGCCATGAGTGATGTACAGTATTCATATTCCTGATCGTGTTCTAGTTATGCAGCAGTGCTTTAGTACAGACCAGCAGGACAGCTTTTTACTGCATGTAGTAGGTTAAACTCCTTTAAAAACTTGCATTTGCAAATTTTGAATTGTGTTCAGGTGAGAAACAATAAATGAAAAAACAACACTTGGTTGTTGACAGGATTTGTTTAAGTCCCACTCTGATCGTTTTTTTCCTACTTAAAGTATTATCAGTTGTCTTTAAGTTGTGATTATGAAGTTTTTAGCCAAAATCATGTTACCTGTCTCATTTTCAATGTATTTTCTTCTGCAGAGCTCCAGAGCCTCTGAGTCGTGGGTGGAGACAGCGCTGCTCTACACACTGATCTTCATGCTAGCTTGCAGCCAAACATTGCCGGTGTAGTACACTAATGTCTTTGGGGCATCATAACTAGCTTTCTCACGAGTATGCAATCTGCTAGCGCACACGCTTGTTCAGTGATCCGGGGGCGGAGCTTGGTTTTGCTAGGTAAGAAATCTCACTGTCTGAACCTGCTGTTTGGGTCAGAGATTCACAGCGGTTTGAATGCAGAAATACTTAGAAATGCAATGTTGCACTTGGTTTTCTCATGACTTGTCCTGTAGCATCAGAAAAATGCCATATCAACACGTAGACAACAAGAATAACGTGATTTTCATCAGAGTGGGTCTTTAAGGTCCAGGTTTTGCACTTAATCCTTGTTGATAACAGCCTTTAACTCTCACTTAAATGTCACAAAAATGAAAGAAAAACAACACATCATGAAAGGCGTAATATTCAAATTCAAATAAATCAACTTTATTAATCTGTTAGGAACTTCATTTGCAGAGAAAGCGCCAGTGCAGAAACAAATAAAGCATAGCACATATTCATTCACAGATCACAATCTAGAGTCCATAATAAATACATTCAAAACAAAAGCTCAGTCATACATATACAATCTATATGTTTACTTTGATTTTAACAGGGTTGCTCTTATAAGCACGCACCTGATAAATGATTTCAGTGTACAAAAAAGAAAAACTGTTAGCCTTGCATTATTTGTATTAATCTACTGAGATTGATACCTATAATCTTCCAAGGTGAGCTCTGAAGCGGATGATCAGCAGTCTGATGCTCTGAAAAGTCACTTTAGCAGCCATGATGTTGTTTTAATTGTGGTAATCATGTGGTTTCCTGTGTGTGTAGGTGGCCTTGTGCAGGCATGCACATGTAGGGAAGAGCGCTATTTTCCTCCATCTTTCATTGGCCAGGTCAACAGCAGACGTTCCTGGTAGGTGTGTTGTGTCTCTTATCATCACTGCGCTGACATAATGCAGACAGACTCAGTGTGTGTAGAGGAGAGAGATATTGTGGGGGTTGGGGGGTAATTTTGGCTCTAAGAAGACATAAATAAAATCCTCCCACATGGCTGGCAAGGTGACCAGTGGAAAATTAAACCCTTATACTCCACAAGCATGCACCATAACACAATCGTTGCAGAGAGCTGAAATAGGTGTTTTAATGTCCTTCTTTTCCCCAATTAGCCTGCAGATAAAACAGGCACAGCAGGTTTTAAAGCTTCTGCAGTTTCAGCAGGCTCCCTGTTCTCTTTTTCCACAGACCTGAGCCAAATCAGTTGAGGTTTCTAAGTTGTGGGAACTTTTTACTCTTTTTTTTTTTTTCATTAAAAATAAGGAAAACAACACAGCTCACAAGATCAAGGTATAGTCAGTGAATTTTGCAGTAATATTACAGCTTCTCTGGAGTGAATCATCTTTCTTGGATGTGACTGTCACTTTTATTGTGCGCAAGTGAGCAAGTCTACAAAGCCATGGGTGCACAGACTTAATGATTAGCTCACTGTTTTACCATCTTTGAGGTCATAGTTGTCGTCATACATGTGCAGTCAATGTCCCACCAGAGTTTAAATACTTGATTTGGACTGGTGTATGGAAAGCCCTTTCAGCATAAATTTGATATCACTGATATCAACTGTAGTTAAGCCCTACTAGTACACAGATTTGAAATACATGTACTCAATTTCTGTTCACTAGTACACGAGTAGACTTCACTAGTAAAGCAAAAAGTACAACTAGTAGTACTAATGACACTTTTTGCTCCACTCATACTACTAGTGACTCTTTTTTGCTTCACTAGTAAAGTCTTCTTGTGAACTAGTAAACAAAAATTGAGTACAAGTTCTCAAAATATGAATACTAGTAGAGCTTAACTACAGTTGATATCAGTGATATCAAATTTATGCTCAAACGGCTTTCCATACTGGTGGAGGTATGTCTAGTGCACATTCAGTCTAATTTACAGTTGAGGTTTAGAGTCATGTGGGAGCAGCTATGGATTGCTACTGCTCTTTCACATAGTTCAGGATGTTGAAACACAAAGAGAGGAGCAAAAGTTCAAAAGTTCAGTAAATGGTGAGCATCACTGAGGAGGAACATAGCTCAGTAGTCAAAAGGCATACTCCTATAGCTTGTGGATTTATTATCACTGATCACAGCTTTGTGCTATACTGTAATAGTACTGATGAAAGCGATGAGTGACCAGGAACAGTCAGGGAACATAAACCTATAAAGCACAAATTCCCAACAAGTGCTATCTCAAGATGTTTGACAGAAAGACCAAACTCTATTTACAAAGATCCAATGCAAAGATGAGTCCCCTCCTGTAAAATAAGACCATAGACTGTATATACTATTGACAACTTGGTTCCGCCTTCTGTCATTATACGAATTTGAAGCTGAAGCTTTCTTCATACACAATCTTCATACACCCATAGACTGTATCAAGTTTCAATCATAGAAAACAAAAAACCCCTAATAACTTTTAAAAATGGAGCTGTACAGAAAAAGAGGACTTGAGCACAAATCAGTCTTACAATAACTACATGTCAACATCGCAAGCAGGGGAGTGAAAATGTTATATTCTGTGTAATAAATTTCTAAAGTTTGTCCACAGCTCCATAGGGATTGCTGGAGGAGGCGGGATTTATGACCTATACTGCAGCCCATCAACAGAGGGTGCTGTTCTTGCGGTGGCTTCACTCAGCGAGGAGACAGATGATGAAAAGAGAGATGGACAGAGGAGAGACTTCAGGTTTTGGCAATACGACAAGTCCATATGTAAAGTTTGATTCTTTTCAGCCTGACCCACAACTTCAGAATCAAGAGGTAAGGAGGCTATATCAAGTTAAGTAATAACAATGTGGTGTGTATAATAATTTTGGAAATGTGAGAAAGAGTTTAATAATTCAGCTGTGAATATGTCATTTTTAACTTGTTCATGAACTGCAGCGCTGAGGAGAAACGTCCAGCAAATCATCTGGCAGCTGTTAATTGATGAGGGAAACTGTTGAATTGTGAGTTACTTTTATGCTCAGAGTCCGACCTCTCTGCCACGTCAAACTGTGTTTTTACTGAGAGAAAACTCTCTTTGTCTCAGTTCTGTTGCCTTTGGCAGGTAACACATTTTTGACTCACAGTTCCTCAAATGTGGGGCCCTCTTTAGGCTCCACACTCCCCCATTCACACACATTTAACCATGAAGAGACCCACAAATAATCACGTACTGTGTGCTTGCCTGCCTGTCAGTATGCCGTGATAGTGAGTTCATTTCCAACAGTGATGAGAGACAGAGCTGAAGATGGATGTCTGTGGGGTTTCCAGCTTTAGTCACACTGAATTCTGTCGTAACATGCAGAGTATGTCAGAACAAAACCAAAACTGTCCTCAAGTCAGGACCCTAGGAAATTTTCTGAAACTTGGACAGAATCATTACATCTGTAACTTTGCTGTTTCAGCTGAGAGACACACTCCAAGTAATTTCCACATCTAAAGAGCAAAATCTACTACATCTGCAGTCTAGATTACACTTCATTCAGGCAGGTCCACAAAACTCAGTCAATAAAATTTTTCAAAGCAAATCAATTATTAGTTTTGAGGGCAAAGTGTATCGTCAGAATCATTAAACAGCACCTATTATTGGACAAATTCAAATTTGAGTTCCCACACACCTAAGTCCATGACAGCAGTAAGTGGGACATCTCAGGTCAAAGGTCAAAGACATTTTTGGTCAAATCTCACATTTCATACAACATGATCTAAAAATAGGAAGTGGAATAAACTGACCAAGTGATGACATTTTAACCCTAAATGTCAAAGGTTAGGGGACCTTTTCTGGCTGTTACTCCTCTGTGAATAGAATATCTGGGGAACATCCAAGGAAATATCATGTAATCTGAAAAATTATATTGAAAATATTCAGAGTTTCACAAATATGCAATAGATTAAGGTCAAAGGTAAATGTGACTTCATACCTGTCCCACTGCTGGAACACCTGGATGGAGATTTACAATGACAGCTGTGGTTGGAAACCCAGACCACTATTTCAGCTGCTGTGATAATAAGACATAAAATTCTCCATTGTGGGAGACAAACTTATTCTTGCCCTTCTGTGAAACCCACAACCTTTCCCTACATTGACCAAGTCAATTTAGCCAAATGTGACGACCTTTCCCTCAGGCGAGGGTTTCCAGAGATATGAAAAGGCCACCAGGAAACATAATGATATCTGACACTAGAGTGATAGAGTTCACCGCAAGGGTGAACGCAAAAGATTTTGGTGGTCAAAGGTAAGTGTGTGACTGGTGAGTAATCTCTGTCTAGTTGTCTCCTGAAGTCTTTGTGTACAGAGGTCTCAGACAAAGACGGTGAGACTCCTGATAATCATTCTCTGCAGAGAAACAGAGAGAACTGGTTGTGGCATGTTGTTGCTGTACATGACTATTTAAAGTTTGAGCCATCTCATTTCTTTTATCTGTAGAGATTCATTAGTTTGAATACTTTTTCATACAAATTCCTGCTTAGTCCTTGCCATGTTTGTCATTCTTTATTATTATGAAACACTGATGACAGTAAAATGTAGTTTTAAAGGCTGGCGCTGACATACCTGTGGATGTAATTTACTTAATACGTATCTTTACTGTTTCTTTCTCAACTTTGGCACAGTCAGTCCAAGTTAAAATAGTTACATCCTGTAAAGTCTGGATCACTGGGTTTGGCACAGAAAAAACAAAACACTGTCCTATCAATAAATGAAGAAGAAACAAACTGCCCCAGAAATACATGGAGCTGTTTAGACCTTAATATTATGGGCCAAGAATAAAAAGTCTGATGCAGAATGTTACTTTAAAGAAGTTCATATAGGTCTTATTTTTCTTCTTTTTTTTTTCAAATACCAACTATGTGTTGAGGTAGGTTGTCACAATACTTAGATGTCATGTTTGAAGTCTGATTTTCCCCTCCTACAGCTGAGTAAGCCTAACACATGCTCCAGAGTTAGAGAGTCACAGAGTTCAATAGGCAGGTAGTAAACAAAAGAATAAAGGATGTCAAAAAAGACAGAGCTATCTTATCACAAGTTAGAAACACACAAGGCCATAACAGTGATGTTTTTTATTGTGTAATTTTCACCCCATTACACACTTGTTTGATAGACATAACCATGTAAATCAAGTAAATCACTCAGGAGTAAAAAGTGTGACAGCCTACCCTGGTCTGCACTTCTGAAGAAATAAAGAGTTTGTGTGAACTGGTTTCTTTCTTTCTTTATTTTTTAGCTTGTTTCTTTGTTATTTGTGGTCATTTCTTGTCAGCATTACCTCAGTCTTTTTCCTTCAGGGACCAGAGTGCCTGGTAATATTTGTAGCTCCACCCAAATTGAGGTTGCAACGACACGCCCCTCACCCCCACCTCCTCCCCTACCTCCCTCTCTCCTTTGACTCGCTCCCTTGATTTTCTCCACTCACTCAGGACCAGCTTAACGAACCTCTGGGTTCTGAAGAAACTATTGAGGACTCCTAGATTTATGATACCAACCCAAACTGTCGTGAATAAGGAACAGCACGGATGATGCGTGTTGCCCTTCAGCTATTCAATGACAGAAGAGACGCGCAGAAGAAGAGATGGGCATCGTTGCTGGACTTTCACCTACCCGGCTATGGGGAAAATGTAGTCGGTACTCCATGTGGGCTGTACCTGTAGTGGCGGTCGTGGTCCAGCTTTGCACTGCTTTTAACTTGGACACGGTGTCACGCGTGGTTTTCACCGGACCACCGGGAAGTTATTTTGGATACTCAGTGGAGTTCTTCGGTAACTCATCCAGGTAAGAGCCTGTACGCATCACCACAAAGCTTGGAAATGTGAGAATTCAGCCAAAGAGAGTCTGAAGCAGTTCAAAATGAGAATGCAACCACAGAAAGGGAATGATCTAAGTGAAGATGGCTTCATTTACCCCCCAAAGAAGCTTGTATTAAAATTAAATGATTATTAATTACATCCCTCTAATCAAACCTTTACTTCGTCTAGTTATACTTAACTATTCATTGAATACAAAGTTGAGATTGGTGTCGTTATGTAGAAAAAGCTTTATTTTCTGCCAAAGTTGTCTTTATAAAAAAAAACCATTTGAGTCAAAGTGATATTGCCATGTTAGTATGTATGATCTTGGGCCTTAAGTTAGACTTATTTTCTGCTTTATAACACCACATGTCCAAGTGTTTCAGTACAAGCTTACATCTCCTTCTCCCTCTCATTTCTTTCTCCCTCTCTCACACTTAACCACACACACACACACACACACACACACACACACACACACACACACACACACACACACACACACACACACACACACACACTGGATTCCAGCCCACATATGATTAGAAACAGACACACCAGTTTGCATGTGAGTGATTCAGAGAGGAGGGGGTTAACCTACAGCAAAGTAAGAGCAATGCTAATCTTCTGAATATTGAATGGGGGGACAGTAGGACTTTCCTGCTGGTTTCTACGTTGACAGATGAGGATCTACAGAGTCAGACAGAGTCAAAGATCAAATATTCTTCTCCAAAAGTTTTCAGAGGAAGCTGTACTTTCACCTGTTTGGACTCTCTGGGAAAACTCTCGGGGCTCAAGTGTTAAAAATCACCAAGTATCCTGGACATGAACAAGCGTTTTTGTTTTTACAAACTGATATATTTGTGATGCCCAGATTGGCTACAAGTTGACTGTTGATGCTGTCAGAAGTTAACCATGCTGAGTCACAGAGCTTGGCTTTTGATTTTGGGTGAAAATAAACCCTGTGATCTTTGTCTTCAAAGTTTTCAAAAACACCTCGCTGGGTTGTGTCTCTTTTTTAATCACCTCAACAGAACAGGTAGCTAACAACGCAACTCTTGGCCCCAACTGCATCACCATTGAAATATGTAATCATCAGCAATACACTGGTACCAGTTCTACTGATGGACCTTGTTTTAATCACAATGCCCAAAATGACTGAAAAAGCAAGGACTCACACTCTAAAACACAACTGACATGTCTAGAACAATTATGAATAGACTTCAAGTTAAGACCAGGCTTATACAGTTCTCAGCATAATTGAGTACACACCTTTAAAGTTGTCAGAAAACCTTTAGTGTCCTTTCAAAATCAACATTTTTGATGTCAGACAAAATACTCCCCCAAATGTAGGCCATTGATTGCAAAGATTTTTTAAGTTGTATACAAAAAAGTTTTTTTTTAGTTTAAAATCAGGATGCAAAAACAAGTACACCCCAACCAAAGTTCTGGGAGCAAAGCTAAATTTTAGTTATCATATCAACCTTACTTTCATCTTATGGTAAATCAAATATTATGTTAAACTCAGCTTTGTCAAAACTTTGGAAATTGTACTTTTGCTCATCTAGATATTTATTACTTGTAATAGGGGGTGTACTAATGTATGCTGGGCACTGTAAATCTAAACTAGTCTGCCTTCACTGTATGCAAGTTAGACTACATTAAATCTCTCTCAATTGAGGTCTGGGAAAATTTCAAAGTGAGAAACTATTGCAGAAACATGACTGTGCTGATAGGAGATTGCTCAAGTCTCTTCAAAATCATAAACACAGATATTTGCTCTTGACAAAAGTAGTTAAAAGAAGTACCACCATGACAAAATTAGTTGAGCTTAGATAGCAAATATACAACTCTCAAAAAAACTTGGGGACAAATGCTAATTTCATACAATGATATGTCCTATTTTTTTTATAAGTCATTGGACAAAGAACAGAGATCTGATTGTTCACTTCTGTTGAGACAGCCATGTACATATTTAAGCTGCTCTGTCCAAACCAGTCCAGCAGCCAGCTGTTCACAGCTGCTGCTTCTCCAAAGCGGAGGACTCTGCAGGATGTGTTACATCACTGTGAATCGCTCTATGGATGATGACAGCAATCCAGGGCATATCAGCTGTTTTATCTGCTTTATGATGACCTGCTGAAAGCTAAAAGTATTCAGCACACGAAGCTGCTCAGATCTTCACCGCATAAATCCCAGATACACCTTATCAGCTCTGTGCGTCTCAGTTTCCACTCACCTACATCCTTCAGGGCTTATGAAGTGAAAGTAGTGTTGGTTTACTGGATGTAGATATGTCCCCGTGAGGAAATTGGTTAAGAGTTTAGAGGATTGCTTAGCTAAACTCGTGGCAGTTAAGGAGGGATGTTGTTGAGCAATCACCAAGATGTTGACTTAGATCAGACTAAGACTGTGTTGCCAGAAATCATTTTGAACACACTGACTAGAACCACATTCTGTTGTTGACTAGACTAAACGTGCCTGACAACTCTCAAAACTGTTGAACATCTATGTGTGGCAGCAGTACTTGTTTTGTGCTGGCTAAGCAGCACAGCAAGAAAAGATGCTTCCCAGAATTTCTGAGATGTTTTCTTTCTGCTGAGGGGTTTGTTTCAGCTGGTCGTTACGCAGAATGACAATTACTCGCCTGTTTGGCTGTAGGGAGCCTAATTAAGTTGTTCCTGTGACTCACCATTCCCATCCCTGTCTTCACTTTCTCCACACACATGTTGTTGCCCGGAACCAGCTTCACGATGACCCTTTATCACACCTTTCTGTATGTAGTTATCAGTTTTCCACACAGAGGCTTAAATATTAAGATAAAAGGGTGACAAATCCCTTTTTCTAATTCATAATCTGTTGCTCTAAAAGTAGATGCTCTGAGAAACCTATTTTCTAAGATCATCCAAGAGCCCATGTCTAAATAATATCCACTGAAAAGAGTTTCAAAGTTAATCTCACATTAAATTTAAACGCTTGTCATCCTAAGCATGTGCTTGAATTTGAAGACTACTGTGTCTGAACATACCATTTAGACAAACAAACCCATCACCTTTTCATCTCCCCAACTCAGCAGCAGTGAGGTGGCTGTCTAACATGAGTCTGGTCCTTCCCAAGGTTTCTGCTTGTGAAAAGAAAGTTTTTCCTTGCCACTGTCATTCATGTCAGATGAGATGGGTCAAATCTGTCCCATCTTAAGGTTGGGTCTTGGTAATTCTTCAAACAATGAGCGTGGTCTCGACCTGCTCTTTTTTGTTTGGAAAGTGTCTTGGGATAACAGCTGTTGTGAATTGGCGCAATATAAATAAAATTTGATTTGATTGACCTTTTAAAAGGGATGAAAATTGTGGATTTATCTGACTTTGTTTCACTCCTGTCCTTTTCCTTGTGGCGCTAGAAATGTCTCATTCTGATTCAGACCAGACAGGGCTGTCACATAATAACCTCATTATTATTGTGGCCATAAAAATGATGACATTATCATAATATTTACACAACACAATCGGTCAAACCTAGAAAAGGTAAGTCAGGGGTGGAGCAACACATGACTCATTAACTTTGCTAGTTTATGATAGCATGGTTAAAATTTAACAGTTTAATAGAGTACAGCTTTTTTAAAACTGCACATACATGCATGTAAATTTATAGGACTGTAGAACGGATGTGGGACGTAGTCCTGTACTCAGTGAACTTGTACTCACCAATCTGTTTGGGAGCGCCACATGAGGGGATGTCGTTAGCCAGCCAATCACAGCTCATACTACGCCAAGGGTTTATGTCATCCATGTGCTGAGTCTTGATATGAGAGATTAGTTTGAGTCTGTAATATGGCTTAACTTCTGCAGCCTTTATTTGGCCTCCTTTGTTGTGGGCTAAGTGCTCTGATTTGATCTGAACTGGTGATCATATTTATTCTTTTGGTCACTGAGTTTAAGAAAACATGTCATAGTTGACACAAAAAAGAAAGAGTTCACACAAATTAAATATTGTGTCAGATGATTTTGGGCCACCCAGATATTCAGTTTAATGAGTATATTTACACACTAACCAAACAGAGCAGATATTTGGGGATCTGGCTCGTATAACCATCATATCCTGTTTATTATAAGTACTCGGATAAAATCTTAAGAAACCTGAACAGGGTTAACGAAGGACAGAGGCTCTGCTAGTTTCCAGGGAAATAGAGGGAGGCCATTTCTAAAACTTGGATGAATGAATGGATGAACTTATCATTAGAGTTCAGTGGCCCCCAACCTTTCTGGATTATTATGGTATACACTTGAAGCAGATCAACCAAGGACATTGGCCTGTCTGAAATTGTGTTATTAGAGCTGTGAGGGGCTACAGCTTTTAGATATTTTATTAAAATTTATCTTCCTCTCAAAATGATGTTTCAAAGCAGCATTTTGTGTTAAAAAGGTTTTGGCCAGGATGTGACGCATGTATGAACACTTAAACTTAGTTATAGACATCATTGGGATATTACTTGTTTCAGAACAATGTGGCTATGTAATCGAGGCACTCACTGAAGCTCATAAATCCTGTTTTAAAATTATATATTGCATCTCTGACTGGCTCTGCCTTTGAGCCATTTTGTTGTTTGCAGATGTTCATGTTGAATGTGACTTAAGAGAAAGGAATCCTTGTTCAGGTCTCAACAGAAGCATCCATCAACCCATATAAACAAGACTTGCAATGAGACTATTGTTTAAATCATGATATTGCTATAAACTTTATTTATGCAGCACTTTTCCTGCCGAGGTTACAAAGTGCTTCACATAAAATGCTGAAAGATAAAAGGAAAGCAGGTAAAAACACCACAGGAAAAAAGACAGGAAATATAGGAGTCAAAAGACAAACAAGGAAGAAGATAAATCAAAAAGCCTTCCTGTAAACAAAAAAGAAGAGAGGATTTACTGTCATACAGAAATTTAACCTAAAGCTCAACTGCCTGAAAGCTTTGAGCCAGTGGCCCAGTTACCTCTGGTTACAAATCAGGGTTCAGGTGCAACCAGCAGAGCTAAACCCACGAATTTCAGGAAATACCTTTTTCTCCACAGCCAGTTGCAGACAGAGAAATAATGTGCTGGGATTATCATGTGCAAGTTGAAATCCTGCAGGGGTGTGCTGATCCAAGTGGAGTACGTTGTAGGGAGCTCTGACTGATAATGCCACTGTTATGTTTTCTTTATGCTTTGAAGATCCTGAAAAGTCAGTGTCACAGTCCAAATGCGCAGACACAACAGGGGATGGTGGTGGGTTTAATGTCATGCAGCTTTGAGAGAGAGAGAGGGTCATTTAAAGCTTCCCCCCTCTGCAGAGTGGCTGTGGAGTGAGTGGTTTTAAAGGGAAGCTCATCCAGCCATGTAAATATTCCTCGTGTGCTTCCCTCGTGGGAGGGAGAGCAGAGTCAGTCTGATCTCTGCTAATGTCATCAGTCACCGAAGTCTTAAGTTGTCCCATTTGCTCACAGCTTGGCCTTTTCTGGCAGGGCTGTCTGAATACCTTGTGGCTCATTTGTAATACAAATCACAGACAAAAACACTTTGCAAGTGTTTATTTTCATGCCGGTGTGCATGCACGATATTCACATAAACACCCATGTGAATGTGCAGAGTACAGATGTGAGATATGGGTAGCAATATGTGTTGTCGTGTGTGCTTTACTTCTATTATCATACCATTCATTCAGCTCCAGACTTTAATCTGGAAAAAATATCTAAAAGTCTCCTTGATAGAAGTATACAAACAGATTAATGCTTTCCTCTGAAGCCTGTTGGGGATGATGTGCTAGTCCTGCCATAAAAGCTTGCGTACACAAGATTGCCGGTGAGGCGATAGCAAATGATAGCATTGTCACTCAGCCTTCTCTGTCAACCTTTCCTTATAGCGGACATAATTAACCCTTTACTAATCCTCCATAGATGACACATTTCTTTAAGCTTATTCAAGGAGCTTCTCTCGCTACAATTTCATCAAATGTGCAGTGTTTGGAATTTAGTAGTATAAAGCAGAGCAGACCTGGTATTGAATATTAAACAATACATACTGAACAGAGGAGCATGCATATATAGAGTCTTTATGTCACCATACATTCCCATTTCCACTTACTGTACCCTGGGTGCAGGATTGCAATGCTGACTCAGGCTATTAGCTACATGTTTGACCTGTTAAACATTGTCCAGTTGTTTTTCATGTAGAGTAATCATGTTAGGGGTGTCCCAATACAACTTTTTTACTTTCGATATGATACTGATATTTTATCCTTCAGTATTGTCCGATACCGATATTGATCTGATATTGGCACAAAATTGTGCATGGCATGTTTTTCACTCAGCTGCAATTTCTTTTTCAGAATTTAACAAAAAATACTGCCACACAGCCAACATCACTCCTACCCCTTGCTAATTTGTTAGTACCTTAGTACACACTGTTGTTGGGATCACGTGGGCTCTGCACGCTGGATCCAAGTGCTGCTAGCAAGAGGTGCCAGAGTGGAGTCTGGAATAGACTGCTTGTATCGGAGTGCTGATATCAGAGCTTTTAGATGCAGGATGATACAATCCGATATTTGTTCTTTGGCTGATATAGGATCGATATCAATATCGTATTGGGACAGCCCTAAATCATGTATGAAGATGAAAATCCCACAACAGGACTCTGCAGACATAAACTTGTCATAAGAAAGCCCAAACTCTCTGTAATGATTTCCCTTCCCATTGATGGGACAGTAGGAGTTTGAAGTTGGTCTTGCCAAGGCATGCTTTCACACGCAGACTGCTGGGGCTTTCTGGACTTGCTGTCCAACCTCTACCTAAGCCCCTCTGTTCAAAAGAGGATTTCGAACGCCACATTTTTTTGTAAAGAATTTGCCTTTGAGCCCCTCTGTACCCCTCATATTAGTCCAGATTCATATTTACGTATTATATTTAAAAATTACATGCAATGATTTTGGATCAAAGACTTGTCTTGTTGTGTCATTTTTCTGGTCTCATCACATTTTCATATCTGCCTTTTTTTCTGCTTTCCAGTACTCGTATTCTGATTGGCGCTCCGAAAGCTAACACCAGCCAACCCAACATCACTGAGGGGGGAGCTGTGTACCTGTGCCCATGGAGCCAAGCCAACTGCAGCATTATCAACTTTGACAAGCAAGGTTGGGTGTCTTGTTAAAATCCAAATCTACGGTCAGCCTCTTTGTACCCAGTAACAGATTAAAACAGAGTCTGTAGACAATGAAGCTCACTCTTCAAAATCCAGGGGAGAGGATTTTACCTGCACCATAATCTCAGCGGTAGTGAGTAACTCACATTATTATGGGACATTAAAATGTCACTTTCCCCAACAGTACTGTTAAACAGTTGAGACATGGGTGTGCAGTAAATTCTCAGCAGTCTCTAATCAGCCATAAAAGTGGCTGAGAGGAGCTGTAGGGAGCATCCCAAGTTAAGCACCGCAGTGCTTGACCCCGGAGGTCAGAAGTGCTGCTCCCTGCCATCTCATAGCTCCTTATCCTGAAGTTCTCTCCCCTGATTGAAACCAGCCTTTGATGTCTCTCCTGTGTTTTAATGGTGGCTTAGGCTGGACTACAAGCCACCCCCTTGGTGGGGTCTTCATTTTGGTACATGCTCTGTGTTTGCAGTGTGTTCACAGAGCTTTGATTTCCTGCTGGACTCAGGCCCAGTGTCGAGAACCCTCTTTAATTAGGGACAGAGTCATTACGAGAAATAAGGACCCTAGAGGACCGGGCTGCCCCTAGTTCTGCCAGAAAAAAAGGACCTCTATCAGAGATGCAGGAAGCGATAAGGACCACAGAACAAAGATCACAGGGGCTTACTTATCTTGGAGTCTCACATGCTGATATCAAATGTTAGCTTAGATTGAGAGCTGTGACTGTGCAAACCCTGCAAACATAAATACACATTTACAAACTGTTTACAAACTGTCCCGTTTGTCAGCCTATGAAACGTGATACATGCAAAGAAACACACACACACGCACACACACACAAATGCTTTTACACTCAGTCATCTTGCAGTTCCCATTATAGGCCTCAGGATTCATGGTGTGTTTGAGGACACAGCCCAGACTGCACTAACCAAACATGCAGCCAGGGAGGTTTAATGTCACCACTCTGCTACGGACAGCCGGCACATATATCAGGAAATAAACCACAGCAAAGCTTATTAAGTTACAGGCACATAAAAGTTACATTTGATTTTTTTGATGCTTAAGAATGGGACCCAGCTGAGTTTCTTTTTTGCAACTACCTGGCAAAGTTTTTCTAAATTACATGCCAAATGGTTAAAACAGAAATAAATAAATAAATAATGAATTGCTGCATACAAATGAATAAAAATTTGACTGCAAATTCCATCATTTCCTTTACTTTTAGTGCCTGGATGTTTCTTAGGTCGGCAACTCGCCATAACAGTTCTCCAAAGCTGGCTGAAAGGTCAGGTTCCCTGCTCCAGGAACAGCTTTGCAAGTGGAACTATTACTCATGTATTCCCTCATAAGTTACTAAAACAACTTTTGACTAAAGGGGAAAAAAATCATTGAAGAGAAATAGTTACATACGCATACCTCTCACAATCTACCAGCCCCTCCCTCGTCATTGTTCCTCCTGCACTTTCGTACTGCTAGGCCTCTTCTTAAAACAGAACTTGAGGCCCAATGAGCTACAGCCGTGTGGGTTACAGTCACAACACGGTCCAAGTCCCTTTGAGCTGTTTGATGTCTGCCATAGCATGGAGGATGGATTAAGACCGCAGACCCTGAGGAACAGGTCATAAAATATCCATGTAAAACGTCAGGAACATATGTAGAGCGCTCTCGAATGAAGCCCTGACTGCAAACATATCAAACAGTGGTGACAGTGGGATCTATGACTCAGTTAGAGAAGCAGTAAAACTAGTAATCCTTCAAATAAAGACACAGAGCTACTTCAAATGAGCTGCTAAAGTCTTTTTTTTAATGCGCTTTGTGTGTTTTTTTTTTCCTCTTTATTCTCACAGGTGATCGGTACTCTTATATAAATGATGTGAACACTCAGGTGGAGTTCAAGTCCCATCAGTGGTTTGGAGCGACTGTCCGCTCCCATGGCAACAGTGTCCTGGTAAGGATGGGTCAGCAGTTGTTTGGGTTCAGCGCTTGACTGGGGTGTGTGTTGTGTGGCCGGCATCAGTAAATCATTCGTATTACTTCCTAAATGTGTGTCCTGTCTCTGCCCTCAGTGAAACCAAGCACAGATTCATGTCCTATTCTTTATTCTCTACTCAGACTTTCTTTGTTTATCCGACACTGTCAAGACTTGAGAGTGTGTGTTAGAGAGCAGCTGAGGTTGACCTACGCGTATTATAGAAACTGACTCTTATGTAACATATCAAACCAAAACCTGGTTAATTATTGTGCTAGAAAAAGTTTTTCATCACATGGCATTTGGGGCTCTGTGAGGGATTACTTGGGTTACTCTTGGGACCAGCTTTTCATGCCAAGACAGACACTAATTTGAGTTATTTAAGCCAGGTTCTGAAGTTTGTTGTAATTTTTTTCATCACTTTTTTCAAAATGCTTCACATAATTAAAAAGAAACCCAATAAATTTGTTAAATATTCTTGCAAAGTAGTGAAAAATGGTGTCTGAGATTGTTGGGGGTCTGGATGGCTTACTACAGCTACAGCTGAGCAGGGTGGCACAGGCCGTTTTTTTAATGGGCCTACTGCATACTCCTGCCGAATGTAGTTTGCAGTACATACTGCATACGGGGTACTGTGTTCAATAGTAGTATGCAGTATGACTGCAAATCGGCTGTTATTATGTAGTATACTTGGTCTGGTTTAGCTGGTGTCTGGTATGGAAAAGTACATTGTACCCTGGTAATTTGCAACGACATGACAGTGTTTTCCACTCATTTACACACTGAAAAAAATCTTTTTTGTGTTATAATTTGATTTTTTCAGGACTTTTTAGCCCAATACCAGCCATCAAAATGTGTTCTGTCTATGCAATGACTCGTTGATCTGCCATTTGATTCTCATTAAATACAGCAGTTATTTTATATCAGTCATGTTTTCCTCGTTTCCTGCTTAAATGAAAGAAGTTGCATCTCTGCTAAACCTGTTAACTGATGCCGTCTGCATGGAGTGGTCTTATTTACCTTTGTCCCAATAGTTTGACAACTACAGTAAAAACCCTCCAATACAAACTCCACTCCTGTCAATTTAATTCAAATACTGTCTTGGCTGCTGATTGAGTTCTGGCCGTTACAAGCCGCAGCGGCAAGACAACAACAACAGTTACCTCATTACAACATATTTCTTAACAATTTAAGGTCAAAAGATAAAAATGATAAGTTATAGCCTCCGCCGCTCGGATGAAAGTTTCGCCGCTCTCTGCTATTCTACCGTGTGCCAAGGCGCTTTGCATTAGGGGTAACAGTAGGCAATATATTCAGGTATTTTTGGCATCCTGCAACTTTCGCAATTTGTTTGCATACTACATTTCGGATGAATAAGTATGTCCTGCTAGTATAGTATGCGAATTGAAAAAATGGCCATGGAGAAGTTGTTTATCTTTTCAAAATCCACCATCATCTTTTTGACCAAGTTTCCTTCCATTGCTTCAAACAATGGTTGCACAGCTGATGTTAGAGTTAGTTCATAAAGACAGTAGAAAAGCATTTGATGTCTCTATTTTTCAGGCTTGTGCTCCTAGTTATTATTGGAGGACCGAACATGAAACACCCTTTGCTGATGTGACCGGAACCTGCTACCTCTCTGTTGACAGCCTTAAAACTTTTGTTGAATATGCCCCTTGTCGAACAGGTGAGTTGCTGCAACAATGGCAAACTTCAAGAGGGTGCAAAGTCAAACTTAGTCAAAGAGGGTTTTGAGGTAAACCTTTTTCTGATGTGTTTTTCCTAGAAAGTCAGAGCAAATGGGTCTGAGACAGCTGCCAGGAAAAGTCAAAGCTCCATTGTATGTGGATATTTTTGTTGGTTATGAGGAGTGAATTACACAAAGCTGCTGAAACTGACTGTAGAGTAAAAAATAGCTGCCTCAGCTCAGCAGCTGTACTTACCTTAGGCTTCATTCTTCAGCCATTTTCAAAGTTTTAAATCTGGACTTTGTTTTTTGTTTGATAAACACATGAAATGTGACAGGAGTTATTTTAGTGTTAGTGAAACAGATCATTTATTAGTGTTTCCCCTGTTCATTGCAGAACGACATGGACCTGCTGGACAGGGCTATTGTCAGGGGGGATTTAGTGCGGACTTCACAAAGGTAAAAGAAACATCAGTAAGAGTTTTCCACATAATCACAAAGTCACTGCCTCTGTGTTTGGGCTGATGTAAGCAGTGGGAATCTCGCTGTGTACATCAGATTTACAGAGTTTGTTTGAAACTCACGATGACACACAGACGCTTCAGTTCTGGCTTCTGTGTTACAGGATGGGAGAGTTGTGCTTGGAGGACCAGGCAGCTTTTACTGGCAAGGTGAGCTCTTAGGAATGTGAAACAGTTTGCTTTCACAGACTTTTCCTTTCAACAAGTGAGAAAATCAATGTGTCATTTTTAGAAGTGAATAAATGACAGTGGAAGAGGGGGTTCAAAGGTTTCGTACCTTATCTGAGCATCTGAAATTTAACCTTTTCTTATCCGTTCATCGTGTAGGTCAGCTGATCTCAGCCACCACTGAGGAGATCGTCAAGGCCCACTACCCCTCTTATTTTCTGCTGTCAGTCACTGGACAGATTCAGACCCGACAAGCACAGGGGAGCTTTGATGACAGTTACATGGGTGAGGGTGATGTCAAATAGGCTTAGTATTATTAATTCCATGTACATTCACTGACCAGAAATGTTTTGCTAATAGCTTGGATTCACACAATAGATATGCAGTAGAACAGCATGAGCTACTAACCTTATGTCATAGGGTCAGAAATATAACTACATGTTTCAGTGAAACAACAAATAATATCAGTACAGTTCCACTACTGCAGAGGAGCCAATTGGCTTCTGACAGTCATGAAATGGATGTGCACTTTGTACATGGATATTTCTGTTTTGGTTATTTCAGCGTAGGTTGGTTTTGTCTAGTATTGTCAAGCTTTGACGTGATCTACTCAGTTTCAATCCCTGTCATTCTAACTTCATGAAGAAGTCATGAAAAGTTGGAACAGAGTTACATAGAAGCTACGCAACTAACTCGTGTGCTGGTAATGGACAAGTAGAATAAATGTATGTGAATCTTCTACTGTATTGTAAAACATTTGCTGCTGTTTATTGTTATACTAGCCTGCAGAAATAAGATTTGATTCAAGCCAAGAGCAGATGGGATATCAACAAGTTGCATAGGGGATCAAATTTTTTCACCACCCTAATCTTTTGTCTGACATGGCTATGAAGCCGAAGATGTGGCCTGGACTTTGATAAGTCTGTTAGGTTGATAAGGAAGTTTGTGGTTACCTCTTAACCATACAGGTAACTTCTTGCTTAAAATCTCCTCTTGTATACGAAAATGGAAAAATGAGACAACCAAATATCTATCTGAAGGATTTTACTAAAATTTCCATCAAATACTTGCAAGTAGATTAGTGGTTCTTTCCGTTATTTCTGTGTGAGTTTAGCACTGACATTTACTGGATCACTCAGAGTTCAAATGTGAGCATACACATGAGTTTTAATGTATCTGTCAATATCATTCTCTGACAGGTAAGAACACTTCTTTCCAAAGTTGTAAAAGTATACTAGTTATAGATTCCCAAGACAAACTCCACACATTTTTACACACATTTACGAGACTGGGGACATAACATGGCACCCCACCATTTCTGTTCACAGTTCATACAGCGAATGTAATTAAGTAATTTAGTGTTGCGCTCAAAGATTTGTCAGATTGACAGACAACAAAAAAAGCATAAGCTACACTGTTGAGAAAGTGTCTTTAATTCCATAACATTAGCCATGCCAACAGTGTGGTTGGAGATTTTTATGTTTTAACATTTCCTTGTGGTGTTGTTTTGGCATTTTATGTGGTTCAGATATTATCAGGGCTAATGGGGTTGTACAGGCACGAGTCAGAAATGACGACAGTACTGGGTCATTATGATCTGGCTTTTATGTATATTACAGTTTTTTAAAAGGACAGTGCTTGATTGTAGGCTTTTTTTAAGTTGTCTGTTAGTTGGATCAGTATTAAATGCAGTGAGTGCTGCTGATGCGCAAAGGTTTTGTTGGTACTTTTAATACAGAAATAGTCTAAATCTTGCAGGTTGTGAATGTGTAAAAGCTTTCTAGCTAACCTTCATCTCTCCTGCAGGCTACTCTGTGGCTGCTGGCGAGTTCAGTGGGGATGATGAGGAAGGTAAGGGTTATATTTACTGTACAGAGAGCTGAAATTCAGGGTTGAGAACAGGACTTCAAGCTGGGTCTAATATTTAACTACTTAGCCTTAAATGGGTGAAAGAGTTTCATTTAGATAACAACTATTTAATACCTACAAATGATCCAATGAATTACACAAGTGCATGATGTTTCTATTAGTGGGCATCATGCTTTCTCCAAAACAAGCCGGTTTGTAGTTTTCAGACTTATTTGACATTTCCTCCCCTGACCTTTCACCCCTTGCTTTCTGTGTTTCAGATTTCATCACAGGAGTACCAAAAGGACTCATGCTGTATGGTGTAGTAAGGACTCCCCATTTTTAAATTCTACACTTTAAAATATATTAAATTATCTACAGGATACTCAGGCATTCACTGCCAGTCGATTAAACTGAGTCAACGGTCCATTGTCATATACTTGGGGATTATGAACAACCATCTATAATCATAATGTTCTTTGTCTGTGTTGCTATAGGTGTCCATACTAAATGGTGAAGATATGACGTCTCTGCTTAACTTGACAGGAGAGCAGGTATGTGCACATCTGGCAGGAGATTTCCTCTTCTAGCCTGGCTTCTTTTTTCATGTCTGGGTACATATTAAATGTGTCATGTGTAAAAAAAGGTGGCAGATGAAGGAATTTGCCCCATGGAGAGGAGGCCTGTACCAGGGGTCAGAGGCCAAGCTTACAGTACGCACAACTCATAGGTCTGAAGATCAGTAAATCAAACCCAGAAACAGCAGAGCAGTGTCAGGTTGTCCTTGTATTGGACATTTCCCCTTGTGGGACTAAAAAGGAGTATCTTAACTTATCTTATTGATTCAGTGTGTACTTTGAAATGAGAAGGCCTGACGCACAGCAGCATTGGCTTGAGTCATGATGTTTAAAATATAACCCATGAATTATCTTTAAAACCAAATGTCACTAACTTAATTTAGCTGGGTTTATTTTTGAAAATGTTCCTGTTGCTCATATCCTGTGAACTCGTGGGTGTGAAATGTCAATTACATATTTGACTTCGTGTATGCCCACTTTTGAAATGTTTATGGAGGAGTGTATGTGTGTGTGTTTTCACTGTGGGAGGTCACCAATGACAGCTCAGAGGTGTCAGTCTCAGGTTGGAGGGAGCTGAATAAACTGTTATGTCTTAGTACAGCTGATCTGAGGCCAATCATGGACTAATTGACTCTGTGCTCTTTGTTAGCTAATGCTGCTCCCTCTCTCTGTGGGAGGGAGGGCTTTGACCCCACAGCCAAGTCAGCTGCAACAACACTGCAGAGAATCTTTGTGCAAGAGATTATTTATTATACGAATAAACAACATCTCCCTGATGCGTCATGTTTTAGAGGCTTACCAGCCAATATTGTGTCCAATTTTCACACAAGAAGTGACCGTATGATGTGAGGAGGTAAATATACAGAGCCCAGCATAAGTCAGTACACCCCCTATAAATGTAATGTATTACTCAATATCTAGATCAGCAAAAGTACAAGTTTTGTCAAAGCGGAGTATAACATAACATCTTATTTACCATAAGATGAAAATAAGGGTGATATGGTAACTAAAATTTAGCTTAGCTCCCCAAACTTTGATTGGGGTGTACTCATTTTTTTGTATGCAATTTAAGAAATCTTGTTTTCAGTCGATGGCCTACATTTGGGGAGTATGTTGTTGTATAGTCTGACATAGAAAGTGTTGATTCTGAAAGGAAACTAAAGGTTTTCTGACAACTCTGAAGGAGTGTACTCATTTATGCCGAGCGCTGTGTGTGTGTGGAGTTTCGATTTCTCTTCTAGTATTGCACCACTGTTAAAAACGACTGCTGTGGGTCAACAATCTGGATTACTCTGATTCCATTGGCCGTTAAATTAATGTGATATCAGTTTGTTTTTTGAAGGATTTCCATTTGGCTGTAAGTACTGAAAGTTAAAATGTTGTATGTGAGTAATTTTCCTGCTCTTATAAAACATGACAGTTTTATTTGGCTGATAAGCTACATTTTAAGCATCAATAATATCATCTCTCTTCTACAGTCATGGAAATATTGCATTCATTTCTTGAGACAACTCAAAATGTAGGGTCATGTTGCGACAACACAGCACCTCACCACTGCTTGTAACTCGTCTTTGGTCCCTCTTCCCTCTATGGCCATTTTAAGACCACATACAATGCTGACCAGCTGTCTGGTGTGTGTGTGACAGTGGCTTGAGGTCCCCCATGCCACAGTCAATGACAATCCATCCTCCAGAGCTGCTGTCTGTCTTTAGTTTGTGCATCAGATAGTGGCTTGGCAATGATGCCCACTCATTTGGGATGATCTGTGGAGTGGCGGGAGAATGGCTTGTCTTATTTGAAGAGTTTTTTTGGTTTTTTTTTATAAACTAAATTTCGTTTGGTCCTTTTGACTTTCTAGCTTTCTCTGGTACCTCCAAAGGAGGTGAATTAAATGAATTGAATTAAATGCTGTGCCTCCTGTCCAGACTCTCCATGGTGTAAACCAGTTGAATATGCAAAAACCCAATTTCAACATGTCTTTTCTTAATATGTTTAAACATAATTAAGTGCTCTCCACATGGACTGTGTTGGTAAATCACGCCCATGGTTTTGGCTTGCTAAAGAGCTATCATTCACTACACCTGTGTGCCTTCTAGCTAAGAGGTCTCCCATGGAGATTTGCTTCTATGTGTGATTAAGATCTGCCTGTGTTCATCATTTACATGCTCTTTATTTCTATCTCACATGAACGTTTCTCCGAGTTCAGTGCTGCAGAGGGTCCTGACCCCTTTTCTAAGAGTGTGTGTGTCTGACACATCAATGCTTTTGTTGAGTAGTAGTGCATCTGAACTTTGGTCAGTTATATTTATGCTGATTTGAGCTGTTTAGCATATGTGGATCTTTAATACAGAGGTCTACAGAGCCATTTCTGTAGCTGCACTACAAATGACTTTGAAGTGAGAGTCTTCTGGGGATGTAATGTGGCCCTAATTTATCATACATGGTATGAAATTAAACCGGAAAAACCTAAGCCCCATGAGTAGTTTCTCAGAGTGAGTGTTAAAAGAGTTTGAGACCCCAGTCCTCAGACCCCCTACCTCTCATCCAGCTTTCAGAAGCTCAAACACTGAGCTCCATGAAAAGGGAGCCGAAAAGACCTCGGGGGATTGTGGGATTGAGAGATTGAGGAGGAAAGCTTCTGGGGGTGGTGGTGGAGGCTGCATAAGAGAAAAAAGGACATGGAGAAAGAAAATGAAAGAAAAGAAGGGGATATATGCACTGTGGTGTGATTATAGGCTAACTTGGTCTTGTTTGTAATGTGTTCCAGATGGGGTCCTACTACGGCTATGCCGTGGCATCCACTGACATTAACAACGATGGGTGAGTTAACATAGCTATGTTGAGACAGATGATGGCATGAGGTGAGGAAAAGGAAAGGTGCTGAGTGAAATGACTGAAACGTGAGAAAAATGTGAGCTTGAATACAAGACAAAAAGGAACAGGTCATTGAAGCAGAGACAACAGGGGGACTTTTCTGGAGTTTCCCACACTTGCTCAGTCATGCTGTCACTGTCGTACATGTCCACAAAATTTCTGAAGTATTTCATACCCTCACTTGGTCTGCAGATCCCCTAGAATTAAGTTCTCCTTTACCAGTTTCACATCATTAACCAGGGCAGAGTACTTACACAGACAATGGCCACTTTCATTAATTACTCAGCTTTCCCTGTCTCTCTGCGCTGTTTCAACTGGGATAATAAGAGATTCAATTGTACCCACACACTGCAGTGTCACTCACAGATGAGTGTAGTGCTACAGATCCGCAGTCAGAACCACCAGTGCTGTATATTAAAGTAAATACAAACAGAGAACAGTTAGAGGTGGGAGAAAAAATCTGTACAGCATAGTATTGTGATATTTTGTCTGGTGATATAAGGTATCGTCTCATTTACCAAGTATCGATTTTTTTCAAATTAATTATTAGTTCAAAGTCAGATCTATGATAATGAAGAAAAAAATCAACTGTTTGTCCAGTGAGGTTGGCAGAGGTGACATCATAGAGCAGGAAAACGTTAGTACAATAAACATAGCAGCACCTGGGGAAGGACATTGGGACTGCAAACAGGGCACAAATGAGATGGACCTGACACATAAGGTTTGCAAGATGTGCCACATGAAAATAAAATACTGTGTAAATATGACAAACATAAAGGAAAGACAAATGCTAAATGAGCTAAACAGTTGAAAAAAAAATTCTATGAATTGCAATTTATTGTTGTATTATATTGTTATTGTTACATTATATATTACAGTATGTTAAAAATCGCAATAATATCGTATTGTGGCGCCACTGGTGATTCCCACCCCTAAGAACAGTAGGCTTTGACGGGCACTCATTATTTCTTTGGACTAGCCTTGCATTAGAAGTTTCATTCTCTTAAAGTGTTAAAATCATATAGTTTCATGAGAGGCCAAAACAAACTCATACAGAGTAGACTAAAATAAATCCAATGATGTGAAAGGTTGTATGTTTCTGCAGTAGCTTACAAACAGACAAACGAAATGTTTTCATCATTACCTTCAGATTGGATGACCTTGTGGTGGGAGCCCCAATGTTCATGCGTCGAGGGTCCAATGGGCGATTGGAGGAGCTGGGTAAGGTGTACGTGTACCTTCAGAGAGGGCCTTTACAGTTGGAACCAAGTCAGTCCCACCTCCTGGGTCGACAGGCTTACAGCTGGTTCGGCTCCTCGCTGGCTCCTCTGGGTGATCTCAACCAGGATGGATTCAATGGTAAGTCAATAAGTGTTCAACTGAACTTCAATGTTGGATAGCAGGTGTATTTATTTAAAAGAAGAATAACAGTTTGTTATACTCAGATTTTTCATATTTGGCACTGGAGATGCGGGTGCACAATTATTAGATTGTTTTCATACCAATTTGCAGATATTTCCAAACTCACACTGCTTTCCTTCAGACATGGCTGTGGGCTGTCCCTATGGAGGAGACAACCAACACGGATCAGTTCTTATCTACATCGGTCATGCGGGAGGTCTGATGGACACGCCTACTCAGACTTTGTCTGGCCAATGGGCTTCCAGCTCTTTCCCTGCCAGTTTTGGGTATGCACTGCGAGGAAACCGAGATCTGGATCAGAACGGGTACCCAGGTACTGCAAAGCACATTATGCAACATGGCCAATGCATAAACCAAACCTCTTTGTCAACACCCTTTATATTTTATTTACCCTTGTTCTTGCAGATCTGATTGTTGGTGCTTTTGGTGCTGATACGGCCGTGTTGTACAGGTATGTGTTAGCACACAGGAATAATGTACGGTAATCACAATGTAGATTGTTCATTGTGTTGTCTGTTTCTCTCTCCAGGGCTCGGCCTATAGTGAGTGCCAGTGCGTTTCTCACGGTGCACCCGACCATGTTCAACCAGGAGGAGAAGACTTGTGAGCTGTTGACAGGGAATGAAACCATTGCTGTGTCCTGGTAAGCGCATCAGTTTTCTTTTACAAAAGTTGATGTCCCACTTTGTGTTAAAGTCCCACTCCGATCGTTGCTTTTTTACTACTTAAAGTGTTCTCAGTGGTCTTTAAATCGTGATTATGAAGTTTTTAGCCAAATCATGTTGCCTGTGTCATTTTCAAGGGCTTTTCTTCTGCAGAGCTCCAGTAGCTCATTAGCAATTTGCCTCTGAGTCGTGGGCGGAGACAGTGCTGCTCTGCACACTTGTCTTCACACTTCAACTCTTCAGCTTGACATAGCTTGTGCAGCAGAAGTGGCAGGTAACATAGGAGCTTCTGGGGCGGAGCTTGGATTTGCTACATAGGAAATCTCATTGTTTCTGAACCTGCCGTTTGGGTCTGTCAGAGATTCACAGTGATTTGAATTCAGAAATACTCAGAAATGCTATTTCACACTTACTTTTCTCATATGTCCTGTAGCATCAGAAAAATGCCCTATGAACATGTAGACAACAAGATAAACATGATTTTCATCGGAGTGGGTCTTTAACAGGAAGATTAGAGGCTGTTTGATGTAACACTCAATATTTGTCATGAAGGGGAAATATCTTGCGAAGCCTAGAAGTGGTTAGAGCACAATCTGAAAATAACAGAACATGGAAAGTCTTGCGTATGTTATGTAAGACACATCTTAGTTCAATTTCAGCTCTCCAAACTTGTGCCTCACGAGAATGTCAAATGACTTCATGTTTACCAATTTCCTGTCCAAACTGCTCTGAGCTACGCACACAGTATTCTTGGATCCAGTGAAAGAGGAAAGTCATCTTTCAGTTTCAATGAAGTTCTTTCCACAAGCTCACTTCAAACAACATAATAAATGTGGAACATTTTTGGAGTGACGAGAAGATGTTCGCCAAACCTCCATTTCTGCCCTGTAGGTTGATGTAAGTGAGTCTTGTGTCGGTGGTTATTAGTATTTTTGCTGCTGTGGAAACAAGAAGACAAACTGAGCAGAGAGGAGGGGAAGTGGGAAAAGGTGGAGTAGTTCTATAAAAGACAAGTGCAGCAATAGTCATTTCAAAGGTTGGAAAAAGGTTGTAACTTTCCCGAAATGAACAAGAATTGTCTAATGTTGGCAAAAACAGAGATAGCCTGTGGTGTACCCTACCTTTTTTAGGCTCTATACACATACATATTTTATGTGAACACTTATAAATGAAGTGTTTGATACTTAAAAGATTTTAATCCTATTCAAACACGAGGAAAACACGTGTGACTTTGGAACTGGCCAGTTGAAACGGCTGCGGTAAACAAATCATGACCGACTTCCTCCTCAGACCAGAGGAGAAACTGGTTTACTTTTTCACAGCCAAATAAAGTTTTCAGTGTTAACCTTGATGACTCGCTGTTTTTATGATGCACACAATAAAATGAGTTTTCCCTTTTTCATGTTTCTGTCTGTGTTTAACCTACAGCGTCAGCATCGGTTTCTGCCTGCAGGCTGATGGAAAGCACCTCCCCTCTCATCTAGGTGAGGCAGACACACACACATACTCGCACACACACTCGCACACACTCACACTCACACATGGTCTCTATTACCTTGCTTTCTCTGTGTTTCCACAAGTATGTTGGACCTCACTGTGGTCAGTTCGGCAGTTCAGATCAAGATAAAAGAACAATCATGTAAATACAGGGAAACTCGGTGGGCTCCAGCAGTTTAGAGAAGTGTGTGTGTTTATTTAAAGTGTGTGGGTGTGTATTGTCTGTGTTGTGTGCATAGTTACTGTCATGTGGGCCGGAGTAATGCCCTCAGTGTGTTTTTACATGCTGTGCTGTAACACATACAGGCTCTTCACCCTGTTCAGGTTAACCTCCGTATGTGTATATTTGCATGTGGCTAGGCGGGCATGTAATATGTCAGAGCAAGTATGTGTTTCTTTGTGCATGTGCATACATCTACATGTGTTTCTGTGTTCAATATAGGCATACTGCAAACATACAGACTATCTTCAACGTCTACTGCCTAATGTGCGTCTCTTGTGTATGTTTTCCAGACTTCATGGTGGAGGTTCAGTTGGACAGTGGGAAGCAGAATCAGAAAAACTCCATCAGGAGGACTTTGTTCCTGGACAGCCAGCAGAGCAGCCTGCTAAAGACCTACAGTCTTGGTATTGGAGACCGCTCTTGTCATGAGGCAAAAGTCTACCTGCGGGTCAGTCCCACAAGTTGTTTTTCCCCCTCAGATATACTTTTAAAAGGCAATTCAAAAGATGTGGATTTATTTCTATGAAAAATAGTAAGACTGATTTTTGAGTTTAATTCTAATATTAGCATGCTAATACCAACAACGCCACTATCCTTATTGAGGGACCATTTTCTACCATTTCAGGCAGACATTTACACGCTGCCCGATGAGGGTTAGTTTCCTCAGTGTTTTCTTTTGTCTCAAAGTGTTTGACCATGGGAAATGTTTGGTGTTGATGGACCAAATACTTTTGAAGCAAAGAGCTGGTTGGCTTGGTGGCTCAGTACACTGAGGCTTATTGCAGGTGTTGCTAATTTGACCACAGGCCACGACCCTTTGCTGCAAGTCTGTGCCTGCAACATTTACTGTCTTTCTTTACCAGTGCTGTCTGATAAAAAGGCAAATAACACCTGGAAGTAGGATTAGGCGATTGAGCAAAAAAAAATGATCACAATATATTTTGTCAAATCGTCTGATCTTGATTATTATCATGATTTTTTGGTATTTTTTTAAAACTGACAGTTTTAAAGCATCTGTACTAAAAACTAGAGACACAAGCGATCAGCTCAACATTTAGTTAACATACAACGTAATAACAAAGGAAATTAAATAAGATAAACTTAGAAAAATATAAAAACCATTTTTACTCAACAGTACAACAAATGTAGATAAATACTAAATAATACAGTGAACTAGTTTACAGTCCTGAGTGTTTTTGCAGGTATGTAAGACCCAAAATAAACAAATCGCCCCCTCAGGGATAATGAAGACGCCTTAAAATATAGTTGATATGATTGATTGCTGCTTTGGTCTGGTGGCTGCACTACTAGTTGTAGCTAAACTGCTAATGCTACTTGTGCCGTCAGCAGTGACAGGCTGTGTAGACTTCGCTAGCATTTTCATGCTTTCCACATAATCATTTGAGAAGAACTTCTTCAATTATTAAACAGATCTGTTGTGTTGCTGGTTTTTGAGGGCACCGACCGCCAACATACCTTGCATAGCGGCTTAATTGCTCGACGTCCCTTTGGAGATATCCAAACTACCACCACACAGCAATGGCTTCTTTGGAGGATGACTCAAAGTCATGGCTGACATCTATTTTGCTGCCCTCAGCTCCGCGTTTAGCTCCATGTTTGGTCATTCTGTTTACTTCCTCTGTTTACTTCTCCGGCAACTTACAGAAGTGAGCAGGAAAAGCTCAAATCTGATTGGCTGTTGTCATGCTCATTTCCACTATGTTTGATCAAGTAAATATGCTCACAGCTGATCACCTTGATCGAATTGAAATTTATCACGATCATTAATAACAATCATATAACCGCCCAGTCCTACATGGAAGATATTTTTAAAAAATCAAGGATCAGAAACATAGTGAAAAAAAATCCTTCTTGGGGGTCTGGGACTGACTTTTAACTGGATTTCTAACCATTTCATGGGCAGTTAAAGGGTCATTCAGATGAATACAACACAATACTTTAGTATGATACATTTATTTAACTGTAGAAACAAGTCATGTAATAGAAAAAGTCTAAAGAATTCTGCATTTACTTCTGTCAGACATTGGTAAAAAGAGGGATTGTTAATTCACTTAAAGATTTGTGCAATAACTGAGACCATTTATTTTAAGACTCTGGAGAACCAGCTCCAGGCGCTGGAGCTGGTTCTCATTTGAACCGTTTAATCAGAGACGGTTTTGCACCTGCAGTGCCAGGTGAATGATATTATCTTGTCAGTGGAATAAAGGTTAACGTCATTTTCTAATGGATGGGTTTGAAGTTGCTGTTTGAAGTGCTATTTAGGAGTGGAAACTGCTACAGTCCCAATCTTCTCATCACTCAGTGGTGACCTGATCAAAGTGAAAACCTGCCAAAAACACTGGAGTCATATGTGCAGAGGTTCTCTGTAAGGACATGATGATCAGAGTGTTTAGCTCTTTCAGGTATAGAAGACAGTTTGAGTAGGATCTGCCAACCATCCGCTCACCTATCAGTCAACATGTTTCTGTGTACACACCATTTATACCTCTGACTCTATGTGCAGGGGGAATATCAGTGTGGCTCACAGAGCAGCCTCCATATCACATCTGAGGGAAACTTCAAACAGACTAAATCCTACAGTTAGGCCAGTAGTTCCTCAACATCTGCTTCTAATTTTCTAAATTTACAGCACTAAAATGATGGAGATTTCAATGAGGGCAACAAACTACAAGCCATCTTTTGAGGAGCCTGCGTTCTAAAAAAAAACAGCAGAGCAGCAAATTAAAACAAGTGACTGAAAGAAAGGGAAGCTGTTTGCATCATGAGGGTTTGTGTCAGTCACAAAATTGTTGAACACTCTTACATTTTTCTCTCTTCCAGAGTGAGGAGGAGTTTCGGGATAAACTCTCTCCCATTTACATCAGCCTGAACTTCAGTTTGGATCCTCAGGCCTTGGTGGACCGTTATGGCCTCAGACCAGTCCTGAATTATCTGACAGAACAGCCCATAGAGCAAAAGGTGGGTATATGAACTTATATACAAGTATCTTGTCAGAGCACACCCACATCAGTGTCAGATGCTGTAGAACAATAGACTCCAGCATTTTTAGACGGATAACACCTTTATGGCATATTTTCCAGTCCTGGTATTTCTTATCATTGTTTGGATTCTTGCATTAGATTTGGTTCAAATGGCCTATTTGATACGCTTGTAATTTAATTGTGAGAAGTACTCAGTGAGTTTAAGTCCTTTTTATCCACCTCAGTATTGCTAGTCATGATAAGCAGACTATGAGCAGGAACTGCAAATGTTGTTCAGTATTTCAATGTGTTTAAAACGGATTTAACGCACGCCTGAGGAAATTAAATTGATTGGTTCTTGAGGGAACCTTGACCCGTCTTTAGGCACACTCACTGCTTCAAATGCTGAACTCATTAGCACTTCTCTATGAAACTTCAGCTATTTCTCCATAAATTTGTGAACTGCAGCCTTATATTAAAGTCCTAGACTAAACATTGAGACCGCACCACACGCTGTATACTTTATGAAGTAAACATGTAGACACCACAACAATTACCAGTGGAGGGACAGCATAACAGAATAACAGATGGCATAAAGAATATTTTAACATAACTGTACTGAGAAGTCAGGAACAAATGGCAAGCCAGAATTTCTGTAATATTTATTTTTTAATCTGAGACAGAGGTTACAGGAGGTTTTTAAACTGCCTTCAGCTGAAGGGTCAGGTCCCATATGGTTGTAGGTTGAGGGTCGGCCCTGATGGAGTAAGAGCTGATTCTTGCACTCTTGGAACAGTTGAAAGGTTTAAGAGGCCTAGCGAGTCATGGCAATGCAAAAACACAGTGGAGGGCTGACAGCTCTTTTTTTGGGTGGGGCCGCGCTCGGCTCTCAGACATCTGGTTGCGGTTTGTTTTTGTATGTTGCCAGTGGTGTCCTCCACAAGGCACCAGCCAGAGCCTGAAAACGTGCACATGTGTATGTGAGCGATAAAAGGTAAAGTGAGTGTGTGATGTGGGTGTGGGAGGGTGTACATCATATAGTTTTAACTGAATGTTTTCAACAGAAGACACAGACTTTTCATGTCACTTAAGAGTGGAGGCATGTAGTAAAGCTAATGATAGTAGGGAACGGGAACAAAATCTGTGTCATGTTAAATGTTATTGTTATGTAATAGTGAAATGTTTTGTTACTGCTGGGTGTAGTCCCTCTGAAACATGTCCCAGTCTGACCTGTTAGATTTTACATAACACTCCTGAGGCTTTACAAAAAGTATTATTTCTCCTTTTAATGTTTTAACTGTAAGCCATGTCATAGATTTACTCTTTGTAACAGCCTCTTTATATTGTCTGTGGCTGACTTTATACTTTTCCTGGATATACCATTTTCTGCCCAATTATTATCCTTGTAATTAACATCCACAAATATTTCTGTGTTAAAATGTAACCTGATGTCATTCTGTAATATTTGACTGTTTTGACAATAATTTCTTGTATCATGGGTGAAACTATTCAGAAATGCAGTCATATTTCCAACAGACAAACGTTTAAAAAAGGTTAAAGGGAGAAACAGGTGTGGGTTGCAGAGTAAAGTGAGAAAGCTGCCCACAGAGGTCACGTAGAAATCCCATAATGCATGTTAGTTCTGGGTTGCTGTGAATCCTGATTGGTTGATTGCTTCAGACAGGACCCGTTGTTTTAGAAATAGAAATGAAAATAGATAAAAACAAGTGCATGGATATTTCAGAACAGGTTCACATATGCAGTATATAAAGGTATATTTCAGTTGAAGGTAGAGTGTGCAGTATTTAGAGGTATTTATGGTCAAAGCAGAACAGACTTGGTCGTAATGAAATATCTTATTCGTAATTAGATTTGAAATGGTGTTTAATCGCCTAGGTATATACACACATATTTGTTGTTTTGTAATGTTTTCTGTTTTTTAATCTGCATAAGAGCACCCTTACGAGGCTGCCGTCTTATACTACCATTTTATCTTAGTGCAGAATGGACAAACTAGTAACATCAACGTTTTTATATCTTGTGAGTGGCTGCACAAGAGTGAAACACATGGAGGCCGCCCATGGTTACTATGGAGTGCAAAAGAAGTTGTGATGGTTTCAATTTGGTAGAAAAACAAATTACATTTTCACAAGTCATTGAAGCCTCTTGTGTTAGACAGCCACCATTGCCTCACCAACAGGTAGGGTGAGCAAGGGAGATAAAGCAATATACTAATCATAATTTTTTTTGATGCTGAATCTTTGATATCATTAGTGGGTTGTGTTTTTGTTTTTACTGAAATCACAGAAAAAATATTACTTACTGTGGTTTTAAAAATCGACCAGTCTTTAAAAAGTCCACACTCATATATCAAGGGAAAAGACCTGTGTGTCTCAGTTGCACAGTTTCTTTGGGAGTTTGGGACAAATATCTTATTATCTGGGTGCTGAACCATCAGCGCTGACTGTAAAGATACCTTTAGTATCGCTTCAATTATTGAGCTAATTCTCAGATCGAAAAAAAGAGACTTAGGGTGTCACATGGTTTCACTGGTGTAGATTGTATGCCGTCATGTTGTTGTAGAGGATCTTTGACCGAATGCGTAAGAAGCATGAACACGTGAATAACCAAGGGGAGCTGAGACTTATCACTTGATGGAGTGTGTGCCTGTTTGGTGTTAAATGAATGAAAATACCTTGAATCTATATAAAACCAGTGACTCCATTGAGCTAGTGTTAACTATTGCCAGGCTGATCCTTTTTTCTCTGTAGCATTCTTTTGGAGACTAATGCCCACCATGTGTTGGAGAGATGAGGCTAAGGCATCAGTGACAATGTGGAGCTGCATGAGAGAAAGGGTCGAGACAAAGAGGAGGAATAGAGAGGCTTAGGCAGAAAGCTCATGGGACACACTAGAGAAGACAATTCCAGTGAATCATTTCTCATTCATCTTTTACTGTGGGATTTTTTTCCCCAAGTCTTCAGTCAGAGAAAGACTGAAGACCAGATTAAGCCCTATTCTCTTTCCAATGTGAGGTTTTCACTCTTTTTGATTGTGGCTTTTCTGCAGAAATGTAATGCTTGTTTGGACAGAATTGACCATCTTTTCATTCTCCTGAACCTCCACCATCCACTCCCCCTTTTCTTCTCTCCCACATTTAAAGCACATATGTCTTTGATCCTGAACACATGAAAGTATACAGCTTCCACAAAACTTCTTGCCATCTGGTTGCTGCACATTTTGTTGCAGTTTTGTGCATGGAGGATATGTAAAGTCCATATCCTCTCTTATCCTTTTATTAAATCCTGAATCTCGAAGACTCTCTGTGTAAACATCCACTTCCTTGGGAGCTTTTCCCTCTCCATACCTCAGGACTCGGCTCCCTTGGTACCTCTCTGTCTTTCACCCATCATAACCACCCCTCACTCCTCCTCCTCCTCCTTCCTCCACTCATCTCTATCCTGCTTTCTTTCTCAGGCCCAGATCCAGCTCGATTGTGGAGAGGACAACATCTGCGTCCCTGACCTCAAGCTGGCTGTTTATGGGTGAGAGGAAATCACCTTTCAATTACTTTACCTGATTCAACAAACACAACTTAAGCCCTGCAGTCAAGCAATGCAAATGTGCCACAGCTTTCTTCTCCTGTGACTGATAAAAGACAACAAAGATTCAGCTGTACCTAGAAAAGTTCTAACATGGACCATGTGCTGGAGGCTCTTTCCTCTGCTGCATGTGAAGTGATGCATTTCATGTTGCTGGTCAGAGTAGAATGAACTGGTGAACCCGCTACACAGCTAGAGGAAGCACTCTTTGCAGTCTTGGAATAGACTGACAAAAATCAACAACATCCTCAGTGCCTCAGTGTGGGCCATGCTGTTAAAAGCCCTGTTTTTGCTCTCCTGTGGGGGCAGGTTAGCCTCTTAACATTAGCAAAGAACCAACATGGCTAATATTCCAGCAAATGACCTTGCCAAAATTTCATGCTAGGTTGATTATTAGTTGTCTTTTTGCAGGACGAGTAACTCTAGGTCACAGTTTGTTTCAATCAGCTGTCTGCTGCTGTAGATGAGAACTTAGGAACTGCTGAAGTGGACCCAAAATGGTGCAAAGTTGTAGGCCACATAGTCACAGTGATGGGCTCAAATGTACAAAAACACTCCATAGAGCTTAACAAAGAATATATAATATGCATTTGTTGGTAAAGGGCCATATAGTTGTGCAGTTGTTAGCACTAATACCTCACAGCAAGAAGGTTCATGGTTTGAATTCCTGTCCAGGCAGGAGCTTTTTTCTGTTCGGTGTTCGTATGTGCATGTGTAGGCTCTCTTTGGGTTCACTGTTTTTTCCCCAAAGTTCAAAAACATGCTTGTTATGTTATTGTCGACTCTATATTGCCTATAGGTGTGAGTCACACTTGCACAATTGATTGTTTGTCTGTAGATGTTGATAGACTGTGGATATGTCCAGGGTATACCCTGCCTCTTGCCCATTGACTGCTGGGATAGGCTCCAGCCCCCCACTAATCCAAATGGGATAAGGGGTATACATAGTGGACAGAGAGAGAAATTTGACCTTTGACCTTAGGTTAGTGGCAACTGTTGTGCATTTCACCCCCAGAAAAAGCTCACCGAGACCTTATACATGGCTGCAGCATCTTTATCATGAACAACACCTTTGGTTTGTGTTTCATGCCCACACCGCCTTCACAAAATGATGGGAGAGGACATGACGTACAGTTCCAGTCACTCAGTACTTTTACATGACACTCTAGAAAACCAAATCATTGCCTTGCTCTGATTAAGACCTGACAACTGAGGTGCATGTAAACACCTTAGTCCGACTATAATTGGAGTTTGAGAACTTGGATTGGAGTCGGAGAACTCTGATTAGGACATCCAGATAATGCAATTGGAATTCGATTTTCTCTACCATGTAACCAGCGTAGTCGGAGTCTGATCGGACAACGCATGTGCGCGTGCACCACGCCTCTGGAACCGCAGAACAAAAACACCACAGAAGAAGTGGCACTATCATTTAAAGAACTCAGAAGCAACTGCAACGTGGCTGAAGCAAGAAAGAATGTCCACTTTTGGAACGACGAAAAGTGCCGTTATGCTTTCCCTCCAGAAAGAAATGGACATTTTAAAATATATGGACAGTTGCAAAATGAGGAACCGAAACATCTTTAAAAAAGGTCCGGAAACAGCGCTGTTGAAAAGACCCCTATTGCCCCCTAGTTTTGGGGAGGATGACACGCTCATGTCAATAATTCAATTTTCTCAGCGGCATGTATACGCGGACAAGGAAAGAAGTCCGATTCGTCAAAAAAAAACCCCAATTATGAGCTTAGTCCGATTAAGCTGTGCATGTAAACACGCTGATTGTTAACTAATCCTCTGACACTTGTTCACACGCTGCTTGCTATGCCCCCAAATGGCAGTTTTTGTCCACCAACATTTACTGACCTGTTTGGAAATCATTATCTTGCCCAAGGACATCTTGCATGAATTGGGATTGAACTGCCACCCCTCTGTGGAGTGTGAGATGACTTGACCTTGACTGAACCATAGCTTCTCATGGTTGCGTCTTGTATGATTGTATTATAAAATATTATGTAACACTGATGTACATTTAGGTGTTTTCTTTGTACTGGCACGTCTCTGTGTGTGAAACATGCACTCTTTGATCACTCACAAAAGAATGAATCGAGACTGGATATAAATCATTAAAGGCTCTTAATTTACCATTCGTCAAAAACAGCCTATTCAGTTTTTAGATTAGTTTTTTTAGTTGGTCACAGGTTTTATCGAGGTCCCTCCTCTGTTCATTTTGACAAGCACAATAAATACATACAGGCCCAAAAAAGGGTTTTTAGTGCAGTGCATAAATAAAGTTCTTATCTTCTTCTAAACTTTCCTGTATTTGCTTTAAAAGAAACTCAAGAGAATACCTTGAACTTAGGAGTGCGAGGTAGAATCTTTAAGTTATGTAAAAAGAAATCAAAGAGGAGAGGTAAAAAAGCTCTGAAGGAAAAACATGAGTCTGACTGAGGCGCTGTCTGCAGCTCATAAAACTCTGAAATAGAGGAGAAAGTCAGAGGAAAGATTCATTGCTCTTGGCACCCGTACCTAAATCACTAATTGATAGTGTATTCCTGTTTGTGAATGGACCAAAGCCAGATATTGGCTCGGGCTCAGTCCATTCACAAAGGGGAGTCTTTTTCTCAGACTTTTGCATCCAGCTCTGTTATGAGGACTGTTTTTCATTACAGGGCCATGTGATTTCTCTTTGCTGCAGAATCACAGTCAGAACAGAAACATTCAAAGACCTGCGTTTGTGTTACTGTGGGACAAACCCCAAATGATTCAGCGCTTTTATTTCACACAATACCTCCTTGCTAACAAAATGAGCGACACAGCACTTTTTTCTTGCCAGTCAAGAATTTACACACAGTGGGATATTGAAACTCCTAACTCAGAGGCCTGTTACTGCTTTGATTATTCTTTCATGAACTTTATGATCCACTAAACCAAATAAAACATAGGGAAAGTTAAAGTCTCAGCTGGACATTACAGATGTCTGTACACTCTCAGCATCTGCTCAGTGCTGTATTCACCAAACTTGGCCCGGCCTAATTAAATTCATCTGGTGGATGTCTTACCTAGTGCAGGGTCACTGCGTCCAGACCCTCAGAAAATGGGGGAGGGGAGAAAGAAATGGGGAATGAAAGAAGAACCCTGATTGTGACCCACAACCAGATTCTTTTTTCTGGTCTCTGCTCAATAGAAACATGAATTTACAACCCCAATTGGGGCTGCTGGGGGAGGGCCGAAGTCGGAGAGTGTCAGAGTCAGAAGATTTATCAACAGGCGGAAAGTGTTTGCACACAGGGGTGTCACTGTGGGCATGCTGAATGAGGAGGGGGTCAGTTTCCTGAAACAAATCACAGTGATCAGATTTGGGTAATTTCCCATGTCAGTCATGGACAGATATGCAGAAGGAAAGGGCCTTTGGGGACTGCATAAAACAGGAATGTATTGTCTGGAAAGACTCCATGTACCTGCTTTTCATTATTTTTTTACAATCTCCTCTTTGGCACTTCAGCCTTGCCCTGCATAGAGTCACTTCAAATGAATACTGCTGCAAAGGAAACACAGAGTAGACTGTGCCAGAAAATAAAGACTTTAAATGGAGGCTGCTGTTTCCAGCCTGTTTTATTATTTGACAAAATGGCTGTGTGGAAAAAAAACTTACAGGGTACGAGGCTTGAAAAAGTAAAATGAAAATGAAGCAGAAATTAGTCTGTACGTGCTATACAATACACTGTACGGTGCCCTTTCAGGTTATTAGAGACGCTCGGGTGCTACACAGTCTGGAGCTGATTAACCGTTAAAAAAGACAGCAGTGACTCCATCAACAGTACAGAGATGATGATCCAGAAGTGTCTGCTTAAGTTTTTCATTTTCAGATAAGCACCAAGTCCATTGCTGGTTGTAACAAATATAACTTTTTATACTTTGCATTCAGCTTGACAGCAATTCCTTAATGACAGTGAGCAAGTGAAATGAAGTGGAGGTTAGTTCATTTATTATTTAATGGTTAATTTGAGAGGGACACATGTTGGAGCCATTGCTTTACAATGTATACAAAGTAGATGCCATGCTTACAGGCTTCTAGCCCTGGCTAATTTGTAACCCCTATCCTTGGTTAGGCTTCCAGAAATGAAAACAGAAATGACAGAGAATTGAGTATAAAATACTGTAACCATCTAAAACGTGCAATAAAACCAACCTTTGCAATAAAATGTAAAACTAATAGTTCAGGTACATGAATGAATGCTATTGTAGTGCTACCAAGGACAGAAGATGTTTTCATCCCATGTGGTTCCTTGTATTGCAAATAAAATTCAGGTTTAAAACTGTCGATGTGGACAAGGCAAGCAAGCGCACACTGTCATTTAGCCTTTTTGCTTTTGCATGGAGCTGGTTCAAACATTCTCTTTGCGTCCACCTGAAATGATCTGGCATCAATTCACTTGCTTGTTTTGGGAATTCAAGTTGGGAATTGGTGTTTGTACATAGATTTTTTCTTTCAACTTTATTTTAAACAAGGACAAATACATGGAAACATATATTTACCAGCATTTCATTAATGAGACCCACTCTCCACCTTAAAAAGTGAAGCCTGTTAAAGCCTGTTGAAAATCTCTGTTTCACAATAAAATGGTCCTATAGGAGAAGGAGTCACTGAGTTTTTTCTTTAGGTATGAGACAATTTTTAGCCAATTATCACTTTTAACTCATACAGAGCTGATGGCGGACTCAGAGCACGTTCTCAGGAATTCAGATGGAGGCCACCTGGCCTCAGGGACTTTCCAGACTGAAAAACAGACGGCATCAGTTTCTGCCATTGTCAGTGGTAGTAAATGTTTTATATTTGAAGCAATTGTGCAATGATGGAATATTCACTCAACTGAAAAATACCTCCATGGATCTGCTGTTCTTAGAGGATTTGCATGTAAAGCCTACAGCGGTTCTGGTTACATGTAGAGTAGCTCAAAAGAAGTGTGTAGAACTCTGCTGCTCTACTTAGAGTTAATGCATTTTACCTGAACATGTCTTAACTGTAGAACCTTGTTGTTGAGAGTGTTCAGATGACCTAAGACATGCCCTGTTTCTGTAGTGTGAAGATAACGCAGATATCTGGATGGTTAATTGTTTATCCCATTCACATCAAACCAGAAGGCAGACGTTAGTGTCTTAACTGTGTTTCTGAAGTTCTTTGTCTTAGTGTGTGCTGCATTAGGAGATGTGAAAACAGTTAAAAACCAAGTTTCTGCATTTCTGTCTAATGTTTGAAATACAATTTTGTAAAGTAAACATACATATGACAGTAATTTTAGAGTTAATTTCTTGAGACCCTAATCTCAAGATGCTCTTTGGATGCTACCAGGTATCTTAGCATTTCTGGTTCATTTTTGCTTCGATTAATAAGCTCCCATGCACGTAGAGCCTTAGAGGGAATGCAGGTCTCTAACCAATCTGAAGTTCAGGGGGTTCGTTGTCCAGCTGCACCGTGTCAATATGTGAAGGTGTCCTCAGACAACCCTGTGTGGCTCCTGACAGCTGGGCTCAGAAATGTTTTTATTGTTATTATCTACTTGCTACACTTTATTTTATTCAGAATTTACGCTGCAGTAAATGGCTTAATGCTGTTGAAACCTCAGTGTTGACACAGTTCTCCTCTTGCAGTGACAGAGATGAAGTTTACCTGGGTGATGAAAACTCTTTGAGTCTGACCTTCAACGCGAAAAACGAGGGAGAAGGAGGAGCTTATGAGGCAGAGCTTTACGTGGTGCTCCCCCCACAGGCTGACTACAGAGGGATAGCACGCAACAATGTGGTGAGACAAAACAACACAGAAACTACGCCTTTATATGCTTTTTATGCTTTTATAAATGCTGGTATGCAGTATTATTTAATAAAACTGAATAATTTAGTATCATACATCTTTCTAATCACAAATTTTCATTATAACACTAAATTATACATATTTCCTCATCCTTTTATTTTTTGTCTGATTTGTGGACAGAGCACTATCTTATCACTTTGCAGATTTTGTCCTGCACATGTGAAAGCAATTTTCATAACAAAGAAATCTCAGACTGCTTTATTTGAATACTCATATTGAAGCAAAACTTTACAGAAGGGCTGATTTTGGGGGTGTAGGTAATCCACTTAACTGACACCTACCCTCCACCAACTGTTTTTAGATATTACTATTAACTAAGGGCCTGATCCACTGAAGGTTTGCGAATGCAAAAACACGTGCAAACTTGATAGCGCACGCAAACCTGATCCACTAACCGGGTGCACCGAGGATTGTGTCTGTCAAGTGAGCAAAACAGCGCGCAATTGATTTAGCGTGTTTGCCTTCATGAATATGCAGAATGTATGCAGATCATCAGACCACGCAAAATTCTGCAAATGCAAATTGAATCATTTAACACCCGCAACGTGATTTATCAAAACCAGAAACTGACTGCGGTCGCTTTTTTGCATGTTCGAAAGGCATGTGCGAACTTGCACAGAGTTACACAAGGTCACTGTGGAGAGAAGGAGGCAAAAGTGCAATGATAGATGATGGAGAGAGTCTATCATTGCACGAGTCCTCCGTGCAAGTGTCGACATATTAAAACTGTCAGATATAAAAAAATAGTAGGGTAATAGTAACAGCGCTGCCATTTTTTAACTGCTGGGTGACCTAAGGGCTGATTTGGAGCCCGACACAAAAATGATCTGTTCCATATCTCCTAACGAAAAACTCTTCGTAACCCTGCATTTTCCTGCGTCTGACGGTTTTTATAAATAGTAAAGTCAAACATGGAACACACTAAAAAATATCTGTTTGTCTTATTGATTTTAAGTTGTTTTAATCCCTTTTTTGATTTCTACAATATTTTCCTGCATCTGTAAAAGCACTTTGAATTGCCTTGTGTTTGAATGGTGCAATACAAATAAACTTGCCTTGCTTGCTTTTTATGTAGTTCCCTAAAACAATATGTGCAACTCGATAGCTTCAAACTTCATTTTCATCTATGATCACTGTACTCTCACAAACTCTCCATCATGACGGCTGATAGTGCCCAGAAAATTACTACAAAACTACTTTTGCACCTGTTATCAATTGCGCATGCAATGATAGTAGATCACCCGCAACATGCCCACTAATAGCACATGCAACTTTTTAGTTTGCACACGCAATTTAGCATTTGCTATTTGGAATCTTAGTAGATCAGGCCCTTAATGTAGAAAAAGTCAATCATTGTACTGATGGCACTGTTTTCAACAAGATTTAAAACTCCTCACAACAGCTTTAAAGTTATGTTGCTGTTGCTCTGTGTTATCAACATGTGATTTAGAGTGACAGCTCTTAATATTCACTCTTTTTTAATGTCCTCTCCAGAGCTTGACTGAGCTGACGTGCAGCTACGAGGTAGAAAACCAGACCCGCTATCTCGTGTGTGATCTGGGAAACCCCATGAAGTCTGGGACCAGTGTAAGAACCAACAAAGCCTGCACTTTGTTTTTGGCCTTGTGATTGTTGTGTCTCAGAGCAGTTTATTCATATTGTCCTGAAATAGAGTTATTCACACTCTAACTTTAAACATTTCTGTCAATGAGCCAATGAAACATTTAAAAGAAAAAACAAACTTTCATGTGGAAAAATACCCTGTTTCCAAAAACAGAGAGGAATATTAAAGACATTGGTGCTGCAGCTTTGCCAAGGGCTGTTTATTCTATTTAGTGATTCTCTCTGGGACTTGACAAGCGAAAACTGCTGGTGATGTTTTCCTTGTCCAGTCATCGGGCTTCAGATAAGTTAAAGAGGAGGGAAAAAGAAAGATATTGAGTGCTTTTTATAAGAACCATACTTGTTTTTATCCACATGCAATTCTTCCCTTGACTTGGGCATGTTATTCATTTTATCTTGTAATCACTAAAAACATTTCCTGTGTGTCTAGTTATGGGCAGGCCTCCGGTTCACTGTCCCTCGACTAAAGGACACTGAGGACACTGTACAGTTTGAGCTCCAGATACGGAGGTAGGCCGCTTTTGCGCTGTGGTGTTTAACCTTTAAAAAGTGTTTGTTTTTTTTAACCTCACATTTTGGTATTCGTTAGCAGTGAGATGTAAAACTTCTGTGATAAGGTTTCCTTTTCATGTTTGGTATTTCTTCTGTGTATCTTGAAGCAAAAATGCAAATAACTCGGAGAGTGAAGTGGTGCTGTTGGAGTTGGAGGTGGCTCTTATGGCTGATGTCATTCTGCAGGGGTGAGGGTTCATTGTCAGCTCTTCCACCAAGTCAATACATTACCATGATATTACTACTCTTTAGTGTTTGCTGAGGTGAATGCCAAACTCTGTGCTTTTCTGTTGCAGTGTTTCTCGTCCAGACAAAGTCATTTTTCCTCCTCCAAACTGGGCTAATAGACAGAGTCTACGGGAGGAGCAAGACGTTGGCCCTGAGATTCTGCAGGTCTATGAGGTGTGAGGAGATTTCTCACAGACCTAGACTTATGTAACTTAATGTTAGCTTATAGCGCTTTCTGCTCCTCTGTTTTTGTCAGTGGGTTTTAAATGAAAGGGAAGGTCGATGAGAGTGTATATTTAGTCAAAAAAAAAGAGGCTCTGTGAAACTTAGGTCTGAAAGGAAGATTTGTTGATCATATACTGAAAGGGGGAACAAAATAGCATGTCACTGAAAGGTTAAAGGTTAGCAATGATGCCCTTGTCCTGAAAAGTGTGACAGTTCGGTTTTTGCATGGGACACAACCACCGTATTATGACAAAATTACAATGAATCAACATTATGTGACGATATGAGGTTCGGTCTCAGAAAATAACCAAAACATTGCACCGCTCTGGGATAAAGACTGCATTTCCCATTAGCAATTCCCAATTTTTAACCCATTATTGCAAAGAAGTAGCTCTTGATTACACTTGCATTTGTTGTAAGAGCAAAATTTGAAGACAGATCTTTTGAATTCTTTTTTTCCTGTTCATGAAAACATTATTCAGGATGCAAAGTGATGAAGAAATAAATTGATTTCAATCTTTAACCAATCTTTATTGATATAGCTCCAATTCACAACAAATGTTGTCCCAGGATGCTTGACAAAAGAAGACCAGACTCTATTAACAAAGACTCAATGTAAAGATGGGATCAGACTGAGCCCCATCATGTGAGATCAGCGCCACTCCCATCCCATCTTTATCCACAAGTGAAACACCTTGCAGCATGTAGAGAGTTACAGTGAAGAGGAAGAACTTCTTTTAACAGGCTGAAACCTCGAATAGAACCAGACTCATGTTGGACAGTCATCTGCTGAGACTAAGCTAGGATTAGAGAGGGAGATGGAGAAGAAAGAGATGGACAGAGGAGAGATTTAAAATTTGTAAACTTATCATCTCATCTGTCCATAAAGAGCAGAGAAGTGCTGTCAAGCTGCTTTAGATATTAAACTCTGTGCTAAGCTATTACGCTCCTTGCAAAACCTTGATTTTAGATTTTCTGGACAAAACCATGTTTCAACAGAAAATATACATCTGTTTTTCAATCCTGCTCCAGTGTTGCCAGGAGTGCATTATGTTTTGTCAAAGGAAACATCATTTTTCGTGCCTAAAAGCCTCTTAATCTATGATCAAACTATCTCTATGTTTCAGTTAGTGAACAATGGTCCAAGTGTAGTCAGCCAGACCACATTAAAGGTGAAATGTCCGCTGAGGGCTCCAGGCCATGAGCTGCTCTACCCTGTGGAGGTGATCACTGAGGGGCCGCTGAGCTGCTCTTCTAGACTCACCCTAAATGCACTACAGCTCAAGGTGAGGGCACACGCACAAACAAAATAACACATACACTTTCAGCTCCGTTGGCATGGTGAGCCCATTACCTTGGTCTATTTGTGGTCCGGACGATTTGATTATATTCTTAAACGACTCTCTTAATGTCTTTATGCATGCAGCTCCAGCCTCCAGCAGCTGACAGCCCCAAGTTACTGAAATCCAGTGCTGAGCATCAAATCCACAGAGGGGAGGTGAACACTGATGTTCTGGCTGAGCAAGGAAACCTGGTGAGGGACACATGGCAGGTCATGTTGTTTCATGTTTTGTGTATCAATTGGCACAATACAAAAAAAAATCATCTATATCTGCTGTTACATGAGAAGGTACCCCTGTTATGTAGCAGCGCACTGTATGGCATGAAGGAAGACCATTTCTGCTGCTTAATCAAACTATCTTTTGTGATTGAGTCTGGTTTAGAGACATAGTTAAGTCTTTGTTTTTTGTTTACTTGATAGTAGGCCCAGTCCCCACTGCACTTTTTCCATATCAGAACACAACAAGTTGAGTTTGTGTGTCCAGCAAAAACCCAGGAGGTGTTTATTTTCTTCCTCTCTTTTCCTGACTCAGCATGTGGAGGCCATCATGGTGACGCAAGTCTGTGGGTCTGTTCACTGCAAACACACCACAACAGAAGCTCTTCAATTAAGTCAATTGCTCCTATGTTGGGTGTTCAGCTCCTCTGGCTTTCGAATGGAAGTGCTCTTTCATTTATGCAGGACTCTTTACTGAAGTGACTCATGAGAGGGCTTTGCACACTCATGAAGTGCACTTAGACCAGAAATAAACCACTGAGACTGTAGGCAGGATTAGCTCTGGGTTAGAATTAAAATAAAATTATATAACTTAAAGAGGAAGTGGAAATGACATAATCAGCAGTGTTCAGCATCTCCCACTGCTTGATGAAGTCAATTATGCTTGTGGTTTTGCTGGTTTGCCCTCTGTGGCTTGCGTCACTTGCTGTCATGTTTTTGCATCTATAATCTGAAGAATGAATCACATGTTGTAGATTTGTCCCATAAATCTTTCAAGTTTAAGTTTAATCTTATGTTAATAAATTTGAATTACAGTTGAAACTGTTATTTGCTCTGAATAGGACATATGGCTGTGAAATCCATCTGCAGAAAATGCAAGCAGAGAAGCTCTTGTCTATGGGATTTGTACCCTTGTATTTTGGTGAAGATACAGATATTGATTGGCTTTTGGCTCAAAGCTTTGATTTTTAAGTGTATGTGGGACATGTGGCTACGATATTTGAGCTGGCTTTGTTGTTCATGATTACAGGGATATAACCTCAGGTCTAAATACTTTCAACAGCAGTCAATATTATATACTGTCATAACTTGATACAAACTGTCATAAAGGTCAATATTAATTGAGAGAGTTTAATTGAGATGTTCATTATGCTAATATCAAGTGAGGATTAAATGTTTTTCATTAAAGGGATATTTTGGCATAAATTTAAGTTATGGTCAATCACACTGTATCAACACGTGAGACACCCCCTCGAGAGATGAATGTTGCCGACTGCTTGCTTCTCTAGTTATACCAACCTCAGTAACGACCATACAACAACTTCTCATGTCCCTGGATCCAGGGAGCTACACAGCTTAATGACCAGGAGACGGCAGTCCTCTACACTCAAAACAAGCCGAAAATGGGAGGAAAGGGAAGAGACCCAAAACAGATGTTCCTGGACTGCTGAGAGAGATGTTTATAGAGCAAACTCATCAGGAACAGCTTGCAGACACTCAAGAAAAGCCAGTTTTTGCACCCAAGGACTCACTGCTTATAGGACAAGCTGAAGGCTTCTCTGTCCCAGGCTATCTTGGACTTACAGAATAAGACATGCTTGTGGGCAGAAGAGAAATCTCTTCTTCTTGGAGAGATCTCCAAACTAAAAACTGAACTGAAACAGGCACATTTGGAAATGGAGATCCAGAGTGGTCAGTCAGCTGAGGATAGGTTCCATCTACCAGCTGAGGTAATGATAGAGACCAGTACCATTGTGGCTGAACCAAACAAGGCCCAAGAAGCACCTGGAATCAATAACCACCAGATGGAAGAGGAAGGGTCCCATCTTGTTTCAGAGCAAAAGAGAAATATCAGGTTGAAGGCTAGCAGAATGCAAGATAGCCTACAACAGGCCCAAGAAGATGTGACAAACTGGAAAAACCAGTGGGAGGAGGACAGGATTCTGCTTCTTGCAGAGCAGGACGCAAAGATGTGCAAGATGAAGACCTCCCTGATCAAGGCCCAAGAAGAGCTGCAAAAACACCAGAGCCTGTGGCAGCAGTAGAGGAAATCTCTCCTGCTGTTCATCAGCACCTTCAGGCAGGCTCTCCAAGAGAAGGAAGAAGACGAGGCCAACTCAACCAATGTGGTGATGGACAGACTGAAGAGCCTGGGAGTTCAGGTGGAGGAGGCTCAGAAAAAAAGAAGTCTTTCAAGAAAAGGTCCTGGGTCTTTTCAAGAGTGATACTTGAAGCCCTTCTGTGACCTCTGACCCTTTTGGCAAAGACCCTTTAACCCTTCAACTTAAAGGACTCACCCTGTTCTCCCTCCATCCACCCCAATTCCCTGAACTCTATCGTTCTCCTCACCCAAATGCTTTCTTTTTTCTTTTAACTGTGCCCAACAGCACCCTCTCTTAAAAGGACAGGATTTTAAAGTAATTTTTATCGCCTGTTTTGTCATGATAACAAGATGATTTCAGTGTTTTGTCTCGAAATAATGCGTAAAATAACTTGAGATCTGGAGAAAAACGAGCAAATTAAAATCATGTCCTATTAGGGCTTCTGTACTCTGTAAACGCAAACCCTTTCCTTTGTTCTCTTAACCTTGTGTCTTTTGTCTTTAAAATAAGGAGAGCCATTTTTGTCCATAAACAGTACACTACTTAAATATGCAAATTACATGATAAGCAAAGACTGCATTGTCTTCAGAAGGTGCCAGGCTTGAGCCAGACCAATAGTTTCTCACAGTAGCTTTAAATGTTTATGTCTGTTTCGATTTTCACATGAGCTGCAGCACATCCTCTTCATCAATCACAAATCAAATTCATAATAAGTATTTCAAAATGCACCATAATCTGTGTTTTTGCTCTCTCCCTCTGTAGACATGCGCTACAGTGGAGTGCTGGCAGCTGCAGTGTGAGGTCGGGCTGCTGGAGAGAGGAGCCAGTGTTATCCTGACGGTACGCTCCAGACTATGGGCTGAGACCTTCATTGAGGTAAGACTACAAAAAAAAAACCTAATAATAATCCTGCTGTTGGCTGAGATGCAATATGTTTGGATAGGAAACTCCAGCGGAGATTATATCAAGAAAGTACACCAACTCTCAGTCAAACATGTGTTTTTATACTGCCCTCTGTTGGGCAGCTTACCACACAACCTCAAACTAAATGTGCAACACATTTTGTACTGCTGGGCATGTTTACACTTGGAAAAATATCTTAGCTATTATAATAATATAAGTATATCTATGATAAGAGCAGTTTCTATAGCACAAGCCATAACAAGTGCTGGATTAACTCAGTGATTACACAGGCCACTGTGAGGCTGGATGCCGAGGTCTGAAAAGCCTCTTTAATCATCTCAAACTAAAAAGTATGACAAGAACCCAGTAAACAATATACAGATATTTGTGTATACTGGTGTCTTTGAGCTTCTTTTAAGCTTTTTGTTTTTAAGCAGCTCCTCGGTTTTATTCATAAACTGCATTGTAAAAAAACAATAGCCATCTGCAAATCACAAAAAAAGTCACATGCACATTTTCATGGCAGCAAGAACGCAACACATACTTGAGATTTTGTCAAGACTACATTTATAATTAGGAGCAGAGTTTCTGTTTAAACTGGCTCGTTATTGCAGAACAGGATTCTGGATTCCTTGGGTTTCGGTTCATTGTGTTAATTTTGTACGTCAGGTATATTTGCAGCTTATTCAACTTCTTTTTGAAATGCTCCCTGGATCTTTTTTTCATCCTCAGAGGGTTTACAAGCAGTATATCCTGGAGTGCTCTGTTCAGTTCAGCGTCAACAGGATGCCTTACTCAATTCCTCCCAAATTCAAGCCCTCCGGGTCCAAAACGGTAACATTTTTCTGATATTCGCTGTCTTGGTTTGCATGTGGCTGTCAGTGAGAATTGGTCCTAATCTGATCTGTGCACTGTTGTCCAGGTGGTGACAGCTGTGATTTGGAACAAGCCAGACAGTTTGTTTTATGTTCCAGTTTGGATCATCATCCTGGCCGTTCTAGCTGGGCTGCTGTTACTCTCCTTGCTTATATATCTGCTCTATAAGGTAATTTTTCTATTGAAATTGTGAAAGAAAATTAGAAGTCAAATGTTTATGAAAGAACATAATATTAGGGAGAACCAAGGAGGAGATCACATTGTGGTTTGTTTGTATTATTAAGGACAAACTACACCTTTTACAGCAACAAGGCCAGCTCAGAAGGTACACTGTGCTTAGATAGTATTTAAATGGCTTACCTGGCACTTGAACAGCCTTAAAGCACCACACATTGGACAAAATGTAGCTCAGAAACTGCGTATGTCTATTACAAAGACACTGAAAACAATGTAAGAACTTGAAAGACTAAAAAGACAATCACAGACAAGATTTAAATTCTTTATGGTCAAAAAAAGAGTCAAAACAACTGCAATAGAATGACTGTTGTCATATGCTGTCTTTTTTAATCTGTATGTTTCACTTCGCTGCATTTTTTGGGTGAGGTTACAGATATTCCCTTCTTTAGGTCTTGGTGTAACAAAATTTAAACATGCACAAAACCCTTAAAATCTCCTTAGATATCAGAGTCAGCTGCAATTGGGAGAGCAGAGACCTTGACTTTATCCAAGATTATTCTCATCAGCACCTTGAAAATCCTCTGCAAGAAGTCAGGGTGAGCTGATCTGAGACTAGAGGAGAATCATTTTTTGGAAATCTCCACGTGAATCAGTTGACTGGTGATGACACTGACTTCATGTCACAGAAGTTAAACTAGAAAATGTGCACGTTGCAGTAAGGATGAAGGGAGCAAAGATATCAGCACACCCCATTCATGTCGTGTTAGTATAAATGTAAAACTGACATGGTCTTTTTTGTCTTCCATCGTGTTTTTTTTTACACTGCTGCTTTCACTGCATACTTTTTCTATATGTCCTACCTCTGAGACTCAGTCCCTGTCTACCTAAGGAGACTAAACGTAACCCTTTGAGGGACATGTGTGAACAAGCAACCTTGAACAATTTCAGGAGCAGCACTCCTGAATTTTTTGGAAAAGTTTCAGTGTATGGTATGATGAAGGCTTGTGTCTGATTGTTTTATATGTTTTATGATCTTCCTCTAGATGGGCTTTTTTAAACGGTCAGATCCTTACGGTACGACCATGGAGAAGGCCCAGCTCAAACCCCAGGCGTCCTCTGAGGCGTAGACCCATGAAGGAGCCTCCCTGCAGCTGTTCCATAGAACTGGAATTACCCCAAACAAATAAGAAAACTTGCTTATGATAAACAGGCAACCCATGTATGAACGGGTATGAGTTCTGTATCACTGGAATACATAATATCTGGTGCTGCACTAAAATACCAAAGCAGAAAAGACTACCAGGATAATGCAGTTGAATATGCACTGCTGTTGGAGACATGATTGTACCATCAAATCAAGAAATAAAGAAGGCCGCTGTTCTCTTCTGAAGCTCCCTGTGGAAAAATGTTTTCACCGCAGATACTAGAACATGGTGATCTGGAAAAATTGGAACATCCCAGCTGATACAGGATCAAAAGCGAACCTCCAACAAAAGGCACTAATGCTACAGTATTTCTTCATTCTCAGATGTGTATTTTCAGTTGTGTTTTCATTCTCAGCACTTGATATTTCTGAACTTTATGCGTTTGTATGATTTATACACCACTTTTATTTATGGCACAGTGTTTTTGCTATTAGCTGTTGAATGTTGTACTGTACTGTCAGCAGGACAATCCTGATAAAACTGCAATGTTTGACTTGAAGTATTCCTCTCCCATATTGGGAGGTATTTGTGTATGTTGTAATGTATGTAATGTTTTATTGTGCTATGACCCATCGGTGTCCAGAATAAAGCCTAATTTTGTATATCTATCCAAAATGTTCTATTATGTCCCAGTTACAAGAAATCAAAAACAGACTCATTGCTTCTGCTGTCAAGAAGGAAATGACATGTGCAATGACCTGTGCAAAATTAGACCTAGCTTCATATATAATTTTTCCCCCTTTGGGCAGAAAAAAACAATGCCAAATGATTCGAAGGATGATCATCTAAAGATTGCATTATATTACTGTGACATGTGTCAGTGTGCCATTACCTCCCTCAGCTGGTGGTATGTGGTATAACAACTGTTCAACTTGTCTTTGAGGTCTTAAACTGTTTTTGTTTTATAAAAATTATATAACGCTTATGAAAAATAGCAAAACGAGTGCTGCAAGGTGTGTCACAAAAACAGGTTTACACATGTCAGCATTAAAACAGACCATGCGTTAAATGAAAACAGGAGCACTTTTGAACAGGTAAAACACAAATGTGTAGGGAATAAAAGTAGTCTTTTAAAAGCCTGTGTGTGATGACCTTTGGCAGGGGGGAGACTTCAGGGGTCTGCCAGTGCTTACATATTTATTGGGGCAAGTGGAGATTCGTAAACTATTATAAGAATTTTGAGGCAAATTTTGAAATGAAAAATGAGTTTTGAAGTGAACGGGGAGCAAATGTAAGAATGCAAGAACAGGACTGACATGTTGGTTTTTCTTTGACCTTTTTTAACAACCAGGCAGGGGTATTATGAGTTACCTGCAAATAGGAACTGTTGTTTAAGATATATGAAAGAAAATAGACTTGCAGGTCTCAGGTCAGGGAGATCAGATCTGAGTAGCAGTAGAAAGAGATGCTGTATGTCTGGATGATTTTTGTCTCGTGTTGTTGATTTTAAGTTTATGATAACAAAGCAAAGTAGTTAGTTTACCCCGATGTGACAGAGAAGGAACACAGAGGCTTACAAAAACGACAGAAAAGAGGCTCGTAGTAGCGGGTAATAGCGATAACTACTGTTACCTTCTACAATTTCAAACCAATATCATATTCAGATGTTTTGTTTAAGTATTTAAAAATCAAGTATTTCATGGATCACCAACTTCACAACAGTTACTGCACCATGAATGCATACGTCCAAATCAAATAGATATTTTTGAAGGATTTGATATAAAAAGTCATATTTGAATTCTTTATACTCAAAACAATGTTGGATATGACACTTTGAATTGGTTTAAAGCTGGACCTTTTCCATGTTTATTTAACTTTAGTGATAAAACACAATATTTGTTGTAACAATCATCTATTATTCACAAAACAAAACAAAAAAGGTCTATAACTTTAAGTTCCTATGAGGAGTATGTACTGGTTATTAAGTAGACCAAAATTCACATCCATTGCTCCACACAACCTTTAAAAGCAAACAAGGCCATCTACAACAGGATTCATTTTTTTATTATAATTTTTACCTCCATACTACTGCCTGTGGATTGGTGTCAGACAAGACAATTTAAAGCAGGCTGCAAAACCCAGCCTCATTTTACATTTCAACATAACCATTTTTTTTTTTTCATTTTTGTATCTAATAAATCACAATGTTTACAGACTATCATGGGCTTTTTATAATGTGAAATGTGAATTCATGTTTTTTTCCCACTACTTACCATATTCACACAATCATACAGGCAGGTTTCGTACACTAATGGTGAAGACTACAACAATGGGCTGTCAGTATGAACTAATTCCATTAAAACACATTCACACAGAACTGATTTTATCACAAGGGAGCCACAGCTGTCAAATCAAAATAAGAACCAGGGTTGTTTTGATTGAATTTATCCCACAGTTAATACCAATAGCTATCCGAAGTGTCTTTTATTTAATTATTGACAGTTTTTTCTTATTTATTTTGTGATTGGTCTCCCCTATTGTTAGAACATTAATAACAAGCTATATCCCGTTAAATAAAAGTGTTACAGAAGCTGTAGTATTCATAATGATGAAGCCAGTTGTGCTTTAGTTGAGATTCATCCAAAACATCTAACTTTGAATCAAATCTTAAAAGTGATGAATATTCAGAACATGTTGGTTTGTGTTTTGCAGTGAAAGCGCAGGTTCAATAAGCCAAACTGTAATCACTGTTTTTAACCATCCCTCCAAGAATAGTTTAAGTCACTGAACACACGCAATCCATAGTACGATTGTAAACAGGGTGGGCGCGGCCTGCAGCTGTTTAAAGTCAGACATGAATAGACAGGTCTCGACAGGAAATTCAAATATATACTTTCAGATTAAAAAAGCGAATGCATTCAAGTCCTGATTTTTCTGATTTTAGTAACTAACTGAAACTCTTAAGTCCGTGTGAGTGTAGTAGAGTTTTTTTTATTATTAATTTTTATTTTTACCTCTCCTTTTTTTTTTTATTGTTAAGTTCCACTCCTGGCAGCAGGTGGTCTCTGGGTTCACTGGCTCACAGTTTACACACCTGAACCCCCAGGCAACTTGGGATCTCTCCTGCTCCTCTTAAAGCACAAAAGTTTATCCCCCCTCTCCTTTGTTCTGTTTTTCGTCCTTGATGGAGCATATGGTAAAGGGCCTAAAAAAACACTGCAGTTATGCTCTGAATTACTTGTGGTTTGGATTGGTTGTATTTTCGTTTCTATTAAAGCCCAACTACAGTGGCCCTGTGGCAAAAAAAATCTGTATCAGATTAAACAAAAAAACATATTAACTGGATAAAATCTTACAACCGCAAAAAAAAAAAAAAAAAAAAAAAAAAAATCAAAAGGGAACAATGTTTCAAATTAACATTTTAAAAACTATTAAATAATAATATTAAATAATTTGGTCAAAAATACATCTTAAATATATTTAAAAAAAATGGAAAACCCAATTATTCTTGAAAATATAAAAGTATTTTGAAGCATTAATCATTAAAAAAAAAAAAAACAACAACACATATTTGCTTTAAAAACTAAAAGCGAATTTTTAGGACTAAGAAAATTTGAAACAGTTTTGCTTTGAATACAAAAACATTTTGGGGTCAATTTTTAAAACAATAGAAATAGATTTTTTTTAAATTTTTGAAACAATACTATCTGGTGTCCGAAAATAACACAAAAATAGGGCTCTGAAAATTATCTATTTAAAACAACTTATTTCATCAAAACACTGTGTTTTTGTTCAAGCAGAACACAGCATTAGTTTTTTGGAATGGAGCATTTAAAGTTGACTTTAATGTCTGCTGGTGTTAATGGCGTAGCTATTCTTCCATTTCTTCGGAGGGGGTTTCAAAAAGGAGCCGAACTGGCAAGTATCATCCACTGTTAATCCACCTACTGACAAATATCTCATACAAACTGTACTTCAAATGAAAATTCAAGAAAAAAACCCACCACTTTCATCATTATCAAATGCAGTCAACTAACAACTGAAAGGACAAATGCAAAGTTAAAAAAAAGCATCTTTTAAAAATGGTTTTCACAACTTTTAGTGTTTTCATTGATGGTTTATCCAGAGCGTTTTTTTTTTTAGTCAGAAGTGAGTTTTAAATCCGTTGTTTAGAGACAGGGAACTGCTCTCATTTTCAACATTTTAAAAACACCTGAGCTTTTATTTTTAAAATCCTAACCGGAAGCTGGTCTTAGCTGCTATTGTCGGATCGGTCGCTTGCATATTTTACGTTACAGATATTCATTCACTTCTCACGACACAGCTGCAGAGATATGGACGACAGAGAGGACTTCCTCGGTAAGAAATAACAATCTGTTAGAAAAACCAAAGAAGAGTTAAGAAACAGAGTCTATTTGTGCTTTTCGTGTTTGTGTCAGAAGTTTTCACCCTCTGCTCTTGTACTCGTAAACCCCACCGTACTGGACTTTAAGGGGGCTTAAATGGGCTAAAAGACAAGCTTTAAGTGGGCTGTGAAATCCAACACGTTAGTCCTGGTTTAAGTTTGTTTACCTGCGGTCAGATTTGGAGAAGTATTTGGAAGTTTGGCGAAGGTACTTAGAGGTTTACATGTGCTTTAAAGTCGAAATTTTGAACCAGTTAAAATCATTTTCAGGAAGTCTTCTGAGGTTGTTCTCGGTTATCACTGAGCAGATACTTACTTTCTGTAAGTAAGGTTTAAATGTGTTTTTCTGTGGTTCTCCGTCTGCTGTCACTGCTTTACGGCCAAACACGAAGATATTCCACCGTTATTGAATTCAGATGTCTGTTACAACTGTTACATAATTTATCATCTACAGTAAGTTTTATGGCTTTGATATGTTGTATTTTTCCGTAGCCTGTTAATTATTATTGTTCAATTTTTTACCTGTTTTAAAGGTTTTGACGGGTTTTGGTGCCTTATTTGCATTAAGTGTTCTGTCCTATAAGTGAATTCTGATGTGTGATCAAACAGTCTTTGTGTGTCACTATGCTTCTATAACAAAACATCCCACCCTACTCTCTGTAAACTGTCAATTATGTCACTCAACAGGAAAGAAAAAGCTTGTTTTACAGCATGTAATTTCTTACCTCATGTAACACTCACCCCAGGGCAAGAGTTTCAGGTCTTAATAATCAATCTTTTACCCTGTGCACTTGTTCCCTTCTGTAGCCAATGAAGAGGCTTTAATGCAAGTTCGTGTTCAATAAGTTCAAGACTTCTTTTTAACCTATTTTAAAACTTCTCATGAGGTCTGTAATCACACATATTTTATCATCTTAGTGTAGCTACCAGGGGTGTATACAGAGAGGTTGCCAGGGGTGGCATGACCCTCCTTAAAAGCTGATTGGCTGCCTCAAATCCCACCTAAAAATTCTTGATTGTTATTGGCACATTGCCTTGTCAGGGGTGGGGTTTTGAGCTTGAATCAACTTTTTGCGCCTTGTGTCAAAAGGTTGCTGCTAAGTGGTTTGAGTGAGCACCCCAATGTATGGGTGTTACAGTAAAGTGGTTCCTGGTTCAACTCACATTCATGACCATTTTCTGCATGTCATCCCCCTTCCCCCTATTCTTTACGTTTTCTGTCTGTCTTTAGCTGGTTTATCAAAACTAGTGTTTTAAAAATGACTTCAAGAATCAGTCTGCTCACATTTTTTACATTGAAATCAGGCAAATCTTCTCTGGTTGGGGCTTTACAATGAAGCTAATACTTTACACATAAAGTGTTTGGGGGTATGAGCACATTAAAAATCACAAATAAACTCCTGTACACTTTTGATCAGAAAAACATTCATGACATATCAATGTTTTTTTTCTAAAGAGTCATTAATATACTGATAGTGAAGTGTAGGAGTTTTCCTACATTTTTTAAAGCGCACAAAGTTGTGAGTTAAAATGAAAGCCCCTCTGAATGAAGGAATAAAATATAAGACGTGTGTCACCAAACTTTGTGTGTCTTATTAACAGTTGAGGATAATACACAGGATTATAATCTCAGTTTAATACTGTTATATAAGTCATCACTTGTTTCATAATAAGTGGAGCCAGAATGGCTTAATAAATAATTAACTGTAAGCACACACTGTATATCACTGGATATCCCAATGCCCAGGCTGGGCCACCCATGTCAAAGTCTGGACACGCCCCTGACTCCAAGAACTAGCCACACTATGGCGTACATGAGTTCAAGATAAACACACCTCAGTCTACTTGCTGAACTTAGACTTTGACTGTTAAGGCTAAACTGAGACCAACAAGTAGAATATGGCTAAAGCTTAAGTCACACAGAAAAGCATTCCTGTCATACTTTAGTTTATTACAGAGACAATGTCTCAGCTGTGGACTTATGTCAGACACCAGTTGAAGTGTTTTGTATGCTTGTATATAGTTTTCTGTGTAGTTTTTGGAATATAAAGTCTGTGCATTTATGAAAATAGACTATAATTATTTTTTTTATAATTTAGAAAAAGCAAACAAGATCATCAGTGATAAGATGGACAGTGTTTTCTTTGTAACTTTTAATGCCTGAAATGAGTGTGAGGAGGAAGGTGTCAACTGAGAAGCTGAAGAAACAGTCCAGTTTTTGCATTTTCTCCATTTAGATATTCACACAAAAAGATAGAGGAGACAGCTGGAGATAATTTGTCTAAAGACACCACTTTAGCATGTAGATGACAGTATTAACAAAGACTACTTTGTTCATAAAGGGGAACTGAAATTTACACAAACTAAAAGATTCTCTCAGGACCTTAAAAGATTGTTGCACTGCAGGTCAAGGATGGAGAGGACTTCAGCACAGGGCTGCCACTGACATTCATTACTACTCCTGATTGACCTGCTGATTATTAACAACATGGTCTTTAGGTTTAGAAACATGCTTCACAGCAGGGATGGGTGATAAATTATTGTTCACGATATATCAGAAAAACCCTCCATGATAAATATTTGCCATCTCATGATAAATACGATTTATTGCAAGTCGATGATGTAAACGTGAGTGACGGACTCACAGCCATAGCCCACAAAGAGCAGAATAACTAACAAACATGGCCGAAGGTAATGAAGAGGACGTTTCTGAGCAGCTCATTACTGAACGAATGTTTTCACATTTGAGACTTGTTTGATGTCATTAGTTTTCTCCATAACCTACCACTCAAACTGGTGGTTAAGTGTCTTATTTGACTTCTCCAACTGGTGTACTCAAAACAAAATGATTAAAAAGTATAGATTGGAATTATAATATTTGACATCGGGACTTTTATTGTTATCGGCAGAATGGCAAATCTTATCATGATGAATTTTTTTTTGCCCATATCGCCCATCCCTACTTCACAGCAGGCATTTTGACAGAGGATCAGAAAAAGGCCTTCAGAAAAAGTTGCAAGATTGCATATTTGATATTAGTTCAAAGTTGATTGTTTTTTATTGATTGACAACCCTAATGCTAACATGGATGCAGTTCACTTGTTTTTTTAAACAAAATGTGCACACGGTTTAAAAATAATGACTGTGTATGTAGGGTAGAAAATATCACTAACTCTTGTGCTGCATGCCAAAACATTGTTTGCCGGTGTAATATGAGTTGCTCTGTAACGATTGTTTTCTGGGGGTTTCTATGCTGGCTTTAAGTTTACATAGCAACCTGTCTGGACCCTCTCATTGTATAATGCTTTTGTCCATACACCTGATAAATCTGAGCACTCCTGCATACAATAGATGGAACAGTAATGGGTCGTTTTCAAGCCTTGTTAGCTCCACTGACCTGTGGACACTACTGTGATCTCTGCAGCATAGAAAGGCCCATCCTCTGTCAAAATCAGAGGTGAAGCTCTAAGCCCTCCCAAAAAAAGGAACCCTCCTTCTTCAGGCTGCACTATGAGGTCCAGTCCATGAAGATCAGAAAAAGAGAATCAACCACAAAGGGAAACCCTCACAATGTCTCATCAGTTTTCTCCCTCTCTTCTTATGAAACAAAACTTTCCGTTCAGTTCAGCTCCAGACATCTGTTTCAGAATCTCGTGTTTCTTAACATGTGACTCACGTTAACGTATCTATCTTCTTAATCAGTGAACTAAAAACATCAGAATTCACCAGAGCAGAGCAGACTGTAGCAGCCTGAGTTTAGTTTAGCTGCTCTGCCTTACTCCGTTGACATTTCTGATGTTGGATGGTTGTCAGATGATAAAAGAGCTCATTAATATTTGTGGCATGCTTGTGCTTTGTGAAATAGTTAAGACTGGTAAAGTCTGCATGTCCCAGTACAATGATGCATGGAGGGAGAGAAGGGCACGAGCATGAAGGCCTGTATCCTGCAGTATTTTAGATGCATTGTCCAGTGAAAGTCTCAGTAATCAGGCCGGCTTTGTTCTCCTCTTTTTATAACTCACATTCCTCCTCCTTCTCCCTCCGTCTTTTCATTTTTTTCTCTCTCTTAATGAGCCCCTGTCTCCCTCCCTCCCTCAATCTTAAAGACTGTTCTCACACACTCTCCATCTGTCTAACAACACTGATCGTTTTGGGGGAAACACCTTCTCGCTGATATTTTTAGCTCTCAGCTGGAGTTATTGTGTACAGTGCGGTATAAACACACTGACTCCGTTGTATTTTTATCTTCCTGGCAGCAGGAAAAAAACAGGCCGAATGAAAACCACCCTGAGGAGTTACTGTTGTTGGGGTGAAAGTATTTGTGTGGGGTGCGTGACGCACTCAATAAATGGCTGCATGGTGCCTCGGAAGTGTCTCAATCAGGGTGCCATTGTGTGCATTTATGTAATATTACATTGTTGTGTAAAAACATATTCTTTGGTGTTTTGTGTTATTCATTGGCGGCTGCCAGGCTGCAGTCAGAGAGGTCAGTGCTTGAGTTATTACTTAAGTTTGGTCCTATGATCCCTCACAATAACACATGAGCACAAACACAATGATGTGGTTCTCCTGAAAAGTACCGCGGGTAAATCTGATGGTATTTTCATTTCACATCTGCTGAGGTGGGACAAAGTCGTGATTCAGGATCATTATTATTTCTGTATTTACCACTGTGATAAACCTGAGACATTTTTTGTCAGCATGGATGATTTTGACATCCTTTTTACACCACAGTTGCAACTCGTGCCAGTATACGTGACATGTAGTACAAACGTTACAAAAGGAGTAGTGAGAGGAATTAAATATGAGAGCAAAGCGACTTGACAGGAGTTGCACAATCACTTGTTGCTTCTTTTGATCATGATACATAAGATTCTACTGGACTACAAAAAAATTGGGAAACACTTTTTAACAATGTGGGACCTTCTCACGGACATGTGATTTTTAACACAGCAGAAGGTGGAGGTGTTTTGGTCTGTTGTAAAAAAAAAAAAGGAACATTGAGATAAAGGGAAACACTTTTTCTTTAGTTCAGGTAATTGATTAAGAATGACGCAGACTGCCTGGGTATCGTCAATGTGTGGGAGACACTGGGCTCTTGGGGTGTGTTTTGATTGGCTTTTGCAAAATGAGTGACATATTCTCATTTGCATTTTGTTAAAACAACTATTAAGATGTTGTCTGATGCTTTACTGTAGATCACACATTTACTACCAGTACTTTTTAGTACGTATACCACTCAAGGCATAAAGGGCACATAAACTCAGAACAATCTGTTATGTAACTTTTAATTTTGATTAGACAAACAATAATCAGCATTAGCTCATGTGTGTGTTTTCGGTTTGTCTTTTTGTCAGCTTGTTCCTGAATGAGAGAGGTGTGATCTGTGTTTGTGTGTATGAAATTTAACCCTAAGCCTTAAAAACACAAAGATGAGCTCATATAGGGTGTGGGTGGAAAATTGCTTGCAAAGTATTGTATGATCATCAGAGCTTTTCCTAACCTGCGTGGACTCTAATGTATGACATGCAGTTAGGCTAAAAAATGAATAGTTGTGCAACCATAGAAATGTCTCTCAGCCTGCACAGCTACTGCCCATAAGCTTCATGAGATAGAGACCTTCCAATGCTCTGCGCCACAAATGACAACACAGCTTAATATTGAGGGGCTGCATTGAAGGGATGTCAGAGAGATGTTAACAGCACACTGAGCCTGGACGAGGAAGAGGTGACAGCATAGCGTGTTTCAGGTCATATGATTGACATTGCACATCTTGCAACTTTATCTTGGCCCGAGACAGAAATAGTAGAAGAAAGTACAGAACAAATATAAAAAAAAAACATGAAAATGATAATCTGTTATGAAATGAAGACAAACATGAAGGTCTCTACCCTTGAGAGCTGCTCTTTGGTTAAGCCTTCTGAGGTCTGGTGTGTTTACTGAAGTCACATCAATCTATGAAGTGGAAGCCTTAGAGAAACACAGATGTGCACATACAGGGTGTGGGTGGGTGTGAAGGGGTTTTACAGTTTAGTTATTGCAGTTTGTTCTGGACTACATTGACAATGGAAAGGGGGTCTTTATGGACTCTCAGTTATTCAAAAAAGTCGATCTAAACAAACATGAAATCACATATGGGATGCTTTAAAATAGTATTTAATTTTTCATATGTCGAAGGTGGGCAGAATAAGTTGCCCAGCGTTTGTGCTTTGAGCTCTTTGTGTGTGACATCAGACAGAAACCAGGATCCTGACAGCCTGAGGAATGTATCCTCCCTTCCTGTGGCACTGACAGACAGACACACTGTTGTAACCCTCTTCAACATGCTGCAGAGAGGACAATTGAACACTACAGCTTCTGCTAATGATTGTCTGACAACACTTTTGCAACTTCTTTACTTTTGCAAACAGATATTTCCATGTACGTGGAAAGACATGAGATCATAAATGTTGCTCCCTACTCTTTTCTTGCATCGCCTGTTGCAAATCAGATGTTAATGACCAGCATGTAAAGCTGGAGGTCTTGGCCTTGACATAGCCTACTTAACTGCCTCTCTTAACAACTGCAGGCTGCACAAGGAGTCCCAATAAAAACAGTTGCAGGCCCTAGAGGTGTAAGTGTTGCCAGATCAAGCAAATGTGCTCCAAGATTGCTGCTATGTAAATTGGACGCCTAAAGATAAACAGTTGTAGGTGCTGATTAGATCGGTGAAATTCACAAAAACCATGCTGAAGAAAGCTTTTTTATTTTTGCCAAGAAGTGATACAGAGGGTTTCATAACAAACTCAGACCATGACAGTTTATTAATCCTGTTTGAACTTTTCCGTTTCATGACCTGTTTTCCTTCGTGTTAGTGCCAGCACCGTGTGTTTACAATGTCCTGTATGGGTCAGAGTAGACAGTCCGAGCAAAAACACCTGTGGATGGAAACTATTCGGTGATCACACAAATATTCTATTCTCCCATGGCATGAGAAGACAGACAACAAGTATTAGTTCGTAGAGGCATTATGAGGAGTTGGCAAGTTGATTCTGGTGACCGCTTTGGATGAAATCTATACTGTTTAGATGCTGTCCTCCACCGTCACAAAGATACCGTGCGTTAAGCGTGCATTTGTAGTGGAAGTGAGTGAATCCAGGTCTTCTTTGTGATGCTACTTCTCATTGTTTAAAACAGCTTTTTGCAGGCTGCAGAGTGATGAGGTTTTGTTTGATTTGTAGCTTTGCCAAATAAACAACTGTAATGTCTAAACTCTGATTTTGTACAGTTACCTAGCTTACAAGTTTGAATAAACAATATCATCAGCATGATATCAGATTTGGTAGCTGATATAATATGCTGTGATCGGCCCAAAAAGTGACTGTCTGGACTTTCACAATAAGAGTCGAATAGAATCTTTGTTTCTGAAAATGACAAAAAAAAAAAGTGTATATTTATTGTTATTGATATTGGCCAGAAATGTCAACATATCAGATGTTGGCAAAGTTCCAACATACTCACTAAAGGTGACCAGAAATACCAGTTTGACCTTGCTTGGCACAGTCCTGGTGTTCGCCCTGTTAGAAATGCCTCAACACTGTAAATATGCACATGGTTTAAGTCTTAAATCCTCAAAGCGCACACCCTGGCATAAACATTGAATCCTGTTCATATATCCATTTGGCTCTTTCACTGAGCAAATACGCCTTTTTGCTAATTTGGATCCAGTACCAGCCATGAGAGTCTCCTGCTTGATAAATTACCTCCCACTGATATGAACAGAGACACACCTGGGTGAGTGCTGAATATCCACCTGACTTTTACTGGGAAAGTCTGACCTGAACACAGGCGCTAATATTCATAAAGAAATAACTGATACAGCCTCTGATAATCTCATTTTGCTGTGTTAATCATAAAGAAGCATCAAAATAAGAGTGAGATTATTTCAAAATCAACTTTTTAAAAAAATCTTAGAGACCTATTTAGGACCCTGTCAGTTCTTTTTTCTTTTTTTTGTCTTTCTTTATTTATACATTTATTTTTTTGTAACGAATAAATATGATGGTAATAATAGTGATGCTACCCCTTTATATTCCTTCGTATCATGTTGTAATGCCCTGAGTGGATCAGCCCGCAGCCCGTAACTCACCACCAAGACCCCTTTTTTTTTCCCCTAACAGGACCCTGTCACTCTGTGTTCATATAACAGCGTGTACCCCCCAAACCCCTTTAAAACCCAGTCTATATTACACTGTGCAGCAGCTGTATGTGATTCACAGATATGGATCATTTCTCTCAACCGTGAGAATCAGTCTGTTTTACAACACTTAAGTATGTTTAAGGCGACTTTACAGGCCTCACAAAAGTGAACAAAATCCCACAAAGCAGTCTCTGAACAAGAGTTTCTCCAGTTCTGCAGGAGTAGCTTTTGTCTATGGGTAAAAATTAGAAAAATCTTTGGATGAACTTTAGTCTCTATCACTCTTAAGATGAAGTCTGTGTTTACAGCTCAATCCAAACATTAAATTTACTCCAAACATTGATGGAGTTTGCTGCTGATAGCTGATGGCCCTGAACTGGATTCTTCACTCTTAAATGATTGCGCAAACTTGTAGATGTTGTTTCACTCAGTCAAGTTTGCACTTCGCCTCATTTTTGTTTAATCTTTTGAAAGAGTCTCACACAGGACTTTTTGACAGTTGCAGAAATCTCGACATCTTTCTTCAGAGTCCCAGAGCACCAAAACCATATTACTTTGACCCTGCATCGATGCTTGTATCTTCTTTTATCATAAAATGTGGTTTGCAAACAGTTTAAAGATGTACTGCAGTAGTACCATTTAAACCAGGCACCAGCAAAACCTATAAAAAATGTTAAGATGAGATAAGTGCCCAAATTCTTTAATTATCTGTTCATTTTTGACTATCCAAACATTCAGAGGTCATAATTGATCTTATTGCATGAATCCACACTTTTAATTTGGACTGTAGAAGTCAATCTGTTCAAGATAAAAGATCCTTATTACACATAAGGACACATAAGAATTACACATTAACAGCCTTTGTTTTACCTAATCACTTTAGGTTCATTTGATCCAAATATACCAGAGGAGGGACCGTCAGCGCCCCCTCCTGGTTGGCTGGATGACGTACATGGATACCAGGGGCACAAAGGAGGAGGTGAGATTTTAGCTGTCCCCTAAACTCAACTTTGAAGTTTTTCTTGACCTTGACATCCTCTCTTTGTGTTTGTGTTGGTGTGCATGTCCAGAAGGTGATAACCCCTTGTATCCACCTCCACCTGCCTACAACCCTCAGCCTGAACAAGACAGGAACACTTCAGTGCCTAATGTCAGGTAACACACTTCAATTTTTCGCTCTGCTGTATCTAAAATTATAATGAAATATGATGAACAAATACAACTTCAGTGTTTTTGCCTCTTTAGGGTCCCCACAGTATCAGAGGACGTAGCCAGAGAGGCTTTACTCAAGTATGTGGAATCCAAATGGAAGTACAGCTCTAAACCTGCTAGAAACCTCACCTTTAAGGAGCTCAGACCCATCACCGTGTACAGGGTAAGAGAGTATAAGCATTTTTTATTTCTTTTCCTTCTCCAGGATGCACTTTTTGTTTGAAGGTGCACAGCCATAACTTTTGATCAAGAGGAAAATGAACTACAATAACAAATTTGTGGGAGAAGTGATTCTTCCGCAGCACTTCAATATGACCTTTCCACTTCCAAACCACTCCAAGCTTTACACAACCGGGTGTGTTTTTAGTCACAGCAGTTGAGTGACATGCAGGAACAAGCATTGTGTGCATTGTTTGGACTCATGCTTTCAAATTCTGCAGCGCAGCTTTTTGCATCCCACAAAATACACACAAAATTTATACATGAAAGAAATGTTAGTATATTGATTAAGACTTCGTAGGTTGATAAACAACACTTAGAAAAGTTAAATATTTGCTCTTTTACAGTATTTGATTATGTGGGCAGAACCATCATACTGTTGATCTTGTATTCAATAGGAAAAATAGTGAAGACAACAAAAACTTTAAAAAAAAACCCTCTAAAGTAGCTCTTTAAACCCATCTACTGTGAACCCATCCGCACATCCGTCCTGTGTTTTCTGCCTCCTTTTGTAGTATCGACTGGAGACCTACACTGAGACCAGAACCAGCTCCTGGCAGCATGAACCCTACAACGGTAAAACAAAACCATGAGCCTGTAAACAACTTAACTCCTTCTCTTTCATGTAAAATGAGATTAAAATGTAGTGTGTACAGCGTGGGGTATTTCTGATAGTTGAACACCAAAGTTTGCTGAAGTCAGTCACTGAGAAGATGTCATTCTTCTAACACCAAAAAAATCCACTGGACATGTTTTCTACATAGACATGAAGATGTGGAAACAAATCTGAGATGATCTGAAGAGACTGTTTGTTTCTCAAGCTTTACACATAAGGCACACTGATTGTCTTCCAGTATTGATTTGGTGTGACCTCCTATGCTTGATGTAGTTGACTTATAACTTATTTGGTCTTACTGGTACATACTGTAGTTGAAATTCTAAAAAGTGTACGTGGGAAACACTAAGGATACAAACCTGAACTTGATCGGCTGTCTAAGGCGTACTTTCGTGGAGTAGTAATTTGGGTTTTTCCTCAAACAGGACAGCCGGTCGACGGTCCTCAGTTCGGTATGAGCCCTCCACCCTGGGACATTCCTGTGTCGTTGCCTGAAAGATTCTGTGAGAGGGTGGAGAAAGTCCGCGTGCCGCACTCATCTTTCGTCAAGGTACAGAGTTTTTGTTTTTTTAGAAACAAGCTTTTTGTTCTGACTTTAGTGTTGTGTAACACGCTGTTGCTCTGTGTGTTTGTGTGTGTGTTTCTTTAGATGTGTCATACATGCCATGGCTGTGGTAGGACTCGTTGCAATAGCTGCTTTGGGAGAGGCCAGGTGAGACGTTGTTTTTGAAATATGAACCACACATCTGATTTTAGTAACAGAATAAGCCAAACAAGCTGTGTATTATTGAAGGTGAATCACTGTTTTTATTATTATTATTATTTTTTAGTCAGCCAATTTAGTTATACTTTATTATTGATGATGGAATTTCAAGAGTTAATTAAGATGAATCCCATTTTAAACTACATGTTTATATTCCCATGAATCTGCATTTGGAAACTGTTTTGTGAGTCCATGTAAACACTGTTAACTGATTATAACCGTGGTCTTGATTTTGGACTCAAGTGACTGCAATACAAATATTGACTCAAATAAATGCTGCACTGCTACTCCAGTGTGGTCTGAAACCCTACTGAAAGGTAGGAGATAGCTTCAGAGTGCTCTCTCTTTAAAATACTTGAAATGTTTCTTAAGGATAACACTGTTCCATTTGAAGACGTGTGCAGAAAGACACGTTTAAAAGGTCAAGTTAGTGTCATTGTGGTGTGCAGTTATTCTGAGATCACTGGTGTCCAGTGAGCCCTGGATGGTGCAGTAGCATTTGCATTTTTCAAGAGTTTCACTTTGGTTACTTTCGTCATTACATACAGGTCTTGTTTGCATGAAACTATCAGGTCTGTGGCAACTCCCCTAGTCTTGGGATGTGGTTGTCATCATATCAGCTGTTACTGTATGCTAAACTCACGGGTGGAAGCTCAAACTCGGCGCATGTCTGTTATGTTGTGATTCAGTTTGACACAAGTTGCATCTTGCTTTTCACTTGTCAACTAAGCTGTCTGGTAATTTTTTTAAAGTAAAATGTACCACTCAAAGGTACAGCAGTATCATTATTTTCTATTATTGCAGCAGCAGCCAAAAAAGAAAGGCTAGAGATGACCTTGTCCAATGTCATCAAAGCCTCTGTGAGAAGTTTCTGCACTCTAAAAACCCAACTTGGGTTGTTTTTAACCCAGCACCAGGGTTGAAAAGGGACCGACTACTTATTGGGTTATTTTGACCCAGAATGTTGGGTTATTCAAATTAACCCAAATTCTGGGTTGACTAAATAACTCTTTTTAAGGGTCACGTTAACCCAATCTTTGAGTTAATTTGACTGATGATCTTGGGTTAAATTGATATATGCATTCGGGGAGCTTTTTTTGGGAGCTTTGCTTTTACAACCTGTACCATCTGAGCCGGTATGGCTGTCAATGGTACACACTCATGTTTATGAGGAGGTATATATATATATATATATATATATATATATATATATATATCATATTGTGTACAAAATCAAGGTCAAAGTTCACAAGGTCACTTTATATGCCATTAGGTCTAGAAACCACGTAGAGTCAATCGTAGAGTTCTCACCCAATTATTGGGTTACTCTTAGAAAAATAACCCATAATTATCAACCCATTCAAAAACCCTCAAACTGGGTTACAATAGAATCGATATGACCCAAAAAATGGGGATGGATCTGAAAAATAACCCAGAAATTTAACTCAACTCGTATAACTCAGGAATTGGATTGAAGAAATAACCCAAGTGTTTTTAGAGTGTGACCAGTAATTAAACCGACTGAAATCAACAGTGATACCTCTCATCATCAAGAAGACCTTCAACAATGAGACTGAACATTTAGATGTAATCATTCTTGATGCCTATGGTGATCTGGAACTGCTGGTGAATGCTGTATGAAGAAGGAATAGTCTTGAAATCATTCACAGTGAGTAATGCATGAGGGTGAGACTATTTGTCAAAAAATACAACTTATATATTAAGTTAGCCGAGATGTGGGATGTGTCCATAGACCGTGTATGCTATGGACAACTTGGTTCTGCCTTCCGCCAGTATACGGATTTGAAGCTGAATTGCTCTTGGTATTTCCTTTTTTTTTTTCTCCACTTCCTGAAACCAACATTGCGCAGTAACATTGTACGCATTCGATGGGAGAGCTGCTGTGATGACGCTCGGCTCAAACAGTGTATCCCCTGGGTGAGCAATGCAATCTTCGTACGCCCATAGGTTGTATCAAGTGTCAATCATAGAAAACATGAACCCCCCAATAACTTGTAAAAATGGAGCTGCACAGAAAAAAGAGGACTTGAGCACAAACCAGTCTCACAATAACTACATGTCAACATCGCAACCAGTGTGGAAATAATCATACTTTTGTTGAAGTAGTTTTCTGTTGAACTCTTCACACAAACCCTGGTCTCATTTTGCAGAAGCGTTGCACCTTCTGTCACGGTTGCCGTCACTCCAGGAAAAGGCGCTGCTCCTCTTGTCACAGCAGAGGTTACAGGAAGTGGGGGTCAAACATGCCTGTTTGTTCACCACTCTCTCTCTCTCTTTGATTTCCTTCAACTTGCAGAAACGTTGCATGACATGCCATGGCAGTGGTTTCAGGCATAGGCCGGGGAATCACCACAATGCTGGGAGGACACGCTGTACTTTTTGTCATGGGAGAGGCATGAAGAGGTGAGAGGAGACTTTCTGAAGGACTCTGGGTTGTTAGATTACGATGTGCAGGGGGCAGAGATGTGACACATATTTGTATCTGTTATCGTTGTGCCCGTTTATGTTCCCTTTTAGGCACAGTGGTCTTATTTTAAAGGGAAATATTTGCCAAGAACTCAGAAAAAGTGGCACAAAAATGGCAGAGCTGGTAACTCTTTGCCCAGTTTGACCAGACACAGCCTATACACAGATTTATCTCTATTGCCTTGGTAAAAACGCTGATAAACTGTACCATACATCTTTCTTCTGTGTTTGTTTACATCCAGGTAGTAGAGCATTATTGCATTATGGCAGTTTCCATGAATCAAAGCTACACCCCTGGTTGAACTGGCTTTTTTGGTCAAGAATAAATGAAAATTATGAATGATTTACTGAAGTGAGTAGTTATTCTGATGTCCTCTTACAAGAGGGACGGGATTTTAATATTTAGTGGACTATAAATGTGAAAGTTCCTACTCAAGTTCAAGAACTCAAACTGGGTCCTGAGGTATTTTTCTCTTATTTTATGATTAATTTAAGAAGGTTTAAGATTTTAGAAGTGAATCTTAAGAGGACTGACAGTCAGAGAAAGACTGAAGAAAAAACTAAAAATAATGAAGTTTGTCAGTTAGACGGCTTAAAAGGATCTTTATTCATCAAAACTTGTCTATTTGTGCCTCACATTAGTCAGCCTCTTTGAAGATTTATGAACATGTCTTCCTGAGGACACAACAAAGAAATAGCTGTCTCCAAAGCTTTATTGTCATTTACTGTATTGATCCACTCTTGTATTGAACCAGAGTCTTCTGTTTTTTTTAAAAATATATATATATATATGAAATCACAGAAAAAAAAACAACAACAACAAAAAAACACATTCTCTGCTCCACTTTCTAAAAATACTGAGCTTTCTTGTGTAGCATGCTGCTCCAAAGTTAAGATAATAATAATGCATCTGATTTTTATAGCGCTTTTTGTCAGTGATCTCAAAGTGCTTTACATTGGATACATCATTCATTCGCTCACACGGTCACAACCTGGTGGTGGTAAACTACCTTAGTAGTCACAGCTGCCCTGGGGCAGACTGACAGAAACATGGCTACCAGTTTGTGCCTACACCACCACCACCGACCACCATCACACAACACTCACAATCATACACCAGTGGAGGACACACACACTGGGAGCAATGTGGGTTAAGTGTCTTGCCCAAGGACACAACGGACAGACTAGGGAATAGGACGGGGCTCGAACCGCCAACCTTCCAGTTACTGGCCGACTGCACTACCTCCTGAGCTACTGCCGCCCTGCTGAGATCTGGTTACTCTGATAAACTGTCTTGTCTAACTGTATTTTTAGTGTTTTAAAGCTCATGCACAGACTTCTCCTGTTTGCATTGAAGCTCCTGATGTTTCCTCTTTGTATTCTGGTTTAACTTTAACTTTCTACAAAGCTATGTAGCGTTAGACTTCTTTCTGCTCTTGAATGACGACTTGGCTTGTTGCTTTATTTCCATCATGTAAATTGGTTTCCTTTTGCATGTTTGACCTTAGCATTGATATAAAAACAGTCAGCAGCAAAGGTTTCAACCTCTTTGTCACTCCTCCAGGTGTATTCACTGTCAAGGTCATGGCTTCAAGACCTGCACTGTTTGTCACGGCAGTCAAAACCTCCTGCATTTCATCCTGCTCACTGTCACATGGTATGTGAAAGCCACAAACAAATACAAGCTTGCACAAACACATTTCTTCAGTTCTCATGGGTCTCTATCTCTTTGTGTCGGTCTTCAGGAAGAACAATGTGGAGAATTTCATTCCGGACCGTCAGCCGGACTTCCCTGACGAGAAGTTTGACAAAGTGAGGGGAGATCCTTTCTTTGTTGATGAAAATGTTCTGGTAAGAAGAAGCACTTCTTTTCTCTTCAGTTACTTTTTACTTATAACTAATAACTACTCATAACCAAATCTGGCCTGCAGGAGTTTCCACAATCCAATCAGGGTATATAAATCTGGAATATGAAAAAATAACTCAACAGCATATACAAGTGAGGTTGCATGTGAATTTGTGTGAACAGATACAGGCAGAGAATCAATTTGGATACAGTGTAAATATTAATTGTTGAATATTTTGTTTGGTTATTTCACTGGATTTAAGTGCGTTTGATGCTTGTATTAGCAATACTAAAAAACAATATTAAAAAAGTCTGTTTTTTTTTTGGCTCTTTGAAAAGTCAATAATTGCAAAACTTCCCAAATAGTTCTTTCCCCTGAATCCTTTATCGTTATTGAAACCATAAAGCCTTTCATGAAGTTTTTGAGTCTTGTTTTATCATTATTAAGGATGTTTTTGTGGTGACATATTCCTTAGAAGATATCAAACTTAGACTAACTGACTTGTCAGAATTGAGGAAAATTGATTAGACATTGTAAAATGTCTGCTCACAGAGTCTGCAGGTAAAAAACAACAACAAAAAAAAGTTGGTCTGGACTCAGGAGAGTGTGGCTAATGCTAATAGAGCCAGCACCACAAAGATGTATGGTCTCATAACTTGGAGATGAATCTATTTGACAAATGTTTAATCGGTTTTAAAAAATCCATTTAAAGTCAAGCTCAGACTCTAATTACTCTAATGGTGCCGTAAGAGCCTCAAGATATCACCTTGACAGTAAGATATCACTTCAGTGAAAGAAAGACTAAATGCGGCTCATGCTGAATATTGTTTGGAAGGATTTAAAGGGCTGCTGACACAGCTGTTTACTCTCAGTCTTGTTAGACTGAGAGTGACACCTACAGTTCATATTTTTAAACACAAACTCAAGACCTTCCTTTTTAGTCTGGCTTTTAGCTGATTTTTGTTTTATTCTTCTAGCCTCTCTTTTAGTCTACTCTTTTTATCTTATGTATTTTACTCGTTGACTTTAGTCCCAGAATTATTATTTTATGTTTTAACACTATTTGTTTATTTTCTTTTATTGTTTGATTTAAAAACTGTTTTATTATATGATATTTTATTATTATTATTTTATTATTATTACTATTTTATTTCGTTTTATTTTCTATCATTTTATGAGTCTCCTATATCTTGTAATGGTTTTATCAGTTTAGCTTCAGCTCCAGTGTTTCCCCATTTTAGTTTAAGATAGCGTTTCCTTGGTCCTCTGGGGCTTCCTGCTGAGCCCTGACTTGGTGTCCCAGTGGCTGTGTGTGTGTGTGTGTGTGTGTGTGTGTGTGTGTGTATGCGGGCTTGGAGGGTGGGTGTATTGGTGGGGTTTTGCAATTTGTATTTTGTGTTTTATTTTGTATCCCCTGATCCTCTCCTTCTTGTGTTCTTTAATGTACAGCACTTTGTGATACAGTCCATATATGAAAAGTGCTTTACAAATAAAGTGATTGATTGATTGATTGAAATACGTTGATTTGACCTGGTTTTGTCCTCACTCTTTGTCCCTCCAGGTGTATCCTATCCAGGGCTTCCCTGATGAAGAGATCTGCGCTGTTTCCAGAACGCTGATCAACCAACATCTGAATAAATTCAGCTCCACCAGCCGCATCCTGCAGCAGGTATCAACAAATACTTAATCTCCTTTAAAATTCAAGGAAAGAAAGGCAGTTGTGGCAGAGTCTGAACTTGAACTATTTCATACACAACCTGTCCGACATTATATGTTCTCATATTTTCACAGTGCTGCATGTATGTAGTTTTCTCTGTTCAACAGCAGGCAGGCTTAGGCTCCACATTTAGACATGACCTCCAGGTGACCATATATGCCTGGCTGGAAGCCAACGGTAAAGCTGGAGTAATTGACTGCGTAGTTGACCGCATGCTGATGAGCACAGAGGACATTTTCAAGGTCAAGTTTTCCCCTGGGGTATCTGATGTTAAAACGGTCTGTTCCATGTAAGGACTTTCTGGCTGTAAAGAGGAGAGCTGCTGATTCACAGAGGTTATAATTACATTAAACTTTTGTCTGTGTATATGACCCGGCTGTTATAAAGCTTAAGATAACTCCCTGGTGTTGTCTCATATGTCTTATACTTATATAGAGCTGTTCCCCTGTAATCCAATCACCCAGGAAGTATGTGGATAGCAGGGGTACATTTGAGCAGTCCAAAAAATTAACCCATCTGTTCTTTCCTCTCTTCTTTTCCTTGATGGACACATCAGAGGGTCAAGAAAAGAGTATATACGATATTAGGAAAAGACAACCGCAGTATGTGGAGTTTAACAAGAAATATAAGTTACTAATAAGTTAGTAATCATTAAGCTCTCTCTCCTCTCTGTCATATTCATTCTCATGAATCAAACGTTTTATTGAATGGAAACATTTTTTTGATTAAGTGAATTTGGCTGCAGATCAGCTGCTGTCATACTGATCATTTCTTGTCTTGCATGATCAGGAGAAGCGTAGCTTCAAACGTAGTCAGCAGTAAAAAACACTGTGGGTCATTTTTTCTTCTCTCAATCATTAAGGATGGTCCAGTGTTTCTTTCACTGAAGGAGATAATAGAGGGAGCAGTGAAGCTCCTTTCCTTATCATTTAGAGAATTTAAAAAGCTCTTATCATGGTCCTCACACAAAGACTTCTGGGTTGTTTCACCCAATTAGGAACCTTCCTAACCTTAAAGGACTATTCAAATGGACCCTGGGTCTTCCTGACTCTTTTGTGGTCCACTTCTGTCCGGTGCTTTGTGTCTTTCTTTGGTAGGAAGGGGCCTTTGACCTGTTGACTTTAGCTCTTAAATGTCCACTCCAGATACATAATATTGATGCCAATTTGAAGCCCAGCAGTGGATGAAATTGTGAATCATTTAGTTTAGTTCTGTTGGTATTTTGAAATCCTGATCTAACTTTGTTTCTCTCCCAAAACATGAACTTATCAGTGACCAAGTGGAACTAATGTCAGGATTTCTTCTTTCTCCTTTCTGTCTGCAGCGTCAGACCATCGAGCTGGTGCCCCTGACTCATGCTTACTACACCTACAGTGGGAAAGACTACAGCTTCTTCGTCTACGGGACGGAGAACAAAGTCTTTGCTGCAAAATATCCCACAGCCTGCACTATTTTATAAACCACAAATGTTTAATCCTGTACTCTTGAGTATACATGTTCATGTTCGTGTGCAGTCTGGTTGTATAATGATAGGATTTTTGAGGATTTATACTGGGAGCAACAGGAGAGAAAAGCCAAACTTCCTGTTATTGTATGTACACACTTCTACTAAGAATCTGTTGTTGTTGTCGAAGTGCGTTAGTTCAATGGAAATATCAATATTAGTCAAGTATTGGTGCTATACTCCTACATAATTAATGTTGTATATACAGCAGTTTAATCCAAAGAGTCTGCAGACATCAAAGGTTGAATTTTAGATAATTCATACACAATCAATAACTGCTAAATGGTACCTCCAAATTTCTCAGACAACTACACGGGGGTGGAGTCACGGAGTCGCGTGTCGTAAATGTTGAGAGTTTTTCGGTCCAGGTCCAGTTTTTTTTCTGCACTTCTAACTCAGTAAGTCTACTGAGTCTACTCACTAAGTCTACGTGACATCAACTGAAAACCTGGACATTTGAAGGATTTTATGAACTCCCCCGGACAAGGCTGGACAGCCCCCCCAAAAGAAGGAGATGTCCTGGTAAAAGAGGATGTGTGGTCACCCTAGCTAAAGTCAGCTAATGTCAGTCAAAGTGAATGAGTACAGCAGCCCTGGAGCTGTTTTTGGGTGCCTTAATGACTTTTTATGACACAAAGTTTGTGTAAAAAATTTACTTTGATATGTTTAAAACCTTTACTGGATGCTATTTGGTTTAAATAAGGTAATCTATACTCAGAATGAACTAATTATCTTTATTTCATTAAGCAAAAAAATGTACCCCTGATGTCTGACAGGCTCTCTATAATCCAATTCAGCTTTATCTAGAATAATCTACGTGTTTGTGCCTCCACAACTAACACTAACTACCTCTTTACTGACAGATCAGCCGGGAGATAGTAACTGATAACCGATTGCTCACTTTAACTGGGTATTTACTGCCAAATGATTTACTCCTACTTAAGAAGACTGCAGAGTTATGACAGATAATCATGTTATGATTATGATAAACACAAGGCCACCATTACTCCTGAAACTTCACTCACAGGAGGGATGGGCAAGGACGCATTTTAACTGGAAATACTGCCAGATATAGGCGAATATTTTCAAGATTTATCATCAGAGTTTTTTTTTTTTTTTTTTTTTTACAAAATTTTAGTTTGTTTTTTGGAAAAATCACTCTTGGACAGGTTTCAAGAATATACAAAACAGGCTGTGCTGAAACAAAAAAGGAGAGAATTATGAGAGAAATATGTTTTTCATTAAATTTCTTAGAGCAGATACTTTCCTTTTGATTTAGCTAAAAGAGTAAAATCCTCATCAGACTGCTGATAAATGGTTCTGAAAGTCTGACTGGAAAGGGGTCACCCCACTGAAAACAAAGTTCGGAACCAAACATCTTTTATAGTGATGTGAAGCTGCTGACTGTGAAGCCTTAACATATAAAGTTTAACCTCTGGTGACTGAAAAGTCTTCAGACGATAGCCTTAGAGAGTGGTTTTAACCTCAATCTATCCTGCTTTTTTGAACTAACATCACTACCTATAACCAGAAATCTGTTACAATCAATAGTGAACAGATAGTTGATGTCAATCCTTAAATGCATGTGGTGCTTCCTAAAACAAAAACAACTCTTTTCCTCTCCATTGTGTGCCTGATAAGTGTATTTTCAAGTCAGTAATCTCAGTATTCATGTAAACTTACCTGTCAGACATGATTTTGATCATTCTGAGACCTCATAATGCAGGGGAAGAAAAGCTCTTTCGAAACGCAACAGGGATTTTCAGAACATAAAATAACTAATTACGTGGCCATAAAAAAGAACTTTTATTTTATTTTAAACTGAGCTTTAAATCTTTTTCTGATCAGGATGGTTGTTTTGTTGTTTTAAAGCTTCTGTCAGGAGTTTTTAGGTGGTCACAGAACAGATTGAAATCGTTCTTCATTCTTCTTCATTGGCAGCAAAGAGCTAGACCATCAGCTTTTTCTATTTTTATACAGTTGACTATATTTGTTCAGTGTTTCAACGTGTGATCTTCATATTTTTATTTGTACGGCTTTAAATGTGCTTTAAAACAAACACCAGTTTCTGTCATAATAATCAATAGTACGCACATCATACTCCTCCATAAGGACCTCTATTTTGTAGATGAGACATCTTTCTTTTGTTTATTGTTCCAGTTTCATGCAGCTCAGGCTTTAATGTGTACGCTTGTGTACAAATATACATTAAGTAAACAGTCCAATGGGATCCTGCCTATCACAGTATGATCTTATATTCTTCTTTTTTAGGATTTAGATGTTTATACATTTGTCTCAACTTTTAATGAAAGCTTTGATTACTTTAGATTTTATATGTTATAAAAAAATCATATGGTGAGGAGTGTAAAGCAGTACCTCTCAAACTAACTTGCTTAAACTTTCTGAAGCTTGTGTTTTATACAAAACATCTACACCTGTTCAGTTTATCCACTTAACATGTAACTGATACAGTTTTGGAACAATAATAAACTTATTTCATGTTATTATCCCACAGTGTCGTGGTCCTTACTCGAAGAACAATCAAGACACAAGCAGAGATAAAACAGTGTGACATTATGGATGCTGTCGCTTTAACAGTATCATGGTTTTTAACATTAAGTTAAGATTAAAAAAAAACAAACAGGATATTTGAAATGTTGCTTAGTATGTTAAGATGTGTGAAGTAACTACAATCACATCAGACTTCATGCCCAGTTCCAGAGTATTTGTACTTTTGTATTTTAATTACTACAACAGTATGTCAGGTTTAATGCATATCTTTCTATGTAGCTTTGGTATTAACAACTACAATTAGGTCCAGACAAGAAATAATTCAGTGTGTCTTTATTTTTATTGCTATGCAATGTAAGACTGACATGCAGCAATCCCACAAAGTTTGACACTGATTTGGCTATTGGAAAAAAAAAAAACACCTTATGCGTCCCTTTAGCAAAGTTACTTCAGATATGTCCATCCTACATTAACTCCAAATATTCAAATCATCAGCCTGACTAAATAAGGTAACTCTGTCTGAATTTTGTAATATCAAACTCTTGCCACAAGGGTGAGCTCTAGTTTGTAAAACTGGCTTGCAAGTTGCCTGAAGGCCTGTTCACTGACATTTGTGCTGTGGGGAATTCAGCAATTCAACCAAAAAGACACATTTTTCCTCATATAAATGAATGTGCTGTAACAATCCAACATTAAAAGTTCAATGAGATTCAAGATTATCTTCTGTCACTTCTCATTTATCTCAAATGAAATGCTACTACCAGCTCGCATAAAAACTGGACATTCAAACACAAAGTAAATGATGATGGAGGATAAGGATTTATCAGGACTGAAAGGACTGGGTGCATTACTACAGACCATATATTCTATGAATGCATACCTATATATGAGACCAGAAAGGACATGTGAACATATTAAAGTGGTATGTATTGTGATGTTGCCTTTTCCAATTAAAAATAAAAGTAAAGTTAGAAGAATAAATGCCAGGAAACAGAGATATTTGTGTCCACCTTCATTTAAACACACGTTTTTAGGGAAAATCAAGGTTGAAATAAGGCAAGTTGATAAAAGCTGTGTTAAAGTCAGGGCTAAAGATAAATGACCCATGAATCTTACTGCAACTTTCTGACTTAAGGACTTTTTTTCTAGGAAAGCTATTATTATTATTATTATTATTATTATTATTATTATTATTATTATTATTATTATTATTATTGTTGTTGTTGTTGTTGTTGTTGTTGTTGTTGTTACTATTATTTTAATCATATTTAAGACATAAATGAAGCTACTTTGTAAAATGTCCCCTGTGTATTTTTATGTGATGTTTTCAATATGGAATTAGATGCCATATTCGATGTAATAAGGAGTAATTAAGCCAAAACTGGCGTTCAGAACAAGTTTCTGGTACATGGAGTTCTGTATTGATGATATTACAGCGCCTCTGCTGGGAGTTTTCAGAACTTAAGGGGTAAGACCTGTTTTTGATGCCAGTCTTCTGCAGCCTTTCTCTGTGTAATTACTGGAAAAAATAACAAAAAATGGCAGTTTAATATATAACTCTTTAAGTAGATATCTACTATTATAAATGGTGTGTTGGGGTCAAAAAGTGCACGCTTGTGATTGGTTAATCACACAACGCAAAACAAAATAATTTAAAAAAAAAATTACAGGCACATTAGCGCTTCTGTATGAGGTAATATCTGCTGTTAGAGTGAAAGAAAAAGAGATGCCCATTTTAAAACCATATGATTGTCTTGTGTCAGTTGAGAACGCTGAGTTTCCGAGCAGCACCTGAACGCCTCCCCGCTGCAGCAGAGGCTCGGTTGGATGAGTGGAGGGAGGCTGAGTTAAGCCCACATGTCTTGAGTTTGTTTAAACGCGTGGAGTCCTCAGGTGAGCGGACACTGAAAACCTGACGTGACCTGGATTCATCCTGATTTTAGAGCTGAGGAGGACTGACTGAGAGTCCAGGGATCCTCACCAGACTGAAGCTCTGCTCGGTGAGTTCAGGAAACTTTTTTTTTTTTAATTCTGAAATGTTGATGCTGATGCTCCGCTGTCTGTGTCAGTGGAGGAAATAACCCGAGGATGAATCAGACTTTAGGGAAGAAAGTTAAGTGAAGTTCAGTTTGTTGTGCTTGCTGAAGTGATTTTGGTTAAAAACTGGAATGTTAGTTCAAAGTTCTTGACTAAACCTGAACATTTTCTTCTCATGTGGGTAAAAAGAGTCAGGAACCACAGCTGATCACTGGTGATTTTTTCAGCAGCGAGACAACACTTGATTTTTTTTCTCCTATAATTTCTGTAATTGACAGCAGCAGGTTACGATATTTGAATTAATGTAGTCATTTTTCTCAATTTATACATTACAGTTTCATCAACAAGTGTAAAAAAAGTAGAAAAAATAGCTTAAGCAATTTCCAGCATTCAAAGTGAAACCTGGAGCAAGTCTTTCCACCAAATATTACACCAGAAACTGTTACATTGTACATAAGTTGTGGGGCTGACTCTTAAATTTAACAGGAACCAGTGGGGCCTAAATGATGGGAAAATGACTGAAGCACGACTGTAGGATTGAAGGAGTCCTTTAATGTGTCTTTAAGAGGTTAATGTTGTCAGTGAGACCTTGGAGGAGTTTAGATTTTGATTTAAATGTTTCTTGAGGTGTTGAGGGTGGAGAAAGAAACTCAGCGATCTTTTTTTTCAGTATGGAAGATGAAACTTCAGGATTGAATCACATGAAGTTTGATTTGGATTGCTATCAGAGCTGTGTACATATTGGGTGGGGGGTCTCAGGGACTTATTTCTGAAACCTTCAGCTGAGTTTACTAAAGAGCGTCCTGTGTGTCTCTGCTGTGAGTAAACGTCCCCCAATTGTCCCCGTCCTTTCCTGTTATGGAGTTCAACCCCCATCTGTGCAATCTGTGCAGGACTGCTGCTGCTTCCTGCATAAGTGTGTGTGTGTGTGTGTAGATTGTTGTTTTCCTGCTGCATTGTGTCATTGTGTCTCCTGTTGCTCCTCTGGTGATAGTAGAGTGAAGCTGAACACACAGCCACCTGTAAGATTCCTGTGTGTGTGTGCATGTGCTGCACTGTCTATTGTAACTGTTTGGGTCTTTCGCAGTTAATTTGGCTCAGAGGTAATTAAGAGGTTGAGATTTTCTTGCATGATCAACATATTTACATATAGATAGACTTTCACTCACTCTGGTTCCATCACATATTGGACAAATTCAAAACATTTTGGTTCCTTTAAATATTTTATATTAAGTGTTTTTGTGTAGAAAAACATTTCAAGTAGGTGCAGAGGGACCAAAAGGTTGTGATTTTGTCCAATAAATTCTGAAGCTGAGTGTTTGAGGTATGCAGGGTTTGCTCTTCACATAATTTCTAAGATTTTTGTCCTATGCACCTACAACAATAATACTTTTGAGTGTTGAAATGCTCTATTTGCATTAAGGGTCACAAAGTGACAAAAGGGGCTGTCATCATATTTAAGAGTCAAACCTTGCTTCTTTGAACTCTTTACTTTTCACACCATCAGTCAGTTGTAGTGTGACAGACTAGTGGACTCACTAGCAAAAATAGATAAATAAAAACAGTATGAGAGAATCATCCGAGATGGTCTTTTGATCTGGTGTCTAGTTAAACTGGTAGTAACCACTCAGCTGGAGCGATGTGCAGCAGCACAAATATGTGAACTTTTAAACTGTAGGAGGTCTGAAGTTTGGTGGTACTAGCTCTGCTTACTGTAGCAACACTTAGAAAACATATTCAACATTGTTTACCGGCAGACTCTGTGATCCACTTGAATAAATTGTGCTTAATTTTGACAATTTTTGAGTTTTTTGGACGAGTTGGTCAGAATTTAAATTCCTGATTAAATGACTAGAACATTAATTGCTTTACAATCCTAACACTGATGTTTTCATAGTTTACATAGAAATAGTTGAAAATCAGTTCTAACGTTCACACTACAATAAACTGCTGACCACACAGGTGTTATTGTATGCCATAGAGTAATACAACTTTATGGCTCTTAGATACTTGCTGAATATTAATTTTTTTTGTTTCATTACTTTCACTCACACCAATGATCTGACCAATCTTATGGACCATTTTGTCAATCATGTATGATCCAGAAAACAGTTAAACCGAGGCTGTCATCATGCCTTTGTAATTGCTTGGTAAATAAATGGAGTGTCAAAGGGCCGTCTTATATCACTGTACCTGGCGGGAGCTGAGTGGATCCTGTTAAAGCCACTTGACTTCCTCTCAGTCAGACTCCTTCAGTGAAGAGGGGATTACAGTAGCTTTATGTAAAGCCAGCTGCTGAGTGAGGAGTGTAAATTTAAAGAATATTGAACATCAACAGAACAGAGAGCGCCTTACTGACAGAGAGAAACACACAGACACAGATAGAGATCTCTCAGCATGCAGCAGGTCCTCCACTCATGTTTGTAAAAGCTGAACTGAGCTGACCAGCTCCACTTCACTCTAAGACTAAAATCAACAAAGCCTCCTGATAAGTTCTTATCTGATCTCTGCAGCCGGAGAGCGGTGAAGTTCAAAGCTGCAGTGATGAAGACTTTCGGCACTTTCTCCTCTGTTTGGGTTTTTGAGGACATTTTTGAGGACAGAGTTAAACAAAGGTCTCGGTGTGTGCAGGGAATAGAAAACAATATCTTATGAGCGGAGTAGCAGGGCAACTTTTAAACTTTGATTTTGTGTTTTCTCTGCATCCAAACTTCTAAAGTGCTGCATAAAAAGACAGAATCCACCCACTGGCATTTAGTATTGCAATCTAGACTGATCATTTTCAAGACCCACTCCGATGAAAATCATGTTTTCCTTGTTGTTTACATGTTCATATGGCATTTTTTTCTGATGCTACAGGACATATGAGAAAAATAAGTGCAAAAATGCATTTCTGAGTATTTCTGCATTCAAATTGCTGTGAGTCTGTGGCAGACCCAGACGGCAGGCTCAGACACAG